CCACGAGGGTTGTTAGCAGCCGTGAGATGATACTTAAATCCCATAATCTTCGAAATATCCTTGGCAATGCTATTAGCCCAACGAATATCACGATCAGAGCGAATAAAACACGGAATACCATAATACACAAATACATTATGGAACAACACCTTAGCAACTCCCATTGTATCAATCTGTTTGTTGCATCCAATAAAAATAGAAAATTTCGAAAAATCATCAACAACGGTAAGGATAGCATCACATCCTCCACATTCCGGCAATCCAGTAATCATATCAATCAGAATTCTTTGGAAAGTGAATCCTGGAGGATCAACAGCCATAATAGGATGGGAATGGTGTTGGCGTATTTTTGTTCTCAAACAAGTATCACATCCACCAACTACTGCAGTGACAATCTTCATAAGATTTCGCATATAAAACTTAGAAGATAGCCCGAGGTATAATTGAGTTATCCCGGCATGCATTCTGCCATGCTCATACTCAATTAACCTACGGGCCCGCAGCGCCCCAACAACCCGGCGCCACGGAGATTGATTGGTACGTCCAAACAATTTACCATCAATCAATTTAAAATTCTTCAAAATACCCTGACTCACATCGAGTCTATCACCATTAACATCTTCTTCATCAATTCTCGTTTCTGCGACATCGCTGGCATTATCACTTGCTTTATTATCCTTGTCCTCAATTAACCTTAAACTGTTACTAATCTCCGCAAAATACTCATCCGATTCAATCGAAGCCTTGATTTCTGCTTCAGTTAAATTAACTGCAGGGATTACCGATTCCAAAGCCCCCACATAACGAGAGAGGTAATCAGCTAACTCATTTGTTGTACCCTTGACATATTCTAACACAATATCAAACTCAGCGAGTTTAGTAATCCATCTTTTAACCCTGTCATTTTCAGCTTCCTTATTTCCTTTAAGCAACACAGACAAGGATTGGTGATCAGTCTTTACCACAATTCTATGACCAAATATCAAATGGGCCGTCTTGTCTAATAAGTAGACAACGGCTAAAAGTTCTTTATCTCTAATTGGATAATTCTTTTCGTGGATTGAAAGGCTCCGCAGGTAATAACCAACAATTTGCAGCTCATCGGACCCAGGGATTAACTGTTTCAATACCCCCCCAATTGCAATTCCTGAAGCATCAGACTCAATTACAAATACAGTAGCGGGATCAGTCGAAAGTGGAACACTTAGTACCTTGGTTTCCAACAAGGCTTGCTTCAAAGAAGCGAACCTTTTGGAAACTGTCTCCATATCCCATTCGAGATTTTTGGAGACAAATTGGTAAAGTTCAACCACTAAGTCCGAATAGCTGGCAACGAAATGACGGAAATAATTCGTGAATCCAAGAGTTTTCTGCAACTCCTTGGCATTCACAGGGGTCTTCAATTTCCGAATTACTTCCCTAGTATCATCAGGGATTTCAACTCCATCCGGACCAATTTCCCAACCAAGAAAGCGAACCTTAGAGCTCATAAAACTGCATTTCAGCCTTTTCAAAAACAACTTGTTCTCCCGACACACATCAAAAAACTGCTTGAGCAAACCCAAATGCTCTTCCCTGTTTGGCGACGCCAAGAGAACATCATCAACATAATTACGGGCAGTTGAAAGGTGTGATATTTTCTTGGCTAAGTATGATTGTAGGTGTGAAGGGGCTGATGTGAGTCCGAAGGGTAATCTCAAGTACTCGTACTTGAGCCCTTCAAACTCAAAAGCCGTGAATCTACTAGAATTCTCATCGAGGGTAAGTTGATGAAAGCCTTCCGTTAAATCCACGGTTGAGAACACCTTATTGGCCAGAAAGATCTGGATCAATTCATCGTAACTGGGAAGGTTCTGATTAAACCTTTTCAATAAAAGGTTGATTTGACGAAAATCAATAACCAAACGAATCTCCCCAGTCTTCTTCTTGACAACTAGAAAAGGTGAAGAATAAGGCGAGTTAGAGGGTTGAATAAGTTTAGAATCAACCATACGCCTAATATGATTTCTAACCTCATGCAAAAGAGCAATCTTAACCTTCGGAATATACGGGGTCGTTGGAACTTCTTCCGACATCGGTTCAAGCCTGATATTATCTGCCCCCCGAGACTCAACAACTTGATTAATCCCAAGCTTCTCCGCAAAAATATCCGCATAATCAAACAACAATTTCTCTAATCTAGGATCGTCTATCTCAACAGGATCCAGGCTAAGAGCAGCCATAGCACTAATACTTTCAATAGATTTCTCATCCAAATCGTCCACCCCCACATCTCCCACAGTAAGATTAGCAAAATCAATAAGATGGGCATATTCTCTAATGAATGGAAGCCCCACAATAACAGTAGGTGAAACAATCGGGTGCACATAACAACGGATCTTCACAACAGTATGGTTAAATGTAACAGGGATAATCACATACCTGTCTACCGCATCATACTGATTAGTTGCAGTCTTGATTGTTCTTGGGCTAATCCTAGTAAGATCGGCACTATCATAACCGAGCTTAGGCAAAATCGACGGATTCACAAAACTGTAACTCGCCCCAGAGTCAATAAGAGCTTTGGTAACAAACCCAGCAGGTCCCATAGTAACAGGAACCTTGAAAGCAACAACATCCTCATACGGAACTGCATGGTCCTCCTCTTGGACGCAATCCATAAGGTGAGCCAAACGAGCACCAGACCCACCACCACCACGGCGAGGGCAGTCCATGCTCTGATGTCCGTGTCCTTTACACTGGAAACAATTTCCAAGAATAAGCAACAGCCTCACCTCCTCCTGGGTGAGATTAAATTTCTTGCAGAGGGCGGCAATCTTACCACTAGACTTGCGAGGGTATGAGTTTCCCCGAGAACTTGGTACTGATTGCAAAGCATCCAATTCCATAGGCATCGGACCACCTCTATCCATAGGCGAAAACGTAGACGGCATAGGGATAGTCAGAGTATGGATGGTTCTTTCAGTAAGATCATTAATACTAAGTGCATGAGAAATCACATCATCTAATTTCTCATAAATGCGTCCTGCATCTGCAATGTGCTTCTGCAAACGCGGGTCCAAGGAATCGATAAAACGATTAATTTTTGAACGTTCTGACCAATCTGGAATGTACACAACATTCGCTTGAAACTCAGCAACGTGGGACAGAAGCGCTTTTCCTTTTTGCGCAATTGTCCACAATGTTCTTTCCAAAATGTCAACCATATCAACTCTAGAAAAGTGCGCAAGCACTTGAGCCTTAAAGGCTCTATAAGAGATATCTGACGGCAAGGAGTCAGAGAAAGAAGAAAAACTTCTAAAAGTATCTTGAGCCACGTTTCTCACGATAAAACTCATCTTATACTTGTCATTCCAATTAAGTGGCATCTGGTGTTCTGCATACTGGAAGAAGTCATGCAATGCCATGGGAGTGCGGGCAAGCATCCCTGTACTAAACGGCTTTCCGTTAAACTTGACCTCCATAGGGTCTAACACGCGACCGGCCTTCTCTTTACCGTGAAGCATTTCAACGAGCTCCATGAGCAACAGACGATTAGAATCGTCCAACGGTCCACCCGGCATACTCATCTCGTTTTCTTCGCCTGAATAATTATCTTCTTCGTCTGAGCTAGGGCTTAAACCAAATACAGTCATACACTAGGATAACCAAGCTATGCTATTAAACGACAACAGAAGTTTATAATCAGTGGAGTCTGTAAAACTAAAAACCTAGTGGTGCTACCAATTGTTATATTACGATGCGACTATACTAGATGTAGTTAGTCACGGGTTAGGATTGATTTAGTAATACTCTCTGAATAACCAGAGATCATATATATTGAAAACTTTTCATAATCGACGACTATAATTATATACTAATGGTTATGAGCTTATGGTTATGAGCACGTGTATCATTGCCTATAACCAATAGCTCAAACCATACTACAACATGTTTGCTTCCAATAATAGTTCAATTTGTAAGATGAGGTGTCATAATTACCGCCGCGTCGGTATATATATTCACTAGTGACTTCATCTCATATTTTCACATTGCACCTTTTTTCCTTAATAATCTTGACTGTTGAGTTTTTTACCGGTGATGTGATTAATTCTTAAAGCAAGGAGTGTGAGGTTGTGAGAAAGTTATAGTATTTTACTTATCTATTAGAAAGACCGGCATGAAATGCCCGGCTTGCATGTTATTTAGAACCTCTGTGACTCGTTAATATACAATTCATTCATTCATTCATATTCTTCATGTTACCTTATATCACCTTTTTTCTGTCATTTGTTGGACTATTTCGGTTAAATGATGTTCGCTGGCGGTGCTGACGAAAGATTTCATCATGGTCAACATACTGGAGACCCAATCTTTAAGCACGTTGAACTCTTTGATAGTTATGGAAATATAAAAATAGTTTAGTGAGTTTTAAAGAATATTTATTAAAAACTAAGCAGATTTTATTTAAAACATATAGGAAAATAAGTAGAAAATAGCGCATAATTAATTTTGAATGACGAGTCATTTATATAAAGATATAGTAACGGAACAAACAACAAGAAAGTGACTATGAGATGAAAATAAACATATAGCAATAGTAAAAAAAAACAACAAAAGTGGCAAAGCAATAAAAACAATAAAATACTAATATTTTTTTTGAAATATAGAGCATCAAAAAGCAATAAAACATAAGAAGTATAGAAATAGTGGAACATAGTAAAATATAATCGTAATAATAAGACTTTCTGGATGACAAATTGTTAATATTATTCAGAAGTAATGAAATCAAACACTTTACCTGAAAGAATCAATCTCTTTTATTCTAGTTTCAAGTTGCTCATTAACTTCAACCATATTGGTTAAAGATGAAATTAATTTCTGTCAATAATGAGTGATTCATTAAGAAAAATAAAAAAGAATGAAAAATCCTCAATGGGAAGAACCATATTCAACTTTTGGAGTTTCTGAAAATTAAGGAATAAATTATTTTGGTAACATAAAAAACCCTACTGCTGATATTAGGAGTCAAATGAAGATTGGAAGCTATGCACTGGTAGCAGTTGTTGTGTATACCCTAAATGAATATACGGAGAGGGTTGATAATATATTGGATTTGTTTGAGGGAAAGCTGGCTGGTAACAAATTGTATTTGTTGGTGGAAAAGCTGGCTGATAATACATGCTATTGTAATACCCCCAATAATTGAAGTCATTGGGTATGAGGTTATCTATAGATGAATTATATGTTTGGTGACTATGACTCTGTAAGTTTGTAGAAACCATTTGAGCCTGATTCATCATTTGCTCGTTCAATTGCAGCTGTCTCTGATATTCTGGTACCTGGTTTAGCTGACATTGATTTTGTAGAATTTTTTCCCTGTCAGGGCATTCAGCTTGAACATGTCCAATCTTGTGACACAAATAACATTGCTTATTACTCTTGCTTTTGGGATTAGGACATTCACTTGATTTATGACCTGGCTGTTTGCAATTATAACAAAGTCTCTGGGAAGAAGTGCAAGAATCAGCAAAATGGCCAAGGTTTCCACAAATGTAACACGTTCTTTTCAATATATTCGAAATATTGTCCAACTTAGCAATATGTGGGCAATCAGGAGCCATTGGTTGCTGATAAATGTTTATCATATGAGATTGTGGAAATACTGGATTTACTATTGATTGTACCCCAGAAATGCCAAAATAACTGGCAGGATTGTCATCATATTCAGTAGCAACTGGACTCAAGCTTTGTATTGGAGTTGTCGGATTCTGTACCATATGAAGGAAATTTATATTTGGTTCAGATGATAGACAACCTCGATGATAAAAAAGAAATTACCGTTTGAGCAAACAAGAAAGGGAATCCTCACAACCTCAAAAAAATAAATAAAAAAAGAGCAGTAAGGAAATAAAAAACAAATATCTTTTTATCGGATACTCATATAACAAAATTTGACATTCTTATACATATTTGACATTCGTGAAAGGCTAAGGTGTGCATGCTGGACTTATAGTAATAATGTTGCGGTGTGCCATTTACATCATCGTACTGCAGGGTATCTGCATGCTGGCACAGATCACCGAGTATTCGGTAGCTATTCGGTAACAGTGATAGCACTCACTACTTGCCGCCATTACCCTGTGGATCAAGTACGTCACAAAAATATAGTTTATTACATAATAATCTATCAGTACCTCCGGGTTGGAACACACAAACGTGTCAATTAACAAGCGTGATATACCACGTGCTGTATTACATATTAGTATCAAGGAACTAAGACCTGACGGTACAGCGTTGTTTACGCTATTTCTTTTTTATGTAGTTATGTATTTTTGCAATTTCCCTATTCAGATAATTGTAAGCGACCAGATAAAAGGGGAATTTTAGTAATGGATAATAAATAAACGTCAGAAACTCCTATTTGCGGGTGACACACCCCCATATAGTTATGAGCGTTTATACGCCACTACTGGCAGTGCGTCTCAGCCAAATCATGGATTTTCCACAAAAAAAAATATCAATGCCCAAACCAAGCGCATTTTGATTTTGATATTTAACATTGGAAAACACAAGTGATAGGGACTACATAGTCAAGAGATGTTGCTCCTTTATTTTCTTTGCCTTATATCGACGGCTCAGGCATTCTATCTTCCTGGGGTTGCACCAACAACGTATCACGCCAATGATGATATTCAACTACTTGTCAACCATATAACCCCTTCGAATATTCATTCTGCCAATGGTAATGATAAAAACACAAAGACTTTTGTATATTCATTTGATTACTATTTCCCAAAGCTTCACTTTTGTAAACCTAAAAATGGTGAACCTCAAGCACAATCAGAGTCTCTTGGATCAATTATTTTTGGTGATAGAATTTACAACTCTCCTTTTGAAATAAAAATGTTGGAAGATAAGAGTTGTGTTAAATTATGTACCTCAACATATTCCCAATCAGATGCTTTATTTTTTAATAAACTCATCAGATCAGGCTATTACCATAATTGGATTATTGATGGTTTGCCAGCTGCAAAACTAGTTAGAGATCAAAAGACACATTCCGATTTCTATGGTTCCGGTTTCCCTATCGGTTTAATCGATGAACAAAACATGGCTTACATGGCTAATCATTTTGATATCCGTATTGAGTACCATCAAAGAAAGGAGGATGAATTCAGAATTGTTGGTGTCTCTGTGGAACCTTATTCTCTTAGCCGTAAAGTTCCTGATAATGAAGATGGTAACAGTGAGTATTGTGAAAATGTTGACAAATACAGTCCTTTACTTTTTGACAACGGTCAGGATACGGAAGTTGATTTCACTTACTCTGTTACTTTTGAAGCTTCGGATACTGTCTGGGCCACCCGTTGGGACAAATATTTGCATGTCTACGATCCAAAGATTCAATGGTTCTCTCTTATCAACTTTTCTTTAATTGTTTTGTGTTTGTCTATGGTTATCGGTCATATTTTGGTCAAAACTCTTCGTAATGATATTTACAAATATAACACAATTGACCTCGATGATGAAATTCAAGAAGAAAGTGGTTGGAAATTAGTGCATACTGACATTTTCCGTGCTCCAAAACGTCGTATGTTATTGTCTGTGGTCACTGGTAGTGGTGCTCAGTTGTTCCTCATGACTTTTACTACTATTCTTTTCGCACTTCTTGGTTTACTTTCTCCTTCAAACAGAGGTGCATTATCAACAGTTATGTTCATCTTGTACGCTCTCTTTGGGTTTGTCGGTTCATTTGTTTCTGGTTTCTTATACAAATTCTTTGATGGTGATAATTGGAAACTCAATATGGTTTTAACCCCACTTCTTGTTCCTGGTGCTCTTTTCCTTTCCTTTGTCGGTCTCAACTTCTTTTTAATCTTTGCAGGCTCCTCTGGAGCCATTCCAATTGGTACAATGTTTTCTATTGTCGTCATTTGGTTTGTCATTTCCATCCCACTTTCAGTGCTCGGTTCTCTTTTCTCCGTCAAATTCAACCGTGGTCTTAGTAAACCAGTCAAGACCAATCAAATCCCCCGCCAAATTCCAGGACAACCATTCTACCTCAAACTTCCTGTTATCTCTGCTTTTGCTGGTATTTTCCCATTCGGATCCATGGCAGTGGAAATCTATTTCATTTATTCATCGATTTGGTTTAACCGCATCTACTATATGTTTGGGTTCCTTTTCTTCTGCTTTTTGCTCATGACCATCACTTGCGCTCTCATAACCGTCCTCATGACTTACTACACTTTGTGTTTTGAAAACTACAGATGGCAATGGCGCAGTTTTATCGTTAGTGGGTCTTGTGCCGCTTACATTTTCATCCATTCTTTGTTCTTGATCAAATTAGACAGATTGAATGGATTCAATAGTGTCGTTCTATATTTGGGTTATTCTGCCATGGTTAGTGGGTTAGTTTTTATATTATGTGGTAGTATTGGGTTCATTTGCAGTTTATTCTTTGTTAAGAAAATCTATTCCGAAATTAAGGTGGATTGATGGGCTCCAACGAATGTCTGACTTTCATTAATAATACTTAACTAACTTGCAGGAAAATACAAACTGCATTTAATTAGGGAATATTATCGACGTTCTTATTAAAACACATCCCCGTACACTGAAACTTTCTGTAGGTATATTTCATTATCCTCTATTTTTTATCAGCAAATATTTACGCTCTCAATTGATTACATGCTCATTTCCATGAAATTGTTTTTGTAATTATCTTCAATATCATGCAACTAAGGCGGAAGACTTCAACATGTTTAATATTGGGTAAAACTTGTACTGTACATCTGATACGTTGAGAAATCAGAAACTTTTAGGATGCCTGTGCCGAGATCCAGAGTTCCGAGGTTAATGGAATATTAACGAGCATATTATTCGTCAGGTTATTGATTAATGGTTCTAAAATAAAGAATAATATAAGCAATAACTGAGGAACTTTCCAAATAAACTGTGTCATGTGAATTGTCACATGACAAAATTAAGAGTTCAGAGCACAGAGTGAACGGTAAAAAAAGTGGTAAGTATAACCAACAAGTAGTAAATGATACAGTAAATCTAAATTGTTTCCAAAATATAAGATAATTGAAATAATTTTTCGGAAGTGCGAGTTTTAGAAATTTATTCTTTTGAAGCTCTGCATCAGGATTTTTATATCGTGTGCATTATTATTATTTGCATTCACCATTTGTTGTTAGATATTGATGAAGATATTCAAAGTAATCTTGATAACACCAAATTAAAGAGTACGCCAAATACTAGCAAATAAGATGGTAAATATACATGATATATCCAATAATGATTCTTCTCTAATATGCAAAGAACTTCTCGCAAACTCGCTTGCACCAACTGTTTCGATCATTTCATCACATTCCGCGGATGAGTTTGTGTCTTCAAATTATGGCTATGATTCATTTTATCACCTTATCCGCCCCTTTGGAGCAAATCTTAAATCCAATTTCAATATCAAAAACACTCAACTCATAACTAATACTTATAAATCGTTTTCCATAAGATTTTCTCGCAGTGTGATGGACGTAATAACTACTCAAACTCAAAAACAACAGCAATATGCCGCTTCGGGAAACAATAGTCTAGAATTGTTCAGACCAGGGGATCTAAATCAAATCATGACCGAATATGTGAAATTATACAATGGGGAAATTAGAAAACTTATAAGTGAGGTGAAACCAGGAAAAGAAAATGATGATCAAAATAGGAAAATCAATGCCAAGACTAAATTGTTAAAAAAATCATTATACTTGAAACTCATATCAAAGGTTTATTCAAACCATTGCCTTTTACCATTTGAATGCTTTAATCATCCGATTATTCATTTCATTGTTCTCACCTCTAGTGACTCGGTAGAAACAATAAATCAAATTCTTGCTCAAAATAATTTAAATAGGAAGAAACATTTGTTACTTAGTCCCGATCTTCGGGCTAATGATTCCCAAGCAATTCCTCCGGATCCAAAGGTAGAAATCCCTTCTTTTTTGGACTTGCAAAGTGATGATGATTCTTTGATTTGCTTTTTGGTATTGGTGGATAAATCAAAGGAAGGTGATGAAGCTCAGTGCGATGAAATCAAATCATATGTGAAGAAGAATTTCTACTATCCATGTTTAACTTTGAAACTAAAGGACCAAAAGGATTCTGCCCCATTCACCGGAATGTATCATAATACTGACTCTTGTGATATTAATTATGAAGAGTTACTTCAACCGGGAATTTTCAAATCAATCAGTGAAGAACTCATGGAGTTTCAGTATGGCAGACCCAAAGATGACAAAAACAAAATGATACCATTTAGTACGAACGATCATAACAACATAATCAATATGTTAATTGAATTAGTGAAATTGAATCTCATACCATTTATGGAAAAGAAGATTACATATTGGGATGATATACATGTTCAACCACGGAAATCCATTACCAATAGATTTTTTTCCGCCTCAAGAAGATATTTTTCTAATCCGAGCAGTACAGTTAACACCCCTTCAAAAACATCCTTCTTTGGTTCAAATGCCCATAAGCCACATGAATTGACCACTACTGTTGGGGTTGTTGATGCCCGTACTGGCTATTACAGTAGTAATTCCAGTGAGGCAGTTACCAGAAAATTAGCTGACTGGGCATTTATGTTGCGTGATTACAAATATGCCCACTCAACATATGACCTTCTTAAAAAAGATTTCAACAATGAGAAATCATGGACTTATTATGCCTCATGTCAGGAAATGCTTGTGATCTCACTCCTTTTTGATTTAATCCAACAAGAAACTTCATCTTCTGATGCCTACTACAATTCGATCCGTGGTAAATTGGATACCATTTTCCAAACTATTGACTCGGTAAACTACACGTTCTTGTCGCGCTCTAATTTGAAATCGTTTGTGTTACGTTTTCAAATGACCATCTCTGAACTCTTTAATTGTTTGAAGATCAACACATTACTGGAAATTTCACACTCCGGTGCTGGATCGTTGTTATCTACGAGTAATAACATATATTCTATTAAACATTTGAATGAAATCATATCCTTGAAGCTTTTAACATACAATATTGTTGATAATTTATCATCACCTAAAAAGCAGGTATTAGAGGAAAGGTCATATCACTTGCTCAAGGCCTTAATAATGGAACGTATTAGCTACAGTTATTCCGTATTCCTTTTCAATCATTCAAAGTACCTGTTATTGGAAACTAGAAACCTCATCACCAACCTTGAAGACGTTACGGCCTCCGTCAACGGTTCACGAGGAGTCAAAAACTCAGAGAAGACTTTCAGCGTGTTCAAGAAGAATCAAGACAATGATGACCCAATTCTTCTCACAAACCCATATAAGCTACAAAAAGCAAATTTGGCAGTTATGGGTCTCACACGCTATCGTAAAGCAGGATTATGGCTTTTGCTATCTTCGAACCAATGGGAGCACATGAATGACATAGTTCAACTTAAATTAAGTCTTGACAAATGCTTGGAGATGGTTTACGGGTTTGATAGAGAAAGTGATGGGGCTCCTGAAGATGGGGCTTGGCTACGTCGTGCAGATGGGTTATTGGGTCGTTTTATAGAATTATGTGAAAATAAGTTGAATATTTTTGATGAAAAACTGCCAGAGATAGTCACATCTAATAACTAGCAGACTAATTGTGATTATTTTCATGATTTTATTGTCTGCCATGAATATACTAGATTTTATTTCAAATAAAGCTCAAAAATTCAGAGTTAAAGCCTATTAAATTTGTAGTAAATATGTTAATATTTAATCAAAAGAGAGGATATAAAAAAAAGGAAGTATCAATTACTAAAAAAGATTGCGTAGACCGGGAATCGAACCCGGGGCTCAACTATGGCAAAGTTGAATTTTACCACTAAACCATCCACGCATTTGTTGTCAGTTTATGGGTTCACAATGTGCGGTCGTGTTTGTATAATAGTACCACCGTTTTGGTATATAAGTATTTCAAAACGACGCTTATTCTTTATCTATGAGATGTATTGTAGTTTTTTTCGAATAATTATGGTAGAATATTATAGAGAGCTGTATTATTATTACTTTTTTATATTAAAATCCATTCTCACTACATACGGTTGATACTTTGTTATGTGCTATTACCAATTAATGCATTTGTGTAATTTATTGCCACACACTTTACACTATGAAGAGATCATATCCGAATCATATAGAGACTCTATTATTGAACAAACTATATTATCTTTATCGAAGTTAACTACGTATTACTATCTTCTTTATGTTTTATCCCTTGTTATCTTTGTTACTTGCTATTGCCTATTACTACGTCTTCACACAAGTTAATGCTGTTTTATTTGTTATATAAATTACGTGCCTATTTATTTATCCTAATATATCTTATATAAACTACATACTTTTTATATAAAGTCTCACTATATCACTGTAATTGATAACTATTTCTAAGCATAATGAAGACATTTTCTAATGCAGTATTTACTTCAAATAGATTCATACATCTCTTATCCTTTTTTGTCCTTTTTCTTTTTATGTTAAAAGTACCGAAATATCACTCACATATTCACAAAAAGGTCACAATAATCAATTAAAAACATTTTTCATTCGGTTTCATTACGTGATTTTTAAAAATGATAATATGAGGGTAACTCAATCATGGAATCAACATCGATCCGAAACACTACATCAATCTGCAAATGATCAGATCAAATGGATTATCAAACCTCCTTATGAAGCTTTTGTACCGTAATAAATCCATAATTTATATTTTAATTACGTAAAGACAAGTAACAAGAGATTTTGAGGATTTTATGCAGTAAGATAAAAGTAACAAACGCGTCTTCAGACGCGTGGCAAGTAAAAGTAAGGATAAACCTGGAAGAATATCATGCAACAAATCGATGAAAATGATGATAACAATGCAGCCTGATGTATTATTTGCAATCATTTGTTCAGAGGTAAAGACATTACCTGCATCAAACATATAGTATTTCTATCTTTTTCTTTAAAGGCGTTTACTATCAACCTAACTTCTTTACTCTACCACAATACAGTAACCGATAATCTAGAGGAGCTGAAAACTTTTGTACCTGATGATTTCCATTCGTCATTATGCTCTGATAACAATTTGAATTATTCTACACTTTGGATTAATTAATGAAGCTCAAAGAACTTATGGAGAATATCCGACATTTACAGTATTATTAATGCAAAATCTCGGAGATAGTCTGTATTAGGAAAGATTGACTTCCGATGCTTTTGCCATTTTTATGGGAGGGTATACATTTATTCCTTGATGAGATTACCTGAGTTGTTGGATTATTGTGTACAGCAATCAGGAATACCAAATAACAGGATCCACAATGGAATGGCAATAATAAGGAGTTATGTAGATGTTGGAGCCATAACAGAATATGTTCCGGTGCGGTGGTTTTCACGGACGCTCTCCGCCGCGGAGGATGACTTTTCTTATTCAGCAAACAAAATTTTTCGGGTGTTAAAAAACATTAATTAATCATCATTACATATAAGGGCTCGGCCTGGTATCTCCGACTACATAAACAAGCTACATTCTCGATTTTTCCACTGATATCTTGTCCCAGCAAAATATTTCAGCTATACACAATACCATAACCACAAAAATGTCTGAAGTTTTCACCCCTATACCCGAGGCTCTTGAAAGATTTAGTTAGTATATATTTGATGATTTGCCCAATAAATTGGTACATTAACTAACCAAGGAAATTTATATAGAGAATGGTGAATTTCTCATCGTAATGGATGATGAAGACCGTGAGAATGAAGGGGACTTGGTCATTGCTGCTGAACATATAACACCTGCCAAAATGGCGTTCTTGGTGAGAGAATCTTCTGGGTACATTTGTGCCCCATTGAGCAACGCTCGCGCGGATCGTCTTAAATTGCCTCTCATGCTACCACCATCGACCCAAACAGATCGCCATCACACTGCTTATACTATTACCGTCGACTATGCTATTGGCACCACTACCGGTATCTCTGCTGGTGATAGAGCTAAAACATGCCAGATGTTGGCAAACGATGAAGTTAAGGCAGAGGAATTCACTAGACCGGGCCACGTTGTTCCACTTAGAGCTGTCGATGGTTTGCTCAAAGAAAGACAAGGTCACACAGAAACCGCGGTCCAGTTATGCCTTTCATCTGGTTGCAAAGATGCTGCCGTGATTTGTGAACTTGTCAGAGAAGAGGATGGCATGATGCAGCGACTTCCAGACTGTGTGGAATTTGGAAAGAAACATAACATTGGTATAATAACCATTAAATCCTTCAAGAAGTACCTTGAGGAACAGTAAATATAATGTGTAAATAGATTTGTTTATTATTATTATTATTTAATGTGAAAATAAAATGGATAATAAATGGTTTGGATGGCCTGTGCAGAAAAATAATTATAGAGCTATTTACCGTGTAAGTGACCCCAATCAATTCCCCTTTGCCGAACCACTCACGCCCCCCCACCTGCTGACTAAGGCGCGGAGATATAAAAGTCCGGGGAAATCCTTTGTTTTCAAGAATTGTGACGTCCTTTGCTCGATTACAACAAGGAAACAGCAATTTATATATATATTTTTGCACTATTTTTCTGTTTCCAATATTGGTCGCTCGCAATACACTCCTTTACATTGTTATAATTGCTTGATTACATTTGCAAAGGGCTCCCCCAGATATTCCAATGGTCTCGATTCAAGAAGTTGCGAAACACAATAAAAAAAATGATGTCTGGGTAATAATCCATGGCAAAGCTTATGATGTTACCGAGTTCTTACCAAGTCATCCAGGTGGGACTAAAATTATCATGAGATATGCTGGTGCTGATTGCACAAAGAAGTTCGACCCGGTTCACCCTCCAGACACATTGGACAAATATTTGCCAAAGGATAAGCATCTAGGCGAGGTCACTGGTGGTTTGGGTATCAAAGAAGAGGAAAAAACGATAGACCCAAATGAGTTGAAACGTCTTGATATGGTCAAGCGTATGCCTCCTTTGCATCAAATCTACAACCTCATGGACTTTGAATATGTTGCTCGTCATACCATGGAAGCCAATGGTTGGGCTTATTATTCTTCTGGCTGTGATGATGAAATCACCCTTCGAGAAAACCATTATGCTTACCAGCGTATTTATTTCATCCCAAGAATTCTTGTCAATGTCACCAATGTTGATTTCACCACAACAATGTTGGGATGTAAATCCTCGGTGCCGTTTTACGTCACAGCAACAGCTCTTGGTAAATTGGGCCATCAAGATGGTGAGAAAGTTCTTACTAGATCCTGTGGGTCTCATGGTGTTATTCAAATGATCCCTACTCTTGCGTCCTGCTCATTTGATGAAATCGTAGATGCCGCTTTACCCGATCAAGATCAGTGGTTCCAATTATACGTCAATTCTAATCGTAAAGTGACAGAAAAACTTGTGCGTCATGCTGAAGCGCGTGGTATGAAGGGATTGTTCATTACTGTTGATGCCCCTCAACTTGGTCGTCGTGAGAAAGATATGCGGTCCAAATATCTTGCGGATGCCGCTGAGGTCCAAGATGAGGAGAATGACGGGGAAATCGATCGTTCACAAGGTGCTGCTCGTGCAATTTCTTCATTTATTGATACTGGTCTTTGCTGGGAAGATCTTAAGTGGTTTAGAAGTATCACAAATATGCCAATTGTTCTTAAAGGGGTGTTATCCACCGAAGATGCTTTGAAAGCCATTAGTTGTGGAGTTCAAGGGATCGTATTGTCCAATCACGGTGGTCGTCAACTTGAATTTTCTCGTTCCGGTATTGAAATTCTCGCAGACTTGATGCCAATTTTACATAAAAGAGGTCTTACTGATAAAATTGAGGTTTTCGTCGATGGTGGTGTTCGTCGTGCTACTGACATTCTTAAAGCTATTGCTTTGGGTGCCAAGGGTGTGGGCATTGGTAGACCTTTTTTGTACGCCATGTCTACTTATGGGGATAATGGTGTTAAGAAGGCTTTCCAGATTTTGAAAGATGAGTTATTAATGAACATGCGTTTGTTGGGGGTGACAAGCTTGGATCAATTAAATGAGGATTATGTGGATACCCGAGGCTTGCTTAACCGGTTCAATGCTGGCGATGAGTTATTCCATAAAGTATATGAGCCTTTGGATAATCCTAAATTCAAGCCGAAGCTTTAAATTTTTTTTCTTATTTTTCTTTATATATATTGCCTTGATATTCTAGTTATTTTTCATGCCATTTGAATTTTTTCTGTGTTTGTTTGCTGGAATTTGGCAAACTTATCTCTCTGTAGAGGCAAAATGATACACAACATGTTGTCAGTAGAAATGGGGGTACAGAACCCGGCGTAGAGGAATGGAGTCACACAAAGCGGGTGGGTGAAAGGGTGCGATGCACAAAAGATAACAATATATGAAGATAAACGTCGTGCAGCCTTGCTAGCTTTTGCCTCCTTGAGCTTTCTAACCTTAGCCACCAAAAGATAAAAGGGGACTGTTGAAGTGCTTTTTGTATTTTTTCCTTTCTTTTGAAAATCGCTGACGATAAAATAGCTAGTTTGCAGACTCTTCACGAACACCATTTTCTCTGAATTACGCAATGACGACCTTGACAATTCCAACTATCTCAATCTCTCAAGTCTCAAAAGGCAACCCAAACATTGTCCTTATTCCAGAAATCTTTTATAAAATCACTGCAAATAAACTTTCGTCACTTGAACTTATCTCCCAATTTGCACCGTTACTTGATCTTCCAAAATATTCAAAGCAAAATTCACCATTCGGGCCTATAATAAGGACTCTAACACACTCGAAGCCAAAGTTTCCTAATGAAAGCTTCGAAGGTATTGAATCTTTGAAGTCATCAATACTTGGTTCAAATAACGAAAAAAACCTTAGGTCAAAAAAAGCAAATGATGTTAATGAACCATGGTTTTTATTAGTTATCGTTAGTGATTTGGCAGTTATTGATTCTTCTAAGAAAAATAATGGGCCTGTAGTAGGAACCATATGTCGCTTAATGAATATATCCAATGATACCAAGAATTCTTCAAAAGTGATCCTTTCGATTAGGGCTATAGGAAGAGCGGAAATTCTCAATGACAAAATTTTCGATCGTAAGAATTCTTCCCAAGAAAGTGTCATTTTTCATAGCACAGAAGTGGTACCTTATTTGAATGAATATGTTACAGATATCAGCCCAAAAGCGATGAAACCAGGTGCCATAGAAGCATGGGGCTCTTTTGTTGAGCGTATTGAGAAGCTCTTCACTAACATCCACTCGTTTAAAGAAACTTATAATACGGCATTCACACCAAAGAATAAAGAAGTGGATGCCGTGAAGGTATTAGTACGTCTTTCACCATTAGCAAGCGTGATAAATGAAATACTCCGGAAGGATAAAACAATGAAGAATGTTGAAGATGTTTTCCATAAAATAGTCGACAGAATTTCTGATTCTGGAATTGTGGCTCGTGGGAAACCTATTACTGATGTGAATAGAGACTATATCTTTGTGGCAATGTTAAAAATTTATGATCTTGTTGTTGGTGTAATACCAGTCACCGGAACACATAAATATGGATATTTGCAATGTGTGAGCCCTTTGAGAAGAATCCAAGAGGCAGGTCCTGATATTATTGAAAAGGTCACTGACATATTACTGAGCTTTGAAACTCATTATGATTTTGTGATGAAAGATTTTATATCTGCAGAAAATGAACAGGAGAAAATGAAATTGGCGATAGATCATGTCAAAGCTTTGAAAGAGGCTATAAGCATTTTCAAGAATAAGCCACAATTTTCCAATAAAGCTTCCAGCGAAAATAAAATCAAAACAATAAAATCTGGCGGAAATGAGGGCAAGCATGAAGACGACGATGAAGATGAAACGACAAAAATAATGAGGGAATTTTATTCAAAGCTTGTAGCGCTGCCATCACCAATCGAAATTTCATTTGATGGGGCAAAGCTTCTAAAAAAAGATTTTAAAAGGTATTTTAAGATGCTGAAAAACCCAGTGGCAAAAAATTCTTCAGAATTCCAAGTACTAAGTAATTATCTTGAAATTGTTATTGATTTGCCTTGGTCTGCTGATGGAGGCGTCACAAAAATTATTGATTTAAATAAGGCAAAAAAGCAATTAGAGGATGATCATTATGGATTATACAGCGTGAAAGATCGTTTACTAGAATATTTAGGAGTTTTAAATTTGCAAAATAAGATTAACCAATTCAATCAAGAAAAACCAATGTCTAATGATGTTTCTACATCGGATATTACTAGTCTGGATTCACAGATTGGTAAAAAAAAAGAGCCGAACAAGAAGAATAAGAAATTAAGCAATTTTTCAAAAGCCCCAATCTTATGTTTAGCTGGCCCACCAGGGGTTGGAAAAACTTCTCTTGCAAAGTCCGTTGCCACTACGCTTGGTCGTAAATTCCAACGCATTTCTCTTGGTGGACTTAGTGACGAGGCGGAAATTAGAGGTCATCGTCGCACGTATGTTAGTGCCATGCCAGGTCTTATCATTTCTGCGTTGCGTAAGGCTAAGACTCTTAATCCTGTGATATTGCTTGACGAAATTGATAAATTGGGTGCCAGTGCCGCTTCTCGTGGCGATCCACAGGCCGCGATGCTTGAAGTTCTTGATCCTGAGCAAAATTCTAGTTTCAAGGACCACTATTTGGGTTTTCCGGTTGATCTATCCCAAGTTTTATTTCTCTGCACTGCCAATGATTTGCGTCGTTTACACCCAGCTTTGCTCGACCGTATGGAAGTGATTCATTTGACAGGTTATAATTACATGGACAAGGTACAAATCGTGAGACGCTACTTGTTGCCAAAGCAATTGAAAAAAAATATTTTGCCAGCTAAAGCAGTGGAAATTGTTGAAAATGACACAATTCTTAAGATTATTGTTGAGTATACCAATAATGAGTCAGGAATTCGTAATTTAGAACGGCAAATTTCTACTTTATGTCGTAAAAAGGCCCTTGAATTTTCTTCAAAAATCAATGCTTTCAATGATTCAGAAGAGTTACCACCTGGATACACTTCTATAGTCACCAAAGATGATCTTCCTCATTATCTTGGAATCCCAAATTATTATCATACGTCGAAGAAAAATAGGCCTCTTAACTCAAGATTTACTGAAAGGTATGGTATGGTTAACGGATTAAGCTATAACTCTGATGGCACTGGAAGTATTTTAGTCTTTGAAACTATTGCTATTCCTAATGTTGACAGGTCATCAACTCCTGGAACATTGACTATGACTGGTAAGTTAGGCGAAGTGCTAACTGAAAGTGTGAAAATTTCTTCTTCATTTGTTAAACTTATTTTGTCCAAGAATCTTATTGCTTATGAAGGCACTACTTGCCAAAGCGCTTTGAACACTTTAAAAACCCATCAGATTCATTTACATGCTCCAGAAGGTGCCATTTCAAAGGATGGCCCAAGTGCTGGTATTACTATCACTTTGGCTTTGTTATCGCTTCTTTTGAAAAAAAGTGTCCCAAATAATGTGGCAATGACAGGAGAAATGACCCTTCGTGGAATTATTTTACCGATTGGTGGGGTCAAAGAGAAGCTTCTTGGTGCTCATTTGGCAGGAACCATTGATACTGTGCTCGTGCCGCGAGCCAATAGAGGTGATTTGATCGAACATTACATAAGCAACTTACAAACCGATGATAAAGACCAAATGAACCAGGAGTTAAGAGATGTTTTGAAAAACGATAAACAGAATATCCATAATTGTGATATATTTGACAAACCTGAACAGTTTATCCTCGAAAGTTTGGGAATTAGGATCCATTATGTTGAAGATTTCTGGGATGTGATCCAAGTGGTATGGAATGGAGAAGTCGGTGCAAAGTCTATAATTGAGGAAATTCCAGCTAGGCTTTGATCTGACGGATCTTTGATTATACCTTAAATAATAAATTGGCGATCTGTTTCCTTTGTGCGGGGGTGCAGTTATACAGTGAGGGCTTCAACTCATTCTATGTAAGTGCTTGAGTCACTCTACCAAACAGAAAATAAAAATAACTATACAGATTTAGACTGTTATCATTCTTCTTATTATTAATTTTTATAGCTTAAGTAATCCTGATGGTGTCCAGATATACTCTAATAATATACTATAATAATATATTCCAATATATTGGCACATCAAGCACGTGATAACCTGCTCAACCCCAACAAAAGTTGCGGGATAACGATGGTTCAAAATTACTGCCCTCAGCCATCAAGCGGCAATAAAATTAACCAATTTAAAAAAGAACAAAAGAAGGAGAAGGAATGGGAAGTGGGATGGGAAACTCCGACGCGCTGTCTAAAACATTTGTGGAGATATTGGCGACCTCTGCCGCCTTCGGTGTAAAAAATGCCACAATTAACTCAACTGTCAACTCCACAATCATCATACCGCCATTTCTAGATACGGAGAATACCTACATTCCCAGTATCATTGTTTTCTTGATAAACTCCATTATTGCTCAGTTCTACGAGTCCGAAATTCCCGAAAGAAACTTCAATATATTCTTTAGTTATTTAGTATCGAGGTATGCTCTTGTTTGCATGTTTCTGGCGATCGTGTTGAATCGTACGGTTCTCTTTGCGTCCATCAACAACAATAACAATAATAGAAATCTTAGACACAATGTGGATGGCGCCAATGGTATCGAGGTGAATTTCCAAGGAGAACAGGCGGGACTAATGGCAAAACTTGGCGTGAAGATCAAGAACCTTTTTATCTATGCCGAATTTTCGAAGATCGTAAAGGTGCTTTTGAGATTTTTAATCCTTGGGCTCTTATTTATCAATTTAAAGAAAGTGTTAATATCTCTAAATTGTTATGTGAAGCCAGTCAACAAAATTCTATCCAATTATGAATATTTCAATTATTATCCGGAAGATGCAGAAGCTAATAGCTGGTATTTCCAACCGGTTAGCTATAATGTTACCAGGGCCTTTGAGATATATAACTCCACAGTAATCATTGGAAGAGGAGGTAATATCAACCATGATACGATAAATTTTGGGAAAATCGGACCGTCAACGAATATTCTTTGGCCACTTTATCTAACATTTTGTTTCAGTCAATTTATTGAGACTTTTTGCTCGGTGATATCAGGAAGCCAGCCTAATGCCGATACTTCTTTGACACTTTTTGAACAATCTTTGGCATTTCATGAATTTGATTCTACTAGTTGGTCGCCGTTTGAGCTGCCCATGTATCCAACCCCAGAGCTTCTCATTCTTTGTGTCACTTCCATCCTTAGTCACATGTCAATCCATGTTCTTAAAACCTTTGGCTGGATGAAATACCGTCTTTTGGTATCCACAATTCTCGGATTGAGTTTCATTAGTTATTATGTTGCCTCGATATTCACTGGGAGAATCTTGTACTTCCCATTGGTGGTAATTATTTCATTTTTACCTCAAATGGGAGTGTTGGTGATTATTCTTATTTGCTGTGTCATATACTTTAGCGCCTACGCTATTGCGAAAACTGACAGTAATGGTTCGCATGAATTGACGTTTACTAATTTAGGAGTTGAAAACTTGAATATCAACTTGAATGAGGATTTCAATAGCGTGGTGATGAAACTAAGTGTGATTGCGTTGACCACAGCAACGAAAAAATCGTATATCAAGGAACTTTCATACATTGAATTGCCGGCTTCTACCTGGTTGGATATGGAGCTTCATAGATTAGAGGAATCTAGCAGTGAAGCAGGAAAGAATCGTGGAGATGCTGAGGATTCAATATATAAGAAAAAATTCATTTCTAGCTACAATAATTTCTTTTCAGTACCGCCTGAATTGATAACGTTACTCGAAGAAGAAACCCGACTACAGGCAATGGACCCTAATAATAGAAGTACCCATGAGAATTGGGAGCTGTCAAGAAAGTTTCACCGGTTTGGGGTAATTATGAAGTTTTTCATGAGACTTTTGTTTGCCCTTGTATTCAAAAGAAAGTCTATTTTGCAGAAACAAGAGGCTTTACAACGCAAAAATGAGCTTTTAAAAAAATCTGAAAAATCGCAGATATCTCTGGCTAGTGGTTATAGCATCGAAGAACAGTCTTTTTATGAGGAAACCAATGATGAAGTTTCCGTTAACTATGATAGACTATTAACTGGGACTTTAGTAACAGAAGAAGATGATACCTCAGACTTTGAGTTTGAAGACGATAATGAAGAGGATTTGGAACCACTTGAATACGATTCAGATGATGAAAGTGAAGCTGAAGCCACTATTTCAACAGAAACAAGCCTAATTACGAAAAATAGAAAAATTAACAAATCATCACAGAAAGAAGTAGAAAATCACGGTCATCTCATTTCGGAGATCTTCAACCCTAGTGAGGTTCTATCACTTTTCATCAATAAACCAACCATTAAGGATGATAGCATCACAAATATCAATGAATTTACATTCGATGAGGAGTTTAAGCGAATTTTATCATTCCATCTTTCACAGGAATATGAAGCCTCATCACTGCGAATGCAGCAAAATCAAGAACAAAGGCCAATAACCAGATCACTATACAAAGAGTTGTCAAATTTGGGCATGGGTAATTCTCAGTCTCAGGATTCAGAAACTGCCAAATTGATTCAGTTGATCGTGGCACAAAGGAAAGGGGGGCTTTCAAATCACAAACATAAACCTTCGCGGAAAAACGATGTTGAGGAGGATGGTGATGATGAAGATTTTGAAGATGAATCATTTTCTAAGGAGTACACCTGCGTGATTTGTCAAACCCACCCAAGACAAATCATCCTTTGGCCTTGCAAGTGTTTGGCGATTTGCGACAATTGTCGTTTAAGTTTGGTGTTACGGGACTTCAATAGTTGCGTCTGCTGCCGCCAAGGTATCGATGGATACAGTAAAGTATTTATGCCTTGAGATATATATGTGTATATAATTTATGATTCATACCAATTAATGTTTTGTCTTAGGTACAGAGTTATAGAAGTCGTCATGCATTAAGAAAGCCATTATTATTAGCAATGATTTGCGCCAAAGAGAAAAGAAAAATCTATATTAATCATCGAATAACCTTTCTCTTGCCCTTTTGTCCTCTGGCTTCCATTTTCGCCTGTCTTTTAGATTTGGTAGGTTCGTCCGCCACATCATTATCTTCCTGCATTGGCGCGCCTTTGCCTTTTCCGATCCCCAAAAGGTTCTTACCCAACTTCAATAACCAGAAGGATTTATAAATTGCGAATGCCGGAATCGCAATATAAAGCCACCATACCTTGTTGGAACCACATAAGATCATCAAAATGTCTTCAATGCCGGTGAAGTAAATGATATCAAACATGTATTCTGTTAACCCTTCTTGGCGCAAGTCTGCCACGGTGCCGGAAAGTTTTGACCCTTCTGGTCCGTATTTTGGACGGCCAGTGGATTCAAGGATGGCCTGACATACAAGAAGGGGGATATTGAAAATCACAAACGGTTTGACGCTGGCAGGACGGTGGAACGCAAATACTGCAACCGCAGAGATCGCAAGAATAGAACAGGAAATCAAATGGATTTCTTTGAGGATTTTCTTATTGCTTGCGGCAATTTTCTTCTGAGATGCTCCCGCCATTATCAATTGAATAAATGTCAAAAACTCAACGAGAGATAAGATACCTCGAGAAGTTGGCGATGATGATTTTTGTGTTTTTCACTTGGAAATCATCGCTTCGGACACGTGATAAAAGATTAACGATACGAATATTGTGGAGACCATTAAGACAATCTCTTTTGTTTATATAAATAACACACGGTTGATAAGACCGTTTGTAGTATATTGCACGAGAAAGATATCATTTATATATAGATGTGAAAAAAAAACAACAGCCAAAAATAAAATAGATGACGACATGGGTAATAATCCTTTGTCATTAGTACCGGAACTCACAAACCAACAGAAAACCAAAAGTTAAACTACATCACTGACCAAAGGGCAAATTACCTTCCCTAACCCATGAGTTTGCCATATTAGTAGCAATGGAGACCAATAAGAACATTAATCCTATCAACCCATACTTGATATTTCTCTTTGTTTCCAAATCCTCAATTGGCAAAAATACAAACGACAACAACTTTTTATTGGTATTTTTGTAAGGAGGATATCTCAGTTCATATAATTTTTCTGACCAGTATTGATTACGCAAAACCATTCTTTCATGACTGAAGGTCTTGAATGAAGATTCTCCATGATATGTACCATGGCCAGATTTCCCAATCCCACCAAATGGAGCAGCAATATTACCAACATGGATCATGCAGTCATTGATGAAAAGTCCACCACTACGAACTCTTGTTTGCATAAGGTTGATTTCACTTGAGTCCTGAGAAAAAATGTAAGCGGCTAGTGGGGTGTCGTGGTTAGAAATGATGTCGCTGATGGTGTGATTAATGTCAGAGAATTTGATGATTGGAAGTAGCGGACCAAATATTTCATCTTCCATAAGTGAATCATCCCAAGTGATGCCAGTATAAATTGTTGGATAAATGAATCGTTTGGTTTCGTCGGTTACTCCCCCAACTAAAATGTCACCCTTGGTGGACCCCATAAGGGAAACCAAACGGTCATAACCTCTTTGACTAGCAATGTGGGTGTATCCTTCACTACTAGAATCCAATTTCGAGAAGAATTCCTTGACAGTTTCCTGAATGCACTTAATTGCTTCATCATAAACCACTTCATCAATAAGAAGATAGTCTACCGTAACACAAATTTGACCGGCATTTGCAAACTTGGCCCAGATAATTCTCTTGATAGCAATCTTCAACTCTGAATTGCTAAGAGATTTGGAGATTATTGCAGGCGATTTACCTCCAAGCTCAAGGACCACCGGAGTCAAATGTCTAGCAGCAGCTTGGCTGACGATTTTACCAACGCGGCCAGACCCAGTATACAATATTTTGTCGAATTTTTGTTCCAACAAGCTGGTAGTTTCTGGGATGGCCCCATTGACAACCCTCAAGTAGTCTGGTGATACAGTGGATTCAAGAAGCTTGGTGAGAACAGTACTAAAATGCGGAGTTATCTCGGATGGCTTAAAGACCACACAGTTACCAGCGGCAATGGCACCCACTACCGGGGAAATTGAAAGAAACAACGGATAATTGAATGCGGAGATGATGAGCACAACCCCCAATGGAATACGCTCCAACTTCTTTCCCATAGTCAAAAATGGTAAAGCCGGGGCATATGGACCAGATTTTGGCTTAGCCCATTTCTTAATGTTTGAAATGACATGTTGCAATTCAGCCAACGTTGGGGAGATTTCATGAGTTGCTGTTTCGAATTTTGATCTGTGGAAATCTTTATAAAGAGCTTCACAGAGTTCTTCTGAATGGGACCGGATGGCGTTATACAAGTCAGTCAAAATTTTGATTCTAAGGTCAATTGAGTCCAACGCACGAGTATGGAATGACTGGTTAAGAGAGCTGACAATGTTTGGTATTGATGAAATGTCAGTGTATTTGAGAACACCCCCATCATTTGACGCAAAAGACATGATTAAAATGATGAACTATCTACTGTACTATAAGCGAATAGATAAAAAAAAATAAGTGATAATTGGCAAATTGTCTTTGAAGTAATGAAATATAATGCCAGGCTGTAAATGTAAATGAAGTGTTAGTTACAGCATTAGGAAAAATCTGAGGGTTTTTCGGGAAAACAAAATCCGTCGGTACCAACCACCGGGGCCATTGACAGAGTCACAAACTCTCATGACAATCAACGACGTGAGAGTTGACACACTGTAGTAGATGGTCCTATTAGTACTCAAGTGAAGGTCAGTATGATGTTTGCTCCGTTATTTTTCATTTTTACTCCTCTCTCTTTCAGTTTCGAAGATAATAATTTATAATATCCTTATATATTTTGCTAATATTGATAATGTTAATAATTATGAGCAACCATTGAAAGTGAAAAAAAAAAGCGGTGAAATCAAACATGATAAAAAATAACAATAGTAATAGAGAACTGGGACACACATTAATATAAAAAAACAAAAGATGAGACAAAAATTAATAATATAATAGGATTAATAATAATTAACTCAAACAATGGCAAGAAGGAGAAGATATACAAAGAATAACATTGGCAATGCCAGCTTCTTGATAACATAAAACATATACCTTCCCTTTGATTGATTTATCAAATATCTGACAATAACAGCGTAGGAAAAAAAAAAAAAATAAAAAATAAAACATCAACGACTAGATCTGAGACAAAAGCCAAAGTCACTTTGAATTAATTCACATCATTACACTTTTGACTCTCCTCAGCCGCCCTCTTTCATGTTGCAAAGAAATTAACAACAACCGTTGCTTTGACTTGCCCCGATAGATTGACTATTGATGTTCAATTTCCCCTTATCACTACCGACTGCAGTATTACTAGTGGCCATTTGGGCCTTGATTTGTCTTGCCATGGTCAAGAATGCTTGTTCAACGTTATTAGAATTCAAAGCAGAAGTTTCAAGAATTGGGATATCCAAGGCATCGGCAAATTCCTTGGCTTGGGCGAAATCAACAACCTTCTTATCGGTCAAATCAGACTTGTTACCGACCAACAATTTCATCACCCCACCAGTGGCATAACGATCGATTTCTTGTAACCATTGTTTGACATTATTGAAGGATTCGTGATCGGTGACATCGTAAACAATAATGATACCATGTGCGCCTCTGTAGTATGATGAAGTGATAGTTCTGAAACGTTCTTGACCTGCAGTATCCCAGATTTGCAATTTAATGGTTTTACCGTCGAGTTCGACGGTTCTAATCTTGAAATCAACCCCAATGGTCGAGATGTAATCCTGAGTGTAAGTGTCGTCGGCAAAACGCAAAAGAAGACAGGATTTACCAACACCGGAGTCACCGATAAGTAAAAGCTTGAAAAGATAATCGTAGTCACTGTTCATTATGAAGATTAACGATATATGCTAAAAAAAATGAGAGTGTTCTTTTATTCTGATGATGTAAACACACAGCCTCTGTAAAAATAGTGTACCTTTTGGATGATTGTAAATCACGGAATACAAACTACTGAATATATATCTAAGAACGATAAAAGGCCCGGGAATACCTGTATTCTGAATCGACGGCTTGTTCAAAGTACCTAGAAATGATGGAGATGGTCTTGATGATCAGCCTCTTAGGGGCAAAAAAAAAAAATTAATAACAGAACATCAATTTCTGACCCCAGTTTGCACAGGCAGAGAAGGGGCCGGGCAACCCCACACATATCTCCCACAGCGCCATACACTACGGTGCCATCAGTAATTAATGAGTAAATATTATAAGTAAGAAAGAGAGTAAAAACAAAAATTGTGGGTCAGAGAAAAAGGTAAGCGAATTAAATTAATAAATGTGAAATGGAATGGTCAAATTCTGTATCATTTTGGTGAATCCATCGTTTTGGTGAATCCTAGGTAATCCACCTAATTTCATGGACTGTCAAATATTTGGCTGAATAACCCACTGCCATTATTAAAACAAACAAAAAAAAAAAGAATTTTATCATCATTCAAGATAAATATGCTGTATTAAAAGGAGGAAGAAAAAACGTTGATAAGTAATAGAAATCTGAACAGATATTCCTTCATTTTGTTTTCTTATTAGCGTCAACCGGTCTTTCCAAAGCTCTGTAACTGACTTGCAAGGATGAAACCCAGCTCAATCCTTGAATCAACACATACACCAAAAACAATGAAACGATAGTGGCACTGAGAATACCGCTGCTGAAAAATTGGTGAGTTTCAAATACGCTACCTGAAGTGACCTTAATTTCTTCGAATTCCTCATTGCTGTAACCATCATAATAAATATCCTTTGAGGAGTCGGTTAAATCTTCGCTATCTTCATCTGAAATGGTAACGACACCACCTTCTTGCTTAGCGTCTTCAATGAGTTTACTAAAAGTGTTCTTCATTTCTTCAAGCAAATCATCATTGTCAACTTCGATATCATAACCTGAAATTTCACGCTTTTGGACCACCAAATTCTTAGCTACTTCATTATTAATCTTTTGATACACTTCATCGACTGGTTTGTTGTTGGCTGGGATAAACTGTACCACCACGTTGGTGTTCTTCAACCCGCTCAATGCTTGGCCAAATTCTTCAATAGTAACTTCGCTGATATCATCAACAATCAAATCCTCTTCGGATTCGTTAATGCTGGAAATAGAAACCGGGGTAAAACTTTTGAAATATTCTTGTTGGTTGTTGTCGTCATGGTAAAGTACTTTTGGGGTGTGTTGAGCATTGGAAATAAAGTCTTGGAAATGAGCGTCATTAGAGACGGAATCGAATAAAGATTTCTTCAATTGAAATATCACAGTTCTAGCGACATGAGAAGAGGAAGAGTTTTCCACCAATTCGCCAATTTCAGACATCAATTTACTTTCATCCATGTAATGAGGTGCCACTTTACTATTATCACTGTTGACGTTCTGAATATAAACTGGGCCTGTATTTTTAAAACCCCATGCCACACTTGAGGCGGAGACCATTACGAGAATCTGTTGCCACTTCATTATTTTTTTTTTTTTTTTTTGTATTTGTGTTTATGCTATTGCTTTTCTCCAGACAATCGGACCTCTCATAAATCTTATCGCTTTACAAAATTTGTTGTTTTTTCAGAATTTCCCTATATTCGCTATTAGCAGTGACCCGACACACCCACCACCTTCCGCCAACGGGTAACGGCAAGGACTTCGAAAGGATTAATAAATTTTTAACATGAAGTGGACTAGATGAGCACTGGAAGGATCATTATATTTCTGGAATTCTGGATCTTTTCTTCTTGTTCCGTCAATAACAGTCACATAACAGAGAATAATATCCCCATGATATTATTATTGCTTCTACGGACAACGCATATAATATCCAGATGATTCTACTGCGACATTGGCAATTGAATTTTTCACCAGTGAAGATCATCCTCTCCAAACAGTTGGTTAGAAATGCTTCTGCTTCTTCTTTGCCGACGACAGCATTGCAATCTCAAAGCGCAGAGAATGACAATTCCATTGATCCAAAATTGATCAAGCAGCTATTCATCGGGAATGCGTTCCGGAATGTCGATGATGCCATTGATCATTACTTGCATTTGTACTGTCGTCAACAACGAGAATCCCCAGAGAATTTACAACTGGAAGACCCGGAAAAGCAGAAAATAATGAAATTAATGGATCAATATGATCAAGAAATGAAGGACACAGCAGCACACAAGAACTCGTTTTCTCAACACTATTATATCAAACAACAATTACTTGACTATTTGTTTTATCAAGGTATCACCAACGGCACCAAGAATAACCAACAGATAGCAAGAACCAGGGTTGTGACTAACGATAGAATGGAAGTGAAAAAAACTCGGTGGAAGCTTGCAAAATTGAAACAACGATCATTTGGAGAAAAAGTTAGCTACATGAGATTTCTAGCAGCATTATACGGCCGGGATTCAATCAATGATATCTCTCTGATTTTCTCCCTGATGAACACTCAATCCAAGCAAAGCAATACTCATTCACACGAGTTTTCTAATATGGCCAAGGGAGACAACCTTATAACACCTAAAACCGCCATAATACACAGCCCGACCAACCGGAATTTCATCAAGCATGAACAAACCATTTATGATTTGACGTATTACTCCGATCTTTTACAAGCATATATTGATCTCCCAAACCCTAGACCAGATTATGTGGAGGCTCAACATCTAGATGATTTATTATCGGTATTCTTGAAGATCAACTCGCGGTTTTTCCGATTGAACGGCAGGAATTTAAAAAAACTGTTCTTGAAAGCTTTCTTCACCGTTACCGAGGATCTATTGGAGAATGTCCAGCCAATGACAATTAAAGAACGGAACCATTTGTCATATTTAAGGCTGATGTTTTATGAGCTTTCTGACAATAATGAGGTAAGTAGCGATGTGGCGGAAGATAGAGCAACTAGAAACGAAATTCGACGAGCTCAATTGAGGGAAGATTATCAGAGCCATAAGTCGAAGTTTGAAACCCCTGATTTATCCGCATTCAATATTTTCTTACAAGGAGCGATCAAATTGGGAGATGAAGGCTTGATCAACGAAATCACTCGTGATTTGTTAAAATTGCAAAATTTCGATGGAAATCATGGGGACCTTCTTTCAAGTTTCCAATCATCAGGACTTAATAACCGTTTTACGTTGATTCAGATGCTTAATCATCATTTCAATGGAAAAAACGTGTTGAAAAGCCGGCAAAGTACTTATGAATCATTAAACAAATTTTTGACCAAGTTATTATCATCCAACATAACCCTTGACATTCATCTTTTGAATTCGTTGATCCATGTTATTCTTTTTAATGTCAGGGACATTGGAACTGCCAAATTAATGTTTAATGAAATGATTGAAATGAGTGTTACAGAAGCTGGACAGAGTATTGATACCAAAATAAAGACCGAGGATTATAAGGGACAGCATAATAAAAAAATGTTGGAATTAGACCAGCTAAAATGGCTAGTGCATAGCAACAACTATAATAATGCTGGTATTGGGAACCAGAGTTCGCCAGCTCCTACTATTTGTCCGTTGACATTCAAATTCAAAATGAACCGAGACACAATTATTATGTTCTTAAGATATTATTGTCAACTTGTTGAGAAAACTCCTTCTTCTGGCCCAGTACATTTCAAAACTATTGCCCAATTGATTTTGTTGATGGAATCAGATGTCGCTAACCGGTTTTGGTTCTTCAATGAATACAATGCCTTGTATGATCAAGATGACGTTTTAAAATTCCTGGATTTAAATAGCAAATTCAAGAAGGAGTCTCAGGTGCTACAACCCGATGGTGGGATGGCGGTGAATACTAGCTCATTGAGCTCGCTCGACTACAATGATATCTTATGGGCCTTTATCGACCACAATAATGTACTAATAGAGAACCACCATGAATATTTGAATGATAACGAAGAAACCACAGATGATCTCCGTGACCCATCATCTGCCGCTAACGGGTCTTATAAAGGGACTGAGTCCGCCAATGATAGTAATACGAGTGTTGATGATCACAGAAAATCCATTGAATCATGGAACTTTGAAACTTTACAACTATTGACTCGCTACTACTTGGATAATCTTAACCGGCACCACGCGTCTCCTAAATCCTGCACGATTTCTAATGGGAACAACTCACCTTACAAAACATTATTCTTGAATTACAGTCTATTCATGAAATTTATAGCGGCGTACCAAACCATTATGAAGTCTCGAAACTTTTGCGGGGAACTAGCTTCGGAATTGAAACTTTTAGAAATAGATTTGGAGAAAGCAGGCGAAATGGGATACGAAGGATATTTGAAGGATAAACATTTGCTGTCTACTGTTAACAAACATAGATCCCTGATTCAATCTGCTGCACCACCATTGGACACCAGCACATATCCTGGAACCATTTCTAATGGCTCATCGTTGTTTACTCAAACACTGTGGCCTTACGATATCCTTAATGGGAAATCTTCTCATGATAGGTATACTTATACCCATCCACAAAGCTCGAACTTCATTCTTTATTCCACCAAACCTCAAAACTTGTTTGAGGAATACAATGCGTCATTGGCCACCCAGTTGGAACCTGAGGAAAAGTTCATTAACCTTTGGAAATTCCTTGAGGATGCCAAGCGGGAATTTGAGTACCAAAAATCGGAAATGTTGAAACAGGATAGCAAGGAAAGGAAACTGGAAGATACGATGGAATTGGAAATATTGGCAAGGAAAGTATTGGAAACTATTGCCTATTTGAAATTATGAAATCGAAAACAAAACCTCACATAATCAAAAGTACGAACGAGCCAAAAAAAAAAAAAAACAAGAAAAAAAAGTAACCATCTTCATCTAAGTCTGCTAAATGCTTCGAAGTCTATACCATCAGTTTTGATATTCATTTCAACTAAATTGTACTATACCCTGCACTTTTATTTGAGTGCCGAACTTTTTTTTTTTTTTCTTTGCATACTTGTATATATTTTTCTTATTTCATTTCATGTTTTTATGTTGATTACTTATGACAGTTCATAATATTGACTCGCTGCAAAAAAAAAAAAGGCAGTACGTATTATATCCCTAGTAAGTCACTATAATTTGCCATATTTTGGAATGGCACAAATATGTTACACCTTCTTTGCCGTAAGTAAAAGAAAGAGCGAATGACACAATAAAGAAGATACAAGCTTAATTAAAAAATAAAAGCAACATTAAGATTCGATCAGAAAGAGGTTAAAAAGAAATAAGAAATTTCCAAAAATTAACATGCCAATCTGAATAACTAGTAAAGAATGACAAGAAAAAGGTATGGTAGTTAAAAAGGATATATATATAAACGTAAAAAAAAAAAAAGCTAATGAAACGAGATGTAGAGGAGTTGGAAAGCTAACACAAGTATAACTTTAAATAACTATGAAAATGATATGGTAAAAGGAAGATAGGTCAGTCAGGGGAGTGATATGGATTTTGAAACAAAATAAAATAACAGACTTATGAAAGCCTGAGAAAAAAAACAAACAAAAAAAACAAAAAAAGAATAAAACAAAACAGAAAACAAACAAAAATTCAAACTTCTAAAGAGATACAAACTCTTTATACTGTATAGTTAATATTATTTCTATTGTTTTATTATTATAAAATTTCCAAAATTCGATTTATTTATTCTAACAATTCATCCATTGGAGCCTCCTGTTCATATTCAAGTTCTTCATCTTCATCGTCGATACCGGCATCTTGGTATTGTTGGTATTCAGCAACAAGATCGTTCATGTTAGATTCGGCTTCAGTGAATTCCATTACATCCATACCTTCAGAAGTATACCAGTGCAAGAAAGCCTTTCTTCTGAACATAGCGCTAAATTGGTCACCAACTCTCTTGAATAATTGTTGAATAGAAGTGGAGTTACCAATGAAGGTGGCACTCATGTCACTATCTTGAGGAGGAACAGAACAAATAGAAGTTTGCACGTTATTTGGAATCCATTCAACGAAACCAGCAGAGTTTCTGGTTTGAACCTTGAGCATTTCATCTTCAACTTCCTTGACGGAAACATTACCTCTGAAGAATGTAGCAGCAGTCAAGTAACGACCGTGTCTTGGGTCAGAAGCAGCCATCATATTTCTTGGGTCGAATAATTGTTGGGTCAATTCTGGAACGGAAAGAGAACTGAATGATTTAGATCTGATGGAAGTCAATGGAGCGTAACCAACCATGAAGAAATGCAATCTTGGGAAAGGAACCAAGTTAACAGCCAACTTTCTCAAATCAGAGTTCAATTGACCTGGGTAACGCAAGGAGGTAGTGACACCAGACATGACAGAGGAAACCAATTGATTAAGGTCCTCATAGTTTGGTTGAGGCAATTTCAAAGTTCTCAAACAAATGTCGTAAAGAGCTTCGTTATCAATACAGAAAGTTTCGTTAGAGTTTTCGATCAATTGGTGGACAGACAAGGTCGCGTTATATGGTTCAACCACGGTATCAGAAGTCTTTGGAGAAGGAACGACGGAGAAAGTTGCTCTCATTCTATCGGAATATTCTTCATAAATTTTAGAAATCAATAAGGTACCCATACCAGAACCAGTACCACCACCCAAAGAGTGAGTGATTTGGAAACCTTGCAAGGAATCACAACCTTCAGCTTCACGTCTAAGAACATCAAGAACTGAGTCGACCAATTCAGCACCTTCAGTGTAATGACCTTTAGCCCAAACGTTACCGGCAGAAGATTGACCGAAAATCATATTGTCTGGACGAAACAAGTTACCGATAGAAGAAGAACGGACATTGTCGATGGTTCCTGGTTCCAAGTCAACAAGCACGGCACGAGGAACGTATTTACCGCTCATAGCTTCGTTGAAATAAACGTTTAAACGTGCTTTTTGCAATTCGTTTGTACCGTGGTAAGTACCATCGGCATCAAGCCCATGTTCACCGCAAATGGTTTGCCAGAAGGCGGCACCCTAAAATATCATGGTTAGTATTCCATAATTTGTCTGATTGATTAATATGTTATTGAAATTGGTTGTGATTGCCTGTGAACGCGGTTATATTTTGATAATATCCATACAACCTTGATTAAAACCCTGATCTTCATTTCATTTTAAAAATAGAATCATTCTTCTATTTGATTTGATTGTCCAAAAATAAAAATGGATCAATAATGATAAAAATTGTAAACACGTTGGGCGGTAGCTAACTAAAAATTTCAAACAAGGCCCATCCAATTTTTTTTTTGTGCCCGTTATGTTGTGTAGGGATAAACACAAAATATTCTTTTTTATTTCTTTCCCTTAGACACATCAAGGCAATTGCAATGATCATAATTATAACCAAAAATAAGAAAAAAACAACATTAAAAACCATAACATAATTTAATTAAAGTAGACATACAATTTGGTTACCACATTGACCGGTAGATATATGAATCTATAGCATAATGTTAGTATACTTGAACATGCCTGAGTCAATTCGACATTCCATCTTCTAGAAATAATGCCTTCACTTTCAAGATTTTTTTTTTTTTTTTTTTTTATTGATAATCTCATATCTCTTATTCTTTCCCTTTAAGTTCTATTCTGTACACTTTGATGCTTTTTTTGTAAGCGCCAGACTCTAAATTGTGTATTATTGGCAGACCCAGATACAAGAATATGAATTGAGTGGGATGGCAGGACGACGGGTGGTACGTACGATTTCTCTCATTGTGCTTGGGGGAAGACACGATACTTTTGTAGTAGTGTTTTTAGATGAAGGTGATGTTGTTGTTGTGGAGGCCAACTAACTAACTAAAATAAAAGTAGCCCAAAATTTTCAGGACCAGAAAGTAAACAAATACCGTATCAGGCGGGTAATGCTGTTTTTTTGTTTTCCCACTCATCAGATTCTCTTAGAGTGCGAGGAGAGGAGAGGAGAGGCCTGTCTGTGAGGCAGGGGTGTGTAGATCAACACCCAGACACCGGAAGTTGCCTCTCTCGTATATTATATCCACATCAACAACATATACCAACAATACGGAGTCTATCATGTGCCCCCCGCACATCACCAGCAGCAGACACTGCGTCACCACACATATGCACGTGATATTTCCTCGCCACGGGGGGTTTTTTTTCGTTTATATGGTGGTTATTTATCACCTGTTTCTACGGTAATTGTGATGAGGGAGAGCAGGTATCAACTTAATGGACTCATATTTATCAGTGACTTTTGTTGGGTTGGTGGTGCCAGAGTCCGATACTTGGCTATTGTTTGCCCTATCACTTGTTTGCTTCGTGTGTGCTGTTATTTATCTCTTATCGTAATATTCCGCGTTGACTTTCTGTCTTCTTTCCAAATATTACCGAAAACTGATTAAGCTTTTTTTTTTTTTTTTTGCCGCATCGATCGTAGAAATTGTTGTTGGTGAAAAGAACCGTTATTTATTGCAAGTTGTCATTTCCCTTTCTTTCTCTCTTTCTTGTATCCTCTATATTATCTACTTCGTACCATTCTTCTCTAGAAGTTATCCAATATATAGTGATCACAAAACAGTCACACATATATAAAAAATAATACCAGTCCAGGATCATAGAACCCACCACACGATTATTTGTACAGGGGTATTGTTCGTTTCTACATTATTAACATTGTGTCCCCCTCCCTCATCTCCAACGGTTTTGCGCTTATCTTGCACTATTGTTTGATCGAATAACTATGTCCACTAATAATTCCACCTCTTCCTCGGTCAAACATCAAAAGAAGCCTTCTACTTCTCCGAATAACATCAATAAGCTCGCATTGGTGAGTATCGTTTGCCTTTATGCCGGCCGTCTTCGCGGTCCCGGTGCCTTTTTTCTTTTTTTATTGGTGACTTAAGCGAAAGAAGCTTGGGGTCACCGCTTTTCATGGAGCATTCATTATCATTACTAACCTAAACCCTTCAATAGAATGCTCATTTCCTTTGGTTTGTGGGCCATTTTCTAACATTTGGTTGTACTGCACTTCATTCGATCGTTTCTATATTTAGACCGTTCTCACCAACGGCTCAAAAATATTACTCGCTAACTATATACTCCGTGATCCTATCATATTCCATCGTGCTTTTCAAAACTTACTCACTAAACACTTTAGCGAAAACTCTATTCTCCAACCCTTTTGCCATTTTGAAAAATAGTAATGCTTTATATTTATTTCTCTCCGGGCTTTTCTTGGCCAACCACGGGATCATTTTTGAAAAAATCCAGCTATCATTGTATTCATTTGCAATCTATTCACTTTTCCATTCCATCAATTACTTGAACCAATCCATTTTATCTAGTACCGCCAACAAACCTTACCAAACTCTCAAATCCAAACTCAGCCAATTTTCCAAACAATATTATGAACCATCTCTTTACATGGCCGCCAATTGTGAATTATTTGTCATGATCCATCTAATATTCACTGACTTGAAGAATTTATTGATGATTTTCCAAACAAATCCACTCACCAATATCAGAATCCTCTGCATAACAATTCTTTATCTAGTATTTCTCAAGTTGCGATATGATGATAGCCATCACATGAAAGCAGTAGTACAGAGTTATGATCTTAGAATCAATCAATTCTTGTACTCCAACCAAAGGATTCCCCAAGCAGTGACCAACATCTGGTTTAAATTCCGGACCCTCATTGGTGCTTACGTTGCTCCAATTAGAATTGAAGCTAGACATCGGTGATATATAACTAAGATAATAACCACCAAGATTGCAAAGAGTAAGAAAAAAAAAAATCTTACTCCTCCCCTTGTTGAACCTTATGTTATTTCCATCCAAAAGAAAAAACAAAAAACAAAAAACAACTCCTCCCTCGTTAAACCCTATGTCATTCCCATCGAAAATGCTGATCCTTCGTTTAATACTGTGAGATCACCACCCAGAAAGTATTCCCGCCCGTCATCTGTGAATTTTTTTTGTTATGCTTCTTTTTTGTCCCTAACCACCCCCCCAGTTTTCACTTATTGTTATATCTGATTAGCAAAAAGTCTCTCTCATTTATTTTATGCCATTTACGCCCATGTTTTTAGTTTAATCATTGCATTGTTTGATTTTGGCTTTGACAGGCTATTCCATTTGAAGATCCCAAGAACTCGTTGGAACAAGGATCTTATTATCGAAATTTGTTTTGATATTTTATATTTTATTTCATCCCGGAATCAATCAATCTCCAGGTACTTTTGACTTACTACTAAGTCTTTTTGTCAAGATTTCATTTCTATCTCATGTTTATTTACTAGAACGTTTCCGCCACCCCTCGCTATTTAATTTATCCAATCTTGTATTTGTACTGTTATAATTTTTTTTTTTTATTTTTTATTTTTTATTTTCTATTTTTTATTTTTTATTTTTTATTTTCTCCCTTATATATTTATTTTGTTTGTTGTTATTTTAATTTTGGAAATGTTGTTCGAACTGATGAATCCTCTAGTGATTTTGTATTGGTAGTTCACTGATCCATGAGATTGGCTCCCAGGTGAGGCGAAATATTTTTCTTTTTTGGATTGTGCTCATTCATCACTTGATATAAAATTGCTTCGACTTTCTTTCCAATATGATACCTACAGAACTATTCATAATATACCAGAAACAAGAAAAGAACAAAAAGCAAACAACACTGGAGTTTTTTTTTTTTTTTTATTCCCTTCATATCTTTCATCTATCTACTTAATAAAAAACCAACCGCATCAAGAATAATGAGACTTTGAACAAAAATGCCTCCAAAAAACAAACCGTCATACCTCATCACCTTAAATATCCCTGCCTCTCACCGCTCACAGTTCAGCAAACTCATTGCTCTGGCTCCGCCTCCCAAGAAGAAAGGCCCAGGAAAAGGATGGAGAGCCGGTATTAAGAAGAATGGACCAGGAAAGCCACAGAATGGGATATCCGGTGATAATACAGATCAGAAAGGAGAAATTCCTCTGGCCCCAACATCTTCCTCATCTTCATCTACGAACGCTGTGGGCAATACTACTGGTGGGGCAAACGTTAGTGGCACGTCGTCTAATGGGATCACTGTTGCTACCTCTGGTCCAATAGGCACTTCGGCAAAATCATTACCGATGAACACCAATGCCCTGGAGGCATATGTCTTGGATAGACTGGGTACAAAAGTGCGGAAATGGCAGAAAAAGAAGCGGGAGATCAGATCGTTTACAGGGTTCAAAGTTGATTTTGGCAGTTGGATTGGTGATGGAGTGAAGTTGAAAGTGGATGGATCAGACAACAAGGAGGCAGCAGAGATTAGACATGGTGAATCGGCTACGCCCACAGTCGAAGACTCTTTGGTGAATGTGAAGGAGGATATTGAAGAAGAATTTGCTACAATCAAACCGGAAGACGCAATGACGATTCCTGTAAATTAAAAACAATGAGTGGTTATTTATTTATTTATTTTTTTGTGTGTTTATTTGTTTGTTTTTCTACTTTTCACTTTGATTTTATTCAGATATTTATTGGCTATTATTAATATATTACTTGGTTACACTTTTTTTTTGTATAGTATACAGCGATGTTTCTCTATTTATTAATTGCTATCTATCGGAGTAGATGTTTTGGTAGATGGTTGAACCTATTTTGGATGGGTGTTTGTCCAGTTCTGATGAGAATGAATGTGCACACATACTTTGCGGGTTGTTTCTGATCTTGACTTGGAAATTTTTTCTGTATTGGGGGAATATATACTCCAATATTATATTGTATTTAAATAGCTAAGTTGAATTAAAATGATGTAATATACATAGATATAGGTATATATTTGGGATGACCAATTATGGAGACCTATTTCGGGGCAATGTCAGAGAGCACTATTTTACTGTGGGGTGGGGAGAAAGGGTGTAATGATAAATATATTTATAATTGTCGTTGTTTATCCAGCGCGAGCGCAAGCAGAGAAGACAAGGTCTGGCCGTACGCGCCTCAAATGTTTATATTCTTATTTTTTTCTAATATTAGAAAATCAAGTATATGAATAACACAGCGTGTGTTTACTTTTTTTTTTTTTTTTTTACATTTTTACCTTTGTGTGTATTGTGTAGTGGGCGGCCCCCTCCCCCTGAAGTGGTGGGGTGGACACAAATTATTTTATTTTAGTTTATTTCATTTTATTTTATTTTATTTTATTTTATTTCATTTCATTTTATTTTTATTTTATTTTAAGGTTATAATTATACTAGCCGATGTATGGGAAACCTTTTTGTGCCAAGTTTGAGTAGTTCCCTGAGGAGGGAAGGAACGAAGGGGGGAAAAAGTGATCCGTTAGTTGAGTTTGAGTTGTTTCCACATATCATATATATATATATATATATATATATACGTGGGAGGGGCGATTCAGATGGTTGGTTCACCACAAGAATATGGTGCCATCCCAGGAGAATAGCGGTGAGTGCTGGCCCAACAGCCATCCATGTCTACACAATCGACACTTGCGGGGGCCTTGTGTCTGTTGTTTGACACATTTTCCCAATGATAATGAATGGTGTACAAACACATCCATCCACGTTGGCCGGGAGAGCACCAGTGTCCATCCAGCCAGAGTGTAATGTCATGCACCAATGTCGCGCGCACTGATGCACTGCTATGCGACACACCGAACATCCACAAACTCTAACTTCCCGCCGGCAGCTGTCGTATTGCTAGCAGCACCTCTATTGTATATCTCACAGACACCTTTAGTTGGCAGGCAGGAAGCTATAAATACCTTGCGATCTCTGGGTCTCCCTTTTTTCATTCAAGGTTCATCCTACTTGTTTGTTAATATCTTCATTATATATTATATCCTCATCCTCTCCTCCTACAATCGCTTGGGATCAGTGTGTTAAACGGCCCGCAAATCTTTCGCTCCAATAGATCTGAAGTATCGCAGCATATTTCATCAACATTACACAAAAACCATCCCCTACTATCCATATCTCTTACCATTTCAAAAAACACAACCAAACACAGGTAATTCTCAATTTAACCAGCGTCCCTCATGTTAGCCAATATCCTTCTCCCATTATTGGCACTTTCAGGTACCATCTGTGCCGCCTCCACATTCAAGAAGCGGATGGATTATTCGGAAAAAGGTAGTGTAAAAGGTGTCAATCTCGGTGGTTGGTTTGTCATCGAACCTTTCATCAACCCCTCTCTTTTCGAAGCTTTCGGTGATGACATTCCAAATGATGAGTACCATTACACTTTGTCCCTCGGTAAAGAATTAGCTTACGAAAGATTGAACGAGCATTGGGGATCATGGATCACCGAAGCTGATTTCGAAACTATGAGCGGCATCGGGTTGAACTTTGTCCGTATTCCTGTCGGTTATTGGGCGTTATTAGCCCTTGATGGTGACCCTTATGTTCAAGGCCAATTGCCATATCTTGATCAAGCTTTAGAATGGTGTGCCAAATATAACATTCAAGCCTGGATCGATTTGCACGGTGTTCCAGGTTCTCAAAATGGGTTCGATAACTCCGGATACAGAGAAGATGCAGAATATTTGGCTTGGTTCCAAGGAGATAACTTGAACAAAACCTACGAAGCCCTTCTGATCATGTCTGAAAGATACGGTGGTGCCAACTACAGTGACGTGGTTGCCGGGATTGAATTAGTCAACGAGCCTTTGGGAACTTACTTGGATATTAACACCATTGCCGAATATTATGACACTGGTTACAAGATGATTCGTGACGATTTGGACTTAGTGACAGACGTGATTATGCACGATGCTTTCAGAGACCAAAACTATTGGGATCCATATTTCCAGTTGTACGACTACTGGGGAGTCGTCATTGATCACCATCGTTACCAAGTCTTTAGCACCGGTGAATTAGCGAGAACTATCGACGAGCATGTTGATTTTGTCTGCAAACAAGGTGCAGATACAGCTAGTGAATATCACTGGTCTCTCACCGGTGAATGGTCAGCAGCTTTAACCGATTGTACTTACTGGCTTAACGGTGTTGGCCGTGGTGCTAGATACGATGCCACTTACCAATCTTCCACTAAATATGGCACTTGTGATGGTATCAATGATATTAGCACTTGGACTGACGAACAAAAACAAAACACTAGAAAATTCATTGAAGCCCAAATGGATGCGTACGACCAAGGTGCAGGTTGGATTTTCTGGACTTGGAAAACTGAAAATGCTTTAGAATGGGATTTCCAAAGATTGGTTTACGAAGGATTGGTTCCTCAACCTTTGACTGATAGACAATATCCAAACCAATGTGGATATTAAAAGAAAAAAAAAAAATAAAATAGATTTTTTTTTTTTTTTGAATCTACACACATATATATATGTTTCTCGAATTACCCCCTTTTTTCCTTTTTCCTTATTCTTTTCTTCCGCTAACCGCATTTGAGAAGTTGTTGTTTTATTTCTCTATTCTTGATATTCATCATCAGGAACATCTTTGATTTCTTTGTTGTCTTCATTATTCTATTTCCTTGAAAATATATGAAAAAAAATTGTTACATTATCCTCATTTTCGCGCAGAAAAGTAGCCAAGTTTAAGGTTTGACGCTTATCTTGCTACACAATTCTGCTGATGAAAATTAATCCCTACGCTGATTACTGTATATCTAAAATTAACTTTTTTTTTTAAAAAAAAAAAAAGAAAAGTGAAAAATGAAACAAAAAGATCACCAAAAACAGGCCATAAAAGCTTCCCGAAAATCTTTTGGGGAGAGAGAAGAAAATGGTCGGGAAGACTGTCAATTTTAAACACCCAAACACCCACGATGTAATACATCTGAGAATCCCAAATCGGGCTGTGATCTATCGCGTGTCAAGCAGCATCCCATTCTGCGATTTCCAACCAATGAAAGAAATTATGACGAGCGTGGACACTGATAGCACTACCGATAGATCCATATACAGCGTTCCTAATTCTGAGGTTCAGATATCAAACATCGATAGGATTGATAAATTTCTAGGTGATATATGGCTTCAAGAAAACTAAACAAAGAGGACGACGAGTCGGTGTTGATGGGGCTTCTAAATGGCAAAGACAATGAATGGATTTGACGAGTTATAGAGGTTTATTTATGTTCCAAAAATAAAGCTTGATGATAGTGAGCAAATTGAATTGGTCGCTACGGTGTCGATTAAAACCATTGTCACCTCTTCTCTCACCAGTGATGGGGCCGCCAATCCTATGGCATTTAATAAGAACATCGTGGAAGGGATTTTGAAATTCCAAGCTTCATGTCAATAGTATGTTTTGCCTTATGAAACTTGAACCAGTACATTTTTTATGAGGCGTGATGAGCCAGCCATTGAACTTTAGTATCAAGTGTTTCTATGGATGTGAGTCGCCACCATGGCAAAAAGTAGTCGCTTATGTTTGCAAAGATGTTGATTTTGATTGAAAGGACTGTTCCTAGTTTCTTGAATTCCCAGACAAAGCCCAATATTAATTTCAAATCACCATACAAAAAAAGATTCTAATTATATTTTCGTTGCTTTTATCATTGTTGGTCCTTGTTTTGAGATATATTTGATGTTAATTGAATAGTTCCAGAGAACGGTTTATAAAATATGACACTTCAACTAGTTGGGCTATTGTATAATTGCTATTGTATAATTGAATCTAGGTCGTTATGAAAACCAGAAAATCTCTGATGGTGTAATTTTTTTGACTCAACATTTTTTATTTACGGATTCAAGAGTTACCGACGGTCCTCGTGTCAAGAGGGGGGGGGGGGGGAAAGGAAGGGAAAACCATAAGAAAAGTTTTTAAATTTAAAATTTTAAACAGCGTAATTTTAGGCCATAGCAACGTTGCCACTAAAAATTTTGACGGCATATATAAATATATAGGGAAAAAAAAAAAAGCTGCAATTGAAAGAACAATATTTGGGTGTCAGTGGAGTTAAGAAAACATTACGAAATGGTTAGTGTTAAATCAGAAAAGCTTGATAAAATGGAAACCGCCTCTAGTGAAAAACTAGATTAAGAAACAAGTGAATTATCTACTTTGATGGAGCTTATGGGTCACGAAGACAGTGAATTCGATGAGCAGATTATTTTGCAAAAAATAAGAACTTATGTTCTGAGAATAAAGCTTGATGATGAAAAACCACTTGAGTTAACTTTTTCTACTCGTGAGTTTTCGGACCAGTGGAGTTACTTCCAGTATCCTTCAACATTGCACACTAACATACTTGGAGAAATTTTAAAGTTCCAGAAAAAATGGTTGACATACAAGATAGAAAATAAACACTGGAGTAGTGCATTTTTAATGAGACCCGATGAGCCTTTGATCTCTAAGATCAAGAAATTCTATCATGATGAGTTGCCATGATGGCCCAAGTTGGTTGCATATGTTTGCAAAGGTGAGGCCTTTGAGGAGTATTCTGCAAGGCAAAGGTTTGAATTTTGCTTGACAAATTTAAAACGTTTATCCTTACATATTCTTGAAAGCCTCCTTTTCTTTTATGATCAAATCTCTAAGGATATGTGCAAAAGAGACAGATTTTTAGCGATGAGAATGAAGTTGGAAGAAGTTGTGAATTACCAAAAGCTATTGATGCCATCTTCTGAAATGTTATTATCTGTAAAAAGTATGAAAGGGATCAAGCTTTTGATTGAAATAACCATACCTGGCTGTTGAAAGTTCTTATATGGTGGGAAAACCTATACAGATATCGAAAAAAATTCCGGACGGGGGAGATTAGCAAGAAAGCTTTCGAGAAATCAAAATTATAAAGGAAGCTCTCTTGGCATTCTGTTTCTCAATTATGAAAAATATGGTGTTAATGTTGGCTCCAAAGTGAATTGCAATTGGTTTTGCTTCGCTGGTGTAAACAGCTTTAGGATTCATTATTGATGTTGATGGGTAACTTAATTTTGGTTTTTATAGATACTAATGTAAAAATATTAAAGGTAATAGAAATTACAGATATTCTGTGATGTCTGATTTGTCCTATATTCATGATAATAATCGCCAGAAACAAGTAAATACTATTGGAAGCAAGTAGTGCTCTGTACCCTTAGTGATAACGTGATGTTAAGAGAGGCGTGTATTACAAGCAGACTTTCAGGTACCTTGGAATATTTTGATGAGCATTATTTTTCTTATTCGGCCATATTTCATAAGATAAAAAAGAAATAATTTTTTTGCTTTTAAGCATAATATGCAAGCAATTAAAAGTTAAGTGAAGTCTTAATTTCCGGCAAAGGAAGGTAATTTTTAACGTTATTTGCTCAGAGAAATGCAATGGAAGGGTATTATTGTCTTGCTTCCTTTCCTACTATGAAATTTGAAAGATAACTTTGCTATTTCAATTCTTGAAAAAATATAAATATAGATAAAGGAAGCCACTTTAGTTGAACTAAAATCCAGCTTCTTAAAGGCAACTGGTACGGGATTATTTAAGAAAAATATTACAAAATGACCAGTATCACTACTACTGAAAGTTTCGATGAAATGTCAATGAATACTAATCCCGCTCGGAAAGCAAACCAAGGAAAAAGTGACTTGTCTAGTTTAATGAGCATTTTGGAGCGTGAAGACAATGAATTTGATGAGAAGGAAATTTTACAAGACATAAGAACTTACGTCCCAAGAGTCGTCATCGATGATTGTGAGCCTGTTAAGGTAACAGACTCCGAAATGGTGGATAGAATATTGGAATCATCTGGTCTCAGTAATGATACGTTAAATCCCTCGGTATTTCGTGATAATATTTTGGAAGGAATTTTGGGTTTCCAAGAGTTTTGTGAAAGCTTGAATTTACCATATAATAATTGGAGTAGCGCGTTCTTGATTAGGGACGACGCGCTTTTGAACTACAATATCAAGAAATTTTATGATTGTGAATTACCGCCATGGCACAAGATAGTTGCCTATATTTGCAAAGATGTTGACTTTCAAGATTATTCCAGAAAAAAAAGATTTGAATTTTGCTCGAGAGATTTAGGTAACTGCTATAATGGACGTAAAAATCTTTTGGCCTTCTATGATGAGGTCTCTAAGGAAATGGGTGAAAGAGATGGATTTTTGGTGATGAGAGCAAAATTGGAAGAAGTGGTGAACTATTATCAGTTAGCAGTTCCATCAACCGAAATGTTATCTTCTGTTAAAAGTATGGAGGGAATTAAACTTTTGATTGAAAGAACTATTTCAGATTATTAGTGCTTTTTTTTTTTTTTTCTAATGAAGATGTGTTCATCATCTTCAATACTGGAGCTCTTTAATTATTTATTATAGTTTTAATTGTTTTTTAAGAGAGGTTTGAATTTGATGTCACTGTTTTTTGGAAGTTTTATTGATGTAGTGTTTATTTGTAGTAAATATGTAAGGTTACTATGGACTGTGTCTCTGGTCAGCTGGTTTTCAATATGTAATTATTCTCTACGCACACTTTATTTAATCAAAACCACTTTAGTACATTTTATATTCATATGAAAGTGGTGGGAGATTTAAGCTAAAGAAATATGGATGATAGTCGATTAGTAGAGTCACACACTAAGATGTTATCAATTGAAGGCAACAAAGGGGGGTTGAACGAACCATCTCAGTTAATCAGTTAATTTTGAATTATTTATTATAATTCACAAAAATATATGACTCAGAATTCTGACCTAACGGAAATGACTTAATATGCCATTTTCTGTATGGGATGAATGATGGTTGAAATATACCATAAATAAAAGAATGATTTACTTTCTGGTGTTAGTGATTGTGACTTAAATGTTGTTACAATAAGCGTGTCTATGAGTTGTTGACAGCTGTTATAATAGTTGTGATTTGCTAGTTTAACATCTAATAGATAAAAAGAAATGATTTATGAGAGCAATACGCAAGCAAAAGATTTTTAACTTTCCTTTACAGTATTTGCAGATATCCTATAGTACAAAAAACATAAAGTAAAAAGGGTGGGTATATTGCTTCCTATTTAGTATAATTAAATATAACTTGCTGTTTGTAAATTTCCTACCTAGAATTTATAGATAGGTAGAAATGAATAAGGGCAAATTGGATCTTCCAAAATTGATAGTACGACTAAATATTAAACAATCCTGCTGACCGCCGACAATAATCTGATTAGTGTGTTACACAAACATGAACATAATAAGTATCATCTCAGGAAAGTATTATGATAATAAAGAAAAGTACGAAGAAATGATGACAGAAATGTGTGATGAACTGTCAATCAATTTTAGAAAAATGTGATAAAATTGCCATGAAAGCTACTTTTGATCAAAAATCGGACCAGAATAGAGACAGGAAGGAGCCTGAAGCTGACGGAAAGGCGATTTTACAAAATATAAGAGCTTATATTCCAGATATCATCCTTACTGAACGTGAACAAGTTAGGGGTGTATCCCCTAGCACTGCAAATTAAAGCATTTGCCATGTGATTGTTGGAGTGATGGTTTCTTGCTTATAAGTGACGAGCCTTTGAACTCTAGTATTAAGAATTTCTATGATTGTGGATTGCCAACATGGAATGAACTAATTAGCTACATTTTTAAAGACTTTGATTTCGAAGAGTATCGCAGAAAAAAGAAGTTTGAATATTACTCAAAGAAGATAGATAAGAATAAAACTATTCGCGAAAGTCTCCTTTCCTTCTATGATGAAGTCTCTAAAGAAATAAGTGAAACGGATGGGTTTTTGGTGATGAGGGCAAAATTGGAAAAAGTGGTGAACTATTATCAGTTAGCAGTTCCATCAACCGAAATGTTATCTTCTGTTAAAAGTATGAAGGGATTAAAGCTTTTGATTGAAAGGAACATTCCCAGTCATTTGAGATTCCTGAAAAGCGCATATGAAGTTAAAGACTATTAGTTTCGAAAAGATTAGTTGTTACTGAATTTCCTCTATTTTTATGATTAATTGATCTTGGCTCGGCACTATTACTGGGATGCATTATATAGGGTGCCATAGGGGGTAGGTTAAATAAAAGAGATTTTTGATTACTTAATATTTTGCTATTGTTTGAAAATTTTGAAATAAAAAACTATATGTGTGTTAAACAGGGGCTGTGTTCACTCAGTTAACAATAATATAAGAAAGGAAAGAAAAATTCTGTAAGATATTTTTTATTTTTTATTGGTTCGGATACTCTCGATAATAAATATCTTATGTGAGTGTCAGTCTGCCAGTAGTACAGACCCCCTAACATGGCTAGATGGCCAATGGCGTATAACCACAAATACTTCCACTACTTTTGTAGCTTTTGATGATTAATAGTTACTACTATCATGTGTATAGAAGTATCAAAAAGTATCAAGAGCCACAGCCAAATTTCTGTTTAGATATTATTAACCCTTTACATTTACTTTATACTTATTATTATCATTACATTAATATCTATAAACGGACATTTAGTTCTCTGTCTAATCCAATCATGAATCCTGAAACTATTCCAACCTCCAACGAAGTTATTAAGGAGTCAGCCCCAATTGAAACTCACCATGAAGCCAACCATAACTCTGAATTCGGCACTATCAAAGAGTTCAACGAACTCAAAGATATTGTCTCCAGTATGTTGACCATGATGAAATCCTCCATCAGCACCGCCAGCGACCATCATGTAACCGAACCAGTTACCGAACCAGTTCAACAATACAAGCCTTTCGTAGTTCAAATTTAGCTTCAATTAATTTTGAAGCTTTTAGACAATCATAAAGTTTCAAGCAACTCAACAGTAAGGGAAGTTTTAATTTCTCGCCAAGTAAGGTATTTTGTGTTTGCTTAGAGAAATGCGATGCAAAAGAATGTATTGCTGATCAAAAATCAGACGAAACAACAGAAGAAATAACCTTATTAAAGACTATTATGGATCGTAAAGACAATGAATTTGACCAAAAGATGATTTTACAAACCATAAAAACAAATGTTCCGAAAATCATTCTCGATGATTGTGAGTTGCCGCCATGGCACAAGCTAGTCGCCTACGTTTGCAAAGATATTGATTTTGAAGAGTATTCTAGAAACGAAAGATTTGAATTTTCCAAAAAAAAATTAGAGGAAAACAAAAATAATCGACAAGGTCTCTTGGATTTCTATGAAGATGTCTCTAAAGTAATGTGTGAAATGGATGGATTTTTGGGGATCAGAACAAAATTGGAAGAAGTTGTGAGCTCCAATAAATTGGCGATTCCATCTGCGGAGATGTTGTCATCCGTTAAAAGTATGAATGGGGTCAAACTATTGATTGAGAGAACTATTTCTAATTAATAGAATTAGCCAATTGTTGCTGCAAACAATAACTGGAGCTCAAATGACTTTTTTTTTTTGCTTGTTTTCATTATGTTTCAAGGGGGAATATATATATATATATATATAATTTTTTTTATACTGAACGCTGGTGCTATTAAAGCTAGGCTTTGAATTGCTATTTCTATGGTCTGAAAATTTTATTTATTTAGTATTTATGGTTAATGGATACAATTGTTGTGTAGTATATATTCCTGGTGATTTGTAGACTTCTTACAAGCAGTATGTGGATTGTATGTTTGGGTCAAATCTGCATCAACCCACGTTAAGTGATTTCTTCGAGCTATACGAAGTCCCAAAAAAACAATCACTCATCAAAAGTATAGTTTTTAAGAAGCATGGAAGCATGGAAGCTCAGTAAGATCGATGTAAAGATAATGGATAAGATGATAAATTAAGAAGAGCTAAAATAAGCTAATAAAATGGTTGTGGCGAATTATATTTAGAAGGTAGTCCTGCGAAGGGCTTTCTAAGGGTGTTGAATGATGTTCAGAATTCTATGGCTTATGAACTACAGGTAACATCTCCAGTGATACACCAATAAATCCCTATATTGATTGAAATTAATAATTAGTTCTATAAAATAAGGAACTAGTTGATAAACTTAAGGACAAGCATAAACAAAAATGATACTAAGAAAAAAAAGGAGCAGCAGCAAAGCATGTCATTTGAAAGACGAATTTTTCCGGAATGAAAGAAATGAAAAATCTTTTCCTTTGATTTAGCCTTATATTCCTCATCAAACTATAAATACGAATGATTATCTTGATGATTCTTAAAATATGAGTGTTTAATACAGTACATCATTCACAAAGAATAAAATGAATAGCATTGAAACAGAAAGCATTGAAACAGAAAGCAGTGACAACATGTCGCTAAATACTATCTCTAATTTTGATGACGATAAATCAAATTCAAATCAAGTTGAAGATTTTCTTAATGGCAAGCATAAGAGGACTACGACTAACGCCGAGAAACAAAAAGGGGTTTCTACTTTGATGAGCCTCTTAGATGGAAAAGACAATGAATTTGATGAGCAGGCGACGTTGAAAGATATAAAAACTTATGTTCCCAGAATCATTCTTGAGGAATATGAGCCTACTACTCTTCAAGACAATACGATAATTGAAGAAATCAAGAATTATTCAAATGAAGAAAATTCTCCAATATGTCCTCTGAGATTCCATGAGAATGTATTAGAGGCTATTTTAGAATTTCAAAGTTATTGTATAAATCTTCAAGTCGAAAAATGGAGTCACTCGTTTTTTCTCAGAAGTGATGAGCCTTTGATATCCAGTGTAAAGAGATTCTATGATTGTGAATTACCTCCTTGGCACAGGCTAGTCGCCTATATTTGCAAAGATGTTGATTTCGAGAAGTATTCCAGAAGCAAAAGATTCGAATTTTGTTCAGAAAGATTGGCTAAGAATAAAAACAACCGGGATAGTCTTTTATCATTCTATGTGGAGGTCTCTCAAGAGATGTGAAAGGGATGGCTTTTTGGTAATGAGAGCTAAATTAGAAGAAGTAGTGATTTATCATAAATTGGGAGTTCCATCCGCTGAGATGTTGGCATCTGTTAAAAGCATGAAAGACATCAAGCTTTTGATCGAAAGAACCATCCCTAGTTATTTGAACTTTTCTTACGATTATTATTAAAACGATGGTTACTATTGTCAGATTAGTTAAATATTTCCCCGTCCATTTTGATTTTCTTTTCTTTTTTTCATTTATATATATATCAATAAATTGTCAATTGAAATCCAGCTGTTAGATTAGATTATTCGGCGTTATACGATAATGAGTATTTTCTATAATTGTGTGGTTGTTTCAATTCTGCCTGATAACTAACGACTCTAAAAAAACTTTTAAAATAAAAAAGTAATCATAATTTTGGACCATTACGTGCAACAAACTGGTAGCCCTGTATTAGAAGTTTTAAAATGTTGATTAGCAATTTTGCAGTACGAGAAATTCTAGTCGCATGTTTTAAAAGGCAACTTTGCTATTATGATTTATGAAAAACAACAGTTTCACTGTTTTGAGTCGATATATCAGCCAATTCATGAAAACAACAAAAGATGGCCAGCGTTAGTTAGTAGAAAAGAAGAACCTGTTAAAGAGGTAGAAGAAATATTGGCATTATTGTGAAGTTTGGGCGAAGGAGAAAATAAATTTGATGAGCAAGAGATTTTACAAAATATAAGAAGTTATGCTCCAGGAGTAAAGCTTGATGACTGTGAACCAATTTTATTATTGTGACTTGCCGCCTACGCTTGTAAAGATGTTAATTCTGAATAGTATTCCAGACAAATGAGAGCTGAGTTTTACATAAAAAATATGGACACAAATATGAATCCTCGTGAACGCTTCTTATCTTTCTATGATGAGGTCTCTGAGAAAATGTGCGAAAGGGATGGCTTTTTGGAAATGAGAGCAAAATTGGAAGAAGTAGTAAATCGTGGTTGCTTAAAGGTTCCATCAACAGAGATGTTAACTTCCGTTAAAAACTTGCAGGGGATTAAGCTTTTGATTGAAATAACAATTTATAATTATAAGCCCAAACCAATTTACCTTTCTAAGAATTATTTAAACTTTTATAGATCTGGAGCTATATTATCTATGAATGCTTCTAAATATCAGTTTAGGGACATTATGTGTGGTTGTTTTTTTATTTGTTATCAGCATTACTTTTGCTATTTTATCCGTATTCTTTATGTACGATTAATTGGTATGGGTAATGTAGATTATATTTATGGTTACCTACATTTCAGTAAAGATTTTTTCAAAAAATTTGAGGCTCATCACTGTCTTAAGGCCATTCCCGTTTAAGGAAAGCCTTCAATGCAACAGGTTAATGGAAATCAGTTAGGGGCTCTTAAGGATTATCTGTTTGCGTAAGTTGTGTCTCTGCGTGAAATTGCAAGCGATCATGCGGTTTCTTCAAAACTTTCTATCTTCTAATAATAGCATTCTTTACACGAAATCTGAATAACATGAGGAAGAACTTTGGAGCCATGAAAAAATCAAAGCGGAAAAGATGACCATGGATTCACCCGGTGCAATCATACTGGAAAACAATAATGTAGCTTGATTAATAGGTCCAACTAACGACAGAGATTATTGGAAATCATATAACTTTATCCTAAATAAATTTCTTTGTAAGCGCTATTCTTACCCCTGTGTTGCTTTTATCCAAAGGTCTCTTAGACCACATCTTTGATGTTGGTAGGCACAAAGAAGGTAAGTGACATTTCATTACCCGTCCTCATGCATTTTGTACAAGCTCAAATCATCATCTAATGATATACGAATTGGACAATTTAGCAATGCAAATCATATTCTACAACAATATTAGAAAGTCTTCTTGTTTTAGAATGCTTCCAAGACTACTCTCTGGATCAAGGCGTACCATCCGTCCTTCACATGTTCGAATCACTACGAGCGGTGCTTCTAGAATATTCAAAGGAGATAAATTATACATCACTTGCCACTCTCCTAAATCCTATTTGAATACCCCATACCATTGCCAATCGAAACACTATTCTACTTATAAAACTTTTAAGAATGTTTCGGTGACTAGCAACCCTATTGAATATTTTGCATCCCCTGGCTCCAGAAACAAAATCCTTTTAGTTCTTGCTCTCGTTGGGGTGGTATATGTTCTGAACCTAGATGAGGCACCAATTTCTCATCGGTCCCGTTTTCTTTGGATTCCTAAGTGGGTCGAACAGTATTTGGGTAATAGAACTTATAATCAAATAATGTCACAGTATCGCGGGCAATTCCTATCAAGAGCGCATCCAACACATCAAAATGTTGAATATGTTGTGGGGAAGCTTTTAAAGAGCAGCGACGAATTAATTAAAGCCAACGATAATAACATCACTGATGGTTCTTTCTCTCGTGATACTGATACAGATGAGATTAGATGGGAAGTTCATGTCATAAATTCTTCAAGAGATCCTCCTAATGCTTTTGTGATTCCTGGGGGCAAAATCTTTGTGTTTTCCAGTATTTTACCATACACTCAGAATAATGATGGCTTAGCAACAGTTTTGTCTCACGAAATTTCTCATGAATTGGCTCGTCATACAGGAGAGAAGTTAAGTCGTGAACCTCTTTCAATTGTGGTGTCATTGGCCTCATTGGTGATTTTTGGTACAGATATCCTCGGGAAATTATCTGGCTTAGTGAGTTTACACCATTCTAGAACTCAAGAGTCAGAAGCAGATTATATGGGTTTGATGATTATGGCTAATGCTTGTTTTCATCCAGAGGAAGCCATCAAATTTTGGAAAAGAATGTCAGGGATGGGATCAATGAAACCTCCTGAATATTTATCGACTCACCCTAGTGATGGGACAAGAATCAATAATATCGAAAGTTGGCTTCCAGAAGCTAATGCTAGACGAGGATATGCTGGTTGTGATGATGTTACAGCTTTTTTCAGCAAGAGTTGGTGAACCCAAGGAACTTAAACATGGATCATGTATTGTAGCGCACTTAGAAATTTGATGAAGATGAAACTATTAAATCAGAGTTTAATTTGTAAAAACTTTTATCAGTTAAAGTACGTGAAATGGAAGTACGTGATCAATAAACCATCGTCATTACTATCGATAAAAGATCCTCTAGCCTAATTTCTAGAAATATCGTTCAAAGCGCAGTAACCATCAAAGAAAGAACTCAATATAAAGCAAAAAAATATTCTCAATATCACCGGTATTTCCTTTCCATTATCGGTATGGGATAGTAAGAAAACGATAAACCCTGTAATGAGCGTGATACCACTGAGAAAGTACCATCTATTACGCAAACAACTTCTGATTATCGTTTGTACATGGCCCGATGCATTGACTTGATTTTGATGAGATATATATCTCCCAGGGACCGGGGAGGGCAACAAGGGAGATGTTTCATTGCTATGACTTTCGGCTACCCTGTCATATTCTGCTTCAGCATCCGGGGAATTAATTCGTCTAAATCCTTTTCTGATCTTCTTATATAGATCGGTTTGAGATACACTGAAAGAGTCATCATTTGTATCATCGACTATGACGCTTTCATAATTCTGGATTGGTGCATTAATTTCAGATACAAGTGAATTGGATGAGTCCAGTGTCACTGGAGAGTTATTTGAGATTGAGATTTCAAAGTCTGCTATATCCTCCAAAGCTTCTTCAGTCAATTTAGAGATCAATCTGGCTTTTTCTTTGAGTATTTTCTTGAAAGGATTTCTAAAAGACATTGTAGCGTCGTCGAAAGATTCAAAGAGTTAGAGAGAAATTTATAGTGATGATGATCCCCAAGAACTTGAAATTCTGAGAAAAATAAATAGCTTCATTTTTCTTTGTGTCACTTTTAATCAAATGCATGTTGAGAATGACACTAGTGTTCGGGTGTAAAAGAGGATCAACGCGGTGTTTGGGTTTCGAAGATCATCACTTTTTTTTTTTGTTTGTTTTTCTGAAGCGCGGTTTCATGTCAACAGATCAGATTGGATTAGATTACCTCTTTCTTCACCGTTTATTAATCAAAACTTCATAGCACAGGAGTGTCATCTCAAGAGGGAATAGCCGTTATTCCTGGTTGTCCTCACTGTATTTGGAAATCGAAGATTAGTTGGATTCCAGTTTTTTATTTTTCAAATTCTTCTTATTGATCGATTCATGCAATCCGCATTGGCAAAGCCTATATTTTATCAGATAACATATAAATAGGAGGTATGAGAATCGAGGAATTAATTATTGATGGATTTAAATCCTATGCCGCGCGTACCGTCATTAGTGGATGGGATTCACTGTTCAATGCAATCACTGGTTTGAACGGTTCGGGGAAATCCAATATTTTGGATGCCATTTGTTTTGTTCTTGGTATCTCATCGATGTCTACGGTTCGTGCATCCAACCTACAGGATTTAATTTATAAAAGAGGTCAGGCAGGTGTCACAAAGGCTAGCGTTACGATTGTATTTGATAATTCAGATAAAACCACAAGCCCTATCGGGTTTACTGATCATACTAAAATCTCTATCACCAGACAAATTGTTTTGGGTGGAACTTCCAAATACTTAATCAATGGTCATAGGGCGCAACAGCAGACAGTATTGCAATTATTTCAATCAGTTCAATTGAATATTAATAATCCGAACTTTTTAATTATGCAAGGTAAAATCACTAAGGTATTGAACATGCCGCCATCACAAATCTTGGCTTTAATTGCTGAAGCTGCTGGTACAAAGCTTTTCGAAGATAGAAGGGAAAAGGCAGTAAAGACTATGGCAAAGAAAGACACTAAATTGAATGAAATTAAGGCGTTGTTATTGGAAGAGATTGATCCAAAATTAGAGAGGTTGAGAAAAGAGAAAAAGGCGTTTCTTGAATTCCAAGAAACTCAAACAGAATTGGATAAACTTCTGAGAACTGTTAATGCCCATGATTATCATAACTATTCGACAAGGTTTGAACAATATAATAGTAAGTTAAAACAAGAGAAAGAATTGATTACTAAGTTAAATGAGGATGTTGAAAGATTGGCTGATGAACTTGCCACTTTACAAGAAGATTTAGAAAAAGCAAAGGCCTTGAAAGAAAAAGAATTGAGGAAAGGTGGAAAACTTCAATCTTTAGAAAAACAAGAAGCTGAATTATCTAATAAAATTGTGAGATTGGGCACTTCCAAGAGTTTGAAAGAACAGAGTTTTAATGAAGAAACTGGTCACCTAGAAAATTCAAAAACAATGTTGGCCAAAGAGACAGAAATATATGAATCCAAGATTGAGTTATTGAGTAGTTGGGAAAGCTCACAAATAGCAGCAAAGGAGGAATTACAAAACTTTAAGAACGATATTACTGTCAAAGAGGAGTTACTTGCGTCCTTACAGACTGGGGTGTCTTCAAAAGGTAAAACGGGTGGTTATATGGGTCAACTCCAAGAAACTAAGCAGAAACTTTCGAACTCCAATGTCACTATTGAGCAATTGAAGTTGAAGATCCAAAGATTGCAAAAAGAAATCAAAACCGATGAGCCAAAGGTGGTTAGGGCCCAGCAAGAAATTGTCACTTATCAGAAGGAAATTGAAAATCTCAAAATAAAGTATGAAGACGCTCAAAGCCAGCTAAAGAATGTCGGCTTTGACTCAAATAGACTTAAGCACTTGAAGGATCAACAATATTCATTGCAACAAAGGATATATGGGGCTTCTAATGAATTGGAATCTGTTAGAAGAAGAATCACTTCTTTGGAATTCAATTACTCCAAACCTTCACCAAACTTTGATCATACCTCGATTAAAGGTGTGGCTGCTAAATTGTTTACCTTGGATAAGGAAAACTTCGATTCTGCCAGTGCCTTGGAGGTAAGTGCTGGAGGGAAGCTTTTCAACGTTGTTGTTGATAATGAAGTTACTGGTTCGCAATTATTGGAAAAGGGCCGATTGCGCAAGCGTGTCACCATTATCCCATTGAATAAGATTGCTGCCAGGTCAATAAATGCTAACGTTGTTCAAATTGCTAAAGACTTATGCCCAGGAAAAGTTGAATTGGCTCTTAACCTAATTGGCTACGAAAACGAAGTTTCTAAAGCCATGGAATATATTTTTGGATCGGTATTCATCACCAAGGATCCGGAAACTTCAAAAAATATTACCTTCAATCCCCAGATTCGAGCTAGAAGCGTGACTCTTGATGGCGATGTTTATGATCCTTCTGGAACCTTGTCTGGTGGTAGTAGAAGACAAACTGGATCAATTCTCGTTTCTATCCAAAACTATAATAAGCTTAATAGTGATTTACAAGCGCTACAGGATGAGATGAATGATATCAAAGCCGATATTGAAAGAGAAGAAGCTATCAGTAGAGAAACAATGGCATTACAAAAGCAAGTCAATTTGACCAACCATGCTTTAGAATTAGCAATCAAGAAATCAGAATCCAGCTCTGCAAGCCAATTGATCAAGAAACATGAAACAAATAAGGAAGAATTACAACATTTGAATGACAAGATTGGTGAAGAAAGTGAATTGCAAAAGACTTACAACGAAGAGCTTTTAACAATTGAAAAGGATATGAAAGAGTTTGAAGCCAATAAGGGATCTAAATTGAAGGAACTAGAAATGGAAATTAAAAATGCTAAGAAACAAGTAAAGGAGCTAGAGGCCACTGCAAATGCTAAATTTGGTAAATATGAGGACTTGCAATTTGAAATTGAAAAATTAGCTGGTGATGTGGAAGCACTCAGGGACCAAGTTAAAGAAGGCGAAACAATGATTTCTGATTTAAAAATTGAATTGGAGGGAATTGAACAAGATTTAAGGGAGTCCAATGAAAAATCTGAAGAATTGAATGCCCAGATTGAAGGAGAAAAGGTCGCCATGTTAGGAATTAATAAGGAAATTAACGAATTAACGAAAACCATGAATCAGAAGGACAAATCCTTGAATGACAAGAAATTGAGAAGTCAAAAACTTAGTCACGAATTGGATAAAGTTGAAAATAGCACTGATGCATTGAAAAAACATTTGGATAAATTGATTGAAGAGAATGACTGGGTAACTGATAAGAACATAGTAGATAACATTATCCAACAGAGCCCAAATATCAATGTTGCTGAATGTCATCAAAGAATTAACCGATTGCAATCAAAGTTTCAAGGTATGCGAAGAAGTGTTAATGCCAACATTATGAGTATGATTGATAATGTGGAGAAGAAGGAAACGTCATTGAAGACTATGATCAAAACAATCGAGAACGATAAGGCAAAGATCGAAGAAACAATTGTGACCTTGGATGAATATAAAAGAGAGACTTTAGTCAGTACATGGCAAAAAGTTTCTAAAGATTTTGGTCAAATTTTCTCGGATCTTCTACCAGGTGCGTTCGCAAAGTTGGTGATTCCTGAAGGCAAAGATATTACAGAAGGGCTTGAAGTCAAAGTGATGCTTGGTAAGGTATGGAAGGAAAGTTTAGTAGAATTGTCTGGTGGCCAAAGATCTTTAGTGGCTTTATCCTTAATTATGGGCTTGCTTCAATTCAAACCCGCGCCAATGTATATTCTTGATGAAGTTGATGCTGCTCTTGATTTGAGTCACACCCAGAATATTGGTCATTTAATTAAGACAAGATTTAAAGGTTCTCAATTCATTGTTGTTTCATTGAAAGAAGGTATGTTCACTAACGCTAATAGGGTGTTTAGAACAAGATTCCAGGATGGTACTTCTGTGGTCAGCATAATGTAAATTAGTGTGTAATGTATATTTATTTATTATTTTTTTTTTTTGCACTTATTTCTTTTCATAGTTTTTCTTGATACAAATATAGAAGATAAATAGGGATTGGTATAATTCTTGGAGTTACCTAAATAGTAGCCTACTGACTCGAAACAATAATATTAGTATTACGGATATAGAGAGTACCATTACAAAACATTTGAGCAGAAATCCAAACAAAAAAAAGGAAAATAATAATGATCTCCAGCTTTCTGGTGCACAAGCAATTCCTCGGCATCATCAAGCTGTTCAAGCTAATTTTCCTCTTGTTTTTCAATCACTGCTTGTTTCACTTCTTCTATCTTTGATAAATAAGCTGGGCGCAACTTCACGTATCTACCGTTCAACTTTTTGCTGGACAAGTTTTTAATTGCAAGTTCTTGACCATTTTCAGCAAGGACAGTGATCAACGCGGAAACGTAGTAGTGAGAAAAATGTATGTTTTTTTTAGTGTACCTCCCTTTGAAAAGGTATATTTCAAAAGGCTCATATTCCGCAAAAAATGTTCTCAAATCGGTGTCAGTGGTATTAGGATGAAGCTTACCCACAAAAATTGTATCTTTAGAGGTTTCTTTTTCCTTTTTTGTTTTAGAAGACTCCTCTGGTTCCTTGGCAGGCTCTAATGGAGTTTCCAGAACTTCTATCAGGACAGGTTCTTGTAGTTTTTTCTCTGTAACTGTCAGAGAAACTTTTTCTTGTTCCTACTAAAGTCAGTAAGAATTCAGAGTTTTTTTAAAAAAAAGTGAGGTGAACAAACCTTTGAAGCAGAATCGCTTTTGTTGTGATGGTGTGATCTCTTTGCTCTTGGAACATATGGGGTATACATTCTAATTCTTAGTTGACGACCTGACAAGGATTTCCCATTCAATTCTTTGACAGCTTTTGTAGCGAGCTCACGATTTTCAAGCTCAGCATAGGCAATTCCTAAAGGTTTATGGTACTGTTTACCCCTCAAACCTCTAATGGTTTGACTTGGAACGATTACCAAAACACTGTTTTTTTGTCAGTCTAAGTTCTTTGAAAATTCCTTGAACCACAGAATTGGGAGATCAAAACTTACACTTTATAATCTTTCAAGAGTTCGATGATATCTTCTTCACTAGTACTATAATCCAAATTTGAGATGCAGACAGTCTTGATATGGGAGGAATTCTTTTCAGAAGTGATGGTAGAGCTGGAAGATGGATAAGGAGTACTAGTCGATTCCAACTCTGGAGAAGCGCCGGCTTCTGCTTTTTCTATGGAAGAACTCATTGAATGATTGCTACTTATTGTTACTATTGACATAAAGACAAGAATAAAGAAACAAAAAGAGAAATAAACAAAATAAAAACTATGCTAACTCTACTTTTTATATCAATAATTTTTTGTGTTCAGTACTACTTCATGCATGTTGGGGACACAAAACCAAAAGTCTTCTCAGTTTTTTTTTCTTCATAAGCCCTTCCTTGCAAACTTACACACAAAAACGTTCCAGAAAAAATATCATAACGAAACATTCAATCAAGACATAATATTAACTCGTCAGCGAATTTATGTAATTATAAAAGCTTTAGAAATACCAGAGCATTTATACCAGCTATCTTAAACGAATTAGGGCCATGACAAGCAGAAGTTGATGAGAACATAACCAAAAATTTAATAGTGTACACATTTAAACCATCGTCAGAACTTATTTGGCTTCAGCACGCTTGGCAGCAAGGGCCTTAGCGGTACCGTGCAAAGCATGCTTGTGGTTTCTCTTGAATTTTGGATCAACACCCTTCAAAGATGGATATCTGTAGGTCTTTGGCTTCTTAATACCGTTTTTGTGAGCCTTCTTGGTTTGGTTGTGAGCGGTATGGTTCTTAGATTTAGCCATTTTCTAAAAGTTAAATATTAGTATAACATGCACGGGTGATGATAACACACACAATAATAATATCGAGGTTGGTTATAATAGGCTTCCGGAAACCTTCACAGTTTTGTATATCAAAAAGTCGGAGTAAGACCAGTATGAAAGCTTAAATCATTAAATTTTGATTATATTAATTCGCTTTTTGTCATTTCGTTTCATTTCAATTTGCTTTAGTTTGGCTTGACGATTTTCTGGGTTTTTTTGCTTTAGTTTATCTTGATTATTTTCTGGCTTCTTTTGCTTAAAATATCTTTGAAATTTAAACACAACTCAAGGTAATTACACTTTCACCAAATACGTATTCACAGATAATATGTGTTTCTTAACAATAATTGTGACATTCTCATAAAATCAGATATAACCTTCCAATATTCAATCCACTCTATACATACTGTTGATTATATCTATGATCGTTGATACCTTCAAATGTGGGTGTGGTAGCAATTGGTGCTAACTAATTTTTAATAAAATTGAAAAAAATTGAGAATCACGATCGCTGCCCCTGTATCTTTCCTAATTTGGATGAGTCTGCTAATAACGCACGAAATGCACGTGATGGATTATAGGGCTGTAGTCATGTGTTTAGGAAATTAGGGCGCTACAATCTCAATGCATAATACTGTGAATAGCAGTACATATCATGCAGTTACCGAAAACATCCCCTCTTCGATGAGCCACCCGTGCTTGGTAAAATAGATAATTCATTTTGGGTGTTATCAGTCATCCTTTATCACGATGTTTACTATCTTGCAAATACCAACGTTTAAACAATCGGGGAGACAGAAATTTTCCGAGGAATTTTTCCAACGTTTTGTTTATTCATCAAATTTATCTATAAAATGTTATCAATTCTAGATTCAGTTGCACCTTTTGTGCCCCCATCAGATTTAAGAATTGCTTTATCCGGTATTACGGGTTCTGTTTCGTATGTGTGAACTTTTTAGGCCACAGTTGATGGTGTTCCAATATTTTCTTTCTTTAGATATTTGTCTATTTATTATTTTCAATTCCGAGTAAATACTAACTAACTCCATACCAGCTTTGCTTGTTGGATTGTTTTACTAATTCCTCAGCTTATCGAACAGTGGAAACTTAAATCTGCAGATGGGATTTCTTTGGGAACTGTTCTTATTTGGGTAACTGGTGATTTGGCCAATTTGGTAGGTGCCATTTGGGCCGGTTTATTACCTCCAGTGATCTTGTTAGCTGTCTGGTTTTTGATCATTGATGGGTCGTTGTTGACTTCGTATATCTACTATACTCACATTTTCCCAAAAAGACATAAGATAATTCACACTCATCACAGTGAAGAGGCTACTGAGAACACTACTCTTTTAGCCACAAGTGAAAATGAAAATGCTCATGGAACTCAACAGACAAATGGAAGAAAATCCAGTACGAAATCCAGAAGAGATTCTTTGACATCGTTGGCAGTTGCGTCGTCCCATTGGCTGGCTTTCCAAAAATATGTTTTGCCAATGGCGTTTGTATCAATGGCTGGGGTGGTTGGCTACTTACTTTCTTCCTCTCCAAGTGCTCCACCTGATGGTGAGCTACCAACTCTTCCAAATGACGAATTAACATTTGGTGCCCAATTCTTTGGGTACTTCTCTGCCCTTTGTTACTTGGGTGCCAGAATTCCTCAAATATTATACAATTATCAAAGAAAATCGTGCCACGGTTTGAGTCTATTATTTATTTTGTTCTCAACTTTCGGGAACTTGACGTACTCTTTGCAAATTTTGTTTTACCGTTCTGACGCGGATTATGTCATTTTGAATTTGCCATGGTTGATTGGTTCCTTGGGTGCAATTGTGGAGGATTCTGCGATTTATGTACAATTTATCATTTACAGAGACAATGCTGGCAATGATGATTTGGTAGAGGCTGTTGAAGATGTGATACAAGAAGTTTGACCTACCATGATCTAGTGACTCACCTTTATTTACTATACGTTTTTCATTTACATATGTTTTCAATTCTCGATCATAGTAAGCTCCAAATTCAATAATTTCATTCACCTAAAAAGAAAAGAATTATATATAAAAGACAAAAAATAATGTACAATAAATGCCAACGTTCATCGTTAGTCCTGTTTCCTTTATTTATCTATTTTTCTTGACTCATGTCATGTCACGTACTAAGGTTATATAATACAATACTTAAAATCAACCGTGTGACATATTCGACCCTACGTCGAAGCTTGGGCAGAAGATTGTTGAACAGTTTGAGGTTTGCGTGAAGGAGGGTTCAGGACTGGATTGGAATTTGCTGTTGGTTGAGCTTTCTCTGGCTGAGATGATCCATTAGTCTTACCTTCAGATGCAGCAGATTTGGCCTGTTCCTGTAATTGTCTTTCTCTCTCAATTGCCTCCTTTTCTTTTCTGCTTTTAGGACCAGGCTTGCTTCTATACTTTTTGACAGTTTTGGTATTTTTTGTAGTGTTTCTCGAAGCATCTTTAGAAGCAATAGCAATCTTATTGATTTGGCCAGCCTCTTCAACCAATGGGCCCCAATAAACGAAAAACCCATCTTTTGTGACGGCTCTGGTCTCCTCCCACAATAATTCTGTGTCATCGATAAAGGGATCATCATAATCATACTTCCCAATCTTTCTATTGTTCTTTGTGATCATTTCACGAATCTTCTTCTGTGATTCTTCCATGTTCTCCTCATTAGATTGGTCTTGTTGTAACTGCAATTGCTCTTGTAATTTTTCTTCCTTCTCCTTTTGCAATTTCAATTGAGTTTTCTTGAATTCCTTTAACAACTCATTATTCTCGGTATTACCAGGTATCGATAATGGATCTCCCATAATATCCATATCATCATCAAATAAGTCATCTTTCAAAGCATCAATAGCAAAATTAGCATTTGGATGAATAGTTTTGAACCCGTATTTCTCCTCAGCTAGCTTCATGACATTGATAATAACCTGGCCACCCACCATAGTATTCTTGCCGTCTGCGTCGATTTTATTCAACGGAATATCAAATAACAATGGTATTTCAGACTTCTTTTTAAGATTACCCTCGTATTCATCGTCATCATCCTCCTCGGCGTCCAAATCAACTTCTTTCTCATCATCATCATCATCGTCCTCCTCATCGTCGTCAAGAACTTCAATAACCTTATCATCATCGCTGTTCAATAAATCGCTCAATTTGGCAGTTCTATGTGGTTTTGGAGCCGCACATTTTATTTCAGGAGAAGGTTTTTGCTGAGAAGAACTTTGTAAAGCCGACAATTGAGGTGGTTGTGGGGAAACACGAGTTATTGGAATGATAGTTGGCAGAGCAATTTGTTTTTTTGAAGAATCCTCTTGCACGGAATACGGTTGTAAGACATCAACATATGGGTTGATTACTTGTGATGGAGCGGTAGCCAGTTTCAGTTTGTCACTATCTGACTTATCTTCTTTCTTGTTGACTGTCTTCTTTGCTCCCTTCTTGCCAGCGCTGCTCACCACCCTTCTACCTGATGTTGTTTTAGGAGCAGGCAATGGTGTTGATGCTGCTGTTTGGCCATTATCCCCTGCATTGACGAAAACCAATTCCTTGATATTGCCAGCCGACGCTGGTCCAGGTTGACGCGCATCTGGTTTTGGAGTCTTTTGCTTTTTATTTGCTTCTTCTTCTGTAGCACTCGGAGATGATTTTCTCTTTTGTTTAGTTTTTATTTTGGCGCCTGGATCTTCAATAATGATCAAATCTTTTGGCTTTGACAGTATAACGACAGGAGTCGGCGATTCTTTGCCTGGCGTTGCACCGGGATTCACGCTCGTTCCTAATATATCTGCAAAAGAAATTGGTTTTAAATGAAGAGGCGGAACCGAGGCTGCTGCCGGGGCCTCCTTTTTGGTTTTGATTCCTCTTGGGGCTCTTTTGGCCTTTGGTTTAGCTGTGGTTGCTGCTGCGCCTGCTGCTGCTGTTGACTTTGGTGCTGTTTTTGGTTTCGGCTTGGCTCTTGGTTTTGGTTTGGGCTTAGGCTTTGATATAGTGGTATCTGCTGGATTCAATATCTTTGATAATGATTTGGATGACCGTACTGGTTCTGTGGGCATTGTAATGATAATGCCTGAGTCTTGTGAAGGCGGGGCGTCTAAGTCAATAATCTCATTGATATCACTGCTATCAGAGTCCGAATGGGTCAGATTTTTAGGATTCCTTTGATGATGATGATCATCATCATCATCATCCACGATGACTGGGATCGGTTCCTCTTCCTCTTCGTTTGCAAGAAGTGATGAAATGCTGACCATTTCTAAGGTTCGAACAATTAGTATTCAAGGAAAATCAGTGCTGTGTATGTCAATTGGCAATAATTACTCACTTCCCGAAGACATTTACTAGCCCAGTTCTGAGATTCGGTTGCTTTTCTTACTATTTTGTTGCTTAAGGGTTGTCCTTTGTTGTTTGTTTGTTTTTTTGTTGCTCTCGAACTGACATTTATACAAATCAATAATACATGTTTGGTTCTGGAAAAAAAAATCAGCAGCAGTGTGCACGGGTGATCAATTAGACGTAATACTATGGTACACGATATGTAATCAATATATATCTTGATGCAAATTAAATGAGCAAAAGCTGAAAGAAACCCTGACCAATAGAATATAAAATATAATACACTATGAATGGCAAAGAAAAAAAAAAAAAAAAGAAAAAAAGCCTTATGGACACATATAAATATTCCCCCCATGGGAATCGAATAAATCCACCAATTGCAGCATCGATTCATCTCTGACACTCCACCCAACCCTGTTGGATATTTGCAAAGTCTTTAAATACGGCAATCTCTGCTCAGCAAGGGCAATAAGTAAATCATCAGGATGTATTTTATTGGATTGGCCTAAAGTACCCGAAGACCCCAAATAAATTGATTTCAATGGTCTTAGACTTTCAAGTCCCAACTCCTTATAATTGATTTTCCTTCGTTTATTGTTTCCATCCGTTCCATCTGCATCTTTTACTGGAGATGCATCATCACTATCTTCCTGATTCTCATCCTCATCATCTTCTTCTTCAAAATAGTTTTGTGTCGTGGATATAATGATATTTCTTAGGCTGATATCATAATCTTCTGCATCAATAAGATAGTTTCTTTTCGCGAGCTCATTCTTGCCAACTCCATAACCGTAACCGGCAGCTCTTTTACCACCATCAATTAGAACGTTCTCTCGATTAGAATTGAATTGATAGTTTGGTATATGTCTTGAGTTGATAATCCAAGGAAAGTTGATTTCACTAAAGGACCATTGTGATATGTAGTCAACGAAGATTTCTAGACTTTCAATAAATGGACAATATTTGAACATCAAATCAAGAGAATTATCTTTGAGGTTTGGCATCGGGTATATTATTGACAAATGTTTCAAGTTGAACCCTACTTTACCAAGAAGGTAATAGATAGAATAGTCTTTGATCAATGGGCAGTGCTGGAACTCTAAACTAGTCAAATTTGCTGGGAAATTCAAATCCATTAAAAACTCGTTTGTAATACCACCACTGAGTTTTAGTTGTTCTAAGTTTTTGGGCCATTCAAAGGTGATTTCATGATCCTTGATTTCTGAGAATACGCTACTACTATTCAAGTTGCAATTAATAGAGCTTCTGGGGAACTTTAGGACTTTCAATTGATTAAGTTCCTTGATGGAATTAAGTAAATCAAGTAAGTTCACAGTTTCCGAAACTAACGATAAATCCAATGTCACCAAATGATGACACATTTTCAAAATGTTTAATGAGGTTAACCCAAAACTGGTTTGTGGCGCCAGTAGTTCCGATAAGCTAGACGAGCATCGTCTAAGTATTTTCGTGATGTTAGAATTCTTCCCTGCTTGTACAATATTTCGTAGATCAAGGGTCTTCACTAATGGAGTTTTCGAGTATTTTAATTGTCGCTTCATGGAAGTTGAGTTTGTAGTAATTGTATTCATATTCGTTGAATTATTATCACCATATTGAAAGAATTTCGAAGTATATAAAAGGTTGACATAGCTGACAATTGACGGATTCGTCATCGAATCAACAAACTTGTTGAAATTCAAAGGGTTCAAAACCGGTTTTTCGTACAATATCTTCAAGCACAAAACGTACCATAGTTTAGAAACCAAGAAAAACTTCAAATTTAATCCATCAGGATAGGACAAAAACTGAAGGACCAACTCACATAATTCTGCTGGCAATTTCATGGGTAGATCTCGATTGATTTCTAACTGCTGCTTGCCCGCAGTATTTCCATCCTTGTTCGTCATCGTCTCCCCCTTGCCATAATAGTCTTCTTCGGAAGACTTCTTGGAGTCCCCGTAAGAATACGTATAGAACATATCCTCATCATCCTTAGCGTTCTTGCTGGAGTAATTATAGTATCCCGAATCACGTTCTTGTTCCCTTTCTTGCTGTTCTTTCTGTTTAAAATCATTTGCTGACAACTTGGTCGATATTATTCCATTGGGACCATATTTTTTGAATGGCACTTTGTACTTCTTTGGTCTTCTTTTATTGGCCATTCTTATATCGATAAAGAATATTAAAAGCGAATCACCGCAATTAATAAGCATGGTGGGGGGGCTTCTTAGACTAATTTTTTGAGACTTTTGATTGATGCGGGGCGTTTAGTAAAAAAATTGATTGCATTACGGCATCAATAGATTATTATTCTACAAAATAAGCACTTTAAGAGTCATTAGTGGAAAAATATTCAACTACTTTCTATTAAATATTGTTTTAAAATATTTCACGCTATTGAGATAAGTCCATACCATCACCTCTCAGGATAAGAACCCGGTGAATTTGGCAAAACCCTCTTTCTTTTCATTCATTCTTTCTTTGACATCTTGATGGATAGCTGATAAGTAGTCCCCATAACTAGAAGGGCCATCTACAGCCTTATCTTCCACAAACAATTCCACAAACTCCACTTGCTCATCTAAGCTGAATCTCAACAATTTTATCGGCAAAAATTCAGCCTTCAACACTTTTTCCCCAAAGTATTTTATAAGATTACGGACCTGTTGATTGATATGAGTATCAAGAATTGGCAATTCATCAATTAGTGGATCAAGTTTATCGAAAGCATCCACTCCGAAAAGATCTTGAAGGAGCAATGGATTAACTTCATTATGAACCCACAAAATCACAGACTGCCCATTGAACGCCAAATAACAGCCACCAACTTCAATAGAAGACAAAGAGGCTGAGAGACCTTTTGGAATCCGGTATTTAAGGTAAATTTCGTTATATTCACAATCATCATCACCCAAATCATGCAAGCCCACAATATATGGATAAAGGTAATATGAAAGGACCGGTAACGGCAAATTATTCAAGTTAAACATATTGTACACTCTCAAGTTATTCTTTGTCATCGAAGTGATTTTCTGCAAAATTCTAGATTTTTCAAATGCCAACATGTAAACCGGTAAGGTTCTCAACCCGTCTGGAACCACAAAGGCAGCCGGGGTCTCATTTGGAGAAACCAACCGTCTATATTGATAGAAAATATCTGAGACCTTCATATTAATTGACCTTTGAATTGAAATAAGTGGTTGTTCTGGAATATGGCTAAGACAGTCCCTGACAATGACATTTATCAACACATCCTTATTAGAAAAGGCAAAGACATCACCAACTTTCTCGGTAACGGCCGACACTAAATTAATAACACGGATCTTTCTAACACCAGAAATCGTAGTATACAAAATTGCCGCTTGGAAATGGCAGTCAAATCCTGTATATAAGTTATCATCATATGAGAATAACACACTAAAGTTACTATTCTTATTAAGAATTGGTATAACTGGATCGTTTGAAGGCCCTGAGAAATTCCCATAATATTTTTGTACTTGCAAGCCACTAGAAGATCTGACCTTCAAGTGACCCTGGTAACCAACGGTGTCTCCAATCGATTTTTTATAATCAAAGACAAACTTTCGTTCGTCTCTTATTGGATTGAATCCATGATATAACTTTAATGACCCACCAGTGTGAGAGGTGATGTAGGTAGCATTGATTAAATCCATATCAAAACTAGGGAAAACAAACAAATCCAATCCGACATTCTCTTTAGTGAAACATTTGATCAAATCTTTATAATATATGTTGTTTTCTTGGAGGACTAATTTTTCTTTATCAGCATCTTTACTAAACCCGGCATCTTCATATTTTTTCAAAAAGAGCATACCTTGGCCATAATTAGGAATCATTGATAATGTACAGGTGACTTTCCCACCTTGACCGTCAGTAAATTCATTAAGGGCAAGTTGAGCACACTTAAGCGCCACACCGTAGGAAACTTCAGGGTATCTAGTAAACTTATTGGTATTTTGCACTATGGTTAAAGTCTGATCAATCAAATCTCTCGACTCTAATGGATCAACAAATAATCCCTCATGGAATGGAACGAATGGATCGGCGACATCTGTCATGATGGTCACTATCGGTTGTTGTAACGATGGACTCATATTGTAAAATTGGACATTTTTATCAAAGGTGATGATCGCAATCTTTGATCCTGGGGGTAAAACACATTGTTCTTCTCCAGTCTCTTCATTCCAAGAATATAAAGTGGCATTGATTGCATCGCATACCAATCTTGGTAAATCCTTTTCCATCGCATGACTGCTGACATCGATCAAGAAAACTTGGTGTAATGGAACAGGCTCCATATCGGTATTTTCCCAGTATTTTTTTGGTAACACAAAATCAACAACACCTTTAGTCAATTCTGGTCTTTGTGCGATATCGATTCTTCTATAGGTATGATCCAACGCACATGAATACCCTTCGGGTACAGGAGACGCAAACTGGCACAAATTACAAATAAACTTATTGGCATTGGTGAATTGCATACCGTAATTGACATATGCTCGACAGCGGTTACATCTTGGAGGGCCGCCTTTCACAAAATCTAGATTGACTTCTGGCACTGGTTCGTCACCATCTTCTTCAACTGGGGCGAATGGCCTGACATTCAAGGCCACTGGTAACTTGGTGCTTGCTCTCAATTTCTCACTAGTTGGGATATCATATGTTGATAATGACATGAATTTAGACGATGCAGTTCCCTCATCAACCACTTTACAATCGGTGGTTGCCAATGGTGGGAAAGGGTTCTGGAAAGTTTGGTAATCTTTACTCCAAAATTCCTCTTGGTTTTCAGCACGCTCCTCCGGAACTGAAAACGATGCAGCAGGCTGGAAAGGTTTTCCAGTGTAGCCATCTGGCATGTTGTAGCTGACATTACGGGACGTGCTTCTTTGACTATTATTAAGTGTTGATGATTTGGTAGGACCACGTTGTTGTTCCGAGAGATATTGGAATTGTAATGTTGAAGGTGGAAGTGGGGAGAAAGGTGGGGAAACTGGGTTAGAAAAGGTTCCGCTGGGATAAGGAGCAGCAGACGGGTTTGCATTTGAAGCATCATTCTTAAATGCGTTCAATGTGGGACTGAACAAATGAGAATTAGTGTTTTGTGATTGCTGTTGATGATTTGAGGATTGTGGTGATGCAAATCCTGGTTGATTCAATTGGAAAGGACTGAACTGGCCGCCTTGGGGAATATACGATGTTTGGGAGCCATCTGAAAGTTGTGACTGAATTGGTGAGAAGGTTCCCAGTGAAGTATTCGGGCTATCAAGCTGTGGTGATAAGATATGGTACGCTCTCAGTGGTCTCTTCTTCTTAACACCTACAGCTGGTGATTTGGCCGGAACCGGCAGGTTATCTCTGCTGTTCTCATCGTTCAAGTTAAGACCCGATAATTGGGCATCGATGGACCCAAAATTGGTGTCAGACATATTAGCAGTAGACAAGAAGTCGTGGATTATCGGTGTCCCCAATCAGTCAGTTTACAAAGTGTTCATAAAATCTGGAAAAAAAAATAATAAATAAAGAAAAAACGCTACCCGCTGACTATCGGAAGATCAGGGGGTCCAGCACCCTGGTAAGGTCGCTACAGAAGGAAAATGCGATAGAAATATTAAATCACAACGCTAGAAAGAACCACTTTATTTTGCACAAGTATCCATGTACTGACGGGTGAAGAATAAAGGTTATATCTTTAGCAGCGTACCTACAGAAGTAAAATAATCAATAAAAGAATTAAAGAGTCTTTAGCAATAAAAAGAGCCCTTTTATAAGAAATGCAAAAATATAAATCACTGCTCATAGTCAGCTGGGTCACTATCATACTCCTTAATGTGCACCAAGAAGTCCTTCATAATATTCTCAAACTTAGGCAAGTCCCCGTAATTCTTGAATAATGCAATAATAAACGACGAGACTTGTTCCTGCTGTAATTGTGGGAAAGCATTACTCAACATATTAGCGGTAAATTCTTTCAAGTAAAGAGAGTTGGAGGTACCTGGTGGAACTTCACCTTCTTTATATAATGGAACGTTGATTTTCGAGGATTCTACCAATTCAATCAATTTGGCCAACAATTGCGCTTGTAATACAAACCCAGCCTTGTGGTCACTGTCGGTGATCACATAAAAGGTATCCGATAATATCGAGAAATAGAAGCTTTGGTAGAAAGCCGTGGTGAAAGGAGTTTCGCCCAATCTCTCAATATTTCTCAAAAGTTCGACAGCGAGAGTCAAACCAGCATCCTCGACATCTCTATTATTATGCTTGAACGCCCATAAAATAGCATCAACTAACTGCTTGAAGGCATCACCAGATAAGTTCAACAAGGCGTTGAATGATCTAGCGTCGATAGTTTGCAATAATTTGTAGAATTCCACACGATGTTCTGGGTAGTTAGTGAAATCCTTGTTTATCATATCTAAAGTACACTCAAACACATTCTGTAAAATCAATATCACGGCATCGCCAATCATAGGTCCGACTTTATCAACCACAGTTCTCATACAGTTCAATACTTCAGCATCTCTGGCATCGGCTACATTTGTTCTATAATCATCCAACACGGCACTCAATAAAGGTTCAATCAAATCTTTAACCACCTCATCTAAATTGCTAGCAGATGAAATATAAGTTTCAATTAATTTCAAGATTTCCTTCTTAATAGTTCTCAATCCACGCACTTTTGGAGTTTTAGTGGCGATTTCCCCTTCCTGGGCAACAGTATTTGAAATTAGACCACTGGTGGCTCTGTATAACGACAACATGTCGATGTAGATAAACCCTAATTGACCATAGAATGCTGAACCTAACGATTTACACACAGAAACATTTGTTTTAATAATATTGGCAATGATTTTCACGGTTTCTGAATTTGATAACAATTCTGGGTCGTTGTTTGCTTCTTCCATAATAGCACCCCAAGCAACGTTTGGCAAATGCATCAAATCTTTAATGAGTCTATCTCTGGAAGTTTTTGATGGCTGAGCGCTTACTATAACACCACAAGCCTCGTAGAAAGTATGAAGCTGTTGGGGCTGTAAATCTTCAGTGATTTGTGGAAGGGTTCTGATAATTTCATCAATAAATGGTTCTTTTTCTCCAGTATGAATCAACACAAAGTGTTTTTTACACTTGTCGGTGATTTTAATGAAAGTATCACAAGCCATATCTTGAACACCTTCATGGGTTTCGTGCATGAATTCGAATAATTTATTCACCACAGTCTTTAAGAATTTCCAGTGGGCTTTCAAGAAACGTGGATACTGTCCAACAATATACATGATGTTGGAAGCCACCACTGCTTTATTATCCTTACCTCTCTTCATGTCTGTGAGTGCCAATAAATCTTTTATAACTGTAACCAAGAATCTTTTTTCCATATCTTCAGTCATGGTACCAGAAATCGACCCAATAGCCCAACACAAAGTGTTAATGTTATGCCATGACCATTCGGAGCCATCAATTTGTTTCGCCAATTTTGTGGTCATGATTTGTTCAGTGTCCGTGACATCCAAATGGGTCAAATACACCAATAATTCTTTCATGGATTTATACAAAGTAATGGTGTCACTTTCTCTAACGAATTCTCTGACAATTTCCCCTTCATCATTTTCAACAATTAAAACTTCTTCTGGTCTAACCATAGATTCAATGACCACCAATCTCAATTTAGAAAGGATGTCATTGTAGATATGTTTTCTGAGTGGGAATTTCTCCAACAACTTAGGATTTGGAGCACCCGCAGAAGGATTGAAACTCTGATTATAACCCAACTGCAATAATGGACTCAATTCAGTTTGTGGCAACTTTCTGACCTCACCGTATAAACTAGACACCAATTTGAGCCAGTAATCCAAACAAGTTTTGAATAATTCGCGCTCTTCAATTCTCGAGAGTTCCACTAAATATTCGTTGGCGGTCAATAATATTGGTTTATAGTTTTCGTTCTTTTCTAAATAATCATAATGATTACTCAAAAATGTACTTAAATACATGGCTAAATCTTGTAAGAAAGCTTGATCAAATGATCTGGCGGTTCTGTAGGAAGTTCTAAGATCAGTACCAAGAGGGACAATTGAGTTAATTTGTTCCAAAGAGTTTCTAAACATAACAAAGAACTTCTCGTTGTATTGGTCGGCATTAAGTGAAGACACTTCTGTAAGACACTTGATGGTGATTGCTCTGGTGCTTTCTGCTTGCAAAAACTTCAAACTCACCAAATCCAATAAATCAGTGTCAAAAATATATGGCAATGGGATCCAATGTAAATATCTGAGTAAGCAGTCAAGGGTGGCGGCAAGGAGAGATGGTTTGCTTGCTTTATCCAACACTTCGTAACACAACTTAAAAATTTCTTGGAATTCTTTGGATAAAGTAAGTTTTAAATTCTTAGTTTTAGCCTGTGTCATCTTTTCATTAGAAAAATCAAAGATTTCTTCCGATAATAATTTCAAGATGATCATATTGTTTTCGCACACGTTGAACCCGGCTCTAGAAGAGGCAACCAATTCAGGAATGAAATTTGGCCAATCGGCAGGCCAGTCCTTCTTCAAGATCTGGACCAAGACCAAGTCGCACTTATTGATCAATGATTTTTGGGAGACAAATTGTTGGTCGTCATCACAAAGAGCGATGATCATGTTGACGACAAAATTTCTGATGCCCAATCGTTGCTCCATTGGCAAGAGCTTCCAGCGGGAGGTGATTAATTTATCCAAAATCTGGAGGGCAATGTATTTACTTTGAGGGTCTTTAGACGATTCCAAGATCTGGCCTGCTCTTTGCCAGGAGTCAGGGTGTTCTTGGAAGGCGGTAAGGACTTGTTGAGCGGTTTGGCGTTCAGGTCCTGATCCGCTGTAGAACACCATGACAACACGGTCTAGAAGCTCCACATCAAAATCCTTAGAAAAATCAAGAATGGATTCCATCGTTAATCTCTAAAGGTTCTGGTTTCAATTGCAATTACTATGTCAAAGATGACAACTGAGGGTGATGTTATGTGTCTAGGTTGATGGGGTTGCAAGAGGGATCGATAAGTGTTCGTGATTGTTCCCTAACACTTTTGTTATTTTTTTCCCTAAAAATTTTAACTCTGCGCGACAGTAGTTACCCGGGGGATACCCGTTGCCTAAGAGAACCACCAACATTCCACAATGACATGTATATATATAAATATATATGTTACACTTCCTTCTCGTAAGTTAAGTCGGTCTTTAGTTATTATTCACAAGTTTCTAAGCAACCAAGAAAAGACCTTGGGAAATCATGTTAGGATGTGACTTTCCGTAAATACCACACCCAGTGCCAAACATCTCCATACTGACTTGTACTCGTTAAATCAATCTTTCCATAATGATCTTAAATACAGTATCTCATTATTTCGACTCATCATTATCCTCATTATTTTTGTATTATTTTGTGATGGTGTTGGTCTTGGTGAGGGTGGTTCAGCAGAGCCCCAAACCTAAGACGCTGGCGTCAACATGCATGGGCCATTTTTTTCTCTCTTTTGTGTCACTTCGTTTACACCGGTATATAATATATATATACTATATATATATTGTAAGAATTACCACCGCTTTGAAATATTATTTTTTTCTCTCAATTCTTGTTTTTGTCTGTATTTCTTTTTCTCTCTTTTTTTTGTTTCTTTCCATCTATCTCAAACTCAACTTCATATCGTTTCAAACTTCATTAAAATCTGAGCTCTTTGCATCATGATCCTTTTCAATGAGTGTTTCTTCTTTCTCGTGTTGTTATTTCACATCCTAGTAGCAAATGGATTAGATCTGTCAAAAATTTCAAATAATTCTTCAGTAAATATTGATAATGTCTTCGAGTTACAACAAAAAGTTTCGACCAAAGCGGAAACTCGAGAGAAACCTGTCAGCAGCGCCATTACAGCCTCTTCCAGTTTTTTTCCAAAACAAACAATCATATCTGCCATGAAAACCAGTGCTGGTGCTCCCCCAATCATGATCAAAGGTAACAAGTTTTTTTATTCTAATAGCGGTACTCAGTTTTATTTGAAGGGTATTGCTTATCAACAAACTCTTGACGGAAACCTTTTGGAACAACAAAAGAAGGAATTCTTGAAAGAAAAGTTACGATCTATAGAGATGGCGAGTGCGGTAGAATTATCCAATGATGACGAGAGTTTTGAAGCTGCTAGTATAAATCCACTGCTTGATAGTTCGGATTTCAGTTACCTAACTGATGAAAATTTGAGATACAGTGACCCGCTTGCTGATGAGAAATCTTGTATTCGCGATATTCCTTACCTTGTGGATTTGAACGTCAATGTTATTAGAGTATATTCAATTAACCCTTTAGAAAACCATGATGTGTGTATGAATGCTCTATCTGAAGCTGGGATTTACGTTATGGCTGATTTATCCGAACCATTCACATCCATTAATAGAAAATATCCATCTTGGAATACCAAAATCTACGACAGATACAAGTCAGTTATTGACTCAATGTCCAAATATAATAATGTATTGGGATTCTTTGCGGGTAATGAAGTTACCAATGATCACACCAATACTGACGCCTCACCTTTTGTTAAAGCAGCCATCAGAGACACTAAGGCTTACATTTCAGAAAAGAATTATAGAAAAATTCCTGTAGGATACTCTTCCAATGATGATGCAGATACTAGGGTACCAATGGCCACTTATTTCAACTGTGGGGACAAAGAAACTACTGCTGATTTTTACGGGATCAATATGTACGAATGGTGTGGATATTCTTCATTTTTTAGTTCTGGTTACAGTGAGAGAACTAGGGAATTCAAAAACTACACAATCCCTATATTCTTTTCCGAATTTGGTTGTAATTTGGTTAGGCCAAGACCATTCCAAGAAGTTGAGGCATTGTATAGTCCTTTGATGACCAGTGTGTGGTCTGGGGGAATTGCTTATATGTACCATGAAGAAGAAAATAAATACGGGGTGGTGAAGGTTGACAAAAATGAAAATACAGTCAAGAAAATGGATGATTACAAATATTTGCAAAAAGCCTACGGGAATGCCAAACCCAAGCTCTTGAATATTGACGATATGTCGAAGAATTTAAATACAGAAGATCTTGTTAATTGTCCAGACCCAAACGATGTCTGGAAAGCAGCCCAGGCTCTTCCTCCCACTCCAAATAGCTCCAAATGCGAATGCTTAGAAAAATCTTTAGAGTGTGTTGCATCCGCTTCCAAAAACACCGGAGATTTTGTAAAGTTGTACGGAATATTGTGTCATGAGGTTGATTGTTCAGAGATAGTGGGAAATGGTACTACTGGTGAATATGGATACTATTCGGATTGTGACGAGAAGCAAAAATTGTCTTATATCTTGAATGAATATTATCTCAAGTATTATCGTGATCCACAAAGTTGTGATTTCAAAGGCCAAGCATCTTTAGCTAGATCATCATCGAAGAAAAGCATGAAGAATACTTGTGATGATTTATTATTGAAAAAAAAATCGGGAAAACAAAGTGAAGATAATGGGAAAAATAGTGCAGAGCATGTCGACGATGATGTTGATGATGATCATGAAAATGGACAGCGCTCAGCAGGTAATAACCTAAAAGTTGATTTAATTGTTGAATTGGCAGTGATAATGGCGTATGGAATTTTCAAGCTTACATTTTAACAAACTTTTAATAATTTTAGATTATATATATTAATAAATATTATCCCCATATCATCATGAATCATAATTCCAATCCCAACGTTTTTCGTCGGAGATTTTCCAACTTGGTAACCAATTCAAGTAACCGAAATCTTCATTTGGACCTTCCATTCCGAAACTCAATGGGCTAAAATAGCGGAATGTCATGGCGATCAATGCGAAATTCATCAAATATAGTGTGAAATACATGAATTTTTTCGTGGTAGTTGGTACACCACTGTTGAGCCGCGACACCCCCAATTCAAACACGTAAACATATACCAACATGGCAAAATACAAGGCTGGCAAATAATGGTGAACGTAGGTGACACGGCCCATAATGACGAATGGGGTATAATGTAAACCCCATCCCAACATTGGGTAGACCCCACCCATGAGAAACAAGTTCCATTTACCGGTGGTGGATTCGGTACTATCTGGGAAATCTTGGTATTGACGCTGCCATCTAAGAAGGTAGTAGATGAAGATGATTGGGAAGATAACACCCACGGCGATAGTGGAAGGCCAGGTGGTGGCAGGGGAGCCAATGAGGTAGTATTTGATGGTATCGTCATCCCAGCCACAGAGTCTGATACCGGTATGAAGCGATGGCCATTGCCACCACAGACTGGCCAATTCGTCGAGTTTTTCAGCATCGGGAACGAGAGCGTTATTCGTAGCCATCATTGCCATGTTTAATTCGATGAAATCATTCCAGAATGAAGTTTTCGGGAGGAGGAAATCTGCTGGAGGAAGCGAGAGCCGAGAATTCTGGTGATTTTCAACGTTCCAATAAATATTACGACGATCACCACGGAGAGAGTTTTTCTTGAAACACACCACTTCGCCTTGACCAAACCCCCAATCAGGATAATTGGCCCCCGAGGTACCTAAATAGCAATCCAATACTTGGTTTCTGAGGGTGAACGTGGTAGTCAAAGGATGGATCACCAGGGCGTTCTCATTACCGTATTGTGAGACGATTTCCACGATCCAGTTATCCTTTTCATCCCCTTCATCAATAGAGCCATAACATGATACTTCCCATTGTTTTTTGGTGACAGGGGCGTCGAATTCATGGGTATGTAAGTTAGTTCCTGTTGATTCATGGTAAATCCGCACCACCATCCCATCATAGACCTCATCAAAGATTTCCACGTCGTTGTAAGGGTTCCAAGCATCGACTTCTCGACGACGTTGGAAGAGCCAGTTATTATTCGTATCTTTGTGCGAATAAGTGGTGACTTGTTGTTGCTCGGATCCTCCTGGATAAGTTTGCACATGCGAATGGAGTAATCCACCATTCATCGCTTGACTTTTCAAAGTGACCCTACTGGAGCCGATAACCACATTTCTTGGACCGGTGGCTACGTCAGAACCGGCGAGGTTGGCTTGGAAAAGCGAGTTCATGTTGGCATCACCGGTACCACTTTTCCAAAGAAGTTCGAAATGGATCTTGAAGCAGAGGGCAAATACCGTGAGGGGCACAATCATCAACAGGAAAATTCTCGCTATCCAATGGTAGAAATAAGTGGTTTTTGACATCGATTGATCGCCCCAGTATTGCCATAGTTGGACAATGGTGTAAATCCCCACCAACAAGGTGATAAAGAACCCAACCATTTTCACAGAATCAACACACCCAATAGAGATTCCTAAAAACAAGATCCATTTCCACCATTTTTTAGAAAATGGCACCGCCGATTCGTTATGGAATTTCACAAAACAAAACATAGTGGTGACGGTGAAACACAAGAGCATGGCATCCAATAAAATAAATCTCCCCAAAGTGACGTAACTTTGTTCAAGGGCCACCATAAGGGTGAATAGCCAAGTTGGGAGGATACCAAAACCGATTTCCTTTGCGGTTAGGTAGGCAAATGGTACACAAACGGTGCTGAAAACCGCTTGAAATAGTCTCATTTTGATGAACGCAATTTCTTTAGGATAGGTTTCACCCGACGGGAAGTCCCAGGACCCATTATAACCGGCCAAATATCCAGAAAACCCCACGAGCATTTTCCCTAATGGCGGATGGACATCATGATAGAATTCGTGGCGTAAATAATACGAGCCAAACTTGCCGAAATGGGCCTCGTCCCATACCACGGTGTCATTGATGCCGATTCGGTACACTCTAACGGCAAACCCAAGAAGGGTGAAGAGTATTGGGGCAGCAATACTCTCTATATATTTAAAAGTGTTGGTTATTTCTTGTTGTTGGGCAGCAATGACCTTTTTTAAGTCTTCTGGCGAGAGTTCGTCCTCGGTATCGTCATCGCTGAGGTTGTCAAACTCGTCAAACTCGTCGAATTGGTATTCACCTTCAAAATCGTCGTCATAAATGTGTTCGATCAGCCCGGGACGTCTAAACCTCAACGGTTTCTTTTGTTTGGCTGGCATGGTGGGGGATCGGCGATACCCTTTGATGGTGACAGCTAAAAAGGTGTTAGCGGTGATGATTTTCTGTTATTTTCAATGTTTTTTGGCTGCACGATCCTCAACATGAGATATCTTACAAGATATATCATATAATAACAATTATAATATTAATGGTGGGAAAAAATAATATTCTATTCTATAAAACATACAAAATAAATAAAAAAATGAAAAAAAGAAGAAGGGAGTATCTTAAAATCCATTCTTATAGGACGGACCTTGTACCCGAGTATACACCGAGCTGGCTACCGATTGCCGTGGTCCAGTACTAACAGTGAGAAACTTCTTGGGTGCCATGAAATTGTCCTCATATTCGTCATCATCATGAGTGAAGTTTCGATTGTTAGCGACTGACGATTCCCTGTTAGCAAACGGATCAAAATCTGGGGTTTCACGGTAATTGCCGTAATCTTCATCATTCACGGGGTAATTTTCTGGTGGAAGGTAGGCTTCTTCATAATTCTCCACTTGTTGGTTATAAGGATCAAATTCAATGTCGATGGTGTATCGATTGACATTGGGCGATGAGGTTCCCAGAGACGCATCGGTCAAGGTATTTTTATCAAAGTCGTCAATGTTGCGGGGACATGATTCGGTATGAAGGATATCAATCTTCGAAGCATTTGGTGGGTCTTCCCCTGCCAAAGTATCCTCACTCATTGATCTATGTGGATTGTTAGGGAAATTGGCCGAGCTGGTGGTTTCACAAGTATAAGGGTTTTCCCAGTCTTGCGGCTGGGAACGTTCTACCTGGGTCATTTGGGTGGTAGTGGTGATATTATTATTATTATTAGGAGAAGGAACAGACACAGTGCTGTTCAATGATGGTCCCATTGGAGCCATTAACCATCTAGTATTGGCAATAGGCTCGATTCCTTGCGAAGCCCTCACTCTGTTTTGGTACCGGATACATATGGCCACACCTCCCAAGAGACATATCACCAAGAGCACCAGAAAAAACAAAGCCAATACCGCCACTGAAGTTTGCTGTGATGATACTTTCTTTTTAAGGACGACGATGGTGTCATTGAGCTTGGAAATCGCCGACACCACCGTGGCCGAGTCGAGGTACGTTTGTGATGCAGACTGGGTGGTTTGGGTGGCCGAGGAGGCCCTTTTCATGGCCTGCGATTGGGGGATAAACATTGTACTGGCGTGCCACACATACCAAAAATGAAAAGCAGACACAGAATGGCAGACATTAAACGAGGATCCCTGCTGCTATTTAACCACGGTACCAGCCGTCGCCGTTACCCAAGGAGTCCCCATCCTCCTGGGTGGTGGCTCTGGACGTCGATGCTTTCGGAGTGCGCGCAGCACCAGAAAAATATCAGCAGCAAAAAAAAAAAAAATTTTAATGGATAGCGCTCCTCCATCTTTGAATTGTGGGTGGTATCTTATATTATACTAAATATACATATAATATATCATACATCATATATCACCAATAGCAATGTCGGTGTCTGGTAAAGCCCAAGAGCTTTACGACAAAATGGTCGAAAAGCCTGCCGGCACTTTCTTCTCGCAAGACGATCTCGAGAGATTGACCCTGGTGCTGAAGAAACTTATTGTCGAACTTGTCCAAGAACTCTTGAACAGTGAACTCGTCAAGTTGGGGACTCAGGATGGCGAATTGAAATTCAGTGCCGTCACCAAGGCCGAAGCTGACAAAGTTTCCAAGATGACCGACGAAGAAAGAATGATTTACAGTCACATTGAGGCAGCAGGCAGAGACGGGATCTGGCAAAAGATCATCAAGACCAAGACCAATTTGCACCAACATATCTTCACTAAGTCGTTGAAAGCTTTGGAAAACAAACGTTTCGTCAAATCGATCAAGGATGTCAAACATCCGACAAGAAAGATCTATATGTTATACAACCTCCAGCCGTCGATTGCCTTGACCGGGGGCCCATGGTTCACCGATTCCGAGTTGGACACCGAGTTTGTCGAGTCGCTATTGAACATTGTTTGGCAATTCATCACCACCAAATCGCTTCCAAACCCGTTCCCTGGGCAGCTGAAACGGGCTCCAGGGGAAGAGTACAACCCTGATCAAACCACATACTGCAGCACTTTCGATGGGTACCCGCTGCTTGAAGACGTCTTGGATTTCATTCTAAAATCGGGGATCACCACCGTGGATTTGTCAGTAGGGGATATAAAATCGCTTTGTGATGTGCTTGAATATGAAGACCGTATTGAAAGGGTTGGGGAGTTGGATGATTGCTACAAGGCCACTTGGCAAAGTATTTTGGAAAAAGGCGGGGGTCTAAGAGAAGGCACCGACCCAATGGAAATTAAAGACTCTCAATGGAGTATCTTTGATTGGTATACTCAGATGCCACCTAGTGAAAATGATCCAGATGTGATGTGTTTGGATAGTTGGATCAATTCGTAAAACAAAAACAAAAACAAAAATAACTACAATATTAACTCCACATCATCACCCTATATTATATGCATTATGAATTCATTTTTTTTTTTTTTTTGTCATTGACCTTGTAAATAGTAACTATACAGTTTGTAACCGTATTGTTTCTAAGCACTTCCAAGTCTGTTTCCCTTACCAGGGAATGCTTTGGAATTACCAAAGAATTGACGGCCGTTGTACCCAGAGGACTGCCCCTTATTATCAACTTTTGAACGTCCAGCCACCTGTGTATTTGTAGCATACACTCCAGAGATCACAGCTTGTACTCCTTGAATCGCAGCACGTAACCATTGAGGAGCAGGGATGAACCCAGTGTCTCTTTTAGTGTGTGGTAGTCTTCCTTCCGGTTGACGCACTTGCCTTTGGAAATATGTTTTAAAAGTGTCATAGAGTGGACCATAATCATGGTTTTGTAAACACAAGTAGATATAGCCGGCAAGAACCCCGGAAAGATCATAGAAAAAGTCATAACTTCCCCTAAGGATGAGAGTGAGCCCCAAAAGAATGAGCGGTTCATACTTAGCCTTGTACTGGACTAAAGAGTAAAAAGCCTTCGTTGAATCGGGATCCATTTGTGACAATGTGAAACAAAGAGCACTGACTAAAGGAGAATAGAAAGAGAAGGCTTTGGTGAATGGGGAAGCCCCAAGGATGACCCCCACGGTGATCATGAGGTACCAGAGGAAATTGGCAGCATCATTACCAAACTTCAGAGTTTCGACCTGGCGACCATTTGAGTAAAAAGATTTTATCAAGAAAAGGCAGTTGAGTTTTTGACCATAGCCATATATTGGAGTTAAGCACGCGGTTATTGGTCTCCAAAGTTGTAATTTCTGGGACACCTGCGAGTAATCCCAGAATAAGTAGTCTTCTTGGGTTAGGAGGTTGGCACCATCAAGAATTAGAACTGCCAAGGGGAAAGTGACGAATATTCTTGTTATTGGGGGGATGGAGAAGTAGAACCTTGATAATTCCGACATTTGGTAGATTGGAGAATTGATATATATATCTTTGTGGAGAGGTGTTTTGACAGGTATTTTTTTATTAGTTGACTTTTGAGCAGTTTGGCGTGCAGTGGCAGGGTAAGCGGTATACCTCTCTCTCTCTCTTTCTATATATTACATTATATTATATATTCTCTTTCTATTATTCCCATGAAATATAAATAAATATCTCTACATTTTATTATATTCAAATGAAAGTATTAAACTGAACAATAATATTCGATTAGACACATGTATAATACAAATAAGATAAGACAAATAAAAAATATACTAATTTTCATCTTTATCTTGAATGATCCCTTGCAACAAATCCAACAAGTTATCAATATCCCCTTCTTCTCCATTGGCATTAGCCACTGCGGGATTTTGAGGAGCTGGGTTCTTAGTTGGTGGTCCAAGGAGATTGTCGGTGGTAGGTCCATTGAGATCAAACTCTGTTTCGGAAAAGTTCAAATTGAGGAAATTCAAGTCTCCTGCCGGGTTGTTATTACTATTTTGAAGAGAGCTGGCACTATCTGTAGTATCTTGTTTTATAAGCGGAGGTTGTTGTTGTTGTTGTACTAACGCATTCTGTTGGACTTGGGTCTGCTGTTGTTGTTGTTGTTGTTGTTGTTGTTGTTGTTGTTGTTGTTGTTGTTGTTGTTGTTGTTGTTGTTGTTGTTGTTGTTGTTGTTGTTGTTGTTGTTGTTGTTGTTGTTGTTGTTGTTGTTGTTGTTGCTGCTGCTGCTGCTGTTGTTGTTGTTGTTGTTGTTGCTGCTGCTGCTGCTGCTGTTGAGACAAAGATTTTTGAATAATTGGAGGGCTCTCAAGCGATTTCTGTTTTTGGATTATTGGAATATCAAGTTTGGGTTTCTTGTTCACTGGTTCATCTTCGATCTTGACAATTGGGGTGGTGGTAACTTCAGGTGGTTCGGCTTTCACCTCGATTTTATTATCAATACTCTGTTTCGGACTTATCACCTCGATATCATTATTATTATTATTAGGCTCTTGTTTCACGGTCAATTTTGCTTGTTCTTTTATCAAGAAATCACTGGCGTCATTCAAGCTCACCACCATCAAATCCAAGACCCGATTTAAAGCCTTGATGCTAAGGTCCAATTCTCCTGATGGTGTTAGTTGGGGCGTTTCATTATTACCAGGACCATTTGTCGATTTCCCATTATTGAGGGTTTTTTTGTCGATATTGTTATTATTATTGTTATTGTTATTGCCACCATTATCGTTAGGGGTCCCCGATACATTGGGTCTTTGTTGAGTAGGCAAAGGCTTTGGACGCGAAGGATGGTGGTTGGGGGTGTTGATGTTGACGAGAGGATCGGTGGCGAGTTCTTCGAGGACACGGCCCAGCGACAATAGGAGTTGGTTATACCTTAGGACGAGTTCCTTGTTTAGATTGGCCATGGTGATTGTATGAGAGAGATAGAGAGATAGAGAGATAGATATACACCGCTGATGGTGCAAAATGGGCTCATTTTCTTCATTTTTCGAGGGGGTTCTTTTCTACACCCGCACATCACCTGTGTGGCAGAACCGTCTGGCACTCTGTGGTGATACAATACAATATAATATGATATAATATAATAAGTGCAGTATATTTCTAATATAGTAAGTATATTCATGGTATACATCAATTGAACTCCTTATCATAATCGACAAAACAGAACCTGAAACGAACGTCATTGGCATGCATTCTTTCAAGGGCCACCTTGGCGTTCTCCTTGTTGATTGGCACTTTTTCCACCCAGTGGTCGAAATCAATGGTGGTGGATTGGGCACAGGCTTCCAACATCTCAAGAATCTCTTTTCTTGACCCCAACAATGAGCTGCCCATGTAGCACGCGTTTCTAAGGAAAGTCTTGGTGCTGACATCGAACGACCCGTCGGCTGGCAACCCAACACTGACGTATCTACCGTTGATCTTCAAGGTCGACAAGTACTTGTTCAAATCAAACCCTTTAGTAGAATTGGCGGTACCGACAATAAGGTCCAATTCACGGAAATGCTTGTCGAACGCGCCTTCTTCAGAAGTGGCGATATAGTGATCAGCCCCCAACTTCATCGCGTCTTCCTTCTTTGCGTTAGTTCTAGAAAACACTGTGACTTCGGCCCCAAAAATGTGCTTAGCAAACAAAACACAATGGGCCCCCAACCCTCCAAGTCCCACCACCCCGATCTTTTTGCCTTTAGCGGCACCATTACGTTTTAAGGGACTGTAAACCGTGATCCCTGCACACATCAATGGACCGGCGACGTGGGATGGGAGGGCGTCAGGAATCGGGAACACAAAGTGCTCGTGAACTCTGGCGTGGGAGGCGTACCCACCACGGGAGATCGAGCCGTCAGGATACACCGAGTTGTAAGTACCGACGGATTTGGTACAGTATTGTTCGTTGTCGTTGGTGCAGTCGACACATTGCAAGCAACTGGCACTTTGGGCACCAACCCCGACCCTGTCGCCAACCTTGAGACTGGAGACTTGGGGCCCAACGCTGATGACACGGCCGACGATCTCGTGGCCCACAACAAGAGGGTAGTTGTACTTGCGGCCACCCCATTCAGCTTTCAAGGTGTGGAGATCAGAAGAGCAGATCCCACAGGCCTCGATCTTGATGTCGATGTCGTGGGGGCCGAATGGCTTGACTTGGTAGGAGACGGTTTCTAAGTCGGACCATTTGTCGGAGGCGACACAGCCCAAACCTTTGAATTCTGCTGACATGGTGTGTTTGTATTGTATATATTATCTATTATATCATACAATACAGTACATTATATTATATGTAATTGAAGATAAAAGATTACAAAAAAGATGATCACGGTCACCCTAACCACAGGGTAACTCTGATCTCCCGTCTGGAAAAAAACAAAAAAAAACCGTTTTTCAACATTACACGTAGATGATCTCCCCCGTCTACACACTTTATATATATATATATATATATATTATATACCACAGTACATGGCCATTCTATACTACAGGTAATCTTAATACCCCACCACAATGGCCCCCTTCAAGTTAAGAAAAAGCAAAAAGAAGGACTCTAAACACGATGCCTCGTCATCGTCATCGTCCAAGAAAGACCCCAAATCACCTGGCACCTCAGTCACATCGTCTTCAGGCTCCTCGATCCACGATTCCACTTCAGAATCCCCTGTGCAGCATAAATATTCAGAAGAAATGAAACTGTCGGCAGAATTCATAAATCGCCCGCAAATGGACCTCCAACAACAACAGCAGAAATTGTTCTCGATGCCTCCTCCCCAACAACAACAACAACAACAACAACAACAACAGTCAACTGGTGGATCCTTCCAACAACAACAGGGCACCCCAACAACTATGAACTCGTCTCGTCAACTTCCTTTGATCCCTACTGCCGGACAAAGCTTATCCCCCATCGAAACCCCCCATAATACAAACATTTTACGCTCTACCCAAGCCAATAGTGGTAGACCCGGTATAATGAGTAACAACAATATGAACTACCAACAAAAACCGTTGCCTCCTCACCAATATACCCCTCGTAATAATAACAATAACCCTCCTCCACCACAAAACTCAAACAACCCTTTTGTCATGTCGTCTCGTAACACTAGCCAGCAAACTTTGGGCCAACAGTCTCCTCTTGTCCAAGCTATCCAGAATTTCACTCCGTGGTCCAGAGTAAAGCTTACCGCCCTGCCTTTCCCTAGATACCGCCACACCTCGTCTTCAGTGATTTCTGAACAGGGCCACGTATTTGTCATGGGTGGGTTACGCGAAGGATCAGTATACGGTGATCTCTGGGCTTTAAACTCCACAACGTTTGACGCAAAATCGATCGAAAACTTTGACGGGATCCCTGCCCCAAGAGTCGGACATAACAGTTGTTTATGTGGTAATGCGTTCATCATCTTTGGTGGGGATACCATCCAAACCAACGAACAAGGCGAACTTGATAACGATCTTTATCTTTTCAACATCAACTCCTTAAAATGGACCATTCCTCACCCTCAGGGAGATAGACCGTGTGGTCGTTACGGCCATACCATCGGCGTCATTGCCAAAACTAACGTTCAATCAAAGTTATACTTGTTTGGTGGCCAGCTTGACTCGAAGATTTTCAATGATCTTTGGGTGTTTGATCTCTCGTCATTTAGAAAACCTACCTCCCATTGGGAAAAAATCATCCCTAGTAATGATCCCAATGATCTCGATAATATCCCTCCACCGTTAACCAACCATTCCATGGTGATTTTCAATTATAAATTATACATGTTTGGTGGCTCAAACCTTCAGCGTCTTAGCAATGATCTCTACTGTTTCGATCCAAACTTGAACTCTTTCTCTCGCTTGAAATGTACTGGTGATATTCCTCCTCCAATTGAAGAGCATTCAACAACCCTTATTAAAAACCTTATGATTGTTTACGGTGGTAAAAACAGCAAAAGTGAAACCGTCGATAGTCTTTACATTCTTAATTTGAACTCTTTCCATTGGACCCGCGTCGAATCATTCATGCTAAACCCTGGTGCTCGTTGTGGTCATAGTATCACCGCAATTTTCAATTATTCCAGAAAAAACCAAAATGGCCAGCCTCAACTCAAAGATTCTGATGACCGTCGTTTCCAAAATAATCAAATCATCCCAACGAAAGTCCTGCCTAATGCCTTGGCCTCATCCCCCCTTTCCAGCTCAAAGAATAAAATCCTTATCATGGGTGGTGATCAATTAGATTACTGCACTTCTAACGCTGGGAGTTTTGAAAAAAGCAACAAAGACGAGAATTTCGGGACCATGATCTACGTATTCGATTTAGATCTCTACAATGAATGGAGTGTTAAATTCAAGAATTTCGATCTTTGGGATGACAAATTGCCACAAATTTTAACCAAACAGGCTTCTCCAGTGCACAACAATAACAATGGTGTTTTTGGTCAACTGCTGCCATTTGTCAAGGCTATTGCTGCTAATTCAGTATCGCCTACCAACGGCAGTGCTCTGACATTTACTACTCTTCCACACTCGGAAAACCACCATACAGTTCATCAACCGATCATTGAGGACAACAAAAATAATGTGTTTTCCGATCAGCCGTTTGAAACCGCGCCACCACCGGTCCCTCCACAACGTAAGGACTCTGTCGGGTCTTTGGACGCGTTTAGCACTCCTCCTACCACCACTACTGGCTCTCCTCAAAGTTTGACTCGGGAGATTGTTGAAGACAAGACTTCCAACAATGCTGCTATGGAAAAGATACAGAATATGGGGGCTTCTGCTGCTTTAGTCGATGCAGGCGTGGTCGGTAACACCACACTAGAGACGGCCAATGGCATGGTCAATAATGAGTCTCTGGGATCCGAAACTTCTCCTCGTGATTTTGATCTTCTAGACACTTATGTCAATTCTTCTGTCGATTTACTCGAGAAAATGTCCCAGCAACAACCGCAAACTAAACTCAAAAAGTTGGATATCGCCGCGGCAACAAATTCCACCATACCTGAAGCCCCAAGTACCCCAGTCAAGGAAAATATTGAGGAATTCTCAATTGCCCAACCAGAAAAACGTGTTTCGATTCCTGCCAGATCTCCTAAACGCACCGGATCGCCACAATTGAATTCTCCTCAAGATAATGGCCTTTCGCCAACCACCGCTGACTTGTACGTGTCGGCAATCAGTAATTTGCCAGAGCAGAATGGTGTTCGTTCCATTGATGATCAAGTAATAAATGGGACTATGAAACAGGATCATCAAGATGCTGCTAGCTCCCAGGCTGCTACTGCCCAGTTTGCTAAAGCTGTGGAATTACTTGAAACTGAACTTTCTGAATTGAAGCTCGAAATGAATAACCAGGCTAAAGCTGCTTCTGATCGCATTCATGAACTTGAACAGCACTCCAGGGACTTGGAGCAGCGCCACGAGATTTCTGAACAACGGAATGCAGAATATGAATCTAAACACGCTGAATTACAAGAAACCATTATTGCAAGAGAACAAGAGGTTCAAGAAAGTCATGGTTCATTGCAAGGGGAACTTATACAAAAGGATAAAGCTATCCAACAATTGCAGCTGGAAATCGAGGGGATTCACACCAAACACGCTAATGATGATCAACTTGAAATTCAGGAATTGCAGCAACAGTTGGCAGGGATGCATGAACAATTAACCCAAAAGCATACGGAATTGTCTACCATCAATGAAAAATTTGTTTCTAAAGACGACGAATTTGTCGCTTTGTCAAAAGAATTGGAACAGTTGAAGGCTAGTTCAATTGCTAAAGATGTTCCTGTTGAGGTATCTAGTAACAATGATGAGGAATTGGAGGCCCTCAAACAACAATTAGCAGAAAAGGACAGAATAATTGAGGAATTGAATTCCAGTACCAATGAGTTGGATCGCGGGGGAGTAATCGAAAGTAGCTCTCCAATTTCTGGAAGTATCACTGGTCTTGTGTCTGATAGGGATTTGAACGCCATTAGAAGAGAAAACATTGAATTGCATTCTGAACTTATTAAAGCCAGAGCTAACAACGAAACTCTTAACCAAAAATTCCAGGAGTTTGAACCATTTATGAATAATCTGATTATTGAGCTTGAGCAGCTTAATGAAGTGATTTTGCACCAAAAGGAAGAAATCGAATCTCTTACTGGTCAACTCGTTCAAACTGAAGCGTTGCAAGATGAAGTTTCGTCATTACAAACCGAAAATGATATTCTTAAAAAAGAACTCGAGAATGTTAAACGTGATCGTTCCAGCAAGCGTACAATCACTAATGATAAGATTAATAATATTTCTACCGATATTTCCAAGTTGGTTACTTTGTGGCGTTCTAAGAAAGAGATCACCCTGGATTTGGATCGTTCGATGATCACTGATGAGCTGCTAAGTGAAACCACTGCCAACGACGAAGACTTTGCTAATGGCTCAGTGATTTCAAATTTCCTGACTAACAGTAATTCTAAAGCCTTTGGCCAGCTTCAATCTCAAATCAACGAACTCATTCAAATTAACAAAGAGCAGGAACTCAAGAACCACGCTCTTCAAGAAAAAGTGGCGGCTATGACAAACGAAATGACCTCACTACAAGAACAAGCCGGCAAAGGCAAAGACCTCGAGAAATACGAGGAAAATTACCGTAATGCCATGAACTCGATGAAAAAGACTGGTAGAGCTCTTGAAGTATCACAAAAGGAACTCAACAAACAGAAGGAATTGAATAGCCAACTTCGTACAGAAATTGAGGATTTGCAGGCGGTCACTGACAGCAGCATGAATGGTGATGATGATATGAAGAACGCTCATTATGATTTCAAGATCAAGGACTTGGAAGCTGAATTGTTTATTATTAAACAAGAACGTGATGAATTGAAGGATAGTGTGGTGTCTTTGCGTAAAAAGCTTATGACTGGAGGAAAATGAGTGTTTCTTAGAATGTATTCATTTTTTTTTTTTGTTTTTTCGTTTCGTTTCGTTTTGTTTTGTTTTGTTTTGTTTTGTTTTATTTTGTTCCTTTTAAAACTAGAATTGATTTTGGTATTTTTATATATAGATGTTTATTTCTTGTATGGTCTATGTTGATGTGTTATATGGTCTTCTATTTTTGTTATTATTTTGAATATCTTGCCTTACTTTCTTCAAAGTGTATTTGTATTTTCTTTTTTTTTTTTTCCATCAATAAATTGTTTCAACTATAAAGGTTTCATCATTTATTATGCTAGACAAGTCAGAAATTAGAAGATATATAATGAAAATGCAGGGGGATATAGAAAAGAATGTAAATGATAATTAATGTAATCGCTTGCTTCAGCCCAACAGAAATATATATGTGCAATGCCTCACTTTGTAACTCTAATCATCACATTTACAACAAAGGCTAGCAAGAAAAGAAAATTCCAACATATATTACATTCAACGTCTTCTTCTAGAGGAATTGGCATGTCTTCCTGGGTTAACTTTGACATTACTGTGGTATCGATTGCTACTGTCTCCATTAGCAAACGGAGAGTAGAAATTATCGGCGCTACCTCCGCCAATCCAGTTTTCAAGGAACTTTTCATTTTGACGCTGGGTCCAATTTTCATTCTTCAACGCTTTGCCGTATTCTTTCTGATCAGCACGCAAGATTGGGACGTTGTTGTGGGCGTCGTAGTATTTGGAATTCTTGTTATTTTGGAACCCTCCTTTCCCCAACTTCTTTTGGGTGTTTTTAGATAATGGCGAAGCAATCGAATAACGGTTACCTCTGTTGTGCCATTCAAAGTTCTTTTTAAGTAATGGTTTCATTTCCCCGGTTTTGGCATCGACCACCACCACACATCTCAACAATGTGGCCCCACCACAAGAGGCACAGAAATGTTTCGATTCGTTTGGCGGCTGGAGTCTGAAGCACGCATGACATCGCAACATATAGTTTCTTATACGTTTGATCTGGAGCCCGGTGGCGGTGTTCATGAGCTTAAGACCCATTTGGATCGCGACGTTTTGCACCGCAAAATCCTGCGAGGAAAGCGCAACCTTGGTGGTGGTGTGGTGATTCTTTGATTCTTCAAGTCTTTCCCCACTATCCTTTTGGATGGTTTCAAGAAGATTAGACTCAGTGATCCATTCTCCATCGTCGTCGTCGTCGTCATCATCATCATCATCATTGATCTCATTTTGCTCGGTTGGTTGGTCGACTTGTTGCAAAATTTCTGAATTGTCTGTAACGGCTATTTCTTCAACAGTGGTTTCTAATTCTTCAGTCACTTGTGGCTCCTTAGATTCTGATTCTTCCATTTCTAATTTAGCTTGAGCTTCAGCTTCTCTCTTGGCTCTTTGTTTCTTACCACCTCTTCTACGATTTTTCTTCTTAGCTGGGACTTCTTCATTCACTTTGACCTCGGCATCATCATCAGCAGGAGTCTTTAGAGTTTCTTCGACTTTTGGGTCTTCAACTTCTTTTTCTTCTTCTTCTTGCTTTGCTTGCTTTTTCTCACCAGGAAAATTTCTAATATGTTCATCGGTGCCATGTTCTTCAATGTCCAATTCTAAAGCAAGGGCAATGATGTGGATATCTTGGGCACTTAAAACATTCAAATCCCCAGTCAATTTGGCAAACTCAGAAACCCTGTTAATACTGACAGGTTTAGGGTGTCTAAGCGTCAATTTCTCTTTCCAAAGTTCCAAATTACGTCTAGCGTTCTCATCTTTGATTTCTTGAAACACCGAAGGGGTGGTGAAAAACGATGAGGCGTAAGTGGAAAGCGTCGAGAAGTGTTGGGTAATTAATGGATGTGCATCGAGGACCAAAGCCTGGACAGGAGGCGTCTGTTTAGTATCACTCATGGTTTTAAAATATCTTTACAAATGACACCTTTTAAACGTACCAAAGATAACTATTGGTAGCTTTTTTTTTTTTTTTTGATTTGAAAATTTTTTTTTTTTTTTGTGCAGCCCAATGACCCGTCTAGGTGGTGCTTGGAAATCATTACATAAAGCTCATATTAGTAAAAAAGTTCATTTTAATAACCATAGAGAGAGAGGGAGAGGGCAAAAAAATAAGAAAAAGAAAATGTAGTCAAGAAACAAAGAATTGAATGAAGTAATATATATATATTCAGACAATAGTGAAATTCTCACTGATCACGTTCGAAACAAAATCATATGGCAAAGATTTCTCTTCTTCGTCAACACTCAACACGTCTTGAACTTCGATTCCTCCAAAGTTCACCTTGTTACTCTGGAGAGCAAAGCTAACATACATTGGGAATAAATAATCTTCTTCACTAGTTTCCACGGTAAATTCAATGGCACCGCTTGGATCTTCGTAGCTAATTTCTTTGATAATGAATTGCAAAGTGTCATCATCAACCATGTTAAAGACAACGTTGTCGTCGTCAGATTTTAACGAGGCACTATAACCGACATCAGGGATCACGATTTCTAAGTCTTTAAGAATAACTTGTTCATCGATCAATTTTTCTTGTAATTCATATTCCACCGTGACGTTCACCGAACCATTATTTTCTGAAGTCCAAATCGAGAAGGTGATTGGCAAGTACTGGACGTCTTCATCTTTACCAATACCTCTCCATCTGAGAACCCCTAACGCTTGGCCGTTCGATGGGAATGATTTCTTTTGGTCCTTCAATGTTATTATATTAGAGTTGAATTTCGCCTTATCGACATTAGGATGGGTCTTAAATTGAAGACCTGCTTTGGTGGTAACTGGACCCAACATCAATTTAGAGTGAGCCAATTCTGGGTTATTGATACATAACTGCAAATCACCCTTGATTTCTGAAGATTTAATCGATCCATCTCTCAAGATTTCTGCAGAGATCTTTTCATTCACAACGATTAAAATACCATTATTCTCGACTTCCGGAACCGTTGGCTTACCAATCTTCGAAGTAGACCCAAGACTGACATGCTGTTCTGGTTCCTCTTGTAGTTGTTGCTGAGCAGCAGCAAGTTGTTTACCGGTTCTCGCTCCTGATAACAATGGGGAAAAGTCCGAAGTGTTTCCTGGCTTCTTTTTGCCCAATTGTAAGCCACGGCCGAGACTACTGCTACCACCACCCATGTATCTACCACCACCGGCGGCGGCTTTGGCGTACGCGGTGGTTGGATCATCCTCTTCATCTGCATAAGTTGGTGTGTTGTAAGTAGGCTGTTTGAATGAGTTTGATCCCATTCCTCCTCCAGGGGCCCCGCCTCCAACTGAAGCAAACGAAGCTTCATTGGCACGTCTTTCCAATTCTCTTCTGTGGATTTCTTTGGCTTTACGCTTTCTTTCCTCTGCAGCCTCCAATTCCTTGTTTTTATCAATGATTTCTTGGAGTTTTTCTTCGTGCGAGTTCATTTCCAAGAACGTGGTGACTTGCGATGGGGTCAAGTTTTCTTTATACCCTTGAGTGATGATTTCGTCAAAAGCATTCAAGATCTCAAAACTATTAAGGAAAACCTCGTGGGTGTCAATCACCGACCCTACAGAAGAGCTTCTAAGAAGCGACGACACCGTTTTGGAAAACACTTGCAAAGTATCAATGTCCTGAATGATATTAGAGTTCAAGTTCGTGATGATCACCAAAATAAAACTTTCCACCGGTTGGTATATGTATCTGATCATCCCGGCTTCGATCGTGGTATGCTGGGAATTATTTTCCAATAACAAACTGCTGAAATTGGTCAAGTACGCCGTGATCGAGTCTTTAGACATTTCTCTGAATTGACGGGACAACAACGGCTTCCCTGTGTTAGAGCATATAGCAGCAGACAAAACAACCATTTTTGAGGGGATTGGAGAATAAAATCAGTGGAAATACCTGGGTTAGATAGATGCTCAAATCGTCCTAATCAAAACACCGGTGTTTTTGTCGATTTTTTTGACAACGTAACAAAAAATCCGTCTGGCACGTGATGATTTTTCTTCTCTTCCCACCGGTTGATATTTCATAGTAGGGTAATCAGGAAATATTGCAATATTATTATATTATATTCTATTTAATTATTACATTGGTTTAGTACATCATATATCAGTAGCACACAGTCAATTTTCTCCTACAAAATTCTCTCTGTGCTTTCTGATAGAAAGAGTGCTTCTTACAGAAAATTAAACATCCCAGCCAGCGTAAGACGTAGTCGACGGTTACAATCAATAACAATAATAATAAGATAGAAACAACATGCAAATTGACAAACAGATCTATAAATTGGTATAATATAATAGGAAAAAAAATTATTAGAGAATGAAAAAACTAGTAAAGGAAAGAATGAAAAAGAAAGAAAAAAAAAAAAAAGAATAAAAATAGCAAATTTTTGCTGATTATATTGCGCGTGGGATCACAATTATCAATAGTACCCCACCCCGGAATAAATCGATCATAAAATATAATATAACTTGTTTCAATCAAAACGTTGATAATTATTCATGTTTGTCCGGAAACTAGTGTCTGAATTAAATGTAATAGTGTTTCTTCTAACTGGAGTTGATCCTGATACTGGATCAGTCGTCGCGACGATCTCAGAGCTAGGACTAGTAAGATTCCCCATGGTCACGTTTCTGCCGAAAGACGGTCTCTTAGGAACCAGATCGGTCTCACCAGAATCATTCCTGAATGGATTTTGCGATTTTTGGTTATCGGAAATTGGCGAAGGAGGCTTGTCATCTGTATTAATTGCCAGGCTACTGTGGTGAGTATCTTTGACATCATCACTGAGTAGATTGTTCTGGGTCTCACTCCGAGTCTCTGTGTCAAGAACATCATCAATGCTCCCCATATTCCGTCTTTGTTGGGCGATATGATAATTATTCCATTTCTCAAGGTTTGGACTGACATTGGAATTTCTGGCATTATGATCGCCAGTGTCATCATACCCTTCTTCCCCATCTTCAATAGCATCATATTGAGAGAATGATCCAGCCCGGAAATGATGGGCTTGGTACAGGTCTCTTCTTTCCAAAGTTTTCGATGGTAAAATGACCGCTCTATCAATGGAATAAGGCAATCCTCTATGACGGCCTCTAATAAACATCGCAACAATAACCAACTTACTAACCACATTAAATTGTGCCGAAAATGAACGGTTGTCATTTGGATACCCTAAAGATAAACCAACACAACCATACGCCGACACTACCTCAAATAATACTTGGAAAATTGTAAAATATGGATCGTCCAAAGTCCTGAGCTTTTGGCTCTCTGCGATACAAATGATGAACAACCCCAAGAAAATATACCACAAATCAAACGATAATTGTCTTCTTAAATGCGTACCCACAAATCTCTTGGTTAGGTCTCTGCGGTTATTTTTCGAAGATACGCTGCTGCTAGAATCATTGACATCCTTATATTGGTCTTCGTCTGCCCCCGATGCATAGATTCCCAAAGACTGTTCCTCATACACGTTGGTTCTTCTCACAGAAATAGCAACCGGTAAAGCAGAAACGTACATCATCAACATGTAACTAACCTGAATGGCAGGATGCAATGTCGACAAGTTAATACACGTGAAACCAGCGGTTCTGGTACTAATAGCTTGGAAGAACGCCGCCAAAACTTTGGTACTATTGGACAACAGATCCAAGTCTTTGTCATGGATATCCAAAATACAAAATAATACCAAATCAATCATATTCAAACAAAATAACACAAAGAACAACCACCAAGTTGGGATGGAAGGAAACAACAAAGTGAAGCATCTTCTTGGATGATCCAACAAAAACGCCAAAGATTCCTTGAATAATGACAAATCTCTCGCCAACTTGAACAATACCCAAATTATAAATCTCAACATGATTGGGAAAGCCACGTTACCAATAGTGACAAAAAAACAGCCCCATAGTAAAATATACCGGTTGGTGACAAATGATACAAAACTATCAGGTGTCAAAGTCAATCCCAAATCATTAAAACATGAAGCGGCAGTGAACCCAGCCCACCACGCTGGGGCCACCCCATCCGCACGAATGATCTTTCTATAATCAGTTTCGGGAATCGTCCAAAACGCAAAGAGTGCAAGGGCAAGTATATGGAACCCAATATAATAAACACATAGAATCTTTGCGAGAAGCTTGAGAGCTCTATACTCAACACCACCCAATTCCTCCTTTTGTTTATGATCTATAGGCACAAAAGTGGAATTTCTCCCAAAAGTTGGGTTGAATGATAAATAAGCAGCGCTCATTTGCCTCTTCATTCTATTAGAAACATGAGAATCCATAACCGACAAATCATCCATCATCACTGATGGGTATTTACCCACTTTCTTTAGATTTTTCCCAAAGATCTTCGTAGCATTTGTCTTTTTGAAAAAAGCAGTCGATGATCCAGTTCTAGATTTTTTGTGCAATGGCTTTCTTTTAGGTTCTTTAAAAGTAGTCTTCAACCCATCATTCATATCGTCTATGTTATCCCCATCATCAGGAATGGAAACTTGTTTTTCATTTTGAGATTTGTTTGAAAATCTGACATCCATAGAAGTTGTTCCTTTGCTATCATTTAATGATCGATCCACTTCTGTAGCATTAGATTCGCATCCTTGAGAGACAATAGATTCCTCATCTTGATGAAAGTGTTTACCAGTAGTTCCATTTGAGAGCGGAGATCTCTCCTTTGAATGATGATTTGGCATAACGTTTGGAACAAATGGTTCCTCTTCATCGCTGCCATCATGATTGCTTGAAGAGCCTTTCCCACTACCCTCTTTTTCATCACAATAATTATCCTCCTCCTCGTCCTCGTCATCATCACCAGCATCATCGCCATCATCATCATCATCATCATCATCATCATCATCATCATCATCATCATCATCATCATCATCATCATCATCATCATCATCATCATCAGATTCCTCCAAGACATCCTCTTCAATATTCATCTTGTGATGATTGTAAGGTCTATTGACAGAATCTCCTTCATTTTCCTCGTTATCTTCATTTTCCTCATCATCTTCATTGTCAATGTTCTTCGACTTCTTTCTCCAGCTCTTGTTCAAGAAATTAGATTTGCTTTTCATCATATTCAGGAAAGAATCTGTTCTAATATGCGTTTTTTCACCATTTTCATCGGCCAAGTGTTTTGTAACCTTATTCTTCATTTTTTTCAACTTTCTAAGCTTTCTTTTTTTGAATTGTCTCTCACGTTCTGCTGGACCTTTGACAATTAAAACCGGCCCTTCTTCTTCCACTTCAGGATTTGTCCCATTGGGAAATTGGTTCTTGTTCTTTTCTCTCATCATGGCAATAGACATATACATATCGCTTGGGTTCACCGTATTGTGATGCTGTTTTTTGTTGTGGGGTATTGGCAAGTTACCAAATCTGATACCATTGTCTCCACCGAGTCCTTTTGGATCATCCACCACCACTTCTTTGTCCATTCCCAAGTCACGCATCGGTATATCCGTGTGATAGTTCGGTTGGGTGTCCATCATGGTTCCTTTATCGTTATTTTTACTAGCAGTTGTACTGGTTCCGTTCGAACCTTCCTTATCTATCACATGGGCAACCCCATTTTCTGTATCACTTGATAACGAATCAATTTCCGTGGGGTGTATAGACATTGCTTTACTGATTTTCGATATGATTCTGGTTAACTTTCCCCCATTGTTTTCTTCATCCTCATGGTGGTCGCTGAAGCCCATGCTGGCGGTTCTCGCGGCCAACGTTGCTTGTCTCCGTAATTTATGGTTCAATTTGGAACTGGTCTTGATACCGTCAAATGTCTTTTCAAACCAGTATAATCGCAAGAAGACCAAAATACTATGAATAAAGATTGGAGTAGTGAAAAAACAAGACAAGTACAATACTAATTGTTGGTACAACGTTATATCATTCATATTGACAGTGTTTAGACCTGCTTGAGAAACCGCTCCAAATGCCATAAAGAACGCATCGATATAGGCCATATTCTTGGGACCATATATTAGAACCGAGGTTATTACCCCACTCATAATGATGTAAAAGTAGTGAACGTGAATAAAATTCGGCATGAACAAAGAGAACAACGGACCCAAATATCTTTCAAGTACCCCGATTGCATCACGAAACCGCCTCCCTAATGACCGCTCATCTTTGTAAACACTTCTCAGAGATATTGAATTGGAACGATGTTCCTTGAATTGTTGATACTTCCTGGAAAAGAAGTTCACGAATGTTAAAAAGCTTCGTTCGAGTGGCTCATCATGCGAATTCATCTTTGAATTGCGCAATAGTTTTCTTATTATCTTGGGCTCCGAGAATATGGGTTGGGAGAGTTCCCCACAGAGAAATAATTGGGAGGTTTTTCCAAAAAAAAAAAAAAAAAAAAAACTGTTCTGAAATGGATTGGGAATAATATAGATAGCACTATGCTAAAGGCAAATAAAGCTGCTATCAAGTGGATTAGAGGAGCCCACGTTCTGCTCTAATTTCTAGCACCTTCTTGTTTAGGATGGTTTATTTTTCCAAGAGAAGCAAGGCAGTTTCAACAAACCTTGTAGCCCTCTTGTTTATATCTTTCTTATTTAATGCTGATTACTCTGGGATTCTTCAAAGAAGTAATGTGGTATTTTACACAGCTAACTAAGTTTAGCTTTTATTTTTATTTTTATTTTTTTTCCGAAAATTTTTAGTTTATTTTTTTCTTTTTTAGTGTGCGCCTCGCGGAAAACAGGATATTTTGTGACATGACAGCTAATTTATATACACCACCACCTAACATCTCCTTATATCTTGACATATTAAAAAAAAAAAAAAAAAATCTCAAGGCTTTCTATCATGGCTGCCTGTAATGTAAAACTAAAATGAAAACCAAAAAGGATCACGACCCAATATTCAACTTCTCTATCCCAATATCCCCATGCACGTTTTTGACACTTGTCTCGTCATTATTGTAATTGTCAAACTCGTCATTATAGCTCTTCTTAATGTTGTGCTTCATGATATTGATATTTGTTTCTCTAGTGGCTTTCCCAAATGAGGGGTTTTTCGTGCCATTTCTATTACTATCACCGGTAGCGGCTCTATGAACAATATTGGCAAGTTTCTTATTTAAACGATCCGCTTCCTCAAGTTCAACAGCATTGGTATCACTTGTTTTTATACTTAACCCATTCATTTCTTCATCACTTCTTCCATAAAGCTGATACCACCACCTTACTGCCTCGGAGTTAGGAAGTATAATATCATCATCTGCATCATCAGATGGGGGTTTGTAAGTTTGGTTGGCAAACTCTTGTCTTCTCGATAGGAAGTAATCCCAAACTGATCTAGTTTTAAAATGAAGATTGTGGCTAAATTTCTCATGCTCATTATCAACCAAGAAGTTACCATATTGGCAACTATGTAAATGGTAAACCAATCTTCTAAGAAATCTCTCATTGAATTCGAATTTTTCTGGAAATTGAATGAACAATTGGTAAACTGCATCCAAGAATTGTTGGAAAATCGGTGAAGTGAATTTGATATGCTTCTTCTTTTTGAAGTGATTAGTCAACTTATTAAAGGATTTGGAAGCAGTGTTAATAGTATCGGAATTCAAAATTGAGTCAGTGCTGATACCAAAACCATCATCAAAAAAACCTGAACTACTGGCTTCGCCAAGTTCAGAGGTGTCGGTACTAAAACCGTTGATGCCACCGCCATTATTACCACCATTACTACTTGATAAATTATTCACAAACTTGGTTTCAGATGACAAGTGACCCGATCTTTCTTTGAACCGATGACCAAAACTAGACCAATCTTTTTCAATCAACACAATAAACCCTTCTAGAGTTCTATAGTATGGATCCAAACAAATTTCAGCCAATGAGCAAATTTGCGTAGTTCTGTCCCAACCATCAGAACAATGAACCATCACATGGTTATTATTGAAGAATAAAGATTTTACCACCAAATCAACCCCATTCAAAATTATGGTCAAATTCTTTAACCAGTTAGATTTACTCAAGGTAGACGAATTCAACATTGGTAATTGAAGAAGGATATCCGAATCCTTGAGCACCTCATATATTTTCATTAGAGAATCTCTCATCACATGGATATTATCAATCCCCAAAAATTTTCTTTTGCAATTTTTGTAGTTATCAATAATTTCCGTCCCTGCTCCCAACGCAGTTTGCGCCATAGCGTTAGCAGTTGGTCTTGCATCAACAATCAAATCATTATGGTTGCCCAAGTCAGTGATATTGGATGTTGGAGTTTGTAATTGAGACCTCGATGAGGAGGTGGATGATTGTGACGATGATGAAGAAGGTGAGGAAGTATCCAGGCTGTAGCGATTTGACATGAAGATCTCATATATCAATTTTTCATCTTGAATGGACCTCGATTGACTCAATCCAGTTAATGGTTGAGATGATCTTGTAAGGGTACACCCATTCTTTTTAAAATAATACGTCAAACTTGGAATTCTATTTTTCGATCTAAATTTCGCAGCGTATTTCAACACGCTATCAGAAATACTTTTTGGAACGATTATATCTTTCGAATAAGTTTCACAAAATTGGTAGCTTTCATTAATGGTGGATATCCTCCAGCTATTCTGGCCGGGATATTGTATTGTATTATCATCTTTCTGTAAGCTCTTGAAGTTAAGACCTTGCCGTTCAAATTCCCGTTCGATATTGTAGATGTTCCAGGAATTGAATTTGGCTTCAATGGGTATTGGCTCGTATAAAAATGCGTATAAATGTCTAATATCAGTAACGCAGGTCAATTTCTTTATGGTCTCGAATACATCCTTGGCGACTTTGATGTCACTTTCGTTGAAATCTATAGTTATATTTAGGAAGTCTTTGCACTTTATCTTGAGACATGCTCCGCGGTATAATTTCGCGATATCTCTCAAATTTTGAATCACATTGATTGCATCATTTTCGGAAACCGTTTCTAGTCGCGAAGTCCCGCCGGCTCTTTCCTTGGAATTCTCATCTAATAAATGCTTGGTTGCTTGGTGCTGGTTCGATAAATGTATTACATCCAATAAGCATGAGCCTGACTTGAGCTCAACATTATCTATTATAGGATATGAGAGCCATAGTTCTTTAGGCACGATTCTGTCTGCAGTTTTCACTTGGTAAATGAATATAAGATGGTGATTTGTTAAATGCAAATCGCCTTTGAAATAATGGCCCCTTTTGTAAAGAGTGACATTACTGGCCTGAGAATGGTGTCAGTATAAATGTATAAATGCAAGGCTAGATATTTAGTTCGTGACGATACACACTTTAGTGACTTTGATGTACTCCATCCTGGAGTAAATAATCAGTTATTAATGGTCTATTTGAGTGGTTTCGAAGGACCTTATTATCTTCTGGTAATCTGTCTTCACTTGCACTCGATGAGGGCATTGGGGTTGGTTCAACTGGGAGTTTTTGTGATAACAGGGACTGGAAATGTTACCCGGATATATTCCGCTAACAAGAGCTTTCCTTTACGTCCCTCCGTTGTGTCAGAGTATCGCAACAACAACGACTGACCACTATGTTTTTTGTAAACAATGAAAAATGAATTCTCTGATTATCATTTGCAGTTGGCTCACCTGAAAAGAATGAAAAGGAAGAATAAACAAAAAAAAAAATAAAAGATCAAAAAAGCTGGCTGGCGAGCTCTGGCAAGAAAGTAAATAGAATGGCTACAAAGGTTATGCAGCCCCCATTGGCATCGCCTGTCATATTTCGTGCGTCAAAGTCATCTCCTCTCCCTCCAGCGGTTAATCTTTAATCGGTGGAACCGCCAACGAGAACTGATAGCCACTACCTCAAGACAGTAAATACCCGCAGAAGGGCATCGAGCCTACCCACGCACACTAAATGGGGATCAGACATTCCGATCACTGGGAGCCAGAGTCTCCTTCGGTGAAAATCTATGCTTGTCAGAACTGCAAAACTCATCTAGCAACCAGCAAAATGATCATTTCTCGTGATTACAGAGGAAGAACTGGAAAGGCCTATCTACTCAAGAATGTTATAAACATCAAAACCTCGAAGAAGATCACGAAGGAGGAAATGACCACCGGGAAGTACCTAATTCGCTACATTTATTGTCACCAGTGTGGTTCAAATATAGGATGGAAGTACATCAAAGCCGACGAGAGAGATCAACTATACAAACAGGGAAGGTACATTATGGAGATAAAGAGAGTGTGCTGTACTGTATAAGCCATTTCCATACCTTTTTGAAGTTATTGTTTGTTTGTTTGTTTATTATATATTATATAGTTGTACAAATCAGAGATGAGATGAGATTCACGTGATGAAAACTGTAAAGCTAGCAAAGATTGGGTTTTGGGTAACTTATATGGGTTGATAATCTACTCTCCAACCATCATCCTGACATTGCCACCCATTAAAGATGATTGAGCATACTTACTTCGAGGAATATCCAAACTTGTCCATAGAGGAACGGTTGTCGTTCTTGAAAACAGTATCGACTTCAATTGTCTCCAACGACCTCCAAAAACGAGCCATATTGAATAACCATACTGTCTTTTTGAGAAAGCTATTGGATGACCTATTATCAACAGCTGACAGCCAAGAGCACGCAGATCAATTAGTTAACTATTCTTTGCTAATCTTGAACTCATTGATTTATCTTACATATGATGCTTTACCAATATTTTCGAGATTGAATGCCATTTCTTACTTGATTCGCAACGCTACTTTGTTGACATCTCAATTATCTGGATCCTCACTGCTGCAGATAATCTTGAAGAATCTATCTTGGAACTTCAAGGCGTTCGCAAAAATATTATTCTATACCGATGATTCTGACTTGGTGTACACCGTCAATGATGATTTCATCGATCTGGTTGTATTGTTAATGGCTTATTCACCTAGCCCATCAGCAAGCGGGGCGTCTTTATTGGACATCCAAGAATCATATAATTCATGCCTTTTCAATCTATTCAACGTCCTATCAATTTTGGCTAATATTTCAGACTCCATGAAAATAAAAATGTACCCCTACCTACTCAAAAAGGTTCTTATCGAAACTTACCCAATTTTGGACTCCTTAATCAATCCCTCGTTACCTACAACAACCCCGTCATTAACAATAGGCCAAATATTGTCTAATATTAACAAGGGAGACTCGATAAGGCTTGAACACATAGATAACCTTGACTTTATAAACTTGAATAACAAATTGATCAACAGATTGGACACCAAATACCCTTCATTCAAAAACTTTTATTTCTCCAATACTTTACCTGAACACTGTCCAATTAATTTGTCGTTGATACCAATTTTTTTACCATCGATGTTTTATTCATTTGCAAATATGTTGGACATAAAAGACCCTCAAGATTTAATTCGTCTCCTTAACGAAAATGATTCGTCAAACTCACATGGCAATCTCATCTTACCAAAAAATTTATACTTTGTGCTCTGTGGATTTTTGAATTCAAGCAATTCTCATATCAAATTGAGTTCGATGAATATTTTGCAAAAATATTGCTTGAATTATGTTAACCATTTACAATTTCAAATTGATGAAGAATCATCATCTTCTGCTAATATTGTGAATAATAAAATCATCTTTCACACAGTTTCGAAATACTTGCCATATTTGATGAATGTTTTCCACCCAAATGATGATGGTGCAAAAACCTCGGCTGTGAACGTTGAATCGGCGCAATCCCATAGATTTTCTAATGATATTCCAATTTCTAAGAATCAAAAGCCTCTGGATTTGGTTTTACAAGTATGCAAGTTCAGCTCAACTAACTTGGATATTGATCCTGCAAACCAGTTTTACGAGATGATTTTAAAAAAATTGCAGAATTACAATGTTCTAAAGATTGTGACTGATAAATTATTGCATTTGCTTATTCATAAACTCATTAAAACTTTCGAAAGAAATTATATTGACGAAACTTTAACTTCTTCAAAGCACAAGAAACATAAATCAAATTCACCTGAATGTATTGGGGCACTTCATATCTCTCATAGTGAAAAAAAGCTTATAAGCTTTTCTAAATCCAATTTATATTTCACAGACATTGCCTCCTTTGAAGCAATCAGTGATGCAAATTTTTTATTCAAATATGCTTCAATTGATGACTTGGAATTGTTTTTGAACTGTTTTGAAATTTTGAATTGCTTTATGTCCATCAAGAATAACAACGTATACAAGAAGTTTGCATTAAATCAATTATTGAGCATTGGGAATGAGCCTAAAGTTCATGAAAATGCGAAAACTATCGGATCACTACATGGTTCTAGAAGTTTTGGCAACGACAACACTAATGTTGATGGGAATGTGTCATATGGATACAGGACCTATTTGAATAATTTAAATTTGATTGTGGTGAATGTTTTGGCTCTTCAATTGCGCGTTTGTGGAAGGATAGAGAAGTTGGTGTGCTCTTCTAAGAATAATGGAAAGAAGGGGGTTATTAAACTATTGGACTATTTGAGCAAGAATTTTTATAAGAATCTACTCATCAACAAATTAGCTCAAAGCTTGGTGAACTTTTTGAAATTTCTATCAACTGATATTTTGTTACTACGGTCTTTCTTTGTCATCAATTTTAATAAAGAGTTGGTCATTGACTTGATGATAAGAATTAATAAGTTTTCATTGGAAGATATTATCAGGAGCTTTAATGGAATGGATTCCTGTGAGAAGATTAATGAATATGATAATTGTCTAAACATTCTGATCACTGATCTTATGTCCAAGATTCTCAATGGTCCAGAAAAAAATTCGCGAAGTTCACTACAACAGCAAATTTCAAAAGCAGTTATCATTTCTATAAGGAATTTTGAAAATTTCAAAACGATTTTGAGGTCAATTATTGAAACAAAGACACTTGTATGCTTGTTATTTGCCAATTTGAGCCTAGAATTTTCTCCAATTCAACAATATCTTTTAAGTTTGACAATCGAAAAGCAAGACGGAAAATTAGTTATAAGGAACCATGCAATACCATTCAAAGATACCAGTAAAAACGTTTTAATTGATATGATTGCCACTAACATATCTGGCATATATACTAGTGATCCAGATGAAACAGCTGCTATTAGGAATTATGATGAGTTTTCATTTGTTAATTACATTTTTTGCAATTCTATGAGTTGCTTCGGAAATAAATCAAACTTGGAAAAACTCGATTTTATTGAAGATTGCTTTGACTATAGTAATAATTCCCAGGAAGCTTTCAGAATTGTTAATTTGGGATCTGGCCTGCCAAATGTTTGGAACATTGATATTAATAATTTTAATTATTGCAAATTTGAAGAATTCATAAATGGCAGTGTTTCTAAGGACATTTCATTAAAAGTGGGCTACACGACTCTCGTTAATTTTGTGTCTATTTATTCTTTGAAGCACGCAACTTTGATGATTCTTAAAAACTTGTTATATGAATCTCCCATGAATTTGAAGACAGATTTTGTGTTGAAAAATTTGCAATTCAAGAATATTTTGAAACCATTAATGGTGGACTGTGTTTTGGCTACGAGTCCGCTGGTGATGAATAGGTCTGGCTACACCAACACTCCTAAGATCAAGGGGTTTGTTTTAGATTATAAGACTGAGTTGGTTAATATAGTTAGAAACTTGATATCCGATTTGCCTAGGATCATTGGAGTTTTAAGCTTTAACATTCGCGAAAGTGGTCCTTGTGTTAACGATGAAATTTTGGATGGTGAAATGGAGGAATTTTTCATGGACTTAACATTGAAACACTTGACATTATCAAATATTATTGAAAAACCAAAACTCGTGACGAATATTTTATTCGTTATCAATAATTTATTAACCTTGAATGAAACTTTTAGAAATATTGTCATTTCCAATGAAATTTTAATGAAAAGATTGAAATTGATATTGGATTTGAGTATGCAGGGGACTTTTGGTGAAGATGTTTTTGAAATAGATGAAGCTAGTTTGAACACGTTTGTGGATATAGATATGGAAGTGTTGCATAATCTTGGTATCAAGGGTGCTGATATTTTCGCTGAAGATTTATCAATGTCAATGAAGGATGATTTCATCAAGAAATTTTCTGAGAATCTAGTCGGCATGTATGAGCAAACCATGAAACAGAACACTGGTGGGAATTATTATCCGCATCATCATAATGTTGATTTCTTCAATATTAAATTGGCGTGCGTTTGGATAGTGATCAATTTGATATGGGACCAAGATGATCCCGATGTTGATGGTATCAAGAAAAAAAATCAACATGGTGATATTTTTGAAACAGGTTCCAAGCAACCAATGAGTGGATTTTTTAACTCTAGAGATTCGATGACAATTGTCGATCGATATAAGAAGCTTGTTGCATTGGGGTTCTATGAATCAGTCCAAAATTTAGAGAAATCAGAGATGTTGGACCTTAAACAGAGAGCATCTGCAGCGGTGAAGAACTTTGATACTATTAAAAGTGAATTGGAGAGTTTGGGAGCTCTGCTTGTTTGATGTACTAATTTAGTTATTGTTATCACTGAGGTTTTAAATTTTTTCTTGTGTATATGCCTGGCTATAAAATGTATGTTATGGAACATGTTTAGGGGATGACTAGTTTGTAATGAAATTTCAAGTTTTGAAGGTTACCGATAGATATTAGCAGACTCTTTGCATTTCAACTTACAAGAAAAAAAAAAAAAATTGAGGTAATCTTTTGTGTGAACCTATACAATAAAGCCTTCAAATAACAATTTTATTATGCTCTTGGTAAATATTTGGAGCTGCAGGCCATCAAATAACATATAATAAGACTTGCGGTTTACAGCGATTCTGATAATAATAAATAAAATCAATCTCTCTTAATAGCTTGATCCCCAGAACGGCAATTAAACATATACAAAGACATCAATTAATTCAGAATGTGATAATCCAGCTCCTCTGATTGATTGATGTTTTCATAATCGAAGAATTGTAATGAAAATATAGGATGCGTAGGGCGTAAGAGTGTACAAGCTCCCTACCCAGCCCTACCCTTATGGGATCAATGGCTTTTGAAGAATATTTTAGTCCCGATTATATCTGTATAAATGAATTATGGTCCTTTAATGTCAAATCATCCGCACCTTTTTGTTAGATAGGTTCAAACATCTTAAAAATGGAAAAATATCGCCATCATAGATGGATGGAAACGAAAATTCAAAAACTTGTCATCTACTCTATTTAGTTTTTCTTTTAATTAAGCATCCAACCATTCAACTTGAGATTATAACTTCTGATTCAACTTTCAGTTGTACTTTGCCATGTTGGGACATTTTGTGCCTCTTACCCTATTGTGAATTTTTCTACGCAAGTTTACGCATTGGAAGGTATGATCCATGTGACCATGAGAGGTAAATAATAAAATAAATGGGGGAGTAGGAAAGGGCAAATTTCCTCAACAGATGGGTGGTCCAATTCACAGAAAGATAAACCGTCAATTGTTATAACCTCTCCATCTTCTTGGGTTCAAGATGCCGGTCAGAAAAAGACATACCAGAAATGGCTCCGAGAATTATGACGCTGATGATGAAAAATCGATGTCTTCGAGTACCAAGAAATTGATCGTCACTAAACCGAAGACTTCTGAATCGATCATTGTGAATTCCCCATTATACGGGTTTCTATCTCCTTTCAAATCGGCAAAAAGCCAATGGATGGTGAAGTATATCGTTATACTATTTGCCTTGATCATCAGGATCGTGGTGTCGTTTGGCCCGTACTCGGGAGAACATGTGGCCCCAAGATTTGGCGATTTCGAGGCTCAACGTCACTGGCTTGATTTGACTGTGAATCTACCAATTTCCCAATGGTATTACTACAATCTTGAGCATTGGGGGCTCGATTATCCTCCATTGACTGCGTACCATTCGTTATTATTGGGTTACATTGGCTGGTTCATTAGACCTGAATGGTTCCAGTTGGACGCTACCGATGGGTTGGAAAATGAGGAATTGAAATTCTTCATGCGATTCACGGTTATTGTCTCGGAATCCTTACTTTACATTCCTGCCGTTTACTATTATACTAAATGGTTCAACAAGAATATGGATATTTTGAACAAGAAGTCGTCATTGAATCAGGTATTGTCCATCGCCGTGCTTCTATTCCAACCAACGTTGATTCTCATTGACCATGGGCATTTCCAATACAATTGCGTCATGTTGGGTTTTGCATTATTATCTTTGGACGCTATGTTGAATGATCATTTGATGTTGGCGTCGATTTTCTTTGTATTTTCCTTGACCTTCAAACAAATGGGTCTATTCTACGCTCCCCTTGTGTTTGCTTACCTTTTAGGGGTCACATTCAACCCATTCAACGAACTTTTATACAATATTGGGGTCTTCAAGTCTCGTAGAGCTAATAAATTCGATTTTGTCAATCTATTCTTGATTGCTTTGGCCACGGTTGGATCTTTCATCGTGGTATTTGCTCCTTTATACATTTTTGCAGACGACGGCCAAGGATTTGCTAATTTGAAACAATCAATCTTGAGAATCTTCCCATTCAATAGAGGTATCTTTGAGGACAAAGTCGCCAACTTCTGGTGCACCACAAATACCTTGGTAAAATATAAGAACTTGCCCGTGGATTTGTTGAAGTTGAGTGCGTTAGGTTTCACAGTCTTATCGATCTTGCCTGCTTGTATTGCAATTTATTTTAACCCTATCAAATCACTATTGCCTTGGGCTTTGGCTTCTACCTCTTGGGGCTTCTTTTTGTTTTCATTCCAGGTTCACGAAAAATCAGTGTTGCTCCCATTGCTACCAACAAACCTTTTGTTTTGTTATGTCAATGACGATGAACTATTCCAACTCTTATCATGGATCAACAATATTGCCTTATTTAGTTTAGGACCTTTGTTGAAGAGAGATAAGTTAGATTTACAGTTCTATACATTGACTTTGTTGTCAAATTGGTTGGTGGGTAACTTGACACCCGAATCTTTATTGAATAATTTAAGATCGCTTTTCAAATCTTTTTTCTCTGTTGCTTGGTTCACTAATTGGATAATCTTTGGGTCAACTATTGGTGCAATTGTGCTAGACTTGGTGCCTTATTTTGTCGAAGCACCAGCAAACTTGCCAGATCTTTGGGTCGTTGGTAATATCACCTTAAGTTTTATTTGTTTCTCGATATTTTATCTTTATATAACATACAAGACTTGTGCTTTGGCTATAAGCTCCTAATCTTATAATACTTACTTACTTACTTCAATTCTCACTGACCCAGCATTTTCAATAAATATATTATTACTCTTATTCTTTAACTCCAAAAAATTGAATGAAAAAAAACAACAAAAGAAAAAAAAAATAGTAGTAAGAATGATAAAAATATCACTCGCATGATGGAAGATAAATATCGGTTTTGAGAGTTCTGTTGGGGAAAAATAACCCCCACTGGGATTCCCAAGTCTGATCTACTGTATGGTACACACTCTTCCATGGTTCATCAAAAGCCTCAAACCAAAACCAGGGGTATTCTGTTTGTCTAGCTTCACAAATCCAAGAATTGATAAATGTTTGCATTTCTTCCCTTCCTCCCACAGCATCAAAATAATAACCACCATCGTATGGCCAACCAACTTCAGAAATTACCATTACAGCTTTGCTTTTAGCTTTTGCATTCAACGGCTCGACTTTTTGTCGTAGAAAGTCAAATATCCATGTTACTGATTTGCCAACCGATTCACCGACAAAAAATGGATGAATATTTACCCCAACCATATCAGAAACCTCAATCAAATCAGGATAAAGCATGGAACCAATTTCTGACACCCCCACTGGTAAATCATGCCAATTCATTTGGTCATCAACAAAAATTTTGACATCACTAATATATCTTGAGAGTTGTAGAGGGGTCTTTTCCTCCCTAAATAGAACCTCATTGCCTACGTAAATAGAATCAAAGTACTTTCTTGGATATTTCTGCAAAACTTCTTTTAAAAGCCTTATTTGTTCATCATTCAATATATCGTCACTACCGATCCATATTCCAATTGATAAGCTCATATTTAAATCAAGCTTCTGGATACTGCTCAAGATAAGTGATTGTTGAGAGCATTGCATGCCATACGTCCTAATCCTGGATGTAACTTGAGATAGAACTGCAAGATCCAACATAACTTCCCGCTCACTAACACCACAATAAGGATGACTATAAAATGTGTTAGAAGTTGCAGGAATAAATACGTATGCATCAAAAAAGGTCGCACAACATACATAACATTTTTTGGGGTGTAATCAATTCCGTAAAATACATTCTCTAATTCCGAGTTATCCATTAGTGCAATAATTTCCTGATCAGTATTAAAAGGACTTGATAGACCGTTATAAGAGTTAATCACTGGATTGTATTCCCCAGCTGATGCACTTTTTACAGGAGATTTGTTATCACTGATAAAATGGAGTATCCTTTCAGGATTTTCTTCAATACTGAGTTTGCTTCCGAGATTTTCAAGGATTTTTGATTTGGTGTGTGATAATTGTCGGTCATAATACCTGTAGAAAGAAGATTCTGTGCCTTTATAGTAAATAATTATCAATGGTATGAAGGTAGAAATAGAAGCAATAAATAATAAAGCAAAAGCAATCAAGAGGAACCATGTCCAGTTGAATCTTTTCTTTGCTTCACGAATGAAGTTCATTTTGGCAAGACTATTGTTATGAGTCTCTTGATCTTCATTATTGCCTTTATCAGCTGAATTTTCTAGGGAATAAAGTACAGTACCATTATCATCATTTTGGGTGATAAGACTGTCATTTTGGCTAGCATCTTTCATAATGTCATCAGAAAAACTTTTTGGTGAAACAAAAGCATCTTCAGAAATGCTTTTATTACTAGAGCTGCGATCATCGTTATGGTCTGGATATTTTACTCCGACATTAATATTTGAAGATACAAATGAAAAAAGCTCAGCATCTTCATTATCAACATGATCCAAGACTTCGTTGGAGTCAATCACTAACTTTTCAATGTTTTGGGCTTCAGTTTCTGAAATTAGTCCAGTAAAAACCTCTCTTCTTTCTTTATTTGAATTATTTGGCAGTGAAATCTCTATTGGTTTATTAATGCATTCATCACTATTAGCAGCAGTTGATAATGGACTAATAGTTTGTATTGGTCCAGAATATTTGATCTTATTTGATATTTCTTTACCGCTTAGTTTTGAGTTCACTAATCCACCTGTTTCTTCATTATTGCTGGGCAAAACAGATTTTCCGGAAGTTGAGCTACTTCTATTAGTATTTAAAAACCTGCGATCTTTATAAGGAGACATTGGTTGGGAACCATTTTTACCTGTAGTCATTCCTGAATAAATATTAACCCCAGAGGTTATGGGTGAAAGGATGGAAGATTGATTTTCCTCGAGCACTGCTGATTGATCTGACAAATTAGATGTGGATTTAATATTCCTTATTTTATATTCGAATATCTTTGGGGTAACTTCAAGTTTAGTGCTTTCAGATCTTAGTTTCTGTTTCGGTGAATAACATGGTTCAGTGGTGGTGAGTGAATCTTTAGCCTCAGTCTCAGGCAGGAACTGGACAGCAGCATTCTTGGACTCTTTTTGAGACATAGTCATTTGGATGACAGATGTTATCAACGAATCCTCTCTATTCTCTGATCTTAAACTATCATTGCCTTTGAGAGTGATCAATTCATTGCCCTTTTTGGCGCCATCATCAACTGATGGAGATGTGACACACTCGGTGTCAAAAAGGCCACCTATACCGCCTCCGATGTGATTTATAGAAAACTCTTTCAAGCGCCCAAAAAAAGTGGACTTGTTGGTGCTAGTGGAGTTGGTGGCATTCATTAACGTCTCAGCATTAGCGTGCACCGGTCTGAGATCCAAATCTAAGTCATCACTAAAGTAATGTACTTCGTTATCGTCACTCGCAAGCTTAGCAGTCTCATAAACAGTAGTATCTTTTGCATAATCATCGTCTTCAGTAGATGAATCAATATTGGCACCATTAATGTTATGAGATGAGTTTATCACAAGCTGATCGACCACCCTTTTCCGTTCATTTATAACATCTGACGATTTTAGCATCTTCAGTATGATCAATATTGGCTTAAACACTATCACTTTAACTGCGAATTGAAAGACGAGAGAATTACTAAATGAATGTTACACAACAACAACTGTTCAATTGTGGACTGTTCCCAAAGGGGACACAAAAACGGCTACATGAAAATATCCAAAGACCCTTTTGTGTGATATGTGCTTACATGCAAATTCTATTATCAAGAAATGTATTTATTAAAAAGTGTATAGCTTTTCAGAGATATTAGTAGTACAAAAGAAAAGAAGGAGAAAAGAAAAAAAAGGAGAACAGAAGGTAATTACCAAACGTCTTCTTGGTATCTGTTAATAGATTTGTATTTTCTGAGAGTTTCAGCTGCAGCATCTTCTGTAATGCCCTTTTCCTTGGACAAGACAGTGGCCAAAGCCCCTTGGACGGATCTGGCCATGTTAGAAGCATCACCACAAACGTAGATGAAAGCCTTTTGGTCAATAAGTTCAACAAGTTCTTTAGATTTTTCCAACATCTTGTGTTGAACGTATACTTTTTCACTGGTTTCTCTGGAGAAGGCAGTCACAATTTCAAAGTTCTCACCCAAAATCTTAGCATATTCGACCCATTCTTCTTTGTAAAGGTAATCTTCGTCGGATCTTCTTGAGCCAAAAAACAAAATGACCTTACCAATCTTAGTTCCCATTTTAGCCATGGCGACTCTTTCTCTAACGAAACCTCTCAATGGGGCAACACCGGTACCTGGTCCAACCAAGATGATTGGTAAAGCAGGATTAGTTGGCAATTTGAAGTTGGAACGGCGGACAAAGACTGGTAATTTAGTAGCTGAAAATTTACCTCTTGGACCGTCCAAGTCGTAAGTAGCGTACAATTGATCGTTCTTCGCATTTTGGTTGACTTCCAAGCTATGCAATAAATTAGTGGTAACACCAGTGACATATTTCTTATCGGCAGTTGGTGCGGTTTCCGCTTCAACCACGGCAGTGACATGAATTGTAGTCTTTTCAGAAATTGACGATGAAGAAATGGAGTAGAAACGTGGTTGTAGGTTTGGAACGGAGTCTACGATAAAACTGTTAGGGACGGTAGTCCATGGGGCATCTTGAGATAAATACAATAAAGCGTCAGAGATGTTGAATTTCTTGGAAGTGATTTCTTTATGGAACAAATCTTTGTCCTTGGAAAGCTTGGTGGCCAAATCTTTGACTTGCTGAGATGGAGCAAATTCACTAATTGAGCCCAAAAATTGTCTGGAGACTGCCCCAGTGATTTCCAAATAGTAACGTGCGATGCTGTCAAAAGTGGTTGGGGATGGGAAGGAATGGCTGGAAGTGGTATCGAGAGGTTTAATAACCACAACTTGGTTTCTCTTTTCCAATAATCCGAAAGCTTTCAAGAAATTGTCCACTTCCTCATTAGAATTTGGTGGCAAAATGGCTAGATGGTCACCAGTGGAATATTTCAAATTGGATCCAGATAAATCAAATTCAGCGTGAATGCAATGGCGAGTTTGAGAAATAAATAGTTCTTTAGATTTAGTGACAGGGGCCAAGTATGGGAAGCTGTGATCAAAAGGACCTAAGTTTAGTTTTGCATGGTCTTCAACTAAGTAAGCTCTGTGATGCTCGCCAAGGAACACATCGTCGGAAGAAGAGAATAATTCGGCGCTTTCAACCACAGATACGGCAGGTTGATATTTAGCTTCGACTTCTTTCAACGACAAAGTGTTTTTTAAAGTTTCAAAAGTCTTTTCTTTCCAAGCCAAGAAATCTTCATCTAAAGTGCCAGCACCATCGTCACCATCACCATATGGAACAAATTTAGTGGCACCTGCTTTGATCAAGTCTTTGTCGACCTTTTTGGCAGCACCGTTGTAAAACTCGTAGGTGGAGTTACCCAAACCGAAGATGGTATAATTCAAGTTTTGCAAATCACCTTCGTCAATGGTATCCAAGTATTCATTAAATTCTGTGGCAGAGTCAGGAAGTTCACCTTCACCATAACTGGAGATAAAGAAGAACACCAAAACGTCTTCAGGGATTTCGTTTAAGTTATCGAGGTCATAATCGTCGGAGTCGGCAACCAAGGTGGATAGTTGGAATCTTGATTGGAATTCACGTCCGAATTTTGTGGCGTAGTCTTCAGCAGTACCAGTCTGAGAAGCATAGATCACCACAGCTTTCTTGTCACATTCCTCAATGACTTCAACAATATTTCTTGATTTGGACGATGCACTGACATCTTCTTTGTTTCCAGTACCAAATATTTTTCCCTTTGCTAGGATGAAAGTGACCAAGATGGCGAGGATTGATGAAAGAATACCACAATCGGTCTTATCAAGTGAGAATGGCATGATTTTACTTCTCTATAATAACGAAGAATTGGATTTGAAAATGCAGAAAAAGGAGAGGATAAAGTTGGTTATAGAGCACGCCAACAAGTAGGGATAATGATTTGTATAAATATAGATACAGATATAGATATACGTGTCGTTGCCTGAATTATCTTTCACCCTATGTGTGATGAACTGAAATCACTGTGGAAAAAAAAAAAAAAAAAGAAAAGAAAGAAAAAAAACTTGGGTGAACCTTCGATTTGGATCAGGACAGGCAAAATTCAAAGAAATAACAGTTTTCGTTGATATTTTTTTTATTATTCTATGGATTTAAAGACAGCAGGGTCAGGATAAACTAAGATTGCCAAACGTCTTGGTTTTATTTATTCGTCATTCGTAATCGTACGAGTGTAACTGGTGATGGTGGTGTCACCTTGATTATTCGTCGTTAATAAACCTCACGTAACAATCCCACAAGCGAGCTAAACGACGATAACGACAACACAGAAAAAAAAAAGAAAAAAAAAAACGAAGAAAATAATAAAGGACACCAGGTTCAAATTCAAAATAATAATGTTGAAATCAATCTACAAGAATACCAGATATTTTTTGCGAGAAATAAGAACAGAAATTTGTAAAAAAAGACAATAATGGAGAATGATTTTTTTTCAAAAAAATCAAAAAAAACACTTCCACTAATGGGCCCCTCACAAAAAAATCCATTCATTCCTTCATTTCAATAAAAGCTAAAAACTAAATAAAAAAGAAAATCACAGGTGGAGGGGAGGAGGAGGGAGGGAAAAAAAGAAAAATTTGATGAGATTTTTGAAAAACAAGAATACTATAGAAAAAGCAATAATAAACCCAGTACAACACTCAGTAGTTTGCTTAGAAACACTTGTGGTGAACAATGGATGGACCACTTTCGTCGTATTCTTGCTTGGAAATCCACATTTGTTGGAAAGTAGACAAGGAAGCCAAGATAGAACCACCAATCCAGACAGAGTATTTACGTTCAGGTGGAGCAATGATCTTAACCTTCATAGAAGATGGAGCCAAAGCACTGATTTCCTTTTGCATACGTTCAGCAATACCTGGGAACATAGTAGTACCACCAGACATAACAATGTTATTGTACAATTCCTTTCTGACATCAACATCACACTTCATGATGGAGTTGTAAGTGGTTTCATCAATACCAGCAGATTCCAAACCAATGACAGATGGGTGGAACAAAGCTTCTGGAGCTCTGAATCTTTCGTTACCGACGGTGATAACTCTACCATCTGGCAATTCGTAAGACTTTTCAATAGAAGAGGATTGAGCAGCAGTTTGCAATTCTTGTTCAAAGTCCAAGGCAACGTAACATAATTTTTCCTTGATGTCTCTGACAATTTCTCTTTCGGCGGTGGTGACGAAAGAGTAACCACGTTCAGCCAAGATCTTCATCATGTAGTCGGTCAAGTCTCTACCAGCCAAGTCAATTCTCAAGATGGCGTGTGGCAAGGAGAAACCGGCGTAAATTGGGACAACGTGGGAAACACCATCACCAGAATCCAAGACGATACCGGTGGTTCTACCAGAGGAGTACAAGGACAAGATAGCTTGGATAGAAACGTAGAAAGCTGGAACGTTGAAAGTTTCAAACAAGATTTGGGTCATCTTTTCTCTGTTAGATTTTGGGTTTCTTGGGGCTTCGGTCAACAAAACTGGGTGTTCTTCTGGAGCAACTCTCAATTCGTTGTAGAAGGTGTGATGCCAGATCTTTTCCATATCATCCCAGTTGGTAACAATACCGTGTTCAATTGGGTAACGCAAGGTCAAGATACCTCTCTTGGATTGGGCTTCATCACCAACATAAGAGTCCTTTTGACCCATACCGACCATGATACCTTGATGTCTTGGTCTACCGACAATAGATGGGAAAACAGCACGTGGGGCGTCATCACCGGCGAAACCGGCTTTACACATACCAGAACCGTTATCGATAACGAGCTATAATAATTGTTAGTATACCTTGTCTCATAGGATAGACAGATAGATAGGCTGGGCCATTTTAAAAAAAAATCCGCAATAGCATCTAATCCATGACAAGAAAACCGATCAACAAACACCAATCAACCAAAAAAAAATTGAGCTTTCAAAGGTATTAAAGATTGCTATTCCAGTGCTTCGCACTTGTAATTAAATAGTGGATACTAAATGTGTCCAATCAATCTTTGCTTGTTTATTTTTTTTTTGTTTTTTTTCCACAATCCAGTTTTTCATGCCCGTCACAGCAATTGAAAAATTGAAAAAAAAATTGGTGTTGAACGACAGACACATCGAGATTAAATTTAATATAGATAAGTGATCTATAAGCGTAGATTATTTAGATACGTACGGCAGCAACTTCTTCTGTAAAATACTGTTAGTAATTTTTCGTTGTCGATGATGTGTCGCTATCTTTCATAAATCACGATAAAAGAAAATGGCCAGCGCACAACAATTTCCCAAGCAAACGCCACTAAGGAAAAAAGAGCATTGGTGAAATCAATTGATTGGAACAGTAACCAAAGTTTCAGTGAAACCAATTGAGACAACACATAAAACTAATGATAGAATGATCCGAGATATCCTTTTTCCGTTCCGTTGGCAATAGCGGGTGGGGCCATTTTCCAGATGGTGATGATAAATAACAAACGCCAGGGCGAAGATCGTCTTAATTAAAGAAGCTGTAGTAATTACGTACCTCCGTCCATTATGTGATGGTTTTTTTTATTATGTTTGAGTCAAAAGCAATGAGATACAATCTATCACAGATGATAAGAATGAGATTTGGGGGGGAAAAGAGAGGAAGAAAAGAGAAAAGAAAGAAAGAAATCCTCCAACGGCAGAAAAAATAGGGGCGTTGGGGGGAAAAGAACAACGCATCTGTGCGCTCGCAACCACCGCGAGCGACGGCCGGCCCCGGCCGGCTGCGGATTTTATTATTGTTATGAGCCCTTTGTCTCCTTCTCTTTCGAGAGAGAGCCAAAGGACGGGTAAAAAAATGGAAGCTGTTTGGATCTTTCCCCGTGTACCCAGCACCATCTATTACCAACAATTCACATGGTCGACAAAAGAAAAGAAAGAAGGTGTGTGTCGTTGGTTAATTGGTTCTAAAACATTCTAAAATTAGACCATCATTTTTTGTGTTTTCGCTACCTTTTTTTTTCTTTTCTATTTTCTTTCTCCTTTGCTCTTTACGCAGTCAAATGGCAGTCATGCAAACAAACATTTTGACATCTTTATTAAAACAAGATGAACAGCTTAGCTAACTCCATCGAGAACAGTCGCACAATCTACCTCAACTTTGCAATCCCTTAATCTTCTGCTTGAAATGTCCTCGCGTATTGTACTGTGGCCAGAGTAATGGCGTTATGAAATTGCTGCATTGGGATTTCAAAGGAATTTCTCAACATGCATGAAAGATCTCCCTGATGTCTCTCCACAAGCAACTCCTTGTAAAATAAAATAAAAAAGAATATTGTTGATCTTCTGCAGCTATTTTTAGATCTTCTTAGTGCAAATTAAAAAAAAAAAAAAAAAAGTAGTACTAATTTAAATCACAAACTCTCTTTCCATTCAGAAAAATTGTTCCTTTCAAGATTGAACCCTTTTCGTCCGTACCAACAAAACCTCCCCATAATATTACAATTCTCCAGAGCCCGATTAAAAGTAGAATGATTGTACTATAAGATGTTGAAATTAAGGATAATCGGGATAACTACAATAATTGAGTGTGTTCAGACTACTAGAAATGCACTATCTTTAAAAGCAGCTAGCGGTGTAATAAGCAGGCTTTTAATAAACACCAGCTAACACCATCTGCTACTTTTTTGGTAGTAGAGGCTTATTGAAATTTCAAGTCTTTAAAAAATATTTCTATTCATAAAATCTTTAAGTAATTCACTATCAATGCCTTATACAATCCTCAAATGCATATTCTCTACAAGCAGATGAAATATTATTTTGGTAATCTGTTTAGAAACACTTCTAAATGCGATGAAACTATTGTGTTACATCAATATTAGCATACCGAGTCATAAATAGAAATGAAGTAACTATGCATCTGCATAATCTAAATTCGGAAAGGCTCTTTTCTGGTTTTTTGTTCGTTTTGGGTAATACATAAATATGTGATTCTCGTAATGATTGCCTGGTAAGCCAATTAAAAAAAAAAAAAAAAGAAAAGAAAAGGCTATATTTAACACTCTATTTTAAAACTAATGACTGTATTAAAATGAAACAAAAAAGTTTGAGTAAGGAATATAACACTTCTTTTTTGTTTTGTTTCTTTTTGCTTTGGGGTCTTGTATTTCCAGGAACGAGAGATGCTTGCAAAATAAGTTATATATAAGACCATCTTTTGGGAAGTGAGAAGTTTCTGAATCTTAATTTTCTTCTTTAAAAGCTTTCTACAATCACAAATTTTATCTACTCAATCATAATGTTTAAACCTTCAACTGAAAGGCTTGTCCTAATATTTATTCCTAGTCTCTTAACTTGGGTCATCACTTTCACCGTGTTTTCGACATATTATTCGGGTCCTGAGAAACTAGTCGATATTGCTGGTACCAGAAACCAAATGACTTTCGCTAAAAATTTAGCAGTTGGTTCAAACTACGATGGTTTCGAAGATATCGGGCTTTTGAAGCGTTGTGATCTTCCAACTAATTTTGATCCCACTCCAAAATCCTGGGAAACAACCAGTAGTGATGAACCATCTTCTATATCTTCATCTCAATACCGTTACCACTCGTTTTTGCCAATATCTTCTTCTACAAATGACGCTACTTTTGACAGCAATAGTGCGCAAGCTACCGATGTGACTGTTAGCACCAACGGGAAATATCAAGGTCATGCTTCGGTAAGTCTGACTGAGACGTCAATATCCGAGGCTATTTCCAGTACCAAATCGATTCCTACTGGTGATTCCGCCTCAGTGTTATCCAGTTCGGAAGCCAAATTATCCAGCTCACTTTCTGCTTTAAGTTTTTCTATCGAAGCTGGTGCTGCTCCTACCTTATCCACATCCGTATCAAGTGCTACTTCTAAAGCAGCTGCTGATTACACCGTCTCTGCCAAGCTAAATTTCTCCACCGCTCCATTGTACTTGATATCTGTTGAGATCGGTACCCCTGCACAACAAGTTCTCTTGGAATTGGATACCGGGTCTTCTGATATTTGGGTGGCTTCTGCAGTTGATCCGGGAACCATTGATTGTTCCACTTATGGATGTTACAATTCATCGGACAGCCAGAGTTACACCGCCTCTGGAGAAACATTCGAGATGATTTACGGAGGATCCTACATTGTTGAAGGCAAATATGTTTTTGATGATATAACTGTCAATGGGGCAGCGATCGATGGAATGAAATTTGCCATAGTGGATGGTGCGTCGGCATCTGACGCTGGGATTTTTGGTGTTGGGCCTAAGGCCGGTGAAGGAAGCACCATTGCATCGACCACTAACACTACTGACACCAATGTTACCGGGATATTGTCGGAATTGAAAAGCTTATTGGGGAGTTTTTGGGACGAGCTCATTCTGGTTTTTGCAATTTTCAACACCTATGATAACTTGTTATACTCGTTAAAACAACAGGGTTATATTGCTGATTTGAAATATCTGGTGTATCGTACTTCTGTTGGCACGTTGCCAAGTGCTTACACAGCCCCAGCCAATTCCAGCTCATACAATTCCACTTCAAATGGTACTGAGAGTCTGGTTAATTACAGCATGTTAGGACAAGGTGTGGTTCTTTTTGGTGGTTCTGATTCATCGAAGTATCAAGGTGCGTTGCAAACTTTCTCTATTGTTCCTTCCCCAACAATGGAGACTTATCTTTCTTACGTACAGCCTTTGATTGATTATTTTGGAGACGAATTGAAGCCATATTACTTGACCAATAACTTGATAAATTTGTATGATATTGATATCTTGGGGGTCAATTTGTTGACTGTTAGTGGGGTGACGACCGCTGGTTCCGGGATTCCTGCGTTGATTGACACCGGGACCCTTATTAGTGGGATTCCCTCAGCGGCAATGGGGATAATTGTTAATGCCACCAGTGCCACCTACGATGAAGATACGGGGGCTTATTATGTTCCATGCGACGGGTCTTCTTTCCCAGCTGAAGGATTGACTTACAGTTTGAGTTTTAATAGCGATAGCAGTTTGGGAGTTGAAGTTGGTTTGCAAGATACCTTGATCGCCCCATTGGAGATTGTTGACGAAGAGATTGTAGTTGATGGGGTTCAGCAGTGTTATTTACCATTTGAGACTGGTGAGGATGAGATAGTGACCTTGGGAGTGTCGGTGATGAGATATTTCTACATGGAGTTTGATTATGATAATTGGGAGATCAGTTTGGCGTTGGGAAATAACTAGATGTATTTTAATTCGTCCCTGGTTATTATATTTCACTTCTGTTTCTTCTTATTTGCGTGATCTTCTATTATTATTATTATTATTATTATTATTATTATTATTTTGCTTTCCTTGTGTTGTTGTATAGAGAGATTGATTATATTTTCCACTGTTATCGGGCATCACGTAGCGCGTTTAGATCACCCAAAAATAAAGAAATATTAATCCCGACTGACTGCCTCGCCCCACCACATCATATATACGAAGATTGGGTGTTTTTAAGAAAATGCTGGGGGCCGAGTCAAATAAGAAACATGAGCCATTTTACCTTCGATATTATTCTGGCCATAGGGGCAGATTCGGGAAAGAATTCATCGAGTTTGACATCAGCGTGGAGCCAGGGCATGAATGGGGTACCATGCGGTACGTTAACAGCTCGAACTACAGAAGAGATGAGTTGATTAGAAAGAAAGTTACCATCTCGAAAACCGTGGTCAAACAGATCAAAATAATGATCAAAGAGTGTGAGGTGATGAAGGAGAAAGATTCACAATGGCCTCCGCCGGGATCTAGCGGGGGAATTGAGGAGTTAGAAATCAGGATGGGGCCAGAAAAGATTGTATTTGAGGTGAGTTAGTTAGCAAAGAAAAAAAACAAAACAAAAAAGATTATAAAACATACTGACCATACCATTATAGACAAAGCAGATCCAGACATTATCAGATATCCAGAAAAGCCTGGATCCTGAAGGGTTGAGGGTGTTTTACTATTTTGTGACTGATGTCAAGGCGTTGGTTTATCTGATGATGGGTTTACACTACAAGATCCGGCCATTTTAGAAGGAATGGTGGATATCATTGTTAGTTCTGGATTGTTACAATCTAATGTACTGCTGATCAATCAGTTGTTATATTCTGTTCTATTCTATTGTATTATTATTATTATACTCTGTACCATATATTATTATCATTATCATTATATTATTATTATTTGTTATCGTATATTATTATTTTTATCGTATCTAATTATTATCATAATCAGCATTGCAGAATATCGACGATTCTTATCGTTTCTGGCTATCATTCCTGAGAAAAACAACCTAAAACAACCGCAACAAAAAAAAAAAAGAAAAAAAAAAAAAAAAAAATTAGAAAAAATCACCATTTTGCATCGTGGTCAAACTAGTTGCTACAATATAATATTAGTGATATTATCCAACATCCTACAACAAACATACTGCCCCACCATCATTATTTGTTTGTCTACATTCCTTCCCATCATCCCTCCGTTTTGCTGACTTCTTGTATTTTCTTTTTTTTTTTTTTCTTTTTTTTACTTTTTTCGTTTTTGTTGAAGATTCTCCTTTGGTGTTTCAGAGATTGTTTCTAAACAGTGTCGGGTATAGCCTATCACCACCACAACAAAAACATCACTGCGATTAGTTTATTGCTTCACCTACTGGACGGTGTGTTTGCTTGGCTCAATATTACCCGTACAAAATGACCACTCTGGTATCCAACAACTACCATTCCCAGCAGTTGTCTGCCAGTGACTCGTATTCTACTGGTAACATCGCTGATTTCTACGCCAACGATAGTGGCCATGATCTAGATCGTCACAACCACGGCCACGACCATATCAATATCCAAGATGCAATCAGTTATCACGAGGATTCCCAAATGATGGCCGAAGATGAAGATTATGACGAGGAACAAGACGATGACGATGACCAAGATGAAGAAGACAGACTTTGCAAACATTGTGGGAAATTGATCCTCGAAGGACACGCATACGAGTTGGGAGATGATCGTTGGCATATTAACTGTTTTAGATGCTCAAAGTGCACAAACTTGCTCGGTATCAACTCAGATTTCTTGGTGGTTGGTACCGGCGAATTGGTTTGCGAGAACTGTTTTTATGACTGCCAAGTGTGCGGTAAGAAAATTGGGGATCTTGCCATCCTTGCTGGCAATCAACCTTACTGTGCCGACTGCTTCGTTTGCAAACATTGTAAAAACAGAATTGATAATTTACGATACGCAAAGACTTCCAGTGGCCTTTATTGTATGAACTGCCATGAAAAAGTTTTGTTGAAGAAGAAGCGACTAGAACACGAGAAACGAGAACGAGAAAGAATACGTCGTCAACAACAAAAAAGAAATAGTGGCGGTACACCTTCCCAATCACAGTCAGTCAACTCGTCTAGAAACACAACCCCGATTTTTGAAAAATCGTTGCCATCTATCCCCCCAACTTCATCTGCAACAGCAGCAGCAGCCCCCCAAGCATCGAGTAGCTCAAAGGCGTATAACCCCCAAAATGCAAACGGTACTTTCAATAGCCCTTTTGAAACTGAAGAGGCTGATGTTAGGCTTTCTCCAATAGTGGGAACACATCAATCAATGTCTGATAATGAAAGTGACGATCTCGATGTCATGTTTCAATCCCTCAATTCCTTGGCTTCAAATAGCAACCCTAGTATTAAACCATCTTTTTCCAATAATCTGAGAACCAAAAAACCAAACTATGAGCGAACTCCCTCTTATGAAACTTCAAAGAAACGGAAATCGGTCACTTTTGATCCTTCTACTGAGGGCGACATATCTAACGATGCTGACAAATCCTTCAGCTCATTAACTAACCCCACAGCGAACTCTAATGATCCAGATGCAAGTTTCAAACTAGCAGATCCTCCTAAGAATGATTCAATGTCGCAGGCAGGTACTGGAGGCAAACAGTCCAGTAATAATCGCCCACCAATTTCCAGTAGAGCTGCCAATAACAGAAGAATTGTTTATGTGGATGATGACGATAATGATCATGATACGTCGAATACCACCTTTAACATTGACAATTCTTTTGGAGAAATTCTTGACCAAGAAGCGACATATAACAAGAGAAGAGTTTCGTACCATAATGATCAAGAGTTGAAATCGCAAATCAAGAAAAGTTCAGATAGTTTGAAGCAATTGTCGACATCGGAAAGTGGCACTCCAAAACAAAGTAAATTCAAGTTTAGTAGCAGCACCGATTACAACGATGGTCTAGAGGGATCCGGGGAAAATAAATCTGGCAATGGTTTGAAATTGGGAAGGTCTTTGTCAATTAAGTCTCCTAAGAATTTGCTCAGCGGTATTAATCGTCATAGAAGATCGATATCTAATGTGAATGGCAATGGTGTTTCCAAAGATCAAAACAATGGCGAGTACGATGTCCCTGAAAAACGTTCCAGATCTAAATCCAAAACAAGTCATTCGAGATCAAATTCGGATATTCTAAACTCTTATTCTTCTGACACTTCAACTATCAAAGGTTCTAGCGCAAACACCAATTCTGTCCCACAGAACGATGCAGAACTTCGTAGTATGAGATCTGAATTAGTTAGTATGACTTCTCAAGTCTCCACATTGAAGGATGAGTTGTCTAGCTTATTGAACACTAAGGCGGACTTGACCAGTGAAGTTGGTGAACTACAATTAATGATGTCAAAGTTGAAATTTGAAATTGAAAAAGAACGGAAGATTTTGGAACAAACCAGAGCCATTAATGATAATGTTAAAGCTGGCGACGCTGATGATCATAACACTAATAGTACTCCTTATCAATCATATTCTCGTAATGCTTCTGAGAATTCAATCGGTACAGGTGGCAGTGATGGCGACTCTTATTATAATTCCGCTTCCCAGATGCCTTTGCAACAAAATCACCCTCATGCCCAACATTCACCACATTATCATCAACACCATCACCATGGCGGAAATCACAAAAGTAAAAGGGGTGGAGCGGAAATCAGCATTGAAAGCATCAACAATGCTTCTGCTAGCCCAAATATTGATAATCTCAATACCAATAATATCAACTTAGACTCACTCAATAACAGAAGACCGAATCTCACAATATCTACGGGTTCGCCTGCATTTTCCGTGCAACCATACACATCCTCAATTATCACCCCAACCACAGATGATATAAATACTCACAATGGTGATTACGGCAACCAAAGCAAGCTTAGCAGCACCTCAACTGCCATTGTTGTCGAGAAGGGGCAAATTGAATCAGTGGAGATGCAATCTGCCGTCAAGCCAAAGGTTAAAGCCCGTTTCTGGAGATCCAAACATAAAGGGTTCGGAAAATTCCAGAAAGACAACAGTGAAGATTACAGTGCTGCTGGTGGTAACGGTGGTAAAAGTGGAGCAAAAATTAAGATTTCTGCTCCAGTATTGCAACATTTAGATGATGAAGCATTCAATCAAATGAACAGTAAACAGCGTGTTAACGGTGCTCCTAATATTAATACAATCTCTAATAACTCTGGAGCGATTAATGGTAATTCCTCAGGAGCTAATAACAAAATCACCTTCCTCGATAAATTTTCTAACTCAATGTCATCGCTGACCAGCCAGGGTAATTTGACTGGCTCAAGTTCCAATGGCGGTGGTCTTGGAAGCAGTCTCTTAGAAGGGTTGAAATCCCCACTTCTTTCAGCTGGTATAACAGCACCTAATACAGGAACTACTAGTTCTAGTGGTATTGGCAATACGTCGGTATTGAGCTTAGTGGAAAGAGCCATTTTGGAGAAACGTGATATTCCATTGCTTGTTGTAATTTGCATTAAACATATTGAAAAACATGGGCTTTATAGTGAGGGTATCTATCGTAAATCTGGTGGTGCATCTCAAATCCAAGCATTAGAGGTCGCATTTGAAGATATTAATGGAAAATTTGGTATGAATAGCGATGTTGATATCAACAGTGAAGAAATCGAAAAAATCTTGGGAGTTGATATCAACGTGGTTAGCAGCGTTCTCAAAAGATATTTACGCCGTTTACCAGAACCGGTTATTCTTTATGAGCTTTATGACCAATACATTGCTTGTGCCTTGATTAAACGCCATGATAAGAAAATTGAAAAACTTAAAAGCATTATGGCCCAATTACCGAAACAGCATATGTTTACTTTGCAAATGGTGACAAAGCATTTAAATTTGGTGTCACTGTATAGTGACCTGAACTTCATGAATTTGCATAATTTGGCTATTGTGTTTGCTCCAAGTTTGGTTAGAGACTTGACTGGAGAAAGAGAAATTGCTGACATGGTTAACAAGAATGATGTGACAGAGTTTTTAGTAAGTAACTATCATCAAATATTTTGATTCATTCTGCCAAAAGTTTGGTTTAATTATAATTAGGTGCGCTAGCTGGTTTCCGTCTCGTTTTTATTATATATCCATTATTGCCAACTCATTACTATTCTCCGATCAACCAAATATTCTATTCAAAGAATTTCAAAGCTATTTTCACCTAGAATTTGCTGATATTGTCTTGAATTTCGAGAATTTAATATTTAGCTGGCTATTATAGTTACCTCCCTACTTCATCCATGAAGCATTAATCGTTTAGTTCCTTAGTCATCTGTGCTTGTCCCCTGACAAGTTTAGCTTTCATTTTGATCTTTTTCATTTTTTTTTTTTTTTTTTTATAATTTTGCTTCTACTTTATTTTCAGTTTACTCATTCTCTTCAATCTATCCATCCCCTTCAATTCTACTACTACTTTATAGCGTTTACTTCACTCTCTTGCTTTCAATTTTACTATACTTTTATACTATAGTTATTATATATGTATTCCTTCACTGAAAAGTTTTGTTATAGATATGATATACGTATTACTTCTTGGAAAAAATTTTGGATGGTTTTTAGCTTATTTTGTCTTGTTTTTTTTTTGTTTTTTGTGTTTTTTTTTTGAATGTCATTATTGTTTATTCACAAGTGAAACAGAGTCCATTTTTGTCTTTTATCTTGAATACTTGATCAAGTCAAAATATTTTGTTGATTTTGCCAAATTTATGGGTACTAGCCAACCCTACAAGTATAGTTTAAAGGAATAATATATTTGTGGTAGCTGAAAGCTTAGTGCTTGAGACACACGTCATCTTCAAGGTCTCTGTCAACCATTGCTGAAGAAGAGCCAGAAAAACCTTTGGCCACAATAATGGTCCACCAGAATTATAAATACATTCATCCAATAAAGTCTCCAAACAGATCATTTTTAAGCAATTAATCGAAGTATTCCTTCTTCAATAAATCGATCTTCTTGTGCAATCCTTGGACATAGTTAATTGCCTTTTTGCGCTGCAACCTAAGCTCTTCATCGCCATTATGCTCAAGCTCATCAAGCTTCATTAGCTCTTTCAAAAGGGTTTCCTCTAAGTACAAATAAGAATAGTTGAGTTGATCTTTGGCCTTAGGGTCTTGCTCGCCAGCTTCACACTTTGATTCTTTATATTTCTTCAAAGCATCCTCGAATTCATCAACTTTAACAGAAAGTTCGGTCTCCACCTTTGTCAAAATTCCCTGCAACACTCGGGAGAATTTTTGTTCAGGAGTTTCCACTATCACTGGTTTCTTGCTCTTCTTGTTCTTCTTGGCCTTTTTCTTGCTTTTACTATTCTTTTTCCCGCCGCGCTTCGTAGCATCAGATTTTCCTGAAGACGATAACCAATAGATTATCGAACTGAGCAGCACGAGCATCCCTATGAAATATGGCGGGCTGGTGAATGTGTTAAGTTGTTCTGGAGTAAGTATCTTTTGAAGAATATCGTTATGCACTATTTTGTCCTGGGCTTGTGAATGGATATGCTGAAGCGAATCAATGATCTGGGTTTGGAGGTTGGCGATCGTTGGAGACATGACGTTGTGTCAGTTTAGTTTTTTCTTTGAGGTTCTATGTGATTTGTTCTCTGGTCAATGATAATGATAAATGACACCAAGTGGATCAAAGATACTCTAATATGCCAGTGAAAATGCAAACCGAGCTGCCCATACGTAACTATTGGAATTTTCTGATTTTCAATTGACTGTCGGCGGCATATACCCTCGTCTCACTCACACCACAGGTACGTCGGTATGCATAAATGGAGGGTAATCCCTTTATCAGCTATAGATTGAGGATTGATCTTTGCTGCTTGTAGGATACCCAGATAATAATCATGCTTCTTTATAGATCATTTATTTTCTTTCATGGTAGTATTTTTGGAAATTATTGATTGGAAACGATGATGACAATAGGGTACAGAGCTTAAGATTAGAAAATCATGGCAGGATGAAGAACTGACTCAACCTCTTAATCATGCATGTTACAAGGTAAGTAAGTATATTAATAATAATAAATAAAGAGTGATTTTTTTTTTCATGTTTCCCTCATAATAAAAGGGTTAATTATATATAAACAATGAAAGAAGTTGCTATAATAAAAAAATTACCAATGCTTTACGCAGATAAATATCATTTGTGGCAATTTGCAAGTGTCAAACTTCGGTGAAAGCCAAAAAGACAACCATGATGAAGTAGGTATCAGATAGGAGAAAAAACAGAAATAAATGCAAGGAAAAACAAAAACAAAAATAAAGAAATAAATAACAAAGAAAGAAATCTATTCTAAAGAATGAAGCAAGAAAAAGAAAATAAAACAAGAAAAATTCACTTTTTTTTTTTTTCTGGGAAATATTCCAAGAGCACAGATAGGGCCAAGCTAACACCAGGCATTGTAGAGTCTCCAGCACCAAGGCTTGGTAGCAATATATGCCTTTTCTTCGGCAATTTCTTGCTTCAACAAGTCCATGTCGACGACCTTTCTACCAGTATCCAAATCAATGTTCTTAAGACCATTGAAGATGGTGAAATCTCTTTTCCAGAGCATGTAAACGAAATAGAAAAAAAGGACAATTGGGGCAGCCAAGTAAGCTTGGAAAAAGTCGTTAGCACGTCCAGCTCCGGTTGGAGATAACTCAAATGGCCAAGCGGCAACCCAGAATTGAGCGGCAAGGACAGCACAATAACCAAGGACACCATAGACAGAGCCCCATACCCCAGTTTGGGCAGTGAAGGACAATTCATCGGTGTTTCTACCTTGGGCCTTCAAAGCCATTCTGAACACGACGTGACAAGCGCAAGAAGAAGCCCAGGTGAAGATGGAAGACAAACCGGAAATCGCCAACATCCAGGTGAAAACAGTACCTTCCTTACTAGAAGCAACAAGGAAACACAAAAGACCAAAGGCCAAAGTGATAGCGGTGGCGACCATTGGTCTACCAGCCTTATCGATGTATCCGAAAATTTTTGGGGCGAAACCTTGTTCGGCCATGGACACCATAGTTCTGGAGCAACCAAATGTGGACGAGTTACCGACAGAAAGCACAGAGATTAAAATGACGACGTTGAAGATAGATGGTAAGGCTGTAATACCAGCGTTTTTGATGGAAATGACAAATGGGGAGGCTCTCGCGTCGTAACTCGCACCACCTAAGCTCTTGTCACCGTATGGAACAAGTAAGCCAACGAGGGTAAGAGAGATGACATAGAACAAAGTGATTCTCCAGAAAACTTGTTTGGTGGCCTTTGGCAAAGCCTTTCTTGGGTTAGAAGTTTCTGCAGCAGCAAGGGCACACAATTCGGTACCGGCAAAGGCGAAAGCAGCAGTGACGAAGACAGAACAAAGACCCTTGAAACCGTGGTTGAAAGCACCTTGGGCGATTTCGGTCTTTCCGTGTTTTTGCCAGTATCTACCACCAATGTATTCATGATTTGGACCACCACCACAGACCAAAATGATCCCGAGAATGATGTAACCAATCACGGCGGTGACCTTGATGATAGAAAAACAGAATTCTGCTTCACCATAACCCTTGACACCAAAAATGTTGATAAAAGCAATTAAAACCCAGAAAATACATACCCAGGCCGCAGGACTAATTTGATCATTCCAGTATTGAATAACCATACCGGCGACAACCAATTCAAAAGGTAAAGTGATCAACCATTGTAAAGTATAATTCCAAGCCATAGCAAAACCCCAAGCAGGAGAAATGAACTGAGAGTTATAGACAGAGAAAGCACCAGAGACAGGGAAAGCGACAGCCAACTCACCAAGAGCTTGCACGGTGACGAACATAAAAGTACCAATCAAACTATAAGCAATCAAAATACCAGCTGGCCCACCAGTCTGCAAACTGGTACCAGAACCAACGAACAAACCGGTACCAATGGAACCACCAATGGCAATCATTTGCAAGTGACGGTTTTTCAAGTTCTTTTGAAGTGGTGATTTGGCGGTTCTTTTAACCATCTTTTCTTTTTCAGTGAGACCATCCATGTTGGCAAACTGGTTTTGACTTTCATCTCTTTTAAAAGAGTCAAAGAAGTTGAGCAAGGCACCACCCTTGGATGGTTCGCTGTATGGAGAAGTGTGGCCGACTTCTTGTTCAATTTCTGTATCTGAGTTCGCTTTTTTTTCAGACATGATTATTGATTATAATATTCTTATTTGATGTTAAGAACATGTAGAATGGACATAATCAAAAAAAATAATGGCTAATTGTTAATGTGGGAAAAGAGGAACATATATGTCTGGGGGTTGTATCTTACAAATGATAGAAATCGCAAGGTACAGGCCCTGCGAAGATGCCACAATGAATCGTGTGACATTGAGGTGTAAGGCATACTGATACGTAGATAAATTGATAGATAGATAAAAAGACAGGCACAGAGATACGGAGATCACAGACATGAAAGATAAAGGGCAAAGGGCAAAGGGCAAAGGGCACCACCACACTGTGACCACACCACCTTTTGTAGCCTTGAACTGCTGACCGGCAAAACTCAAAAAAAGAAAAGACATGCATTGTATAGAGGCATATATCCACGGCATAGCTGATAAAAGCGACCGTTTCCTAGCCATTTCTTATTATGATCCGTATTATTTTGGTGTCCCTCTAACATATGGTTATCATTCGTCTGGAAATTTAGTTGTTTGATTAAAAATGACAGCCAGATATTTCAAATAATTGCACTGGTAGAGTAACCAATAGCGCGCAAGATCCTACGGCTCACTGTACACTACATACCACTGCCGGCAGCCAAGTTTTGAGTGTGACACATTAGATATCGTTTATTTTTACACCCAACCAACAACAACAATTGATGAACAATAAATAGAAAAAGTTTTAAAAAAAAAGTGGGAGCATAAAGAAAATTAATGTATACTCGATACTCTACCTCTTCTTATTACTTTTTGTTTTGTCAGTGGATTCAATATAACTAGCACTAATACCTTTATCCATGAAAAACTCCGTGACGATTTTAATATGAGGTCCTTGAACCGTTACCTCTGCAAGTTTTGGGTTTTCTTTACATGTACCAATGGTTGTCGATCCTGAGCACTTGACCCTTAAATACTGTGCCAAGGCATCGGGGGTTACCACTCCAAATTTCTCAAAGTTAGACGTTCTAGTGATGATCTTGCGGCCTAACTTGTATTCTGAAACAATTTGAATCTTCGGCACCGTTCCCTTAATAGGCGGCTCATCTGCAAGATTGATAGTATCCAACGAGACATTTCCTGGAAGAATTTTGTAGCATTGCGTGAAATATTTTAAGAATGCTGGTACGATTTTATCTCTTGAAAGGGCTCGCAGGTTGGGGTTCCCGCCATTGATCAAGTCATTCAAGAAATCGTTAAGAATGATCATCTTTTTGTTCTTTGGGTTAACCAACTTGTTTTTGGCAATGTAGGCATTCATGAGGGTTGTAAGATCTTTAGGTGAGTAATAATGATTGAAATCTTCTTGAAGATTATCAAAAAACGGTCTAGACTTGGAGTTTGGTTTGTGAAGAATGATAATATTGAGTTTGCTATTGCCTTTAGTGGACTTAGATTGGACTGGCGCCGAGCCACTGGCAGCAGGAGTGGATGTATTTTGTGTTTTATTGCCTGGTTTTTTGATTTTATGAGGAACAAAATTTCTCACTTCCTCATTAGTAGATCGTTTTACTACTTCAATGATTGTTAAGTTATCATCTTTACCCTTCAATTTTAAATATTTTGCCTTTTCCATCTCTTTAAAGAATTTGGCAGATTTCTTCCAAGAGGTTTTCTTCATTACAACCACATGTTCCAAAGAAGAAGGAACATACGGGAGATTCTTTAGAAGAAAATTAGAAACGAATGTGGTCGCACTAACTGGAGGCTTCACTTCTTCCTGATATAAGGTCATTAAGAACGCTCTTTTGAACAAATAATCAATATCTGTGGTACTCAAAGTACCAACTTCTTCTGGCTTATTGTTTGAAAGTTCATTGTCCTCTTCCACTTTTTTTGAATTATCATCAACAGTAGCATCACTTTCTGGTACTTCTTCCGAAGTTTCATTATCCACCTGTGCGTCTAGAGCCAAACTTTCAGTTCCTTCAACTAATTGGGACTCATCTGACTCCACACTATTCAAACTTTCAACAACCTGCTCAAGATCCTCATTAGTTGGTGGCCGAATATTTTTTTTACTAACATGTGACAAATGATCACCATAATAATGCAAAACATTCACAGCAATCCCTGACTTCCCTTGCACTGATGTATGTTCTGTCAAATTCAACTGGCATGTCCCCACCGCCATGATTACTAAAGGCTCTTCATAAGAAGCAATCCCAACAACGCTTCCCGCAACACAACGCGGATCAAAAGGAGGGATGGTACCTGGTAACATCAAGTTTGCCCCCCCTTCGATCTTCTTGATCACATATGAGTTGGTCAAAACAACTGGCAACACACCAGGAACTCTCCATAAAGTATAAACTGTCGGCATCAACACAGAATCCTTAGTTTTGAAATATATAGGTATTGATTCTTCATCAGTGAAAATTGTTCCTGAATGGCCTAGTGGACTTTTGTAAGTGGCCAGTTTCACCGAAGATGGTGCCAATACTGGCTTCAATGGTTCTGCAACACGATAAGTTTCCGCAACATCATTACCCAACTTTCTTCTTTGAGATGATTTAATATTGGCAAGGGCTTTGAGCTGGAAATAAGAAAGTTAGTACTTTTGAGCCTCTCCATTTTTTTTTTTTGAAACATTAATCTAACCTACCCCTGGGTCCTTTGCAAACATTATTTTTATATATTTATTCTCCTAAAATGTATAAGTTCTTGCACTCCATCTATCGCTTATTTACACTGTGATTTTTTTCCCCGGGTAAAAAAAAAATAAAAAAAAAGTTTGATTTGCAGCCCCGGTTCTCATCACCAATTTTATTGTTTACACTTTTGATTTGGGAAATTGCTTCACATATGTTGGTAGGCCAACTCCCCAAAAGTGTTCCAAACCTCGCTTTAATAGATGGCGCTTTTCTCGATTATTCATGATAAGGCGTTGCCTATAACGGTTAGGAAAGATGGATTTTCCTGGTGCCCGACCATGGATCTATTGGCAGTTATATCTAAAGATGGGTCGTTGTGGATCTATCGTGCTGATGGCCAGCGAATATGGTCATTTCCTTTGAGATCATTTAATGCTCAAGTGAAAACTTGTTGGAGTCGTGATGGGAAATTTATTGTTGCTGCTTCGAAGACTTTTGGGCGCAGATTGTTTGATGTACAGCTAGGGAAAGTTATCGGAAATCATCAGATGATCAATTCTGAACATCCTATCAATGAATTGGACGTTCAGGCAGTCAATTGGGTGCTGAATCTTGGTACGAATCAAGACAGTAATGAACTTGGAAATAACGGTATTCAGGAGCTACTAAGTGTTGATGTATCTAAATCATTACCCAAATTGCCCCCATTACCTAATTTGTCGCTAGACCATATTCTTAGATCCAAATTGGCACTGGATAGCTTATATGAATCATCCAATTCATTAAACAATTTTTTGGTTACTGGGTATGAAAATGGGTCAGTTTCCATTTCATTAAACAGTATTTTGAACTCAAAAACCGTCCAATGGCAACAAGGATCGAATGTGGAATTTCTTCAGATCGAATCGGTTGACGATCTTACAGTTCATTACATCATTTCTAAAGCTCAGAAGACAGAAGATAAATCTCAGTATTTCATCTTGCCATTGGAAACATCATTTTCAAATAATGAGTATGCTAAAGAGGTGATCGCCTCTTCTACGAGAATTCTGTTCATTGTGCTTTATCTACTAGATATTGCGGATAATTTTGAATCAGATTGCAAAGCATTTGTTGAATTCCATACTAAAATCGTTAATGTACTTGACGAGGAAGCGGCCCAAGAATCCAAAAACGTTGCTGGCGGAGACAATGCTAAATTTTATTATGCAACTTCTGAACTTTATGAATTACTATTGACGGGAATGATGTCAGATAGTCTAAAATCTTGGCTTGAGAACACATTGGGGAAGAAAAACTTGAAGAAATGGCTGAAGCTAGGTAACACTTGCGTTGATCAAATAAAGTATAAAATCTTTAGCTCATTCATTCCTGCTGGTCAGAGATTGATAATTCTGTTGAGTAAATTGAAAAGTGTGGTTTCTTGGAAGGAGAGTGTGATTATCAATGAGCAGGATAAAATCCATGCGTTTGGTCTCGAAAGCAAAAAAATTGATGACTGTATTGCTCAGGTTAAAACAATAATGAGGGAAATTTATAAGTTTGTCGCTGACTTGAATGATGAACAGAAACTTTTCAATTGTTTTATTAACTGGCTAACCACTATAATAGAAAGTTTATCGGATGATGACAAAAAAGATCTTGAGAATGATGATTTATATTACAGTGTCACCGAAATTTCGGAATATATTACCAACAAGTTAAATAGTCTTGATATATTCAAATATATTGAGAAATCTGAGGTTAATAATAAATCAAATCAATTAATAAACTCCATCAAGCAAATTGATTCAGTGTGCCAACATATTTTTGAGGAGATTAAGAAAAACATTTGTGACTCGATAAAATTTGGTGCCAACGTTGTGGAGATTGGGTCATCGATAGATGCCAAAAATGTGGACATCAAATGTGAAATGCCAAAAAGTGAAGATCATTTGATGATTTTAATCCAAGATTTTAAGCAGTTGATAGAGGTTTATGATTCTGCGAGTGGTAAGGTACAAAAGTTTGAATGTCTGCGGTTATTAGAACCATATGGATTACAATTAAAAAGTGTACAGTTTATAAATGATAGGGAGTTGCTAGTGCTAGCGGTTGAACCGTTACAAGATGATAAAGCAATGTATCCCCCAAAATTTGTGATATTTACAATGAAGCTAAATTTTCTAGATAATGGGCAACAATCGGTTGTTATTGATACAGATTCTCCAATGATTAAGAATTTGCATTTTTTCAATATTAACCGAGAAGGAAGTATTTCTTTGGACATTGACCCTGAATTGATCACTGTTTTCAACAGGCAAGGAGAGATCGATGGTGATACTAAAATGGCATCGATATTGTCGTCAGATATGCACAGATATATTGTGTTTGAATATTAATTAGGATTTCATGTCATTAAATAATGTTTCTTTGACTATTGGTACCAGTTGGTCCGAGTAATAGATTGGAGTGTCGTTTTCGTCGAAGTAGTATTGGTGTCCTGAAAATTCTTTGAATTGAGACGAGAAAAAGTCTTCAGAGTAGTACTTGTAGTGAATTTTATAGCTAGCGCTACTCATGGTTATATCGCTAAACCGTTCTGGATGAGCTGATAATAGCCAACTTCTATGCTTTATTCTTTGTTTACGTTCCTTGAGGTTCTGGTCATTCTCTTGTAGCTGTAGATTGGCCACTGGTGGGATTTGAAGCATCAATTTTTTGATGGCATTGATACGCGTCAATACGATATTTCTTTGTCGTTCATATACCAATGGTAGACCAGTGCGGTGTAAAGGAATCAATGGCAGAAATTTTGGAAGGGATTTATCGTGGATTTTTCCAGAGTTTTTCTCGAGGAATTTGTATAAAGTTTCAACTTTTTCTACCGATTCTTTTGCTTGAGATAGCACTTTGTCAGGGATTTCCGGTTGTTTCTTATGGGGGTTCTTGATTTTTATTAGTCCTTGGTCGATTTCTTGACGAATGTTGCCAAACACTGATGGGGCCAAGCGTATTTGTCTTTCCACTTCTTGTGTCTGGGTGGAATTTTCATCTTTTAGTGCCTTGGGGTTGAGGAGCTCCACTTTTTTAACTGGCCAAAAGTCTTGTAAATTGTAGTTTTGGGTGGCGGTGAAGAACCTGAGCCATGGAGGGGACGACGACGCACGATAGTCGGCAGACTTGTACGCCAACGCCAACAATTCCTGTAACAGATCCTGCTGGGCATTGACAAAGGCACGATACGCCAAGTTCAAATATTTCTGGCCCACGGCATAATGGTAGGCCACATTAGTGGTTTTTTTGGCGAACTTTTGCCGTTGTAACGTCAATAAGATTTCGTAGCACTGCGAATCTATCGGCGAGTAATAAAGTCTTCGGAAAAGCGCCCGGTAAAGGTGAATGATCTGGGATGTTGTCGGCGATGGAGTCGAGGCAAGAATCGCGGCGATTTTTGAAGACACCATAATGATGGGGGAGGGGGGGGAGGGGGGCGAGGGGGGTATTTTATAGAGTCCAAGAAAGTGGTGATGGTGGGTGGTGTATGTGTGTGCGACATCTTGGGAAATATTTTTTGGCTGGGATTTTCCTCAAAAAAACTAACGAACCAGGGCTCTATACCTGGTGTGCATATTGCACTTCTCGCTTAATTAAAATAAACAATAATAGTTTGGATGCAGAGTTGGTAATAGTGGATTTGATAGGGTGGGGAGATGCGATAAAAAAAAAAAAGAGTTATTGGTTATTGGCAATTGCACCACTGGGAGGAGTGGTGCTGTTTGTAGACAGATATATGCACTTTTTCTGGCTAGTTCTACGGTTTTACCAATCGATCTAATTTTTGATGCCGAGTTATTTGAGGATTTTTTTTTTTTTTTTTTTCCAAGAAAAAAAAAAGTGAGTTAAGGTGACTTGACATTTATGATTTTCCATTTTTAATACAACTTATCCTGATATTACTTGCTTATATTACCTGAAATATTAGTTCAATAAGTACCGAATATACCCACCCAATACAATTTTTATGAGTCTACTAACAATCCAATACCGATTCACAATGAGCTCAAGCCCGTTGGTTGATATGGTGGATATAATATATCTAATTTTTTGAAAGGCCTAACAAATAATGAGTGAGATATACTAGCAGTAATTGACATGCCTTGGAATTTTCAATAGCGAACGGCTCTGATTCTGATTGTAAAGTGGTAGCTCTAGATGAGTTCCACAATATACTAAATATAATATTCCATTTGAATTCTCGCACTATTTATTTTATCAAGTCCTCATAATTTTTGCCTAAATATCCAAGTTGATTTGCTAAAATAATAATAATAATAGTAATTAATTAGTCCTCTCCTCTGGTGACAAACATGTGGTTGAGAATTCAACCAAGTAAATCATTCGTTAGGTTTCCTTTCCAACTAGATGATCTAGTGTCAGATATACAACAAGCTCCCTTTATTTTGTTCTTTTTCTTTTTCTTTTCTGTGATTTAGTACTTCACCGTGGTTTATAAATAATAATCATTTTATCTAAGGAGGGGAAACGGTACAATATTGATAGAATAACTTACCTTCTGTTACGATATTTGGAGGCATGTTTTTTTCACTCTCTAATGATTTATTGATACCATTTTTTTTTAAAAAAAATATAGAGAGGGTATATCCTGTTCAATATTCATGGCCATATGATAGACAGTTGTTACTATATATGTGATCGATCCAAAAAAGTTCGAGCCACGCCCCTTTCAAAAAGAAAAGAACAAAGAGCAAAGAACACCCCAGGGACCAACTGTTATGATAATAACCACCCGTCTGAGGTAGACAGGTTAAGAAAGGAGACGATGACAACGACGTATTCCGCGGGAGTTAAATAACAAACCAGTCGCTTTTGTGTGTCGGGACCCTTTTGGTGGAACCGCTGGCTGCAAAACAAACTTTTTGTGCGTGGAAAGCCTTTTAGAAATAAGGTTTCGCACTGCATTGGGGGAGTGTTCAGATGGATTTAGAACCCTACCCGAGCAACACTGTATTTGCAATTGCCATGGCAAGCAGGTCATATTGGTCGACTGGGAGTGGTAATAATCATAGCATACCCCGAACGTGTAGCACCAAGTGGCACCAAGTAGCACCGGGTGAAAGAAATACAGCCAGGAAACCGCCACCAGGGCCTGCCTAACCAGAGATATTCAGTTGTGCATGAAATCTGCGATCGGCGATGTGAGGATGGCGTTCTATTTTCTTCTATTTTTTTCTTTTGTTCGTGTGTCGAAGGTTCTTCGACCTTTTTTTCTCCTTACACTGTGTTGTATTTCCCAAGGTTTTGCTTTTTTTTTTTTTTTTATTATCGTCCTCGATGTTTTGGCTAATTATATACGGCCATTTCCAGCTCCTGGCTGTTCGTTGTTGTCGGCCTTCATTTCTGGCCACCTTCGTGTCTGCCTGGCTGGTGTTTCTTCTCTCCTCTGTTTCTTTTTAACCTGCTACGTTGCTTTTCCTACCTTCAGTGAATAGCAGAGGTATTCAATTGGTAATAGGTATTGATAAAAGAATAATAACTAGAAGAAAAAAAAAAAAGCCAAACAACAGGACGCTTATTTGCTACGGTTCATTTCGAAACTTTGCTCTTCTAAAATCTTGTGTGAATAACTTGCTATTGAATTGATTTCATCCAACACATCACACAAGTCTCATCGATCAAGTTTTTGGCATCGCCATCTAGATCAAATTTATTTCTGAACATCCAGGAATTGCTTAGGTGGTGCCAATACTTCTTTTTTTTTTTTTTTTTGGGGGGGCTTTTTTTTTTTTTTTTTTCTGTTACAGTGGATATTATTGACCTCCAGGAATATTACGGTTTTGGGTATTAAATATATTGAAACATTACAATCTCCCTTTGAAGATAAAACATTCATCTCGCTACTCCAGAATTCGAAATTAATATCAAATTGTTAAACCAGTTTTTTTTTTGTGCTTATCTATCTACTTCGTTTATGCATTTATGGTCTCTTCTATTCGAACAACAGAATCCAAAAAAAAAAAGAAAAAGAAAGAAGACACTTCTTTTGAATCGTGAAACATGAATAGCTCAAACCAAGAGGAGCAAAATTGTTACCAGATTCCACTTCCCCTAAATCACTTACAACATGAACGACAGCCGCAGCAATACCAAAGTTCCTTACAAGCCGCGCCAACTATAACTGCGGAAAATACTAATGATGACGAGTCTCAGCAACAATTACAAGGGCTGTTACAGTTTCAATGGTCTAGCGAAGATCATGTACCACAATTATTTGACCAAAATAACCCCGAATTCTTTGGCCCTGTCGCTCCTCCACCTCTGCAAATCATGCCGCAAATCAGTGCGGACCACCAGCCCCAGTTTTTCATTCCCATGATTCCTTCCGGATACCCTTTAGAAGGTCCTGCTCTTCCTCCTCCAACACGATCTCCTGGTCTGATGGTCACTCCTCATCACCAACAGTATCCTGCTTACATTGACGATCCTATGGTGCAAGTACATCGAGCAGCCCCCCCAGTATACCTTCAATATCATCAGCCAATGGTACCAGACTACCAACATCAATATCATAATCAAGTACCGACAAGCTTTGGATACTTGGTGCCATATATCGCCGATGGTGAAACTCTGTACGGCTTGTACTTTGCCCCGGTTCAAGAAGGATGGGTCAGTGAATCTGCGCATGAAGTAAAGCCTACCAATCCTTTACAAAGCGCTGCAAGCTTTGCCGATTCCACTGGACCAAATACGTGGAATTCATCCGCCACCTTTATGGCAAGTGCAAGGTCTAATAATAATAATAATAATAATAATAACAACAATAACTCTGGCCACTTCTCCGATGTTGGAAGAAAGAACGATGATCGGTATAGTAGGACTAATAGCAGAGATAAAGAGGGTAAAAAGAAGTTAAAACCCCTGGAGGAGCTGGGTAACCATTGTGAAGCCAACCCTCTACTCTATTCACAACAATATCCCGGGTGGCAGTCTCCGGTTGCTCCTGGTATAACTTTGGCATCTAGTAATTTCATATCTCATAATATTCATAATGAAACAAAGCCCACGCTTCGAAGAATTTCCACATTACCAAAGGATAAATATTTGCGGCTCACAAACCATAATATTGAAAACGATGATGCAGTAAACTTCGATTTCACTGGGATGGCGAACGATCCCACGTATGGGAATTTCTCAATTGTTTTCACTAAGCCGTTGATACACGCCATAGAGAATTGGACCAGCCAAGAGATTCAAAATCAAAGACGGCTAGTGTGGTTTGACTGGTCGCTTTCATTGCACAATTCAGAAAAGGATGCCGACGAATATTCAGCACCGTTGCAAAATCAGGCAGTCTTTGAAATTCTGTGTCAGCCGATTCCTCAAATGGCGTATTCCCCCAATAGCCCTGTAGCGTCGTGTATTTACTGGAAGTATAAGGGTGATTATTATATAACTAGCGTCGATGTGATTTCTTTGCTTGAAAAGTTGTGCGGCGCGGAGCGACCGTTTGACATTAAGGAAAAGAACCGGATTCGGAGAAACCTCCAGACTTTGGAAAGTTTAACGATTGGGAAAACCAATTTTGCCAATGAAACTTCTAAAGGATCATCATCAACAAAGCGCAGCAAATCATCGCGTAAGCGTGGTGGGATGGTTGAGAGTTCTCATGTACCGGGAACGAGTAGTTCTTTAGAGACTCATTCCAGCACCGGATCTGGTAGGAATTTCATAAAGCATACCCTCGACCCAGTTGAGGTGAACAAAATATTCGATCTAATCATGAGCTATGATCATCCGCGTCCCAGAAGAATAGAAAAGGATATTAAGGTGTATAAATGGCGGGTTTTGGAGGAGGCATTGATACGGGTGTTGAGCAAGTACTGCTATGATAAATCAAAGAGTATTTAGGAGAGAACTTCTTAAGAGTATTTAGCAGGGAAAGTCCTAAGAGTTTTTTAGAATGGTCTTTCTTTTTTTTTTTTTCATTTTTTTTTTTTTTTTTTTTTTTTCTCTTTAGTTTTGGATGTGGTTGAAAGTGGTGCAAAATAAACCAGTGGTTAATTATTATTATTATTATTATTATTATTATTATTATTATTATTATTATTTTTATTATTTTTTTTATTATTATTATTTTTTTTATTATTATTATTATTATTACTATTATTATTTTTATTATTATTATTATTATTATTATTATTATTATTATTATTATTACTATTATTATTATTATTATTATTATTATTACTATTATGTGTATCTCATTTTGTTGGCAATTCTTGTGGATATTTTATAGAATTTGCGTATATATATTATATATGAGTGTTATGTACGGTAACGTGTTCAACCCGTGGGATGATGAGTATCATTACATTATATTGTATTACATTATATTATACCATCACATCACTTATCATATATGTAAATTATATATAATTTGTAACAATTCTGGTGAAGCCAGAGGTACCCAGTGATAGGGGTCAGGTCGCCCTGTGAGGACACCATCTATTTGACACCCTACTTTATTTATATATACATCTATGCCAAAGAACCGCTAACTCGTATATTAAATGATCCAGATTATCTCTATCGCCTTCTCACAACTTGCTACCCAACTTCTTTGCCAGCAACTGGCCTTTACGATTGTCTAAAACACTGATCCCTTCCTGGATAGCAATAGCCACCGATTCTCCAAAACTGTTGTAGATGGTGAGTTTCACGGTATACTGACCATCTTTACCCTTGAGAATGTTGTGTCGCACAATGTGCCAGTCAAGGATCCCAGTTGGGTTTTGTGGTTCTTGGTAGTAGAGGGCATGATCTAACGACACCACAAACCGCTCATCGGCATACGCCCATCCAAGGAGAGGGCCACAGCACGAGAGGGTGGTATAATCTGAGATGTATCCAAGGAAACATCGGTAACCAATCAGGGAATTCTCTGGAGTGTCAACAGTACCAGAACCACCCGGACAACCTCTGACAATACTGAAAAGTTCACGTTCAAGAACCACATCGGCATCGAACTCTTTGACGGTCTCATTGCGGAATACTACCCGATCGCCTTTGACAATGGCTTTAGGGAAATATACCTCGAGGATTTTCAATCCATTGGGGTCTTCTAAAGTGTTGAGGTAAAGCTGATCTAATTTATATCCCAATCCGTGGATCATCCGTGGGAAATGCTGGGGCACCAGTAACGGCAGCAGCGGTGGGAACCCCTCTTTCTTGGTGATGGGAGCCTCGTTGACAATATTCTTGATCGCCTGTTTCAACCTGGTCTTGTTTTGGGAATTTGCGGTGATCGAAGCGTTGACGAGTGGTTGGCGGCCGAACCGGTTTTTTTGAGCTTTCAAAGTGAACATCGCCAACAACACCATTGCGACCTTTGGTCCTTGAATTATCTTGACTTCTCTATGAATGGTAGCCTTGCCGTCCCTTAATCTGGTGACTCGGTATTCGGCCTTCTCTTTGGATTTCACCCCATTGAGGAAGTATAAATGGGTGGTGCTGAGGTTGAAAGTAGCAGGAACGGTTTTGTAAGCAGCGTAGATTGCCTGATATACCAATGCCCCACCAAAAGAATTGGAATTACTGATATTAACCCGGAATGCATGTATTGGTCCTGGGGTTTCGTAAAAATTAGGATTGATCTCGATCAAGTCGAGGTCTTCTTGGATCTTAGTTTTTTCCATTGGCCAGAGTGAATAATATACTTTACTATTATTATAATTTACCAAGGACACAAAAGATAAAAAAAAAAAAAAAAAAAGGAACAGGAAAACGGCAAGAAAGTAAGAAGTTGGCCAAAAAACAATAATTATATCAGAGAGGTAATTTCCAAAGATAACAACGCACGAGTCGCAATCGGATTATCAGAAAATTCGGCCCGTCAATAATGACAATTAGGATGATAAGGAAAACAACCAACTGGTTGAGGAAAAACAAAAAAACACACACACACACACACACACACACAATTGCCAAGTGTCAGTTATCCATGCGATATAATTTATCGGGAACTCCCTAGCTACTATTTTAGAGATTTTCTAATTAATCGTCGGCCAATTAAAAAGAAAGAAAACTCCGAAGAGATACCGTCGTCGACCATGTCGATCTTATTTGACACGTGATTGTCATAGTAACCAGGATGAGACCATCGATCTTCGTAGCACAGTGTTGTTATTGATAATATTACAGCTATCTGAATAACCCAAATAATATTGAATCTCTAAATAACAATAATGATAATACAGAATAAGAAATATATATATATACATATATATATATAGATATCTTTCTACTAGATGAATGTGGCCAATTTGGGTGCATACGTAAGGGTCATTTGACAGTGTACAACAATAGAGGCCCTATCCTATCCTATCCCCCTGCACAAATATTTTTTTCAAGTTTATAAAAGTATCCATCATAATTTCGTCAACATTGTGGTGTCCTTGGGCAAAATTAACTTGTTATCTCTATTATCAAACACACAAAATGCTTCTTGATTGACGATCGCCATCATTTCTCCGTGCAGATTGAACATTGACATAGAAAGTACGCTTCTTCCCTTCTCAGATTTCAAAACTTTCGTCACCAGAAACCACCAGTCAAATATATCTGGTTTGTGGCAGGTGTCCTGGAAATATATCGTATGGTCCAAACTTACTGTGAACGCTTCGGACCCAAAATCGTATCCCAAAACTTGAGACACAGTGCTAATGAATGAATGGTCAGAAGTGTAGCCTAATACCAATTGATCCATGTACTCAGGCATGGTGTTATCCATCACCGCGCTAGATGGTTTTGGCCGCTTCACCTTTGACCAAAAATAGCTATTTCTACTGGTGGCCGTGGGGCCATCAATGGGTTCCGATGCCGGGAACAAATGATCCCCTGGGGTTGATTGCCGAGGTTTACAAAAATCCATACAATTTATCAGGACAAGCGCCTGATGCGAATCACTTTGGAACAAAGGGCCATGGGAATCAGTTTCATTGATGGCGTGGGTATCGAATCGTTGCCGTTTTGCAAACGGATTATTAGCGATGATCTTAGTGCCATGGTTGGGAATCGGCGATTGGTTAATTGTTGGTTGCTTGCCAAACTTGATGGGAGCGACTCGTTTCACAAACATTAAAGTGGAGATGTACACGACTTTCCCGTTCTGAATGGCTTTTACTAGGCGATGCTGAATGGAGTTGCCATTTCTGAGGGTTTCCACTTTGTAAGTGACTCGAGCGGTGTGGGTTACTTTGGCAATGAAGGAGGAATGCAACGAAGCACATCGATATTGAGAAGGATCAGTAAGGGTTTTGAAGGCGGCGAGTAATGATTGGTATATCAAACAGCCACCGAAGGAGTTACCGTTGGCGATGTTGTTGGGAAATGCGTGGAGGTTGTTGCGGTTGACAAACGACGTTGGAGAGAGTTGGATTAGCTCGAGGTCTTTTTTTAGTTTTGGAGTGGACATTGTTGAACGAGAAGGAGAGAATAGGAATGGAAGAGAAGGAAAATAGCGAGAATCATTATTATTATTATATAGTATATTATATAAGATGTACAATAAATGACGCAGATCAACAGGAATTTCTATTATTATTTTATTTTTTTTTGTGGGGAAACGGCAGGTTTTTCAGTTTAGGGGCAATCAAGGCGAGCGGTCGCCATGACAAACATTTGGTGAAGATATCGTACATTATTATCATATTAAATAGGGGCTACAAGAAGAAGAAGAAGAAGAAGAAGAAGAAGAAGAATAAGAAGAAGAAGAAGAAGAAGAAGAAGAAGAAGAAGAAGAAGAAGAAGAAGAAGAAGAAGAAGAAGAAGAAGAAGAAGAAGAAGAAGAAGAAGAAGAAGAAGAAAATTATTAGCATTCTGGGGGATTCAATGGGAATTGAATCATCTCACATCGCCTGCTCTTATCACCATCACAGCTTCTGGAATATCTTATGGTATAGTTATCGCCATATGTAACGTCCAAACTCAATGGATAAGTCTTGAACTGCTCCCAGTCTTTGGCGTACCACTGGACTGAAAAGTCCAGGCTACCCTTGGTCTGCGTGGTCTTGATGTCGTAACCGTCGGTGTTTTGGAAACTGATTGATGGCATCTTGTCGTTGCTACTGAACTTTTCCGCACTGAACTTCCACATGAGCTGATAATATTTCTTGTCGTAATAGTCTGTGACGGTGTACTCTATCGAAGCTGGATGCGCCCCGCCATAGTGGAGCTTGTTGGTGGTTTCACAAGCATTGGATCCCGAGGAAAACATCCAGAGTCCTAGAGACTTATCTTGGAGGTTTAAATCAGACACAGTCTCATTATTGGATATTGGTGATCCATGATGTACAGTGCCATTGATGAAGGTGGTGGTGGTGACATTGTATTCGACAATTTGATCTCTTTTGAACTTTATTGGTGAGGCACTGGCCAATCCTGCCATCATCATCAATATATCAAATCTCATTATTATTATTATTATTATTATTATTATTATTGCTGTTGTTACTTATAAATACCCATTATTAACAATGGTGCTAGTAATAAAATCTAGGGAAAAGACCTCCCTGATATAATACAACATTCATGGGTTGATGTTGCGCCTCATCGATCCATTAGAATGCACATTCCACAATTAGAAAGAGGCAAATGCCATGGGTTTTCCGTGGACCCTTTTGGGATGATATTGCCATAATATAACTTACACCGGGCTTCCTTTCAAACAATTATCTCTTATTATTCTTTTAGCGGTGCAAATATATTATTTTAATGAGGACACCACCATACATTATTAGAAAGTAGAGCGATCTAGATTGTACTGTCGTACATACTGCGAATATGGCCATCCCACTTTACATTTTATCACGTTAAATTCTTTGTCTTCCTTATTATTATTGTTATTATTATTATTAGAAGACAAGAACCAATCCTATTATTTATTATTATTATTCATTTAATACATTTACCTTCTTTGATTTATTACCGTTAATTCAGCCTAATAACAAGTTGTTAAATACGAGCCACTTGTTTGAGTTGTGTGTTCTATCGAATAGTTAGAGACTAATTACGGTGATAGCATCTGATCTTCTTATCACGTATCTAACGCGAGATCGAGGGAAGATAAGTATCGATATAAGATCAAGAAGTCAACTCTTCCTTCCTTCCTCCCTTTGCTTTTCTGTTGTCATTTCACCGTCTCACGTGAAACCGGAAATAAAAAGAAGGATGAGGATGGGAACCATCCGGACGGTAGAATCTTTTTTTTTTTTTTTTTTTTTAGTGAAAATTTATTCAGCAAAAAGATTTTTGCTAGTTATTTACAATTACAAAAGCTTTTGTTATTGTTTTATTATTTTTATTTCTATTTCTATTTTTATTTTTATATTATTATTATTATTATTGTTGTTGTTATCGTATATTATAAGTCAATATGAGTAAAGAAGATAAGATCAAGGATTTAAAGAAGGAGAAGAAGGAGAAGAAGGAAAAGAAGGAAAAGAAGGAAAAGAAGGAGAAGAAGGAGAAGAAGGAGAAGAAGGACAAAAAGGAAAAGAAGGAAAAGACAGAGAAAGAAGTCGAGGAAACTCCATCAGCTAATGAATCTTCGGAGAATGAATCTTCACAAGTAGAAATCTCAAAAAAAGCCCCAGTTGATAAATTCGAAGAAATCGATATCAAACTTGACGAGCCAGTCCCACTTTCTAAGAAAGAAAAAAGATTGCTCAAGAAAGGGAAGCTTGAAAAAATCCCAAAGAAAAAGCTTGAAACCCCAAAAATCAAGACCGTTGATGAAGAAAAAGAAGAAGAAGCCAATGTGGTTTTCAACGTTTGGGTAGGAAATTTGTCTTTCGACACTACCGAAAAAGAGCTCAAGGATTTCATCATTGCCAAATCAAAGGTCTTACACGATGAAGACTCTGAAAAACATCCACAGGTTATCGAAGAAGAGAATTTCACCAGAATAAAAATGCCAAAACAGAAAACCAACCCAAAGAAAATCAAAGGTTTTGCCTATATTGATTTCAAGACCGAGGAACAAATGAAGGCAGCGGTGGGATTATCTGAAACTATTTTGAATGGTAGAAACTTGTTGATTAAGAGTGGTACCGATTTCAAAGGAAGACCAGAAATCAGCAAAGCACAAGAAATCGAGTTTGGCACTCCATCGCGTATCTTATTTGTCGGGAACTTGTCTTTTGAAACTACCGATGACGATCTTGAGAAGCATTTCAGACACTGTGGAGAAATCTTCAGAATCAGAATGGCGACTTTTGAAGATAGTGGGAAATGTAAAGGGTTCGGGTTTGTTGATTTCACAGAAGTTGAGTCAGCAACCAAGGCATTGAAAGACAAACTATGCAAAAAACTTATGGGAAGAATGTTGAAGCTCCAGTACGGGGAAGACCGAAGCAAACGTAACCCAACCACCAAAAAGAGAAGCTTTGAAGATCGTTTTGATCAATCCGCACAAAGCGAACACAGAAATGACACCCATGACAGCAACAGCAGCAGCAGCAGCAGTAGTGCCCCAGTGTACAAGAGACCAAAGCCAACTGGAGGCTTCAGAGACAATAATAACAACAATAACAAGAACAGAAGAGTCAAGAGTAGTGTGGCCCTTGCCAGTGCCCAAAGAGGCTCAGCAGCAATCGTGCAATCGACTGGTAAAAAAATCAAGTTTGACTGATTTGTTGATACTATCGCAATCTACGAGAGAATTGAGTTATAGGGTGTTTTCTAGTGTATATTTTTTTTATGTCTACTGTTTATTTATGCCAAATGTAATTTAAATTGTTTTTTTGTTTCATGGGCAACTCTGTAGAGTTGAGATGGCAGTGATTTTAATTTTGTATCTCAGCTTTTTCCCTTTCATCAGATTATATAGTAATATAGAATATTAGTAGTTATTAATAACAATGTAACGAGGATCCCGGAATATTCGTATACATTGTGCGCGCACAGGGTAAAAAAAAAAAGGAGAGGGAAAAAAACAGAAGAAAAAAAAAGGATACTCAATCTTTATATCATATTTATATATAGATAGATAGATAGTGTTATATTTCTACATATATCTTATCCCATACCTCCCGTTGTTCTCGCTATTGCTACCTGCTTGAACCCCAAGAGCCTGCCTAATGACACTAGACAAGCGTAACGACGACGACTCTGTCGTCCTCACCACCTCCTCGGCTTCGAGGACGGAGTCAGTATCATCAACAGCAAGCTCGAAATCCAACACTCTTTCATCATCATCATCATCATCATCATCATCATCATCATCATCACAACAATATGAGAGCGACTCGGATTTCCTGGCTAGCCAACTGCTAACTACCTCAGTAAATAAAGCATATACCCAGGCATCCGATTCCACCAGCAGTTCTACTAGTACAGAAAGTGAGGTCCTTTTATTCATATCTTCTGGCCAATCACTGAGCTACGAGTCGTCTATCGGAGTGATATCAAATTCTGTTTCACTGTTTCTGGAAACTGACAAGTCGTCTACTATCACAACAACAGACTCCTCCACATTATCCAGTCACGAATCTTCAACAACAAAAGACCACCAATCAACAACTTCCTCAATATCAGCATCCCAGGTGTCAATTATCACTACTCTCTCAATACCCTCTGGAAACTTGACTACTTCTACCTTTTTATCTACATTGTCATCATCATCATCATCATCCTCATCATCGGATATCAAAAACAACTACACATCCGTCCACACAGAAACATTGACGGTCACCCAAGCATACTCCATGGATAAAAGTGTCCTCTACAAGACCGATTATTCTACGATATTAGTGGTAACTCAACCACAACTAACGACATTTGGCTATGTTTATACTCAGCCATATGAGGTCACCGGAACAACTACAACTTTTGAAGCTAGCGTCCCTACAACCGTCATCGTAACGACTTATGATTTAGATACCCAAATTAGCTTGTCAAACTTTGCAACCATTACGGTTAACTCAGACTATTATAAACATAACATTTTAAACGAGGACACTAAAACTGACAATGTCCCAAAACTTGCAGGGGGAATCACTGGCTCTATTGGTGGATTCCTTGTGGTGCTTTTTATTGTGATTTGGTTATGCAAAAAGAAGAGCCCTACATTGTTATTCGGATCAAAGCGGTCAGCAAACCCATTCAATGAAAAGTCTGCTACAATGCCAGATTCTAAAGACCCTAAGAATGACTCTAGCGATATAATCAATAATGAGGTTTTGGAGAAGAGCCGTTTTGATAGATTGGTTGGCAAATTCAAGAAATCTCGCCCCGAAACTCTTAGAAGACTTTCTGCCGATAGTAACTTGACTATAAATAGCGTGCCTTCAACAACAGTTAGCACTTGCACAGCGAGTACTGCCGGAAGTGATAATGGGTTGTTTGCTATGAGGGATAATCTTTTACAAGGGCTTTCTTTAAAGAAGTCGGATAATGGGAACGAACCTGAGAAAAAGAACGCCAAATCACACAACCAACATTATTCAAGAAATAGAGTGATTGATACAGTTTACGAGGAAAGCAATGAGAGTTTGAACTCATCGAGAAGATCATCGTTGGCATCTTCAGGCTCCATTTTCTATAACAAGTCAAGGAAGAGCTCGATTGATGGGAATTCTAAATTGGGTCTCTCATCACCAAAGGAAACTCCAGAATATGCTAACAGCACGATTGATAAAAAGGAAATTCCTAAACGGCCGCCTCCTAGAAAGACTAAAAGTCAAAATTTCTATTCTAAAAGTGGTGGATTCCAAAGCCGTCGGTACGAAAGATCTGGGTTGCGTAATTATTATAGTACTGAGAATCCGTTTGAAGTGGAAGGCTCTGTCGATGATATAGAATCATCATCTCTGACGGAATCATCCTTCAGTACACACGACTTTGAATATGACAATGGATCGGACACTAGAAGAGCCCCTCCTGCTCCTCCGAAACCTAGAAAGTCTTCTCAAAATCATGTCAATGATGAAAACAATAATTTCGGGTATATTGACAAATTTGCCAACGACACTGAATACAATAAGAGAAGATCTTACGAAAGTGCTTCCAGTGGTGAACCATTCATCAATAATGATATGGAAGTTTAAGTGGATTTTGTGAGTTTTGCTTGATGGTTTGGTAGAATGGTTTCAGTTCATTATTTTTATTTTTATTTTTTTCTTTTTATACTATACTATACTATATACTGTTTATTCATCTTTTTTTACTTTTGTTTTATTTTTGTTTATCTTTGGATTTGCTTATTACATACATACACTTTTTACTTGATATTTGTCCCTTTTTTTTCTCTCGGTTTTCTTCTTCTTTTCCTTTTTTTTTTTTTTTCAGTTCATTTTTGAGTAAGAATCTTTAGTTCAGGGTCCTTTTCTTTTAGCTATTAATGTTTAGAGCTTGCATACATATGTTTTTTGGCCTTGGATTTCTAAGATTAATTTGGGGAAGTTGCTTGTCTTTAGGTGTTAAGATACAGTTGGTGCAGGATTACGTTGCTATCGTTGAATAATGAATAGTTGATAGAGTTATATATCTTTATATTGCTGAGGCTTGTAACGGCAAATGCTTATTTGGGCGATGAAGTTATCGATTGCAAGTAGGAATTTCCATGTACCTTGCTGATATCATGTATACAAAGAACACATCTCTTGCTTGAAAGCCCAAACACCTTCGTATTTTCCAAGAAATAAATGCACCATGGATGCTTATGGAACATTGGCTTCTACAAGGAGTAGAAGGTAACTAAAATTTTTTGAAACCTGGTAGATCCGTTCTATTTACTACCTATTTCTTTGCTAATGATCCCGTGGTGAACGAGCGAGTAACTCAACGCTCATATAAATGTTAACTATCTAATAAAGAATATAAGAAATAGAACAGAACAGATCTAGTAATATTAATGCTATTAATAATATCGTGAATAAGATATATATATATATATAAGTCTAAAAAGGTGGAGGGGGATGTGTGTTACCCTTCCTCTCAAAATGAGAGGCTGCCAGCAACCGGGAGATTATAACCCAGCCGTTCTTTCTCTATATATTTCCTTTACCCATTAGCTCAATTAAATATTTCAAATTAATACAATTATTTCAATCTTCTTGTTACTATCCCCATATATCACGGCAATTCTTCAAAAATCAATTGTTCTCTTTTCCTTTCTGTTGCTCATTTCGGATTAGGGTCTTTTAGGTCTTTGGCTTCGGGATCTTCAAAATTGACATAAGTACATTTTTTTTTGCAACTTCAATCAATTGTCCCATGGTCATCTCTGCTATTCATATGAGGGGCCCTGACCCCAGTATAGGCAAAACAAAATCTTCCAGAATAGATTCCCCCCCGCTTAGTGAACCATCAAGTGCCGTCAGCCTGTCGTTTCCTCGACGCTTATACGGTACGGGTGGCGGCGATGAGCAATTGCCCGAAGAATACCCGTACGATGAAGACCCTGATATCTACAAGTTGTTTGTCCAGCCAAAGTATATCAAGGTATCCCATAAACTGAAACCCAAGACTTCAATCCTCAAGCGTTTGTTCCTTGCTCAAGAGTTGGATACCACCAAGCCATCCCAAAGCTTACGGACCTCAATATCAAGTAGTACACCCAGTAGCGGTGGGGGAGTTTCCAGTTCGGGATCGAAATACAAAAGCGGTGGTAGTACTAGCACTGGCAGCAGCAGGAGCAGCCGGAGCAGCCTAAGTACTGCCAATGCTGGTAATCACAATACTAACCCGTCAAAAGCTCACCGTAGGACCGGCTCGGGATCAAGTGTCGATGATGGTGATGCCTTATGGTGTTTGAAGTTCTCTCCGGATGGCAAATATTTAGCAGCCGCAGGTAAGGACCCTGTTATCCGAATCTATAAGGTTATTTCTTCTCCTTTAGATCGGTTGAAATATGAACATGAACATGCCAATGATGATTTGAAACAGCTGACTCCAACAAAGTCGAAGAGGAATTCCAATGATGCTGCCAATCTAACCAGCCCGAAATTGGAAAGCCGTTTTTCTTCTAGTTCGAACGCCAGTAATAACACTAATAGCAATAGTGCAAATAAAAAACCATCTTTCTGTACTGGCTCGAACTCGAATTCTGGGTCGTTATACGCTCCGTTGTTTCATGATGAGCCATTCAAAGAATTTGTCGGGCACTCTCACGATATTTTGTCACTAGATTGGTCAAAAAACAATTTTTTACTTTCGTCATCGATGGATAGAACTGTGAGATTGTGGCATGTTGACAGGAATGAATGCTTACAGGTGTACGAGCACCTGGACTTTGTCACCTGTGCCAAGTTCCACCCTGCAGATGATCGCTTCTTTGTCAGTGGCTCTTTAGATAAAAAAGTTCGCTTGTGGTCAATTTTGGATAAAAATATCAGTTATCAAAGTGAGGTCAGCCATATGATCACTGCTTGTGAATTTTACCCAAAAGGAGATTATGTGATTGTCGGAACAATCAATGGAATGGTTTTTGCATTTGAAACCAGGGGGTTGCTATCGAAATTTCTGTTTGATTTGAAAAAGGGCTATATCTCTAATTCCAGCAATGCAAAAATCTCAGGGTTGCAGTGTTTTGAAGAACCTTTGGAAGATGGCAGTTCGGAAGTCAGAGCGTTGGTCACCACCAATGATTCAAGAGTGCGATTGTACAGTTGTACGCATAAGAAGCTACTAGTGAAGTTTAAAGGTTTACAAAATAAATCATCACAAGCAACGGCGGTCATATCTAATAATCATAAAATTGTGCTTTCGGGATCAGAAGATCAAATGATTTATTTGTGGGATGTCAATGATCCCGAAGTTTTAGAGTCTGCAAAGAAATCCAAAGGAATTCACTTATTCAAGAATCATAAATCTACATCTACACCAGTCAAACTTGGAGATCCAGATCTTCCGGAAAATGTGAAAAACGACAATTTTTACTCATTCCATGGTCACAGTTCATGTGTTACTAGCGCAGTGTTTGTTCCAGAGAGAGCCAAAAATTTGCTTTATTTATCCAATGATCCAATTTATGATTTGAATCGTACTTTCGAAGAAATTTTGGCCTCAAGCTCTTCAAAAAGTTCTCCCAACAAAAACACGGAGACATTATTAAGAAGAGTCACTTCTGGAAAATCACTTGATAGCCAAGATCCGTCTAATTCCTCGGCTGAATATGTGGGGAAAAACCTTAATTTCTTCAATGAAACATGTTCTAAGCGTGGTTCTGATTTAATCAGTCACTTGAAAAATTCCAATTTTGATCCAGATTCCATATTTACTTTGATTGACCCTTTAAAATTTCCAATTATTGTGTCTGGAGACAAGAAGGGGAAAATTAGAGTGTTTAGGGTTGACTCAGCATCATCTATTAGAAACCTTTTACAAGAGGAATTATGCCCTTCTAGATGGAAAAAGTGCCACCGACATCACCATCACCATGAACTTGGGAAACTCAATCTAGAACCGTTCTTGAAAAAACTTGAAGGCTATCAAAGCTATCTTATTAGTCATAGGATGACGAATTTGAGTATTGACGAGGAGGGCAAGGTTGGGAAATGTGGCACTCGTTCCAAGTCCAGAAGAACTAAATACCGGAGATTGAAAAAACAGAAAAAGGTGTATGATGATGGATTGCCCAGCCCTACCAGTAGCAATGATCTTCGAGCTGAGATATCACAAGATGCAATGTTGCCTCACGATATAATTGACGGCGGTGGAGATATTGAAGTACAGGTTGAGTTACCACACCGATCGTTCTTGGGATTGCGGAACCTCAGTAGATCAAGCTTTGCTCATCCAAAATCCGTTGATGAGACCATTGGTAATGACGCATTGGAAGCTAACAAAAGTTTTGCCACGATAAAAGGTCTTGCTGCTGAACAGCCCCATGGCGGTGTCTATCCAGACATCAAGAATGATCGTTTCATGCCGCCATTGAAAAAGAATGGCTCATTGTACTCACTCAGCAATGGGTCAATCTCTTCATTATTGAGGGGCAGGTCAGGGTCAAAAGATCGATCTGATGAGTCAAGCAAGCCGCGGCAGCAGGTTTGTGACGTGTGTGACGGTACAAAAATATCTTACCGAAAAGCCCAGTATAAAGGTAGCAGTGATGTGGTTAAAGTTTGTCAAGACTGCGGCAACCAGTTAACTATGTGATTTATTTATTGGTTTATTTGTATTATTATCATAGCCTTTAGGTTAATTTTGTATTTACTACTGGAAAATTTATATTTTCCCTTCCTTCCATATATTATAACTTTGTGTTCCATTTACAATACCACTATTCTTTCATTTATTTCTCACATTCATTTCATTTTATATATTCGTACGAGTGACTTATAAGAAAAAAATATTTAAAATTCAAATTGTATAGTCTTGCACTAAAAGCAGATGAAGAAAAAAAAAGCAAAGCTAAAATAAGCCGACAACAAAGAAAAAGACTGAAAATTTAACTTTATAAATTTAAGACATTCAATACTTCTACCTTGATTATACTTGATGAATCACTATCGTGTAAACTCTGCAAATCACTCACTACCTGCTTCTTGAATCCATCATTACCACTGACCTGTAACATCTTACCAGTAATTCTTACTGCCAGAATTCTAACATTTTCAATATCCCCATCTCCCAATCCTTGGGCCTTTATCACTTGATAAAATCCCCGCAAATCTTCTTTTGGTAAATAAATTTTTCCCGTTAGTGAGCCCTCATCATTGTGACTGACGATTTTGTCAATGAGAATACCAGTGTTCTCACAAATGGCAATTTTGGTCCTCCATGTTGGGGTAACGTGCGCCAAATTGAAAACTTGGGGAGCGATCTCCGTAAAATATGCTTTGATCAAATTCAATGGAATAGTACCATTTGTCGAATCAATGATGCTGAAACTATTGCATAAGGTGCTGATCAACAGAATAAGAACTGCCTCTCTTTGTAAATTGATTGCAGAAGACTTGGAGTATTGTTTCTCAGTCTTGATCTTCTTATTAGAAGATTCTTCTTCTTCTTCTTCTTCTTCTTCATCATCATCATCACTACTGTCTGAATTTTCGTAATAGGAATCATAGAAATATGGCCTGATCAATTCAATTTCTTGATTGTAGAGTTCTGTACTAGGAAAGATTGAAACCAATTTGCCCAAAGATTTCAAGGACTGGATTTGATTTTTCCCGCGCCTCTTGGCTTCCTGTAACAAGATTTTTTCAATCTTTTCGTACCATGGGAAGGACGATCTCGCGCCACTTTTGAAGTTTTCGGTGAACGTAACTAATGCATCTAAAATGATCTCTTTACCTTTCCAACCTCTGCCTTTACAAGCCTCGATTAAGATCGTGAACAATTTATCCACCATTGCATCGTTCAACCCAATAATCTTCCCATCAATTGCAGAACCACTCATTAAAATACAAGCCTGAGCAATGGCTTTAGCACAAACTTGTCTGATTAAATACTGCTGGGATTGTAAGTGAGTAGACACAATTTCGGCAATTTCATCAATATACAATTTGACGGCTGATTTTCCTCCGGTGTTTTCGGTCCACACGGTTTTGAAAATCTCGGAAATTTCTTTAACATCATCATGTTGACAAACGAACGCGAGCGGTAAGAAAAAACTGGAAACTTTGTTGAAATTGTCGGTAGAGTATTTTGCGATGGCCTCACACCCAAAAGCAGCAATTTTCCGGTCCTTATCATCTTTATAATCAAAATAGAGGTCCTTTAAGAAGTTCCCATAATTCAAAATAGTTTTGATTTTCGCCACTCTGCACAAATGACCAGCAGCGTAGGCGTATGCAAAAGCCACGGTTTCATTTCGATCACTCAATTGGTTAGTACAGGTTTTCATCAACACTGAGGCGTGAGACTCTTTAAGAATTGGTAAATGTTTCACCACCAAGGTAACAATAACTTTACTTCCAGCAACCTTGGAAGGTAATCCTACTGATCTTTTGATGGCAGAGTTCAATTTATTGATGAATTCTTTGATTAAATCATCATCAATTAACAAATCCATCATTCTTTCAATAGCTTCCATGACTGGAGAATGACCAACACTATTCAATCTTTTGGCATCAATGTCAGAAGATTTGAGATTGTATTTGTCAGCATTCAATGCCAAATAGTTCACAATTTGAGGTTCCAAAGTAGACATCAACACCAAAAGTTCTTCGACTAAACCAGGAATAAATGGTTTTAGGGAGTCTCCCGCTTTCATACATAATTTGATAATAATTTTCATCGAGAAACTTCTGACCTCATCGACCGAGCTAAGAACCCCTTTTGTACCAATCAAGAATGGAATTAGCTTACCCAATATTTTCTCGTAATTTTTGGATGAAGTATGGCTATTTTCAATTGATTTGATCAAACTGTTGGATAAGTATTTGGTAAGCTTTGTCCCTGATTCTCTGACTGATTCCTTAATATCATCAATGGATCTAAATGCCATAGTCCAGATATCCTCCAAATTATTTTGGTACTTCTCCACCGGAATAATCTGTAATAGATCAATCATGGCGGTTGTGGTGGCTTGTCTAGTTCTCCATTCTCTGTTACCAATGGAAGCCAATAATTCTTTCAAGATAGCATCGGAGTTCAATTCAATAATCTTTGAGCTGTTAGGGACCAAAATGTTCCATATATCATTCATGGAACGAGAAACGTTCTCATTAGGATCAAATCTGTATCTGTATAGCTTCACAACCAATCGTTTAGCCAATTCATCGTTCGATTGCAACATGTTTTCCAAATTAGATTTCGACATAATATTACTCAATCCAAATGCAACACCTTTTCTTGAAGCCCAAAGTGCCGAGCTTTTAGTTAATGACATAAATTTATATACTAAGCTTGGATCGCCCATATCAGTGGCCAAATTCAAAATATCTTTATAAGTAGAAATCGATCCATCAGGAGTATTCAATATACCCGGTTCGAACAACTCAGTGTCTTCACTAATGGTACCTGCAGTCAATTTAACAGAGCTTGCAGATCCAGTAAATGACTTCATTAAACCTTTGACCAAAGATTCCTTCAAATCGAAATCACCCATTTCATAAATCAAGCCTAAACCAGTCGAAGCAGCCTCTTGGACGATATCATCACTACTCGCCAAGTATCTCATAAAAGCAACATGAATTTCTTTTGCATTGGCCTTGATAACTGGCAAATGTCCACAATATTGGACTAATGACAATAACCAAATACAGCAAGCTTTACGTAAAGAAGGCTTGGTGTTGGCGCAACCTTTCAAAACAGTTTTTAAAACGGTATCAAGCTTTGATGATTCTGAGGACTCGTTCATAAATCTACCTCTTGGCAATGAATATCCTTGAATATCAAAGGATTTAATCAAAACTTTCGAGTCCCATCCACAAGCTAGAATTGTCAAGGCCTCACCACTGGCAAATAAATATTCAACTTGTTTGGAGATATGGGTGTCATAAAGTATTTGAATATATTTGTCAGCACTTTCATTAAATTCTTGAGACACCAATGACAAGTAGGCCCAAGAAAGCACAGATTTCTCATCGCACTTCTTGACCTTCAATTCAACCAATGATTGAATGTTATTAATAGTGTCCCTAATTTCAGCGTTATTGATATTAATTGCTCCGTATCTGCATAAATCATTGAGGGCGTCTAATGACGCTTCAAAATGTCTCCAGTTCTTGTTGTCATAGTTTTGTTTCAACTTATGATAAAACACATGTAAGAACTTCACAGCCTCCTCAACTCCCACAATATTGTCCAAAGAGGTGTTATTGGTGAAAGTGGATCTTCCCAAAATACTCGCAGCAATGACAAGACGAGAGATAACAAAGTCGTTGAAATTATTATCATTTACCACATCCTCCGTTAACGGCTGTAACAAATTGGAAACGTCTGATTTAAAAACGCTTGATGTGGAGGAAATCAAAATACCAATGGTCTTTGCAAGCGTACCCAAGCTCTGTTCTTGAATTAATCTCGCGAAAAAAGTCTTGTTGTACTTCTCTTTCTTCAAATCCTTGATATTGATACTGATCAAATTCATCATCAAATTAGCACTAAGAGGATCTTCCCCTTGCATGTAGGAGATTTGTGATAGGATGTTGGCACTGCATAATGAGATCAAATTATTAAAAATATTACCATATCGTGCAATATTAGTGTAGACTTGATTGAAAGATTGAATATTAATAGGTGAGCTACCATCATTAATCACAAATTCTCCAATTCTTGAAAATTTGGTGTTATCAATCAAATTATTTCTGCTAAAATAACAATCTGCGACCATCTGCAAATAGAAAATAATCGAGTCGCTCGAAGCGTCACCACCTAAATAAGTAACAAGTAAATATCTTACCTTATCATCTAATTCTAAGGCTTTCATGGTTCTGAAGTCCCAATCTTCATCAATAGTGAGAACTGTACCGGATTTCCCAGAATTATGAACTGACTCAGTCACTAAAATTTTCAAAAGATACTCAAATGCTGGGTAAAGAATATCGATTAACAAACTGGTATTTGGATGTTTTTGCAAAAATAAAAGTTCAGTTTTCAATTGTTTGATCAATTTTTTGAAAGTTGGGAAATTCAAATTTTCAATTGTGTTCATACCCAATAATTCTCTTGTTGTTTTTTCTCCATCAGTTTCCGAGCTATAAATATTTAGAGATGATTTATTTATATTGAACCAATAAGGATTCAAGCCCTTCTGGGCTACTTCAATAACATCGTATCTATTGTGAGCATAGGTACCATAGAGATTCAAAAATCTAGCCTCAACATCATCATAATCAAACAAAGCATTTATGAACTTTAGAGACAAATACCTAAAAGCAGAGGTTGAAGAAGAAATGCTTCTGCTATGTTCCGTATTGGCCATGATAATATCATCATCACCGTCCAAAATAGTGGAGTCCATATCTCTTGCCAACAAATCTTTAAAAAAGGCTTTCAATCTGGCACCTAGTTCACTCTTGGTGATTCCATTAAGCTCATTGAACTTTGCGGCAAATTTGTTGATTAATTTTCCCAATGAATCTTGGACAATAGATATATTGTCAGGTTCCTCACCTTTCAAGGAATTGAAAAAGAATTTCAAATATTTCAAATCTTCATCGGATTCAGAGTGAATTAATAAACTAGGATCACTAGAAATTAAATCCGAAAGCGTCTCATACTGTAATCTTCTGATTTGAGTGATCAATGACAATCTCACAGCTGGGGTATTGGCGGCAGAGACTTGCATACGAGGCCATCCGTCTTCTAAAATACCGTTCATTATAGTAGCTGTGATAGTTAATATGAATTGATGCTTGGTTGAAGTAGACGAGTTTGCAATATATTTGCTAAACACCAAAGATGATTTTTTGAGCTTCAAATGGTAGTTGCCTTGGGTAGTATTACTGGAAGATGCTTGGAACCCTTTAGTGACAATTTCAACTAGCACATTATCAGGAAGATTCAATGATTCTTTGCTTTTGCAAAAAACAGACGAAAGAATGCATTCTTGAATCAAGACGGGAACTGGCTTTCTGGAATCATCACCACCGTAATACTCTGTGCACTTGTTGATAAGAAAATCATTGTTTAATAAACTGCTTTCACTAGTGATATGAGGGATTCTTCTCAATAAGCTTGAAGCAAGGCTATTTATATTAGAGCTATTATCACAGCCAGCGAAACTAAGCAACAAAAATCGTAAAGACTCAATTTTCTCAAAAGATTGCGTTTCATTGAAGACTTCAAAATCTATCAATTGCAAGAATAATAGTATTTTGATTCTTAGGTCCAAAAGTGATTGATAATTAAATGTACTACCGGCATCGTATGTCAAGAATTTAACCTCATCATTGGTCAACCCAGGGCAGAAATAAAACTGTAATGGGCCATCGTTGTTGGCTGAGGTATTTGGTGTTGGTAACAATAAGAATAATTTGGAAAATTGATCTAGTATGAAAGTACATGACTCCAAGTTTGAGTTCAATTTCAAGAAATCCTTGGTGAATCCACCGCTATTGTTATAAACTAATGAATCGCTGATTTTGATTTTGGATGTTTGGAGATTCTTCCAAGTCTTTTCTCCGATTCTACCAAATAACTTCAAAAGCACATTGAAACATCTAGAAGTAACCATGCCATTACTTGACGACAGACGAAGTTTTGAAATACCAAGCTGTTTCTCAAGACATTCTATAGTCAATGGAATATAACTTAGGAACTTTGATTCATCTGATTCCCGTTCTAAACCTTTGCAGACAAACAAGTAAGAATATAACTTGACCTGATTGAAATTATCAATTGTGGCGGAATCAACAACTCCGGACTCAGGAAGCCCCACGGGGGATTTAGCTTGGTCCAATAGCTTCTCGATTGGCAACAGTATATCTTCCGAGCTATTGATTCTGATCATCAAGTGACCCAAAAATTTAAGAATCTTGGTTCTGACCTCCCGAAACTTTGAGGAAAGTTTGAGGATCAATGGCGGGAGGAAAACCGCCAAGTTTTTTTCGAAGCTCTCATTACTGGAGGCTAACGTGATCCGAAGTTCTACTTTGTCAATAAGATTTAGTTCGGCATCCATGGCTTATCCAGTTGATGATAATAGTTCTCTCTTTAAGTAAATCAAAGTGGCAAAAATCCGTGAAATATATAAAAGTAAAAGGTTCCAAAATGGCGGTTTTTTCAGGTCCACGTGAGTATATTTGTTATATCCGTTTACGGGTTTCTTTGGAGAAACATCCAAATTATATATACCTAAAAGAATGGGAGAACAAAAAATGTATCGAAGAATATTTATGCTTTATCATTGATTTTTTTTTATCATGGCAATAAATGAGCTTTTTTTTTAGACCCAGTGAGCTGCTGTATCTATGATTACACTGCCAATTTCGTTTTTCTTTTTAACGTTTGGGTCTATCTCATTATAATAGTTGCAAGAGCATATATAGCAAAGTTTGAAAATCATATTAATATTAATAATGAGTCTTGTATCATACTGCCTGAACTAATAAACTAGATCCATCACCGATACCAAGGGCTTTTAATGTTTGATCTTCTGTTGCCACAACTTCCTTTCCTTTGAACCAAATTTTGACAGCAAAAGCTGACAATGCACCATTATCTTTCGCTTTTTTAATCAAATCACTTAATTTATCCTCACTTGCTTTCAATCCCGTAGTAACTTTCCTGTTGTTTGGGAAGTAATATAAGTCAACCTTGATATTATATGCACTGTACCCTATTGTACCAAAATTAAGAGTAAATAGCAATATTTCGTCATTTTTTTTGATCTTATAGCTTGATAAGGCTCTTTCGTTACTCAATATTGAGCCCTTAAATACTAACTTTTGGGCTTCTATATTATTTAAAGAAATTGGGATCAATTTGCGTTTTAAAAAGCCTACGGTCTCTTGTAGTGAAGAAACCGTCACAGTGTGAATTTTGTTGCCGCCACGAATCACCCGAATTTTTAGAGGGATATCTCCATCATTACTACCCTCTGAAGCAGAGTTGGTTAGAAAAAAATGGGCAGAGTCAATACTGCTTAATTTATCATTGTGGTTTAATATATTTCCTTCTGAGTCTTTCAAAATCTGGTTCTCCAAAGGACACCCAACCTTATTAATTAACTGCCTCTGGATAGAAGCGATCAGACTTTCTTGATCAAGAGAAACAACAATTGGGATATTGTTGTACCATACAATCAAATTGTGGACCGGAGGAATTTCGGTGATCGCAGAAGAAGAGCGACGCGAAGTAGTCCTTGAAACATTAGTAGAAGTTGACTGTTCATATGTAGGAGGCAGAGAGCTAGTGGCTTCACCATATGGCGATGAAAGATGGATTTCATCGAAAGAAGGAGGGGGTCCATCAATCTCAATACTCCCTCTAACATAGCTTGGTGGGAAATTATTATTGGTAGTGACATCAACAAACGACTGAGAACTGACGCTAGACACGTCTAAATTAGATGAAGCTACAGTGTCAGGATTTGGCGATGGTGATGTTCTATTTGTAGATTGTATGAGTGATGGTGCCAGTATTTCTTTTGGAGCAGGTACACTTGGAGATATCAATGACGACACTGTTGTGACACTTGGCTGAACTTGTGGTACCGATAAGGTTGAAATAATGTTAGGGGATATGTCATTTCTGTTTGAAATGGAGAAAGACGGCACTTCAACGAGATCAGGAAGCAGAGGAGCAGAAATCTCCTCTATAGATTCTGTCAGACTGGCCTGTGCTTGTGTGTCCTCATCATTAATAACATCAATATCATTTTCGGATATTGTTGAGTTTATCGAAAGATCGAACTTGAAGCTAGCTTGTAGAGTGCATCCCTCGGCTATCGTGACGTCAGCGAGCTTTGCGCTCTGAAATTCATCACCATCAGGAATTCTTAACCATAGGCTCAAATTTTTAGGGGGAAGCCCAATATGATTTCCGATTAACTCTTTTGCTTGGAGTATGGTGCAGCCGTTATCCACCTACAACCATTTGTTAGTTACTGTGGAGTTTAGTTGACCAAATTATGACAGCACGTACCATAACACTTGTTGATTTGTCGCTCCCGGACGCTTTGACGATGAGTAGCATGGTAACTTATGGTACTTAATGTCTTCTAGAACTATATATTTGGGCTGAACGGTGACAATCAACGAGAAATTCCAACGGGGAAGATCAATCACTTTATACGTGGTGATTGACCCAGGAAACCATCACAGCGCCCGGGTAAACTACACTCGCTCGGGTAAAACACCGGTAAGATAAGCAGAAACATGTTTAACCTATTCTATATATATATGATGCATGTGTATGCTTTAGGCGGGAAAATCTATGAATATGAAACTATTAAAAGAAATATAAGGATCGGTAGTCATCTTCGGTATCAAGGGATGACAGCTCACCGGAAATAAGTATCCCGAGCGCCATAAATCCATATGGATGCCATTTCCATAAAGGTCAATGTAAGAATAGAGTGCGGAGCAAATCTCATCAATGAAGCACCAAGCCCTTTGAACAAGGCTCTTGGGCCTTCAGTCTTTACGGTTTTCATTAAACAATCAACTGGACCACTATATAAGTTACCTCTTTGGTTGTAAACTCTGGTCAAAATAACATCAAAAGGATTGATTGCAAAACCCACACCAAAACCTGTTATCGTAGAACTAATCAAGTGCAATCTTGTGTCGTCATCACTGTACCCAAAATTTGTTTTTATAATACCTTTGCAATAATTATACAATGGTAGCTGAATAGCTGAACCGGCAGCTGTTCTGATCATAGCAGTATCACAACCTCTAAAAAGACCATTAATACCCCCTTCTGTTTTATAGATTTGCTGCAATCCTTGGACGAAGTTTGTGTAGTGTGTTTGCTGGCCAACGGCAGTTTTGGAACTGTGAGAAGCATATGATTGCATTCTGGTCTTCACTAGATACAATGGGGATGATACAGCTGCCCCAAGTGCACCTGTCATTGATCCAGTGAAAACGTTGATGTACATGTTCTGATATATCCGGGGGTCTTCATTGGGGTGGAAAAAATTATTGAGGAACTGACGGGTAGGTTCGTAATATCCTAAACGACAACAGTTAAGCAATATTTGGTAAGGGTACGCCACTACCAAACCCTTTTGGACTCCCTTCAACCCTTCGTTCTTTCCAATAGATATCAATGCCTGAACAGGGTTGGTGTAGCTCTTCGCTTTAAGGTTCTTGGATTTCACGAGCTCTCCTTGAAGCGCCATTCTGGTCTTGACCACCTCGATAGGGTTGGTGAAGGTGACAGCACCAACGGCAGCAACACTAGCTGCCAATGTGTCACACACTAGAGAGTTTCCTTCCTGGGGCATTTGGTTAGATGGTATCTGTCGTGTCTGTAGTGTGCCAGGAGCGATACCAACAATTTTCCGAAATTTCAGAGATAAAACTGGAGATAAACATCTGGACACCAAAGGCGTAAATGCGCGCTGATCAGAGAGCAATTAGATGAGTAGTGTTGTGGTATGTGAGCCATTTGGTCCAATTACAGCCCCATAAATGGGTCCAAGCAATGCCTAGTTCACGAACTTGCAAAGATACAACCTCGGTTCCTTGGCAAGTCGAAAATAAATGTGTTGAAAATCATCCTTCTGCTTCCTTATTTTGGGTTTGTAGTTGTTTTTAGACAGCCACGTTATATACACCAGTCTTCCTGGACTTACAAATGAAGAAAAACAAGATATATTCGAATACAGCAGAACAGCGATGATTACTTCTTTTTTTTTTCCTCTCGGTGCCCAGAAAAGGTGATTACATATCAAGTAAATCTCCCCGCATTAGCCGAGTCTCGTTTGACAATTCTCCCAGATTACTATGGGCAAATAGTTAAAGGCAGCCCAGTGGGACCACTAAACTAACTTTGGAGAACAACCCGGGTTATAATAATATACAACAAAATGCCCGACTGTTTTGTGCCTGTGACGTTGAGCCTTTCTTTTTTTTTTTTTTTTGGTGTGTGTTTTTGGGTTTTTTCTTGTTCCCTTTTTTCTCGGGGTAGCCGCATCTTTGAAAAAAAAAAATCATATTACAAATCTCTGGATATATTTATATATGTGACAAGAATCCACTATCGAGGACATCCCTGTGTGATACTGTTGTCTGTTTACACTAAAGATGGCTATTACCCCAGAAATTCTCAACAAGCTTCAGCTAAACCCATCATGCATCAGGAACATTTGTATTTTGGCACATGTCGACCATGGTAAAACAACATTGTCAGACTCTTTACTATCTACAAATGGTATTATTTCCCAAAGAATGGCCGGGAAAGTAAGATATTTAGACTCCAGGCCTGATGAACAACTCAGAGGTATCACTATGGAAAGTAGTGCTATCTCATTGTATTTCAGGTTATTGAGAAGAAAGTTACCTTCAAAGGACGATGATGAGGTATCTCAGGTCGAACCTGTCATCGAAGAACATCTAATCAACTTGATTGATTCTCCTGGTCATATTGATTTCAGCTCAGAAGTTTCTGTGGCATCGCGTCTTTGTGATGGGGCCCTTGTTCTTGTGGATGTTGTTGAAGGAATTCAATCACAAACTGTCACTGTATTACGTCAAGCTTGGAACGACAAGTTAAAGCCGGTTTTGGTGTTGAACAAGATTGACAGATTAATAATTGAATTGAAGATGAGTCCTTCTGAAGCATACACTCATTTGAAGAAAATCGTTGAACAAGCGAACGTGGTTATTGGTAGTTTTTTCGCCGGGGAAAGAATGATCGAAGATGAAATTTATAGAGAGAATTTGGAAAAAGATGGTCAAGCAGAATTCGTGGGAAAGGATGACAAAGATTTGTATTTCCATCCTGAAAAAAATAATGTGATTTTTGGCAGTGCCATTGATGGCTGGGGCTTCACCATTCAGCAGTTGGCTGCATTCTATGAAAAGAAGCTTGGTTTCAAGCGTGAGAATTTACAGAAAGTTCTTTGGGGTGACTTCTATCTTGACCCAAAGACAAAGAAGGTTATCAATTATAAAGGTTTGAAGGGAAGAAAAAACTTGAAACCTTTGTTTGTACAATTGATTCTAGAAAATATTTGGAAAATTTACGAAAATACTGTCACCCAAGAATCTGCCAGAGATCCAGAAGTTTTGAATAAAATTGTGAAGGCTTTAAATATCAAGGTATTGCCTAGGGACCTTCGTTCTAAGGATACAAAGAATTTGCTCAAGACCATTATGTCTCAATGGCTTCCTATTTCATCGTCTATTCTTGTCACTGTGGTTGAACAGCTCCAGTCACCAATTGAATCACAAGCAATTCGTATTCCAGCTATTTTGGATGTGATTCCTAATTCCGAAATGATCAATGAAGAATTAAAGCAATCCATGCTCGCCTGTGATAATAACGGTCCGGTGTCTTGTTATGTTTCCAAGATGATTAGTGTTCCCGATGAAGATTTACCTGATAGAAATAAAAAAATCTTGTCAGCCAATGAAATGGCAGAATTGGGAAGAATCGCAAGAGAAAAGGCTAGAAAAGTGGCTGAACAAGCTAGAGCCTTGGAGGATGATAAAAAATTAAACGATGGCCTTGGTAATATGAATATCACGACAACACAGGTATCATCCAATTTTGATGATTTCGGTGATTTTGAAGACGAGGATTTCGATGATTTTGATTTTGGAGAGCCAAAGGATATCAATGTGTCTAAAGAAACCCTTATTGGTTTCGCCAGAATTTACTCAGGAACTTTAAAAATTGGCTCAAAGTTAACCGTTCTATCACCAAAATATGACCCGCTAAATCCTTCTCCTGAACATATTTCCGAACTAGAAATTGAAGATTTATATTTATTAATGGGCAGAGAGCTTGTGTGTATCAATGAGGTTCCTGCAGGTAATATTGTGGGTATCGGTGGTCTTGCTGGAAAATTACATAAAAATGGTACCTTGGTGAGCTCTTCGGCTCTCAATAAATCATTGAGCAATGGTATTAATCTCAGTGCCGTTTCTACTTTGACAGCAATTCCCCCAATTGTTCAAGTCGCTGTCGAGCCGGTAAACCCACTTTATTTGGATCAGCTCAGTCATGGTTTGAAGCTTCTTTGTGAAAGTGACCCTGTGGTTGAAACCTACTTGAATGACAAGGGTGAAAATATTTTGTGTTGTTCTGGAGAATTACACTTGGAAAGATGCTTGAATGATTTGAAGGAAAGGTTTGTTGGTGTAGAGATCCAGGCCTCCGAACCAAGTATTCCATATCGTGAAACCATTGTTGGGCCTGAGGGTTTATCTTCGTCAAGCGACGCAAATGCCTACGAAGGGTTTGGGAGTAACGAAATCAATCCAATCAAACATCCTGAATTCGGGGGTAGAGGTCACTACGTCTTTACTCTCAACAGTGATGATGATACATCAAAGGCCATTGAGTTCAAAATCAGCGTCAAGCCTTTACCAGCACCAATCACCAGTTATCTAAATACTAATATTGCCTTGATTAACTCAGTTATGAATTTGAAATCTAAACAAGAAAATATCAAGAAATTGGAGGATGATTTGTCCAAGATTATTGATGTTCAATTGAACTCTGATGAAATTAAAAAGCAAATCTCCAAAAACAAAGACAATTTCTATAATGCAACTGAAGATATTAAGGCTTCAATTATCAACAATATCGTTACTTTTGGTCCAAAAAGAATTGGTCCTAATCTTCTTATTGACAAATCTGGCAAATTATCAAACCTCAATGTCAAACAGACTTTGTCATTCGAAGGCTCTATCATCAACGGATTTCAACTAGCAATGATGGAAGGTCCATTGGCTTCGGAACCTGTGGAAGGCGTATCGGTTTTCATTGAAGAAATCAACTTCATTGGAGATGAAGATCATTCTTCTATCGTTGCAAGCATCACAAACTTGGCTGGGAAACTTCTCAGACAAACCAAAGATTCTATCCATCAAGCGTTCCTTGACTGGTCGCCAAGATTGATGTTGGCTATGTACTCGTGTGATATTCAGGCAACCTCTGAAGTATTGGGTAAAGTTTATGCCGTTATTCAAAAACGTCGGGGAAGAATTATTTCTGAAGAAATGAAAGAAGGTACTTTGTTGTTCAGTATCAAGGCTAAGATTCCGGTTATCGAGGCATTTGGTTTCAGTGAAGAGTTCCGTAAAAAGACCAGTGGGGCAGCTATTCCACAATTGGTATTCAACGGATACGAAATCATTAATGAAGATCCATTCTGGGTGCCAAAGACCGAAGAAGAATTGGAAGCCCTTGGTGAATTCGCTGAAAGAGAAAACATGGCCAGAAAATACATCAACACTATCAGAAAGAGTAAAGGGTTGTTCGTTGATGAGATCACTGTCAAGAATGCTGAAAAACAAAGAACTCTCAGAAAGGATTAGGTCTTTATTTATTTGTTTATACTTGTTATATTATTGCCATTTGAACTTAGCTTATATTATTGTTACACTAAGCTTCCAAATAATAAAGTTATTTCAATTCGGATAAAATAAATATCATATTATAGCATAACGAGCAAGCAAAAGTTGAGAAAGAAAAAAAAAAATGTCGAAACAGTAATAAATTTACTCTTTTCTATTCTGTTAAATATCAAAGTCAATTATTTGGATGGTATAAGAGTAAATTATAAAGAACTAAAAAAGTAAATATGCGACACAAAAGGCATGCCTAAAATTAAAAAAGAAAAATAAAATTCTCCTTAAAAATCACAAGGTATCGTTTCCGCTATCATCGGAATAGTTATAGCTATCATCGATTCCATCATCATCGTTATCCGTACTGCTATCATCATTCTCTCTTTCACTCTCTGCAAAGTCAGCGTCATCTTCTGCATCACTAACAAATCCTCCAAGAATACCTCCTCCTGAATTATTAAGTTCCAGCGGGTCCCTATGGTTAGCAATAGCTAAGGAGATATTTGCATTATGTTTTGCTATTTGTTCCTCAAGATAGTCTTCTTTGAGCCTTTTGTTAGCTGCAACTTCTCCATTTTGCAGCATTTGGGGTTGTAGCATCATTTGTTTCTTTAGCAAGTCTTCCTGTGGATATCTAATATATCTTGGGATTCTATTATCATACTTGTAGTTGAATTTCAAATCATAAATGTTATTATTGACATAATGATTGACATTCTCCCAGTGGCTTAAATTTTCGCGGAAAAACTTCAAGAAAATCTTCACAAATTTTAGATTCAACTTGTTCACTTCGACTCTTAAGAATTTCATGAGATTTTTCATGTTGATCTTCAATGTTGAGTTCACTTGTTTCACATCATTAGATACAATTGCTGACAAGTGCTGCAACGCGGCTATTTCCTTCCTTAATTTTCTGATTTCTTGATTGCGTTGCATTTTGGACATATGTTCTGGGCTATGAGCCTTACCAGTGAACAAGTTCAACCAGCTAAACGAAGAGCCAGATGATGGTAATGTCATGGCTTCCTCATTCAATACTAAATTACTATTCATTTCAGAGTCTTCTGTCGTGGAAAAGGATGCTTCAGAACTGTCATCGAGGTTCTGGTATGGCTGATGTCTAGTGTACTGCTTCTGTTCCTTCAACATCTGCTTCTGTTTTTGGATCTCAAGTCTTTGATAGGCTTGCTTCATGGTGTTACTTTCATTGATACTATTCTTCAAAACCTCTTGTAACTTTTGGTACTTCAAATCAATGTCAAGATATGTTTTCAAAGCTTTCCGCTTATCTCTAAGCCTCTTGTTAATTGTCAAGTATTGCAAATCTTTCAATTTTTTGAACTTAATTACTTCCGTTAAACAATTTTTTAACATTGAGTTTATTTCCATAAGAGGTTCCAGGAAGGACGTCATCAATGAAAACTCCAACATTTCAATATTAATGAATTCGTTATCAATAGATTGACCTACTTTTTCAATTGCCGATGCCAAAGTGTAGAATTTTTCAAAGTCCTTATTCTGCGATTTGGTTAAATTCTCCTTTAAGTGTTGGATATCATCATCAGCAACAACAACAGGTTCCTCTTCATTATCTTGAATTCCTGATTTCTCATTGTGAGGTATCTTAAAATCAGGTTGAAATGTCATAGTGAAATTATATTCCAAGGAAAATGCGTTGAAATATGCTCCAAGTTTTGACAAGTTTTTAATTAAATCCTCCAATGTTCCATGTACCCGACTTTCACATGAAATCACTGGTCGAAGAGATCTGGCAAAAGATGAAATGTATTTCTCAATCAGTTTGAAGTATTCATAGTCTTCAAAAGTAATCAAATCTAGATCATCTAGGACATCCATGGACGATAATGATGTGTTAGCGTCGTTTACTGTGCTGCCTGTCAAAGCTTTCTTTGGAGAGTCAACTCTCAACTCTTCGGTCTTTCGTTTCTCTCTGTCAAGCACCATCATATAGCCTCTAACAGCTTGATCATAATTAGAAAGTGATGTGTGAACTAGATTAGGGAGTAGATTATGATATGGGCTTATTTTGTAAGGATTCAAAGGATCGTTCAACAATGGATTATTTTGAAGTAATGGTATTGGGAGCATTTTGAGAATATCTTGAAAATTACTTATTGTTGGATCTAGGAATTTGAGAAAAATATCATTGAACCTAATTGGCGGAATATCTTCAGGAACAGCCGGATTGTAATTTGGGTAGGATATTAATCTATTTAGAAAAGACCTGAGAGATCTCTTTCTGTGCTCAATGAACTTGACATCAGATTTTTGGACATTCAATGGATTCTTCATGTAGTTTCTGAAGGAGTGCTTTTCTGGTAACGATGGAAGCAAAAAATTAGGATAGATTCTACCCAAGATTTTTCTCAACTTATCGAAATCCGAATATCTTCTCCTGATTTCTAAATTCTTCAATTTGATAATGTAAACAATCACAACCTTGTTCTTCCGGTCCTTCAATTGAATTATATATGGAATATCAATCTGAATACCAGTATTGTTGTGAATAATCTCATATGGAGTCGCTTCCGATTCTGAATAAAAATCTAAAGGATTGTTGCTGGAAATAGTGGTATTAGCATGGTCCATCAATCCTCTTTCATATTCTTCTTGCTTAGCATTATCAATAATACTTGTTTCATTATCTGAAAGCAAGAGGCTAGAGGGTTTGTAATTGATCCACAGTTCTGGAGATGAGCTTGCTGTATTTTTTTGGTAGGCCGTAGTACTCTCATCGCCTAGCAAACCTGATTTTATTATGCCTTTGCCATGTGTAGGGGTTGACTCCCCAAAGGAGTCAAGATCTTCGTGTTGTATTGTTGATGATGATAACGCGTCAAATGCATCATTAGAGACATCAATTCTAGCAGACTGACCATTTGGATGATCACTGATTGACCCTGAGCCCCTGAGATGATCACCAAAGATATTTGCAGTTGAAAAATGGTCTCTGTTGTTGGTGTTATCAATAAATGGGTCATCATCGGCAGAGTGAATAGATCCACCAATACCTGAAGCAAACAAGTGATTGCTACCAGCAAATGGATTGTTGTCTTCCTCGTCGTCAAACAAAGACATCAGTCTGTAAGTCGGGATGAATATATCGTTCTCACTACAGACTTACTCCTTGTTGTTGTCAAGCTCATCAGGCTTATTCAAATTCCTGTAATCTGATTATTGACGCCTGTGCTGCCTAACCGCAATTCTTGAACCCTAGACGCACTACTTAATATTTTTATTTCCGATTTCACGTGAGACGGCGAAATGACAACAGAAAAGGAAAGGGATGAAGAGTTGACTTCTTGATCCTATATCGATACTTATCTTCACTCGATCTCGCGTTAGATACGTGATAAGAAGATCAGATGCTATCACCGTAATTGGTCTCTAACTATTCGATAGAACACACAACTCAAACAAGTGGCTCGTATTTAACAACTTGTTATTAGGCTGAATTAACAGCAATAAATCAAAGAAGGTAAATGTATTAAATGAAGAATAATAGTAGGATTGGTTCTTGTTTTCTAATAACAATAAGAAAAAAAAAATTTAACACGATAAAATGTAAAGTGGGGTGACCATATTCGTAGTATGTACGATAGTGCAATATCAAGAGCTAGCAACTTTAACAATTTAGGCACTGAAATGATACAGGTTCAAATGGCTTGAAACAAAATTCCACCTGATAAAAAAGGAATGATTTGATATGAATATGCCGATCCCTTCCCCGAAGTGCAAGGAAGTTAGAAAAGAGATGCTAGCAGTGTGCTGGTACACCGGTACGGAAAATAACAGAGGTTCTGAGTAGCGCTGTCCGGAAGGTACTTTTCCGCGCTTCAACCGTTACACTCCACTGCTGCGTGACATAGATTCTTTTTTTTTTGCCTCCCAAAAAGAACCAAGAAGGTAAATAGTAGCGATCTCTCGTTGCATTTACCAAAAGGACTTTCTATAGCTTTTTCCAGGCCCTTGCCATTGTTGTTCTTCTATTGCTTTTTTTTTTTCTCTTTGTTTGCGGAAGAGAAAAATGAGACTCCCAAACAACAAGAATATACCCGCAAACAAGGCGGCGATCTCTATTACTGCAACACTTTATGATCGAAGAGCGTTGGACTGTACCATAGACAAGCCCCTTGTGAATTCTCTCAATAATCTTACATTTCTTGCTAGCAGCTCACCAAAAGTCAGAGAGACTTTAGTAGGAGATGGAGGAATCCTGAGATTGGTTGATATTTTAAATGAGTGTTTTCTTGGAACTGAAGACAATGACGAATCGGGAAACGAAAGTTTAGATATTGAGGTAGAACTAAACTCCGCCGAAGCTTATAAGCTTGGAAAGTCCTATAGCAACTTCCAGAACGTGTTTTTTGAATATTTGAGTGGTATGCTAAAAGAAGTTAGTACATTGGCTTCTAAAGATGAAGTTCTGCAGCTCGATAAATCTGAGTCGGTTAGCAAACTAATCAGCATCAATGAAAGTTTGTCTCGAAGTATAAAGATTTTCATGGATTATCTTAATAATTATAAGGCTAAGAGGGAGCTAAAGAAAGTAAAAAATAGGGCTGACAAAAAAGTATTAGTGGCTTGGAAATGGACCTTGACCCTTCAAGTCTTGGTACTATGTGGAACCAGAGGTAATGAAAGGATAAGGAAGAAAATAGTAAAAAGTGGAATCATTCCAATTGTTGCAACCGTTTTGGACAATTATTTACTTGTTAAAAGTGGAAAGATAAAGTTAAATTCTGCAACCAAGTCACCGTCGGTAGATGATCAATCAGACCTATTGTTCGCAGAACCTAACATTAATGAAATTTCAAACGAAAGTTTCGATCGACTGTTTAATGAGGTTATTAATTCGATTTATGTCATCGTCAGCAGCTTGGATGGCTCAGCAGTATCTAATAGAAATGTCTCCATTCATGAAATTCAGGAGCAAGTGCAACTTTTTGTCCAGAGAACCAATAATGGTGGGAGATCTCTTGTACCGCCTCAGCAGTTCAGCTCCTTGGCAGGAGTTCTTTTAGAGACATTGAAAATGCTAAGTAGGATGTCATTACAACAAAGGGAAATTAGACACGCTAGGCGTGTAAATGGTGGGGATACAATGGGGCACAATAATGACTCGAATATTCGTTTATTGAGATCAATCAAAGCCAACATCAATATAATTTCATTACTTATTCGGGGGCTCGCTAATAATATGCAAGAAATAAATCAGAATTTGAATGTCTATAACAACTTCTCAAACAACCATGTTAATGTCTCTTCTATGAATTCTATGAATGATGATCCTCCTGAGCTGGCAAATGTCCCTACCTCTAATTCTCAAACTACGAGTGAATCAATCTTGAATTCTGGTGTAACTGGCCAAGTCAATCCTTTTGACCAGCGATTAGACACTACTACATCGAATGGTATTACTAATATGGCACAAAATATTTCCACTGGACTTACGATATTAGGGCAGGCAATGGCAAATACACAACAGCCAGCGAATTTTGAAGTGAACAACCAAGAGCCCCCAAACACTTTCGAGTCTCGTACGGCTGTTACGGTTCAGAAGTTTAATAGGGCCTTGCGTGAGATTCTATTTGATGATTTCAGCAACTCTACTCAAGATTTAATATCTTTAAATAGCATAGTGCAGAGCGACGATAATGGTAGACCTATGTACTGGAGTGTCAGCACAAAGGATAATGCATTAATGTTTAGCCTTAATGGAGAAGGTAAAATTGTGATAGACTGTTCCCTAGCTGCGGATAAGCATTATCCTCTAATCCCTGATATTTTGGCAATTTGCAAGGAATTCTCAAAACAGGATTCAAATTCTCAAGGTGCGACTGGGTTAGACAGATATAGTGGTAAATATATCATCAACTGGAAAGCTTCTGACTGCAATGAAAGTCCTGTTGATCATCCTGAATATCATACTTTATTGGCGCATATGTTCAAGAACTTATTTTTCAGAGACTCGAATGGTGATTTTTGCACCAACAAGGACTTGCCAGCTGATTTATTGTCTCCTAATAATAACAGAGCCAGCCCTGAGCATGATATCATCATAAATAACACCGACAGCACCAACAATAGCCAATCAATTGAAGCCGCGTCTCGAGGAAATAACGCTGATGTTGATAATACTCCTTTTATTGAAAGTCCTACAAATGCTAATGTAAATAACGATGCTCAGAATGCACTCGATATGAACCTTGTCCAGCCTCCAAGAGAGTTCTACAAAGGAAAGATTGTTCCTGCAGATGATGATATAATATGGGTTTTGCAGCTTTTGGCTTTTGTGTCCAAGTATACCCATATGAAGGATGTATTACAATTTACATATATTGTTCCAAAATTGTCACTTCGTGAATACCCCAACGCTATTGCTGATATGAAATCTAATGGTGCAAATGTCACTGAGTTTTTCAGAGATAAAAGGGTTGATTTAGAATTTATTGGTAAACAAATTGTTGAAAATCATTTTAAAAGAGGTTGGGGAAAATCTGGCGCTGAATTTTACATGTTGAACGAGAAAATGGGTACTGATCTTTCAGATTTACCATTTTTATTTCCGAACGGCGCAAGTACTAGTTCCTTATTCAGACCCAGAACACTGGACTTCGCTGAATCGGTTCATGGATCATTGGAAAATAATATTAATATCCTAACTGACAATGATGGTGTTTTTAGAGCCGATATTGATTCTTTGTTTGTACAACAAGGCATAAATGTCAGGGACAATGATGTAATTGTCACGGAAGACGCAGAAAACATTAAAGAGCTGATTGAAGACAAGTTATTCTCTCTCAAGATAAATTGTGATTTAGAAAAATTCAACGAAAATGTTAAGCTATTACAAAAGACTAACAGAGAGGATATTGCGGAGTTGTTTTACTTGATAAATAAGTATAAAGAGATGATTTCAAATCCAATATTGAATCGAAAGGATATAACAAAGCCTTTGAATAAGATGTTACCATCTGATGATGAGAATGGGTCTAGTGATGAGTCTAGTGGTGATGATATGGAAAGCGTTGAGTTTGGCTCCAATTATAATTCAAATACCAGACTTGTTCAACCAATCAGTGAGCCTGATGAAGGTGATGTTACATTGGGAGCTATGAATGAGATTCAACCTTTGTCCAGAAGTGAAATCGAAAGATTCGGGCTCAAGTATGGTAGCGAATTGGATAGCTCTTCTCGCTTCGACATGATTCCACCATTTGGAAGTGAACCAGATAAGGAGTCTGATGAGCTTAATAGCATCAGTGATGATGATAATAATATTGATTTAAGAAATCATTCTGATGAAGTGAATTCTGCAGCAATTAACTTCAAAGTTGACAAATCAATATTGAGTTATCAAATCAACAAGAAATTTGAAAAAATTTTGAAAATTAATTCAGCTTTAACCTACAAAATGAAGAAGGTGAAATACTATGAGAAGAAGAGAGCCGAGTTGCAAAAGAAATGGAACTATGAGGACTATGATTTCGATGACAGTGACTATCTGTCGATTTTGAAAGCACCTGACACTAATAATTCCCATTCAATCAATAGTGTCGGTCAACAACTCTCAGCATACCAACGTCTCGGGGAGAATTTTATTCATTTACCTTTGAATTACTGCAAGCCTCCTATCATCGCCTCTTCTATTGAAAATTTTCATAAAGACTTGCCACTGATTAGTTATCTTAATTTTTTCCCAAGTAATCAGCAAGAGCAAGACGCCTTCAAATGTGGTAAATCCACAATCATGTCCAAGCATGATTTAGATTACTCCATTATTCCTTTGGATTACCTAAATGTCTTTGGATTAGTTGAAAGATTCAGTAATGATATCTTTCCAACGGAATTTACCCATTGGTCGGGAGTAATTATGAGAAATTCTTGCCGAAAAGATGAACAAAAGGGTGGGATTAGGCAATGTGGTAATACCACTTGTGGTAAATGGGAAACAGACAAAAGATTTTCCAAATGTAAAAGATGCAGAAGAGCAAAGTATTGCTCTAGAGATTGTCAGTTTAAGGCGTGGGAATACCATAAGTATTGGTGCCAACCTGCTTCTAGCAGCTCGAGTTCCAATAGCGCTAACACTAATGGCGATGGCTCTTCTTCTTCAAGACATAGACACCGTCATCATCATAATCATCATCATCGAACTAGCAGACATGGCGAGAATGATGCGACTGAGAATTCTGGTCAAGCTGGCATCCAGAATGGAGGTACTCAATCTCTTAACATGCCGGGGAACCAGAATAATGGAGATACTAATACTTTCTAAGTGGAGGCGCCCTCTAAAAAGAATATGCGGAAAATGATTTTGCTGATTTGTTTATTTTTTTTTTTTTTCCTATTCATGTTTTTCTGTTTTGTCTTATTTTATATTGTTTAGCTTTTTATTTTGTTTTGGAATAAGTACTATTTCTTTGATCTTCTTTTTCTTTCTTTTCTCTCTTTAATTTTCGTTTGGGTTTTTTATTTCAAGAAATTAGTAGTCTTTTTTGGTCTTACCATACACAAACATGAAACTATTGGGTTCATTCAATTCTTTATGTAGAAAAAAAGAGAGCATCAGACAGTTTTTGGGGAGCATGGCACAAGGTTTACATTATTTATACACAATTAAAACTTCATGTATTATCATATTATAGAAGCCCTTATGCAACCCATATAAATCTCAAAGAAATCATCAATAAAATAAAATAAAAGGTAGGAAACCACCAAGAGGAATAAACAATTAAAAGAAGAGGAATGATAACATCTTGTTATGTTAAGCTATTTGACGAATTTTGTTAATACGTCAATCTTCGCCAGCCGGTACTTCATCCTTTAGATATCTAAGCAATTTAACCCTAATTTCAGTATTATCGTTCCCTCTTAATTGATCTGCAATAAAGTGGGCATCCACATCCAATTGAACCATTTGTAAAGCCCCTCTCAATACACCACATAGAATGTTGGAATACCATAATTCCTTGGTGGCCTTCCCATCATCCGGCAATTCCACAAACTCTGCTAATGGGTTTTCTGTCAACAACAAGGAGAACTGCTTGCCATCGGCCGACCAGTTTGTGATTGTTGGGGTTATATTTAAAAAGATCTTGAAGCCGACTTTGGCAATCATGTCGGCGGTTTCTTTCAATGACGCGCAACGGCCGGCACCGGTTCTCGCTAAGAAGTCCTCTATAAGTCTAACACCAATATTGTACCCCATTTTGTCCAACTGCTGATTCACCTGGACATAATTATTATTGTAGTCTTTGCATAGTTGCGACACCACTGAACCGTATGTCAAAGTGAAGAATTCGGAGTTCTATCAAAAAAAAGTTAGTCGACTGATCTCTAAAAATGGGGATAATATACTTCACGCAATCAAACGTACCACTTTCTGGACTCTATTCTTCCATATTTCGTCACTAACGGTCCTTACTGACTTGGACATTGTTTTCCTTCTATTGATAGATAATGAATATATATATATATATATATATATATGTATAATATCAGCTTACCAAACGGATCATCTAAACACTCTGTCTCGATTTTTCTTTTCATTTGATGAGTGAGACCTGAGGGGGCTGCGTAACCAAACCGGCAAACAAGAAACAGTGGGTGCCTGACCCCGCATCGAAGGGCCCGCAAAAACAGGAAAAAAACCCAAAAAGCGCCAGATCAACAAAACGGTGTCAAAAGACTGAGCAACCATCTGGATTAAGGGACTCACTGGCAATATGTTATTCTTTAAAGGGTTAAGTGCATTACTAACTATTGGTGTGGTGGTGTCCCAGCTAGAGACAATAACAAATAAGGACACACAAGTATGTTCGGGGATGTACAATAGGAAAGACTGGGCTGGGAATGTGCAACCATATATATCTGTCAATTTGCTATCTTTTGACGGCAAGAAAATGGACTTGAACAACCCCCTGGACCAACCAGATGACATTGATTTATCTTTGGTAATATTCGAATACAAGGACATTGATTACTTGGGGTCTACTTATACCTACGATAATGATTTATCTTCGGCGACTGCCTCTGGTAAGAAGTACATTTGTGATGAGGCGGCGATTCAAAACAATCTATGTTCTACAAGCTCATTGGGAGAGTTTATTATCAGTCCCGAAGCCAAAAACCATTCGAGTTCCGAATTGTTGACCTTCAATTTAAAACAATTTGGAAGATACAATACCACTTATCCGTTGAAAAATACTGGGTATTACTGTATCTCAACTTACAGTACTTCACACAAAGATTACGAGGTGATAGCCAATTTTAGAAACTCTTTTGGTAATTTGAACGCCTCGGAAATCCCAAAGTTGCCACTTTATGGTGGTCTTACCATCCTCTATTTGGTCACTTTCTTTTATTACTTCTACAATTATTACAAATACAGAACCAATGTCACTAACTTGCAAAAAAACTTGAATTTCTTTACAATTTTCTTGATATTTGAAACTATTCTTGTGTGGTTTTATTACGAATTGAAAAATAATCATAATCCTTATACAACGGTGGTCGTTGCCGACACTGGGGTGAAAATTTGGAAACTCAACTCTCAAGCGTTTGTGAAATTCTATATGTTGTTCATTTCAATTTTAAATTCAATTAAATTGACCTTCTCATTTTATTTGCTTTTGTTAATTTCTTTGGGTATGGGCGTGGTTTATCCAAATTTGCCAAAGAAAACCTTAATCAAATGCAAAGTGTTTGCATGCGTACAATTTGTGGTTTCGGTTGGTTATATCGTGTCCAACTATTTGAATAACCCAGAGAATCCAAATGCCTTGATGTTGATTTCTTTAGTTCCTCTATCCCTCTCTTTGACGGTATTTTATTACTTGATTTTAACGGCTTTGACTCAAACAACCAACTATTTGAAAGCACAAAAGCAAACTATCAAATTGAACATTTACAGAAAACTATTTTTGACAATTTTCATTTCTTTGGTTGTGTTATTCTTAGGGCTAGTTGCGTCTTCATTCGTTTACATTGGGATGTCTACAACAGAATTGATTGAACAACATTGGAAATCTAGATTCTTGGTTCTTGATTTCTGGCCATCATTGGTATATTATGGAGTTTATGCGTGTATCTTGTTCATTTGGAGACCAACTTATAACTCATATTTGTTAATTGTGTCATCTCAAGTGGGTACTGATGAAGATGCCGAAATGAACACAAATAATGAATTTGAATTGAATAATCTTGGAAATGAATTTAATATTAATGATGATGATGATAACGATTCATTTGTTGGTCATTTTGTTGCTGAAGATGGGCCATCCGACAATAGAAATGATGAAGAGACTCAAATTGAAAATAAAAAGAGCCTGAAACCATCAAATGATGAAAGTGGGAATGCTTTCAAAATAGACGATGATGACGAAGATGATAGTGATGGCGAAGGTAAAGAGAACCCATTTTCAGATTCCAATAAACTTATTGAAGATAAAAAATAACACGAAATAACTAAATAATTTGATATAGATAATAACCCAATAAGAAGTGAGCTTCTATGAATATTGTATTTATATGATTGTCCTCTCAGAATAACAAAAATATTATAATTACGCGATTCTTTTCATGTGTATTGTTTGTTTTTATTGTGATTTTACTTTGGTTTTCTTTTACCGGATTGTAATTATGTATGAGTTGATTATTATGTGGGAGGGTATGTGAAAACAGGGTAAGATCCCTTGGAGTGCAGTGCTTTTGAAATCAAGCGTGGGAAATTATTAAGATGCTTCATATATAATATATGAAAGTGTCATTAGTTATTTATCAATTGTGAGACCATGACGAACGAAAGTAAAACGATGGAACAGAAAAGTGAGTATATTCTTTATATTTTGTAATTAAGGGGTGGGATATGATATGACATACAGTAAATTGATTTTTGTTTACTAACATGTTGCGTTTTCAAGGAGTCATTAAGAGCGTGGATATGGTATGTTGATTTTAGTTGCATTCGAGAGATTTTTTATTGTTTTATTAATTCTTTTGAACTGTATATATTCCAGTTTTGTTTTGTTTGTTGTTGTTGTTGTTGTTTTTTTGGAATCATCAATTGTTGAATGGATACACATGGATGATCTCTTTTATGTTGTTTTTTTCTTTTGGAAATAGTACTGACCGACGATGTTTTTTTTCTTTTTAGTCGCAAGAGCTTCAGGACTACGTGTTTGACAAGATTGCTGAACTATCAAAGGATGGTGAAAAGCCTGAAAAAGAAGTTGCTTCATTGTTGAAAAAAGACCTTGATGAGAACCAGGGGCATGTTTGGCACGTTATAGTTGGTACCGACTTTGGCAGTTACATCACTCACGAAGCTGGAAAGTTCATTTATTTCTATATTGGAGAAAGGGCATACATGGTGTTCAAGACAGGTTGAAATATGTTGCTAATAAATGATTTTGTTTTTTGTGAGATTGTATAATTATGATGTTTTTTTTTTTTGTTAAGTGATTGATTCTCTTAGAGAAAAGGAGGCTTTGTTTCTGTAAAATGTCTTGTATTGATCTAACACGTAGTGGAAGAATCTTTGTTATTGTGTTTTCATGTACTATATACATGAGCCCATGATGGTACATAATTCATTTTTAATTGTTTTATTGAAAAGTCATATAATGATTGAAGAGTATTAGATCGGTTGAGCTGCAAGATGATGAAATGTCTGGAGCTCATTCCAAAAGCCAATATTGTTATTATATTCAAATATTTTCTGATATTATTGGTGAAGGCTCTAGAGAGCAATATTTAATACGTCAATTGGCATAATTGTCTTTTGTTGGATCTAAGTAAATGAGAGTTCTTTGTTATCATCATTTCAGCTAAGTGCTGCTGAGTTTCAATAACTAACCGATCTTTTCTCGTAGTAGAAAGCAATAGTGATTGATTAAGCTGGACAGTTATTTAGAATTATTAGCCATCGCAATTTGCCAGGTATCAGAAAACCATTTTGGAGAAAGCTACAGAGGGAAATATTTTTTATGAAAACCTATGAGACCATTATGGATATTTCTTTAGAACTTTTTTTTTTTTGGTGATCAACAAATTAAAATCTATTGGAGAAAATTGCCAACTTACAATTAAGATTAATAAACTCATAAATAATTGATTGAATTATAGTGAAAAATGAATAATGAAAACAACTATACATAAATCTGTATGATAAAATAATGTTGTGTGAATTGACTGAGTAGAAGTGCCTCACAAAAGAATTGAAGAAAAAACTAATAGAAAAAGTTAGAGTAATATCCTAATGAAGAGCTGAAATATAGTAAAAATAATCAGAGAAAAGGGCTTAAACGAATTTCCAGAATTTGGACAAGTCACCGCCGGCACCGTTGTAAGCGAGGACATTTGGAGTTCCTTGAACATCAGAGATGACATCTTGAGTACCAAAGGCAACAATGGCTTTCTTGATTTGTTCCAAGGTGAGGGAAGAGGAGGCAGAAGAAAACTCTGAATCCGAAGCAGGAGCCAAAGACAAGAAGTATGTCAACAACCCGGTGATATGTGGAGTGGCCATAGAAGTACCAGAGATGGTGTTGGTGGCGGTGGTCGATCCGATCCAAGCAGATAATATATCGACCCCTGGGCCAAAGATATCAACACATTCACCATAGTTGGAGAAGTATGCTCTAGCGTCCTTGTTGTTGGAGGCAGCCACGGTGATTACATCAGGACAAGAGGCAGGAGAAGTGTTACAAGCATCTTGGTTCTCATTACCAGCAGCGACAGCGAGCATCAAACCAGCTTTAACGGCAGCAGAGGCAGCGTTGTTGACAGCGGTGGATTTCCCACCACCCAAGGACATGTTAGCAGTAGACCCTTTGTAACCAGATTTGGTGGCGACATTGTTTTTGTGTTGAGCAGCAGCCCATTGAATACCATTGATCACATCAGAATTAGTACCAGAACCATCATTACCAAGCACTTTAACAGCAACAATATCGGCCTTCTTAGCCACCCCATAAGTCTTACCAGCAACCGTACCGGCACAATGAGTACCATGGCCAACCCCGTCTTGGTCACCATCGGTAGGGAAGGTCTTACCCCAAGAGGCTCTTCCTTGGAATTCTTCATGCTTGACATTAACTCCGGTGTCGATGATGAATGCAGTGACCCCTTCTCCGGCTTCGTCATCGTATAGATAAGTTCCTGTAGTAGCACCGTTCAATGACTTCTTGCTAGAGATTCTTGAGATCCCCCAAGTAGCGTTGGTTTGCTTAGCGGATTCAAAAGTTTTCACGGTAGCATCTTGTTCAATGAATTCGACTTCGCTCAATTGTTGCAATGACTTGATGGTGTCTTCGGTGAAATACCCGGTGTAACCTTTCATGTAATTATCAATGTCAAATTCACTGACGATCCCACTGCCTTCTGAGCTTGCGGCAAAAGCTTTTTGGGAGGTGGCCAAGCTGGTAGAGTGAATGGATTGCACGGATTTCTTGTGGGCTTGGAAAGCAGTAGAAGAAATGTTACTCTTCATTACAACAATATACTTGTTTGCAACAGCGACATCAGATGGGGCCATGATAAGCCTGGCCTTTGGCACTGGAGGGGATGCAATAGTGGAGTTTGCGGTTTGATCCCTTTTGATTGGTTCAACCGATGGGATGACCATACCTTGGGCCAAGGTAACAAAGGCGAGGGTGGTTAAGGCGGTAATAGAGAGTTGCATTGTTAAAAGAAGTTAGGAAAAGAATTGAAGATTAAAATAAAAATGAAAGAGTTTCTTTGTAAGAATTGAATTGAATTGAATTGAATGATTATGTTTATTAATAAAAATGAATTTATTTTTACAAGAGACCGCCTGGATATATATATTTATGATCAATGAATTCAACGATAAAAGATTGTCTTTAAAATCCTAAAAATAACCAGTCGAACCTCATCATTTGTCTTGGTTGAATATAGCTTCAACTTGGCAACTATATTGAACTCAGTTAACACACTGAGAGCGAAGTTGATATTAGAGAATCTAATTCGCCAAGAGGAATTGTGCCATGCTAGTAATTTGGCATCGAGCCCGGTAGAAGGGCATACTATCTACAAGATTACTTTTCATCTCCCTCTCTCTTTCTACATAATAATAATAATAATAATAATAATGACCTGAAGCTTCATGTTTAAGTGACAATCAATAAGACCTTTGATTCATCATAGATCCTCAGTTAATTGTTGATGTTCTTTTGTTGTTCCGTTTTGTGCCTTGCTTACATTGGTGTTCTTTGAATCTGGCATTACCAGAAATCAGTGGTTCTGGGCACGGCATTGACAAATGACTGTAAAAGCAAAACCAATAGCACTGGGGGGCATGATCAAGATAATAATTGTAAATGAGTGGTCGCTCTGAATAATATGATACATGTACCACAATAAATATTTAACAAATTGAAACGAAGCACCCAATGGTGTCTATCAACCGGACTCCTTTTGACATTGCAGTGAAGACGTCGCTTACAACCAGATACTAGGGGTGTGATACCCTTAAAATAATTGTTCCCAAGAATGGTTTGTCAAGCAAGTCTATATGGAAGGCATGTGTTTCTTTGGAGCGTGAAACCGATTCTTTTTTTTCTTTTTTTTTTTTTTTTTTTTCCGTCTTTTCATTTATTACATTTATCCAGTAATTGCAGAGGCTAACAAGTAATCTTGCCATGATACCACTGGCCCCTTCCACTTGAAATTTGAGTGGTTTTCATCAATAAAAATTTTGAGGATTCGAGAGAATTTTCACCGATAACAGAGTTTATTTTTATAACTTGTGAGTGGGACTGAGTGGGTGAGTGTCCCACAGATTTCATTTCGCGCAAAAATAGGGTTCAGCACTGCGCCTTCACCCCCGTGGCATCCGAGAGCGGACGGGAAACACCAGAAAAAAATAAGCCGCTAAAAACAGTTTGGTTTTCCACCAAATGATCAATCGATCACCCCATTTGGACAGCAGCTAAAAATTTCGTGACGATCACCAGTGGGTAACCCCAGATACATATGTACATATACAGAAAACAGAAAATGAATCAAAACAAAACAAAGAGTTTCGCACCGATCTATCAAGTGTTACGGAAAATTAAGACAACAAGTGGAACCTAATCCACATATATACCCGTTTCATGTTTTGTTACAAATTTACGGTATCTTTTGCATCACCGAACAAGCATGATGATACATATTTAAGGGACAGGGTACTTGTTTCTCGTCGTAAAAAAATTTTTCAAGTTTCATTTCACTAATCAAATGGCCTGGGTATAATACATTATTAAAGGATGATCGTCCTAACCCTTTTTTATTATTTAAGGTACATTGAATAATGTTTAGATGACTATATTAATATGTATATTAGAAAAAACTATTGAAAATTTTTAAATATTAAGAACTATCTTATTGCAAAGTAGATATTCTCTAAGACTATTCACTAGCAATAATTGACAAGAAGAAACTTTTTTTTGTAAAAAGATTCCTAGGAAATTAAATAGAGCTTTGAATAAAAGCTTCTTTTATAAAATAAAACGAAAAAACCAAAAAAATTGTAAGAAAAAAATAGCAGCAAAAATGGAAAAGAAAGATGGTAACAACAATCAATCAAAATAATAATTAGTTTCGTGGCGTTGAGAGTTTCGAAGAACATTGATCATGAACTTCTGATGAGTTTTTTTTTTTTTTATCTATCTGAAATGGAGGTCTATATATCATATCCTTCAAAATGAATTGAAAAATACAGCTTTAGTGAAGCAAATAGAGAAAAAACAGACACACTGTAACATAAGAACTGAATTCTTCTCTGTTTGAGATGGCTTTAGCAAATTGCTTAGAAGAAAGACAAAGCGAAAGCAGCAAAGATACCACCGAAGGAAGTGGCAACAATGTCACCAGCAGCCTTAGAGGTAGAAGTGCTAGAAGAGGAGCTGCTGTCACTGCTGCTAGAAGAACCACTGCTAGTAGACTTAGAAGCCTTGGCAGAGACAGAGGTGTGTGGCGAGGTACACTTGTAACCCTTACCTTGGATAGCACCCTTCTTTGACAACTTGTTGAAAGCAGAACAGTCCAAGTCACCGGTAGATTCAATAGTAGCACCACCCTTGACAGAAGACAAAGAAGATAAAGTGGCGTTAGTGAAGTCACCAGTGAAGGTAATGGCACCACCAACAGTCTTAAGGGAATCGAAACCGTTAATACTTTGCAAGTCGTTATTGTTAGAAATGATGAAAGCACCGCCAATAGAAGTCAAACTGGACATGTCAATTTCGGCCAAGTCAGAGTTACCAGTGATGGACAAAGTACCACCGACAGTTTCCAAGTTGTCCAAAACAATAGATTCCACAGAGGTGTTGAAGAAACCGAGGGAGGCGTTGACAGCGGTCAAGTTGTCCATAGAGATAGAAGAAACATCTCTGAAGGTGATGTTGTTAGCCCAGATCAAGTCTTCGAAGGCAACATCAATGTCTTCCGAGTTGTAGGTGACACCAAGAGCGGTGGAAACGGTCTTCAAAGTTGAAATTTCGAAGGATTCCAAGTCGTTGTTGTTGTTGATGTCGATGGTGTCGGCGGTGGTGAAAACCATACCGGTGATGTTGGTCAAAGAAGTGTCAGAAATCAAGATGCTGCCAACTTCTTCCAAACCGTTGGTGAAGGACAAGACACCGACGGCTGGCAAAGCTTGGAATTGCAATGAGCCAACCTTGTACAATCTTGGGAGTTCCAAGTCTTCCAAGATAGTCAAGTTAGTCAAAGTTAAGGTGTCAGAGACAGCGATCAAGGAGTCAGCAACAAAGCTGGTCAATTGAGTGGCGCTGTTGACGGTCAAAGAACCGACAATTTGTTCAACGTTGGCCAAGTTGACGGAGGTGATGGCGTCACCTTCGATGTAAATGTCACCATCGAAAGTAGAACAACCGACAATCTTTTGGATATCGGCAGCAGCGGTGGCGGTGTAACCCTTGGAGTAGGTACAGGTGGCGGTACCGGAGGCGGATGGGGTGGCGTAGGAGGAAGAGGTGGCACTGGTGACAGTGGAGTTAGAGGCCAAAGCGGTGGCGGCAAGAATAGAGGACACGAGGGCAGTTCTGAATTGCATTGTGTATGTTATTGTATGCGATGATTTCTAGCGAGTGGACAGTAAACAAGACAGATATCTAATCAATAAATATAGTATCGTGTAACAAGACAAGCGAATGGTCACTGGAAGAAAATACTGAAACAAGGGAAATTGGGAAAAGTTAGGAAGAGGAACAGAACGAAAACACGGCAAATTGAAGGCTATTTAAACCATCCATGGAAAATTTTCTGCTGCCGAAATAAAAATACATCGATACGCCCCCTCCCCTCCCGATCAGGGTGACCTACGCATGGATGCAGAGAGATGCGCGGGGGCACATGGGTCGCTGGGGGTGGGAATGTTTGGGAGCTGCCTAATCGGGACAGAATCTCCCCCAGGGTAACGGTGCACACTGGGACATTGACAGACATCCATGGAACATGGAACACCCACGCCGCGATTTGACACTGGCAGCGGTTACCACCCATCTACCGGGAGTGACAGATAGGGGCACAACAATAGTGGGATGGTGGAGGGGAGGCAGCTTAGCTTTAGCTTTAGCTTACCTGTTATTTATCGGGGCCTCCCTCTTCCATGGATGTGGTTGCTTACTTGCGTTCCATGCGGTTGGTTGTGTCACACATACTACCAATTTGTCAACCAGAGCGAATAATTCTTTCACCAAGTGGTGTTTGTTTCTGTTGTATGTATATAGAAATCCTTTCAATATATTGCAATTTAACATAAAATACATTTATTTTGTAAGCACTGCAAAAACAAGTATATCTTTCAATAATTATTGACAACCCTTAATTTATTTGTACATTTACATTTGTGTCTATTTATATATCTCTGTTTTGATATACGTTGTCATCTGTTACAACATGTATCAACCAACACATAGGTCAACACAAACTGATAACTTATAAACACAATCGGCCAACATCTACAGCACTTAACGATTAAGTAGCCATCTTATTTATATATATATCCCAACATATAAACTTCTTTTTATTGAAAAAAAAAAAAAAAAAAGAAAAAGTGAAATAAAATAACATCGTAAATAATAACCATAATTGTATATATCAAATAGCATACATAACACAACTAAGAAAAAAACAAAACGAATAATGGTAATAATAATAATGATAACAGTAATAATAATAAACTATTTATTGGTGCTTTTGTCTTCTCTTTTTCCTCTCTTTACTGGCAATCTCCTTCAAATCGTCCTCACTAGGTTCATAAATATGCCATACAACATAATGAGGCAATCCACCTACTTTGAACCCCATCTTACGTGCCATCTTTCCAAACGCTTCGGTTTCTGCATGATTCTCAAACGTAAATGCCGGGAAAGTAACCCCTTGACGAAATACTCTAGCTTTGGCAAGAATCGAAACCCCTCCAACACCGTCCATTTCAATGATGGCATTCTTATCTCCGTCATTTTCTTTCAAATACGCCAAATGAACTCGGTAGGTCGGATATTCAGCGTACCCTTCGACAATAACATCATCTTCATCAAGAGTCGCCGCCAATTCCAATGCTGGCGGCGATTCGATCCAAGTATTCAAATCATACGGCTGTTCGCTACCCAAAAACTCTGGCAAAGGTCTCCAAACATTGGGCACAATCACGTCAAAATCAAATTTCATCAAGTCTTGAATTACTGATGATGGAGCTTCTTCTATGTCGGCATCTCTCCAAAAAACCCATGAATGATAAGGTTTGAGGGTGGTGCTGATTAGCCAGTTTCTGGCCCTCCCCATCAACTTTCTTCTAATCCCTTGAACTTTAACCGCATGACGATCACTGAACCCTTGACCAATGACTTGTCCAAAATTCTTCTCAAAGATTTGAACCGATCTGAATGGCTTGTCAAACTCTTTATGGTATGGTGGTTTGAATTGCTTACTGATCTTGTCCAAATATTCTTTTGGCATGTACTTTAAGTATAAATCAGATGATCCTTGGAGTTGTTGTGATCGTAATTCTTGTTCATGCGCCACCAAATCGTTCATCAAACTTCCATTTTGCAATAAAATCGAATATTCAAATAGCATATTCAAAGTCCGATCACCAGGAGAACAATCACTGACGAGAAACCCAATATCAATTTGCGAGTGAGGGTAATCCAAATTCATCAAATGCTTGAACATTAATGGCAACACATGCTCGGCATTTCTCAAAGGGATCAACAATAATACCACATCTCCTTGGTTTGACCCTTCGGCATGCCCTTGGAATTCGTTCAAGTCATAATATGCCACAGTTTTATGGAGTTCATCTTCAACTTCTTTCATACTGGATCTATGTTCTTCTTTGACTCCGTCAGCAGTGACGGTATAATGACGATAATCATCAGTATTGGCCATTTCTTCGGCCTTGAGGGCCAGGAAACCTCCTTTAGAATCAGGAAATTTTAGTTCATCTTGATCTTGTTGCCAATTGGTGATATCATGCGATAATCCCGAGAAAAACCCAGCTGTACGATGGTACAATGACCAAGCCTCAATATCAATGGCCTGTGGGTTTCTGTTACACCAACTGACGAGAAGGTATATGACAAGTATCATCCCTGTAAGATAGGATGAGACTTTGACAAGCTTCTGACGCCTTGAATGTCGAAGAGGTTTGAATTTGTCACTTTCTGATCTGTATATGATGTTAGTAAACAGTGATAGAAATCAATTATCAGCAAGTGGAAAACAAAAAGAAAGTTTGTAGTAATTCAACATACATTGGAAGATCCGATTTTTTGTTGGACCTAGTCTCGTCATTTTTCCCAAAAAGTCTCATCATTTTTTGTTTTATCATTATTTTTTATTATGAGGAATTTGGCAAGGGGGAAAGACTGATGAGATATGATAGAGAATTAACAAAGATGAAATGCAATCACACAGGTACCTAGATAAAATATCAAGACCAGGAAACAGCGATAAGCGATGGAACAACAGAGACAGAGGCTAATCACGATTATCCCAGCAATAATAATAAGGAGAGAAGATATACTACTATTAGTATTTGTTGTAATAGTTTTAAAAGAATGGCTAATAACTATTGGATAAGGTCTGGATGGTCTGGCAGCAATGTTTTGGTGGAACAGTTGATGACAGGTTGATATTCTGATTCTCTCCGAATTTTCACAAAATCCAATTTTTTTTTTTTTGTTGTTGGCGTTACAAAATTGGAGGCGCAAACATTTTTAAGCCTCGAATTTTCCATTTGGATCATTTTTTTTTTTCACTTTTTTCCAGCCCATTTGTTCTAAATGATATCTGATAATAGTAAATAAATGGTTATAACTGGGTGCTGGGAAGGTCGGTGTAGGAGCACTTTCCATTAATTTTGTTTTATTTTGGCTTACTTTATTTGGGGTATTTTCACCCGCCTACGGTAGCTGCCAAACATAGATAATATATAAATCCAGCTTTATTTATAATATGTTAACAAAGCATTGTCGAAGCAGAAAACTAAAAAATAACAAAAATGTATCAAGCAACAGAGACAGAGCCATTCAAGCGTCTTCCTTGAAGATGAACTCTTTTAATTCCTTGTAGGCCTTGTCCAAGTCATCGTTGACAATAATGATGTCGTGGATTCCCTTTTTCGACTCTTCAAGTTCCTTACTGGCGGTGTCGATTCTCTTTTGCAAGCTTTCTGGGGTTTCGGTACCTCTCTTTTCCAATCTTTGTCTAAGCTCTTCGATCGATGGTGGGCTCAAGAAGATGTAACGGGCATCCAAGTCAGTCTTCTTGACGGATAACACCCCTTGCAAATCAATGTCCAAGATAGGAATACGCTTGCTTTCCCCTGTGGTCAACTTCTTGACACTGGCAACAGAGGTACCGTAATAGTTACCACTGAATTGGGCCCATTCGACAAAGTCGTTGTTTTCAATCATCTTTTGGAAAACTGGCACTTCGGTGAAGTTATAGTGGACACCGTCGACTTCACCTTCACGAGGCTTTCTGGTGGTATTGGACACAGAGAAACCGAATTGGTTAGGGAAATCAGCAAAGAGTTTCTTCAAAAGAGTGGATTTACCAGCACCAGAAGGACCAGAAATGACAATAGGGCGATCTACCAATTATGTTAGTACTATGAAAACCAACGCAGTAAACAGAAAACTAGACATGATGTGCCCATGGACATGTATAATGTATACTTACAGCTGACCATGATAGTAACGAGCGACGAGAGTGACAATTTAAATATATTTACCAGCAGTGATAAGTAGAAATGACCCCAGAAAAGATTTCAACAAAAAGAAAGAAAGGGAAAAAAAAAAAATTGGTATAACCATTTTGTCTCACGTGGCAGGAAAGGCAGAAAAATAAAAAAAAAAAACAGTAGCTTATACAACTAACTGCAGTAGCCATAGAATATAAAGCACATGTATACCATATATACATTGGGGGAATATCTTGGGAATTGTTGCTCCATATTTCTATCTCGTTGATGAATCACTTTCCTCTTACTGCTTTATAACACTCATCAGTTTTCCCCTTGATCAATTAATATGTCTCTACTAACATTAGCAAAAGACGTCACGTATCTTCTTGTTAAAAGAGCTATTGATCCCGATGACCTAGACGCCTCTATTCCTGATGACTCTGGTGATGATGAGAATTCCAATCCCATGGCAGAAGAAATCTTCTCATCCTGGGCAATTTTCATCTTATTGTTCCTTTTGGGCTCGGCGCTTTGGACATCATACTATTTACAACAACGAAGAATCAGCAGCGTCCACGAAACCGTGTTGTCGATCTTTTATGGAATGATTGTTGGGTTGATTATCAGAGTATCCCCAGGTCATTACATCCAAGATACAGTGACCTTTAATTCATCATATTTCTTCAATGTGCTATTGCCTCCTATCATTCTTAATTCCGGGTTTGAGCTAAACCAGGCAAATTTCTTCAAGAATATTGGCTCAATTCTCGTATTTGCTATTCCCGGCACCTTTATATCTGCCATGGTGCTCGGGATAATCTTGTTTATCTGGACTTCTCTAGGGTTGGAGGCCATCAATATCTCATTCGTTGACGCTCTTTCGGTTGGGGCAACCTTATCCGCCACCGACCCAGTGACAATTCTTTCAATTTTCAACGCCTACAAAGTCGATCCAAAGTTATACACCATCATTCTTGGAGAATCTTTGCTTAATGATGCGATCTCCATCGTCATGTTTGAAACCTGTCAGAAATTCCACGGTAAATCTGCACAACTCTCATCTTTATTCCAAGGGATTGGGTTGTTCTTGATGACATTCACTGTGTCATTAGTGATTGGTCTTGCGGTAGGGATCATGGTAGCTTTAATTTTGAAGCATTCCCATATTAGACGCTACCCACAAACTGAAACCTGCTTGATTTTGTTATTTGCTTATGAGTCTTACTTCTTCTCCAACGGTTGCCATATGTCGGGAATTGTCAGTTTATTATTCTTTGGCATTACTCTCAAGCATTACGCCTACTATAACATGTCGCGTCGTACGCAAATTGCCACAAAATACATTTTCCAATTCTTGGCGCAATTATCAGAAAATTTCATCTTTATTTACCTTGGGTTATCGCTTTTCACCGAAGTTGAATTGGTGTATAAACCTTTACTCATCATTGTAACGGTTATTTCTATCTGTGTTGCCCGTTGGTGCGCGGTTTTCCCACTTTCCAGATTTGTTAACTTTATGTACCGTTCATCCAATGGACCAGGCCAAGAAGAAATTCCATATCAATACCAAATGATGACATTTTGGGCTGGGTTACGTGGTGCTGTTGGGGTTGCTTTAGCAATGGGGATTCAAGGGGAGCACAAATCTACTTTGCTCGCTACTGTGCTTGTGGTGGTGGTGCTTACAGTGATCATCTTTGGAGGAACCACTGCTGGAATGTTGGAGATTTTGGGAATTAAAACCGGATGTGTCGAAGAAAATGACTCTGATGATGAATTTGATATCGAAGCCCCAAGGGTTGGTAGTATATTACCTACAGCCACCAACATCAATCCTGCTTCTCTGTACCGCAAGCCTTTGAAAAGCGGATACTCTCATAAAAATAGTAATGAGTATAACCCTAAACTCACGCGCAGCCCGTATCTCGATGACGATAAAGGAAAATCTAGACATCTGTCAGTGTCCACAAATATCAACAGAGGTAATAACTTTCATCTTGATGATTTGTCAAAATCGAAACCTTCAAGCTCTTCGAACTTGCTCGATGACGAGGAAATCACTAGTGAATTGGGAGATATCCCACCATTAGCCAGCACCAGTACCAGTAACATCAATCTCAATAACGGTGAAAGCACCACACTGCTAAATAGCTCAATAGGGCAGTTAGCTGATGCCAACGCTAATACAGGAATGACCAATCTCAATCTCTCACATTTGCTATCCCCATCAAATGATTCTTCTACATGGTTCCATGAGTTTGATGAGCAGGTGTTGAAACCAGTATTGTTGGATAATATTGGCGCTAGCAGTAGTAAAAACGGCAATGCTGGTGAAGGAAACAGAAAAAGAGGAGACAATTAGATTGTCAAGGCTGAGATTACAAGAGTAAAATAAAATAAAAATTGACATTGGACTTTCTTTATTTTTTAATTGCTATTTCCCAAATACTATTCTCGATACCATGTTCATCTATTTATTGTTATTTTTTTTTTTTTTGTTGATATATGATTGAATTTTCATTATTGTTCTTATTTAATGATTGTTTTTCTTCCAATAATTGGTTTCATTTTTTTTTTTTTTTTTGTTTTCTTCAATTTCTTGTTTCAAATGGGTTTTCTTACTTATATATTATAATAAATTTTATTTTCATTTGATGAAGTCTCTTAGATCAATTAGTAAACTGAAATGAATATAAGGATAATTGTGAGTTAGGTCACATGCTCTTTTTTTTTTTTTTTTATCCGCACCCCGTTGTTGTGTTTCTTTTTAAGTCATCCTCGAAATTACCCATTTGTTGCACCCCATCTGATGCTCTTGTTATTATATTTCTTTGACCGGATGACACTAGAATATCAGCGATCTTGAACATCGTGGTTGTATCCTATCGCTTTAATTATAGAGGGTCACAATATCTCGAGGGTGTGTTTATGTTGCATTGCCGTTTTTCTTACATCATAAAGCGAGAGATCATTACAAATCACAACAGAAAAGTATTTTCATAATAAAATAGCTATCAAAACCGAAATTCATTAATAATGTCGCCAGCGTCATCAGCTTCACCGATTTCTGCTGCTACTGCTTCTGTTATGAAAGTCAAGATCCTGACCTCCAAGCAATGGGTGTTGCCTCCTCGGCCGAAACCTGGCAGAAAACCATCATTGGATACCCCAACCACCAAGAGAAAGGCCCAGAATAGGGCAGCTCAGAGGGCTTTTAGAGAAAGAAAGGCTAACAAGATTCAGGAATTAGAACTTAGTCTAGGGGAGTTGAAATTGGAGCGTAATAATCTAGAAATCGGCTTGACAAATCTAAATAATGATCATAACATCTTGAACAGTAAATTCCAGACACTTTTGGTGGAAAACAAAAATTTGCTGGACAAAGCGAATCGGATGTCCAAAAAGCTAAAATCCAAGCAATGTCCAACTTGCGACACTAATGCCAAGTCTCCAAATATCGATCAATCAGACATCATTAGTAATTTAAGTTCCAAAATCACGTATTTGGAAAGAATTCTCGATGACAAAAATAATGAAATCAAACGTTTACAAAACTCCAGAGGGTATGGTATGCACTCTCCAAATTTCATGAATTCTAATGCGTCGTTTGTATTTAATAACCAAAATCATCATCAGCATCAGCATGGAAATAACTCTAACGCCAGTTCCACAAGTTCTTTACCTACTCCTTCCAGTCACCATGCTAGTCCATTTTCCGTGAATGATCCCTCTACTTCCACCACTGGGCTCACTGATGATAATGAAAATGATGACGATTGTGGCGCTTGCGAAAAAGACGATTGTATATGTGAAAGTATTGGAATAAAGAAGGCCGCAAATAATGCCAGTAGCATAATTCGTGAACAAATCAAATTGGATCAGAAAGAGGTTGACCAAGCAATTCAAAACTTTGTGCCGGTGAATGCCGTACCATTGAAGAGAAAACTTCCAAGCGATGGTAATGAAATTGACTTCACAAGCCAGTATAGTAAAAATTCCAGCAGGAAACAGCAAAAATTTGCTAGATTCATTCAAAAGGCTAAAGATTCTAAAACCAACAATATCAATAAAGATAAGAACATGAACTATGCGTTATCATCTTCAAATACTACTTCAAAATCTTCATCTTCATCTTCTACCTCTTCCTCTTCCTCGTCGGATATTTTTAGCAATGCCGCACTTTTTAAATCAATTGTCTCTAAAGATATGGATTCCATTGAACCTTGTGGGTTTTGCTCGGACGATACCCCTTGTGTTTGTAGGGAAGCCCTGAAAGAGGTTATAAGATCCATGGATGCCAATTCTTTCCAGCCTCAAATGTCAATAGACGGCCATGATCATGATAATAGTAATTACTCCGGGCATAGTGAGCTGATTCCAAAGATAACTCTTCTAGCAAATCCAACTTCCAATGTTGGTGGCTTTTCCGATACTTTGCAACTCCCAAAAGTCAAGGAATCTTTGATGGACAGCGTCAACAAAGAGTTTAACATTTCTAAAAGTAAGGATGCCGAGAATGATTCTGGGAGTGGTAATGTGGCAGTAAAATCGGGATGTACAGGAAATCCAGGCACTTGTCTTCAGTGTCAGTCGGACCCATTGTCCACGTTGTTTTGTACTACCATCGCCTCAAAAGTATCTGATGAAAGATCTCGTCCAATCTCCAAACCTCAAGCCAAAACACCTCCAATTATCCAAGCCCCACCTCCAAAGATCCGTAGATCTAATAGCAGCTCTTTGATCAATTTGCCAGTAATTACAGACGCACCTGTGTCTTCTACTATTGTTAATACTAATTCATCATTCAGCACAGCATCATCAGTTAATGCTAATGGGAAACAGTTATTCATTCCTTGTTCTGACGCATACAAGACGTTGAGTAGACACGAGTCATTCAAGAAGATGGACTTCAATACAATTGTTGGGAAGTTGACAACTAGAGGAATGCAAGTTGAAGTACGGTCGGTGGTTAATGTTTTGAGGGAGTTGGATAGAAGATTGTACCAATAGTCCCTTTTCATCATCTTTTTTCTTTTCTTTTCTTTTTTTTTTCGCTTGGTCGATTTATTTCTAGATCTTTTGTTGGGCTGTTTAATTTAGGACTTTCAACCTTGATGCTGCATTTTGATTAATTGGGTTACTGTTGATGGTTATTTGGATTTTTTTTGGGTGATTTCATCCAGTTGAAAGGTCTCAAGTTGCAATTTCGATCTTAACTACTAGTATCCACTTAACTATTATGCATTCTATTCCATTCTAATCTTTTTTTTTTTTTCTTGAAGGTTGATTTATACATAAATATTCACGAGTTTACGTTATTCTTTTTTTTTTTTTCATCAACTTTTTTTTTCATTATAATGGGAATCTATTTTTAAGTCATGACTAAATATCGTAATTAGAACAAAAACAAACAGAAACCATCATTATCAAGAACCAAATATGATCATTTCAATCAGCATCATAATCAGCAACAAGAGATGATAGATTATTAGGATGGAACCTTGTCAAATCATTTGATAAATCCATTGAAGATTTCGCAAAATTTGATTTTAATTCATCAAAATCTTTGGAGAGCTCACTAAATTTCTGAATTTTAGTAGGGGAATGGTCGTCTGTTTCGTTGAATGTTCCATTATTTTCTTTATTGTATTGATCCAATCTTTTGTGCGGTGATAATCTCGTCGGGGATAATTGCTGTCCAATTCTCACTCTTCTCGGCGATATTGAGCCAAGGTTATTTGTCATATCATGCGATTCAGCTATATCATCCCCAGTCGGGTGCATATCGTCCAAAATCGGCCCAATGATAGAATCTAAGTTTAAATTCAATCTTTTGTTTTCGTTCTGCAATTTATTGATCTCATTGACAAGTATGTGGTTTTTACTATCTTCCTCGGTCAATTTATCTTGATAAAGTTTGAAATATTTCTTGTAATTATTGCTGATTTTTTGTTCGGTGGCCCTGATCAATTCTTTCTCCTTTTCATTCCTTGTCGATCCAATTATACTACCTCTAAGCGATTTCCTCGACAATGCGCTCTCGAGCTCATTGATCTTATTTTGCATCACTTCTAGTTGTGATGTCATGTCATCATTCATGGTATCCTCTTTGTTTATTTTTGCCTCAGTTTTGATTTTTTTTGCATTGTTGGCGTACCGAAGAGTAGACAAGGTTTCTTCATAATCACAAGGAGAAATGCAAGCGATCATTGCAGTTTTGGAATTACCACCAAGAGAGTCTTTCAAAATCCATGTCAACGTCGAGTCTCGGTATGGAACCACGATTTTCTCAAATTTCTCCTGGGACTGTGTATTCAATTTTGCCAACGAGTTAATAACTCTACCTAGACAGGTTAAAGACTTGTTGATGTTTGAGCCTTCTTTCAATCTTTCAAGTTGACCGGTAGTAGAACTGGATCTTTCCGACCCTGCCAAATCAGTGAGTCTCAAAGTTGAATGTTTCACGTTCAAAATTTTATTTGTCAATATATCTGAGTATTCGATTTGTTTCACCGATATTGAGAAAATTGCGTGGGATCTAGAAGATGACAAGTTCATTCTCGTGGCAGCCGTCATTCTATTGGAATTTCCAATCCTAAAATATTTGCAAACTTCCTGGAAATTCTTCACTGTGAATTCTGACAAGTTCTCCACATATGGTCCGGTTTCTGGAGATTCTCTAACCTTCAACTTTTGCAATATATCTTTAGAATTCATTGATGATTTTGTAAGGTATCTCAGTTTCCCACTCACTGATTCGGTAGAATTCAACAAGTCATACACAAATTCATTATAGATTTCGAAATACGAAACTTTAACTATGACATTTATTTGCCGTTCATTCAACAAGTTTTCCGAATACCTAAACAAATCTTTACAAATTCTTGGGATCAATCCAGGTTCTTCATCTGTGCCCATCATTGTATATGACTTGCCTGCTCCTGTTTGGCCATATGCAAAAATACAAGTATTGTATCCATTCAATGTGTGTTTTAGATATTCTTTACCAATCTTCTCATAAGCGGTCTGTTGATCTATAAACCCTTTGTTATTGGGATCAAATGATGATAATGAATTATCAAACTTGTAAACCTTAGGTTGCACGACGTTGCCTGATCTGCCAGCTTTCGACAGCACTTTTCCACTCTGGATAAACGAAGAAACATGATTGAGCTGAGTAATATTTGTTTCTGGGTCCATCAGAATCAAGTTCGGAAGGTTTAGCTTTACCTCATTTGCCGCAGCGGGACGAACTCGGACACTAACCTTGATATTACCATCATCTTTGAATCTCATCACCACCCTCCTCACTTTCCTAGGGGAAATAGGTCTTGAGACTACCGTTTGGGGGTTCTTTGATACCATCTCTCGTTTCATTGCCATCTTTCTGATACCAAGTCTATGGTTGGTATAGGCAGTTGGTTAATGAGGGAATCAAAACTGTCAACAAAAGATGTAAACACAGAGCATCGCACCCACCATCGCCTCATAACCCTGATGAAAATTTAGTATGGGCCATGCAAGTGTACGCAACTCCATATCAGAGATTTGTGTGGGAAAATCCAAATTCTTCCAGTGCTCACACACAAATCCCAAAAATTAAGCTTAAGCGCATTATGTGTATAGTATTGTATATTGGGCTTACCAGGGTGTTTCTTCTCTGTATTACTGGATCTATTTCTAACTATAAGGCTTTTTTTTATCAATTGTTCGTTATTTTCCTGTCGGTTTGTATAGGGTTCAATAAATACGATATCGTAAAGATATAGCTTATGTTCACGTGAAGTCATGTGAGATATGCACCACACGTCAACCGGCAGCCATGAATCCGCTACGGCCGTATCTTGTTTTTTTGCTGTTTTTTTCAAAGAAAATTTGAAGAAAAAATTTGAAGAAGAAAAAACAAACAATTGCGTTCAGGTTACTCTTGTTAAGCTATTTGCAAATTATACACAAGTTTATTTAATAGAGAATAATGTCAGCCGAACCAAACACTCGTTTGTTTCTCAAACACTTGAATTTTGACACTACTAGAGAAGATCTCGAACAGACCTTTGGTCCAATTGGTCCTTTGGCCGATGTGAGAGTAATGGGTGGCGTTGGCTTTGTCGAATATCAAAGTGTTGATGATGCCACTAAGGCTCTTGAACAGTTGAATGGTGTTACCATCAAGGACTTTGAAGTTTTCGTCGAATACCACAACCCTGCTGATGGGCGTCTTCCAAGAGGTACTTACAGATTCAAGATTAAGAACATGCCAGAAGGTAGTCAATGGCAAGAATTGAAGGATTTGGCCAGAGAAAATGAGATCAACGCCATGTATACTAATGTCGAACCGGAGATTGGTGGTATTGTCGAAGTTGGTTCTAAAGCCGAATTAGAAGAAGCCATCCAAAAGCTTAACGGCCATGACTACAATGGAACCGCTCTTGAAGTTGAAGAAGAGACTGCTCCATTTGTTCCAAGAAGAGGCGGTTTCAGAGGTGGCTTCAGAGGTGGTAGAGGTGATTTCGGTGGCAGAGGTGGTTACGGTGGTAGAGGTGGCTATGGTGGTGGTTACGGTGGTAGAGGCGGTTACGGTGGCGGTTATGGTGGCAGAGGTGATTATGGTGGCAGAGGCGGCTACAGAGGTGGTAGAGGTGGCTATGGTGGAAGAGGTGATTATGGTGGCAGAGGTGGTTACAGAGGTGGTAGAGGTGATTACGGTGGTAGAGGTGGTTACAGAGGAGACTTTGGCGGTAGAGGTGGCAGAGGCGGTTACAGAGGCGGCAGAGGTGATTACGGTGGTAGAGGTGGTTACGATAACAGCTACAGATCTTCCAGAGATGACCGTGACTTTGGTGGCGAACGTGGTCATTCACCAAGACATGAGGGTTCCGCTCCTGAAGAACCAAGAGCCCCAGAGCAAAACTGGTGATTTATTCTTCGACAATGGCTTGCGCATTATGGGAATAACTGAATTATTTCAGGAATATTGTTATGTTTTGTTTTATTGTTGGCTTTCTTTGTGGCCACAGATGTGAAAGTGTGAATGTTATTTTTGTGTTATTAGGTATTTTTTTGTGTATTTTGGTTTTTCTTTCTTTTATTTGAAGTGTTAAAAAGAAAAGAATCGAGAAAGAAGATAAATGTATAAGATAATAGCGTATTTTTGAATATTGAGTATCTGAGTATTGAAACTTATAAGTAAATGGAAGGAAAGAGAGAATCGACGAGTATAGGTGTATTATCTTCTATCTTTGAAGAAGAAGTAATAGCATTTCCGGTTTCTTGGAGAAAGTAGATATATTTAATGGGTATGGTTTTAACGGGTAAGGTTTTGATGGAGATGGTTTATTTACAGACTGTATTGTTAAAATGAGATTGTAATAATGTTTGGAGGTGTTGAAGAATGCAGGCATTTTTCACCGGTCAAGTTCTAGAGATAGGATGGTGTTTTTCCTTTCGCCTTCAAAGGGATAAACATAATGTATTCTACGTATATATTATGTGTATATGTATTAATAAACATAGATTCATTAAAAAGCTTTTGTTGAGTATAATATAGATGTAAACATTGTTTCCTAAACCTTGTTTGATTCTTCTTCCAATTTGCACCATAATTTCTCCATAAAGGCTTCAGTATCATCATCAAGGAAATTGGAAACTTCTTCGCTGATTGATTCCTTGGATTCTTTCTCAATAATAGCATTGGTTAAAAATCCTGTTAATTCTTCCTCTGTCATACCAAGATACTCCACTAATAAATCATTCATAAAAGGCACCATACCCTTGACAATATCAGGCAATTTATCGCCCGCTTTTAGATAAACGGGATCACTGGCGGAATTTTCCTCAGTCATATCTTCATCCTCTGGCTCCTCCAATTTGCTTATACCCTCATTATGCATAGTAGTATTTTCTGCCAGTTTTTCTTCTTTAGATACTTTGATATTCAATTTGAATAGCGCTGCCTGTTTGGCATTTTCCTGAACATTTGAGCCAAGAACAGAATTGAGGAAATCACCAGCCTCTTGTTGTGATTTTTCCCGTTTTTCTTCTTCTTTTCGTTCAGCTTTATCTTGTTTTTCTTCCGCCATTCTGGAAATGTTTCTTTTATGAATATATGTTGAATGGTTGAGGTTATATGATTCGATTGTTTTAATCAACTCTGAATTTTGCACCTTCGATACATCAAGATTAGGCTGTTCACTATCCTCATCACCAAAAATGACATCGTAATCATCCAAGTACTTTTTCTGTAAATTCTGTTCCAAATCAGCGGCGTAATTCTGTAGATCATTCAAAGTGGCAACCAATTTGGCTTTAGTTTGTTGCTCAAGATACTTCAAATGAGCTTCTTGTCTCAAGAATTCTTTTTCAATCTTCTCTTGTTGCTCATCTTCTTTCATGTTTTCATATTCGGTGTCACTAATCATTTCCTCGTGTTCATTGTCATTTTCATCATCATCTTCATCATCATCAATGTCCATGAGGTCACCACGGCCATCTTTCTTTCGTGACTCCCTGATAGACATATACATCTTCTTAATTTGGGCTTTGGATCTTTTCTTTTCCTCTAAAAGCTTTTTAGCCTGTTTTTTCTTTTCAATTCTGATTATTCCCAATCTAAAGTTCTTAATATCTTCCACAATTTGCGGGACCATTGTTTTTGGCAAGTCCGCAAGCTCTTTCAAATTCACTTTATATTTTTCATCTGAATCACTGTCTTCACCATCATCTTTTACTTCCTGACGACTATGTTTGATAAGATCATTAGTATAATTGTGCAACTCTTGCTGGAATTGAACAGTTCCTTCGAATTCACTTGCGGATATAGCTTTGGATATTGATGATTCAATACTTTCCTCAGCCTCTTTTTGTTGCTCACTAATTTTTTGATCATCATCTTCGTTACTGCTGTTATCTTCTTTGTTGTTTCCAGTGTCATCCTCTTGATCATCTTCATGGTCATCTTCTTTCTTATCTTCGTTATCCTTTGCAACGGGACTTTTATCTCCCTCGTTAGTTATCATCTTAATTAACTTGTCGGTGTTTCTTTCACAGGAAACTTGAAGTGAAGTTGTAAATGACCTATTTCTATTGTATTCATCCCTGACATGGTTTTCCAACTTAAGGCCTTGCATAATCGAGATGAACTTAAGGAAGACATGTAATAGGAATGATTTCTTGATATCACGATCTTGATTGAGGTTAACAAAACCCTCGTTTATGATTGACTTTTCAGATGATGACTTTTTAGGCGAAAACTCGAATTTCACGTAAATGATCTTATTTTCCAAGTTTTCAAAGTTGGAAACTGTCCATTTATAAGAAATATTATATTGTGTGTCCTTATATTTCTGTATGAATTCATCAATTAAAAACTCTTGGATGATTTTTTTCAATAATTTTTCAATAATGACGTTTGAATAATTTGGGAATTTAGAAATTGAAACTGTCAAAATTTGTTCATTCAAATTACTACGGATCAGGTTGGCAAACTGCTGCAATTCAATGAGATTTTTCTCTTTAGACTCAACTTTTCTTTTTATACCACTATCATCAGTGTTATCATCACTATCAATCTCCATTTTGTTGTCATCATCGTGATCATCATCTTTCGATTTGGGGTTTGCATTGTTTATTGTCTTCTGTCTTTTGAATCGATTTCTTTCTGATTTTAACTTCAGAATAAAATCATTTGCCTTAGCGTCAAGTATCACGGGAATAGTACCAGGGATGAAGTTGAATACCTTTTCATTCATGATTTCTTTTATTGAATCTTCTTTCAAAGTTGAAAAATCAGCAATTTGTCTTATAGAAGGGATTATCGACTCAATATCATGGCGATTCACAAAGTATTCGGGGGTTATATTAACGAGCTTATGAGCCTCTCCATTATTAGAATCAGGCTTCGAATATGACATGGCTGTGATTATGATGATAGACTTCTTTGGATATGCCTCTTATTCATCATTTTTGCTTTTGATTTTTTTTTTTTCTATTTGGGAATTCAAGACGATCCAAAACAACGGTTCGTTTCACTCTCACTTACGAACTCTAACACTATAAATAACCAGAATAATACAATAGGGGGGAATCTAGCTCAAAAAGAAATCTTTGAAAAAATTATTAACCAGATAGAAGGAAAAAAATACATTAAAAAAGAAAAAAAATTGTAGAATAATAAAAATCTAAATCACATAGCAACTGTAATACTGAATCACCAATACTTGATCACCAATCCTAAAAATACAACAAGAACTATCCTCAGTCACCATCGTTGAAATATTTATACACCCAGAATTAATTTAAATCAAAATCAAAAATATTCCAGCGGCTCCAGCAAAGATTGCTCCAAGGCCAGCAGCAGCTTATCCAGCAGCTCCAGTTTTCTTAACGATTCCACTGGCATTCTTGTTATATTTTAAGTATGAGCTGGTACTCAATGGGCAATAGGTAGTAGACCTGGTACTAATGTCAGAGACAGTGTGAATGGCAATCTGTACACCGTCTGTGTCAAGGAGATACGAAGCATCGGTGATTGTAGTACCAGCTTTGGTCAAAGAATCTGTTGCAGCAGCAGCAGCAGTGCAGTTTGCAACACCAGAGCAGGAACTAATGGTGAAAAAATCGGTGTTATCAGTAATAAGTTATGCAACAGAAGTATATCTTCACTTGCTTTCATAGCTACGAAGGCAGCAGATGATATATGTATGGAGGCAATTATTAGTAAGAAGAGTACGGATCTCATTGCATAAAAAGAAATGACTGTGGATACCTATGAAAATACTATTTTGAAAGCAGAACTGATAGATTTATGACGCAAGAAACAATAACAAGAAGAAATTAATATATATATATATATAAAAGTGATATTGCATATTCATGGATCAAGATGGACAATAGGAGCTGTTGATCTTTTGGCATTATCACACTAATAGACGGTAACTTGCGACCGCATTGACAGGAGCCCACGATGCAGGGTGTTTGAGGATTATGGCAGCACCACAGATAAAAAAAAAACAATTAATAATGACGGGACAATAATACTCTAAATTACATTAATTATATAGTCTTTGCTTCATATAAACATATAAACATATATATAGATATATATATATACAAGGTAAGGTAACTCAATTCATCAAGCCAATGGTGTACCGTTCTTGACGGCTTTTGGAAGCCCAGTGACCCAGCCCTTACTCTCTCCTTTTGCAGCTAGCATAAATACTCTACCTGGAAGGCCAATACGTCCTACACGTCCCACGCGGTTCACAAGATCAGCAGTGGTTTTTGGGATGTCATAAAGAACAGAATTAGAAGTTTGTTGGAAGTTGATTCCTCTGGAAAGAATGTCAGTGGTCACAAGCACTTTTAGACGTGGCTGACTTGTACTGTCATTGTTACTAGATTTGTTGAGTTTGATATTGCTATTTGGAATCTTCACAGTTTTGTCACTAGATTTCTGGTTAGTGGACAAGGCATCCTCCAATAACGCATCATTCGAATTGAAATCCTTCATGATTTGCATTCTGTCTTCAATCAGGTTTTCCCCGGTAATTTTATAGATTTCATAACCTTTGAATGCATCATCACTGCATAATTCACCATAAATTTTAGAAACCAGCTCTTTTTCATTAACAAATACTAAAACTTTTTTCACTTGTAAATCTGCTTCAGTATTATCACAATAAATTGAGTACAAACATTGCTTCAACGCATTCATTTTACTATTTCTAAACGGTTTCATATTGCAGTCAATCACTCTCATATCAAGCTTTTTGCTGATTCTGTGAATTCTTTTGGAGCAAATCTTGATGATGTTATTGTTCTTGAACACTTCATTCAAATTTTTGTTGAATAATTTAGAAATTGTTGATGACACGATCACTAGATCCTTGACCATCCCGGACATGTTAGAGATTTGATGGAAAGAAGTCATGGTATCACTCAAAAAAGAGCGATCAAGTAATGTGTCAGCCTCATCAATAACACAATATTTAATGGAGCTCACCAATTTTCTGTAAACTTGGGACGATCCCGCATAATTCTTAATTGCATTGAACTTCACTGGGGTGGTAACTAAAATATCAACGGGCTTATTCAATGCAATGAGATCTTCAACCTTATTTTCAAAATTTAATTTGGAAACCGTCAACCCCAACTCAGAGATATTTTTCAAAACATCATATAACTGTTCAATCAATTCATTAGTTGGCAATAATATCACAGAATTGATCTGCGTTTTGGTGAAATTCTCGTTGTATTCAACAATTTTCTTCTTTTTGTCGCCATCATTCACTTTGTTCATTTGGTCTGTCTTCAAATTGTTAATCAATGGGATCATATAGGCGTAGGTTTTCCCACACCCAGTTTCTCCGGCAATTGAGAAAATCCGAAGTTCATATGGATTTTTCAGATTTCTAGGCTTAAGGATCTCTGAGAATGCTAGCTTCTGGATATCGGTTGGGGTCGGATTGTCTTCGGTCTGTTTGGATTCTCTTATTTTCTGATGTTGATACAATAAACTGTATTGTTTGATTTCTTTGGTGAAAAAGTCTCGCACTTCTTCCAATATCTTGTAATCTAAAAATCGGCTTCTCACACCCACATTGCTTTTCACATTATCAATCTTATCAATATTAGCAAGTCCATTCAATTCCCCAAAACCATGACGCAAAGTATCTCCAAATTCATGCTGCCTGGCCTTTTTTGGTTTCAGTTGTCTTTTTATACTTGGTGCAGGCGATATTCTTTTTTTAGAAAACTTGTTGAATCTGCCGCCGTATTTTTCGGTGGCGTAGCCTCTGAAAATAGCGGGTAGACGGCTTTTCGGGAATACTGGTAATAACATGATAGTTGTTACCGATTGTCGACTGATCTTAACTCAGCTCATCTCATCATCTTCATCAATACTTGAAAAGGTCAAAATTTTCCTCAACGCACCACCACAATGGTTCCAAATTTCCATAGATGCCACCCGGACACTGTGCCACCAACCTGTGCCGGGTGGTGAAAATGAATGTTGAAAAAAATCGGAGGGTAAAAACAACAGAGAGAAGAATAAACAATATACCGAGTGTAGTGTGATTAATCTCCCTCTTCAGCACAGGCGAAAGATTATAGTCCCTGGCATCCAACGCGTGCGATGTCATCCAACAACAATACTAATCTGGGTGGTGGTTCCAATGGAAGCGTTGCTAGCGGGGGCTCATCAGCAGGCGCTGGCTATGGTGGAAATGGAAATGGCAACAGCAGCAATGGAGTTCCCAGTTCGGCAGTTGATGAACTATCTCCGCAAAAATTACCATATGTCATCAAGAGATATAAACAGGAAGTAACACTGGCCAAAAACAGTGCCCTTAGTGATTCTCAAAAGGCCCTCCATGCAAAGAATGCAGAGAAATTAAAGGCATTGTTAGTGCAATATCAACGGGCCCATCCTGAAATTTTTGCAACAGTTCTTTCCAACAAGAACATGGCAAGTTCCTCACACCCAAGCAATAACACACAATCACATGGCGGAACTCCTGTCAGTACTTCTGCTATCCCTTCGAGCTCTGTGTCTCCTGTTTCGACCCCATCATATTTACAAAACTCAAACTCCAGATCAGCGAGTGGTAGTGTGCCCCCAAGCACTCTTACTTCAAGTCTTTTGAGACCTGGATCAAGCCCATCGTTAACTGAAAAAAACAAGGAAATAATACAACGATCAAAAGAAATATTGGATCAGGAATTGGAGAAATACAACAAATTGAAGGCTCAGCATAGTAGAGTGACCGAAAACATTCAAAAAATCAACCAAATTTTGGCAAACTCTGCCAATGTTATTGATCAAGAAACAAAGGCCAAAGCATTGAATCAACAACGTGAGTACCAGGTAGAATTTGAAAGATTGAAGAAAGAATTGGGCAACACGAGTAGCAAGATGGAAAAACTTTTGATGGCGCATAGAGCAATGACCGGTCAGAGTCCGATTTCCATTCCTCTGCATTCTGCTAGTGGCGCTTCCCTTAATATTTCCAGTGGCGTTAACTCAGGGATGAATTTCACAAACACAAATAGAAGTACGATGGCATCGATGGTTCCTATTGTCCCTAACTCCTCCAGCATTAGTCAGACGATAAGCCATCAAACAAACCGACCATTATCTGCTGCAGCTGTTCGATCTGATTCAGGCCAACCATTCTCATTCAGTACTGTGAATTCCAATGCTGCGATAAATGCCAATATTATCAATAATAACAAGAATAACATCATCGCTGGCAAAAACACCAATAATAATATCAAACATAATAACAGTAAACCGCAAACCATGTACAATCAACAGCCAACCCAACAGTTACCTCCACAGTCATTACACCAGTCACATCCACAAATACAGCAGAAACCTCCAACGCAAACACCAAATAGCTCCGTAGCTCCTGTCCCAACTTCAAATCAAGCCCCGGCAGCTCCTGCCTATGCACCTTACAATGCCCAACAGCCGATTTTCTCAAAACCGCAGTTAATGAATTACTTGAAACAAATTACCCTTGAAGAAAAGGTCTTGTTGTCAACAACTCTGGTAAATAATAAGGTAATTGTCGACCCGGATGTTGAGAATTTGGCTGACGAATTGATCAAAGATTTTCTCGATGAGGTAATTGATTTCTCTTCGAAGCTTGCAAGACATAGAAATGCCAAGACTCCTAACAACCAAAAGAATAACGAAATGAATCTCAGTGACTTGAATCTAAACTTGGAACGGAATTGGGGAATAATTGTTAATGGGAACCCTGACGTGGGAACAAGTGGGAACAACGGTAGTGCCGTTAACTCGCTAGAAAGAATAAGGAGAAGTAGAAAGAGAAATTATGCCCCAACAGAAACGTATATCAATAAGTTACGAAAGGTCTACTCTAAAAAACCATGAAATAGGCATAAAAAAAGACGAATCTTCAACAACGTGGTGTCCACCCTTGTTCTCTTTTGCTTTTGTTCTTCTCTTTTTTTTGCATTTTCTTGACGACTGCAAATTGCTTCATTTCTTTAATGTATATTATTTTTTTTTTTTGATGTTTTATTACCTGAAAATTGTAATTATGGAGAAATGTGTTACGTAGTTTACAGTGTTTTCATTTTTTATTCGTACCAACCACCGGAAATGTTCATACCAGTGGCAAAAAATAATTCATACCGACCCCCGGTATTTTTCGTACCACCGCAGCGGGATTTATTCAGACCATCTAAGAAAAATAGTTCATACTATTGCACTTCAATTATTCATACCAACAGAATATAAAATTCATATTAATTCCTTTCTTTTTTTATGTGACTGGCTCTATAAGCCTCTAAGCTACTCTGTTTAAACAAATTATACTCATTTTTTCCATAATTCTGTGCTACTTTCTATAAAACCGGATATCTATACTAATATCAATAATATCACGTGATTACGGTTTTCAAGAAATGGGAACGAATGTATGGTAGGAGCTGTTCTCCATTTAAGATGATGAATTCCCACTTTTGACATTCAATTCGGTCTTTATATGATCACCAGATTACTTACAAAAAAAAGCATAAGATTTTACCATCAAAACTAAGTATGGACTTGAAAGCCAAGCTACTAACTGATGGGTATGTTGATGGCCTAGGTAATAGATTCTATGCTGAACCCAGTGAAATGACTTTAGAGTCTGAAATAGCACCAGTTGAAGCTTGCTTTAGTTACAGTGACTATAAGCATTTTGAAAAACCAGGTATCATGGATATCATGGAAATTGATCCTATTTTCGAAGAAGAAGAAAATGCCGAGATGGAAATTGAAATGAAAGAACGAAGATATAGAGGTTCGTACCGGTATTATAATCAAGCTGTCAAACAAAGATTTTGGCACTTGGTCATGGAAGAAGGTGTATCAGCTTACAAGGCTGCAAAATTAGAAGATATACCTTTGCAAACTGCTTACACATGGAAAAGAAAGTGGAACAAAATACTTGTCAATGAATTAAATGGTATCTCGAAGCCAATAAAGAAAAGAGGTCGTAAACCCCTTCTCACTGATGAACATAAGGAATTCCTTCAAAAATTGATAAAGGAAGATGCTACAGTGACTCTCGATTTTATGTTGGAGAGACTCAAGAAAGCCTTCACCAATGTAAGAGCCAAGGCTACAACAATCTATAACTTTGTAACCAAGGTCTGTAAGCTAAGTCTCAAACGTATTTCTAAATGGGCTTTGAGAAGAAGTCTGGAGGAATTGAAGAAACAGAGACTCGAGTGGGCAGAGAAGTATAAAGACAAGCTCGACTTTAGTCAAAACTGTATTTTCATCGACGAAGCAGGTTTCAATATCAGTATGCGGCGTGAGTATGGATGGTCTGCTGTGGGTGAAAAAGCAGTTCTTACTGTTCCCGTAACCAGAGGGCTTAATATTTCGTTCATTGGGGCAATTTCTGTCAAAGGTTGTATTGAATTAAAGGTCAGAACTCCAGTGGCTACATCCAATAAGAAGAGAAAACTTGATTCAGAAACGACCATTGACAAAGTGAGTAAAGGTACTACAGCTAATCACTTCTACAGTTTTGTAAAGTCAGTGATCCAGCAAATAGAAAATAACGAGGAGCTCAAAGGTATGAAATATTTGATCCTTGATAATGCTGCCATTCATAAACGACGTGATCTTCAGTTACTAGTGGCACTGAGTGGCTTGGAACTTGTGTTTTTACCTCCTTATTCTCCAGGGTTGAATGCTATAGAAGAATTCTGGTCAGTATGTAAGAGTAAAGTCAAAAGATCAAACTTGAGCAAGAAGGAGCAATTAACTCCAAGGGTGAAAGAAGCCACAGAAAATATTTCCCTTGATAGTTACAAGGGATTCTGCAGACATGCTTCTAGACATATTGATCTCTGTTTACAACAGCAGCTCTTTTGAAAACAAATACCAAAGATGAAGAAAAAAAATTAGAAAACAAAATACAGAAAACAAACCAAAAAAAAAAAAGTAAAAACTATAAAAAAAATTACATAAAGACGCAACAAAGCTCCAAAACAAATTAATGAAAATTTAAAATTTTAAGGAAGGACGAAACCACTCCAAAATTTGGTTATGAGCCTTTGAAATGGTAAATGAGTATTGCAAAGGGGCTTTATTGGGTGTGCGGGTCCCCTGTAACATGTTTAATAATATCAAAGATAAAATATTAATGAAAGCATAAGAATTTTATGCATTTAGTATGAATTTTGTATTCTGTTGGTATGAATAATTAAAGTGCAATAGTATGAACTATTTTTCTTAGATGGTCTGAATAAATCCCGCTGCGGTGGTACGAAAAATACCGGGGGTCGGTATGAATTATTTTTTGCCACTGGTATGAACATTTCCGGTGGTTGGTACGAATAAAAAATGAAAACACTGTATAAATTGCTTGTGCTGGTTGGCGGAAACCTTCCAAGCTGCATTTAATCGTTAGCAATACATCCTATCTCATTAATTCGACGGTGTTATTCCCTTTACACAGACATAATTAACAGAACTAGAGCACTAAAAATAAGTACAACGTGGCAAGAAACCAGAGATTTCTTCCAATGAGCATGTTTTCATCCAATTTTCGACGAAGCGAGCATCAAGTTGGATCAATGGAGGTACAACCATAAGGGGTTTAGCTAACTACTAAAGGAATCAGAGAGGTGAACACTAGATTGGCATGATTTAAATACGATGTCGAAGCTTGGGCACTCTTGGGGGATCAAATACAAGCCCTCAAAGTATCCGTCTGATCCTATTGTTTTTACCAGTTAGCTAAAAGCACTGGCACTCTGGTAACTGTATAAGTTAATGTATCATCGAGCTAAATTCATTCGAGTAGCCAACCCCTACTCTTTTAGCTTCTTGTAATCACTTATAATACCACCGATAAGCTTTATGTCGATGTTAGGCAAGCACCATTCCATAAGGAGAAAACTATCCATAAAATAATAATCAGAAAAAAAGAAAGGTTTCTATTTGCTCGATTAATCAAACTGATCAACTGTGTTTTATGTTATACTATATTATAGGGCCCTCTAAGAAAGAAAAAAAAAGGAAATCAAACTATAATTCATTTTCAAATATCGTTCAACGCACAACAGGTCACAGGCTTTTGATGACCACTCATTCCTCCATACTCTCTTACCACTTCATTAGTTGCCAAATCCCATAGTCTCACATAATTATCCGAAGAGGCTGTAACAAGATAAGCCGAGTCTGCACTGAAGGCGCAATCCCACACCCATTTCTTATGTTTATCCAAGACTGTTTCTAAATCAAATGTGCTAGTGTTCCAGATTTTCGCAGTGCTATCGGCGGAGCAAGTGGCTAAGTGTTTTGCATCAGAGGACAACAAGATTCTAGTGCAATAGTCATCATGGGCCTTTAATTTCCTCACAGACTTCATCTTCTCTTTAGAGTCCCCTGCTGCCAAATCTGACATTGCCCACATATAAACCTCGCCATCTTTCGATGAAGTCACCAATATCGATCCATTGGAGGCCACCGATAGCGAACTCAATGATACAGGATTAGTTTCATTGGGCGTTAGCCTATAAGTTTCTCTTTCCTCACTCAAATCCCAGACCTTCACTGTGCCATCTTTATCACACGACATTATTTCCCCCTGGTTGGGATGGATAACTACATCGTTTACCACTGAACCGTTTTCAAAGTGTCTTTGACATCGTGGGGCCCTTGTATCCCATATTTTAATCGATCCATCTTCCGACGCAGCTACTAACCAATTATCATCGGCAGCAAACATTAGAGAACTGACCACTGTATTTTCCTCATATGACATTATTGGATTCATTTTTGAACGACTGAGATCGTATAATCTAATAGGGGCTCCTCCAGCACCCAAGAGCCGTTTGTCATTGGTGATTTGTAATGTATTGACTTGGAAATCCACCTGGACGGTTCGTGAGCAGGCTCCTGAAAGAGCATCCCAAAACTTGATTGTGGAATCATACCCCGCTGACGCTAGAATAACCGACATTTTTGTATTATTTGGATAGTTAATTAACTTGAAAGATCAATAAATGATTGCCTGGAATGATAGTACTAATTATCATACAAGTTTTTTTTTTCTAATTGATTGACCTTTCTTATCGACATCCGGACAGGGTAAGCAGGACGCGTAACCACTTTTACTTTATGGTATTTATTATTTTTTCGTGTCGTTGATCATCATATAACCTTTAGTTAGAGGTACTTTCTTGCAAACCACAAAATAAACGACAATCATGTCTATTGATTCATACAACCCGGAACATTGGACTGTGTCATCTAACCTGGCCCTTAAAATCGCTATTGTTGATGAAGTAAGATCAATACAATTTCACCCGACATTCACATATCCAATCTTTGGAGAGCATGAGCAAATCTTTGGGTATTTCAATTTGGAAATCAATTTAGCATTCAACAGTACCACTATGCTACCATTGTTGGGGTTCAAATTCTCTGAAAAATTACCAGATAGTGCTGATTTGGAAGATCCTCAAGAAAAAATATTTAGCTTTTTGCCAAAGGGCTCGACCATTGTCAATGATGAAAGCAAATGGGCTGAAGAATATGAGAAAGAACTTGCTAGTTTTAAAATTCCAGGAACTTTGGTAGGAGAATATAACACCGTTGATGGTAAAGAATTTGGAGTTTATAAATCGCCGCTTTCTAATGCCAAAACAAAGGAATTTCACAGAAGAATCCAGATATTTGTGTTACTTTTCATTGAAGCTGGTTCATACATTGATGAAACTGATGATAAATGGGACTATTATTTCATTTTTGAAAAAAAAAGTGCAACCAATCCTCACCCAAAATTCATTGGCTTTACTACTGTTTATTCGTATTGGAAATACCCGGGCCATGAAGCTTATGATTCTGGCGATAAATTGGAACTTTTGGTGAGAAAGAAGATTTCACAATTCATTATTTTGCCACCATACCAAGGCAAGAGGCATGGGGAACATTTGTATAAAACATTAGTGGATGATTGGTTGAGGGATGAAAAAATTTCTGAGATTGTAGTGGAAGATCCTAGTGAAGCATTTGATGATTTGCGTGACAGGTGTGATTTGGAAAGATTATCAAGTGAAGCTTTCTTCAAGAGCTCAAATTTCCCTACAATCCCAGTACCGGATGAAGTCATAATATCGAAGCAAGTGGAACAAAAGATAGAAAAAAGACAATTTGCTCGTTGTTTGGAGATGGGATTGTTGCATGAAAATCGTGTCCATGGTAGCAAAAAGATGGAGAAAGATATTAGATTGCAAATCAAAAAGAGGTTATATATTAAAAACAAGGAAGCACTTCAGGGATTAGAGGAGGCAGATAAGCTAGATAAACTACAGACAGCATATGAGAGATTGGTAGAAGATTATGAACGCATTATGGAAAAGGTAAAGTTCAGTGATAAAAGAGGATCAGAAGCGACATCAGAAGAAGCACCGGAACAGAAGAGGATGAAGCACTGAATTCTTGTGCATCAATATATATGTATATATATGTATGTATGTATGTATATGTTGTAATGGATGATAATGAACTTAGAAATAACTGATCGTGGTTATGTATCTTTTGATAAGGAGTAATATAGTAGACATACAATTGGATAGATATAAAAAGTTACTCTTTATCGAACTGTATCTTCGTTGCGATGGCACTTCTGGAACAACAATCGCAATTTTGGTGATGATTCCCAGTTATCATTTACCACTAATCTTGGACAACTACATTAAAGGATAACAGAATTTAAAGATCTTTTAAACCATTCACATTTTAGTTGGTCAGCAAAATCAAAAGGTAACTACCAGCCAGCTTCCTATGAAGGTTAAAATAGTTATGTTGATAGTAACTCAAGCTTTATTATCTCAATTTCCTATTTAACATGCAATTTTCAATCACTTTTATAAAAATATAACGGTAATCGATGACGTATACTACATAATCTATTATAAAATTAGAGCAGGATTTCTGAGAATCACTACAATGTTTTCAGTAATCATAGACGTTTCTGCTTCAACTTCTTGAATTTTAATTCTGTTTTTCCCTTCCCACTCTCAGATACCGACGAACTACTGCTTGAATTCTTATTACCTGATAACATTCTTTGAAATACCTTTCCAATAGGAACAATCACCAGGTCACTGACCTTCGTCATTGCAAAATACAGTACCGCAATCCGTAATGGGCCCAAGATTTTTAAAGTTACGTAGGCTTCAGCACCACTACTGACAATTTGTTCCAAGCTTTCTTTGGCATCCTCTTGTTGCAATTCCGCGGACTGGACGATTCTAGTGATAGTTTGTCTACCCTGTTCCATTATAGAATATAGCTCATCACCAAATACTGGCAAGGATGACATTGTAGATGGATCAACAACATGGAATCCAGGAAACAGGTAGCAAGCTTGCCAAACAAAGAGGAAAGGGATCAATCCTGAAAGTTCGTAGACAGAAAAAAAAGCCATACCATTAGGAATAGGACGGGCAAAGAAAGTATTGAATGGGCGGCTGAGTATTGATGAGAAGCTGCTCAGGGTAGAAGGAGGTTGTGCCCGGCTCAGTTTGGAATCATCAAATTTCTTGAAATTGGGATGGAAGGAATTGTTAGACTGGGAAGCCTTGGGCTTTAATTTGGCGTTTGCTTTGTGATTACTGTTGAAATTTATTGATGTGACCCCAAATTTTCGAGACTGGAAGTATATTCCAGTCTGACCAGGCTCTGGGACTCTTGTTGGTATGATACCCAAACCATCGGCAATGATTCTCTTCGAGGAAAGAGCTGATGATGGTGATCGATATGATGCTTTTACTAATAGGATTTGTGCCTGTGTCAACATTGGGTTCGAAGACAAGTTGGTATCACAATTTATTGGTGTGAGTATTCCGTAGCAAGCCTATATTCTCAAAACATGAGTGGTCAGTTTATTTAATGATTGTTGATTCATTGGCGAATAACTCTTTTTTTTGGCTGGGGGAATTTTCAAGATCTGTTTGGAGGGGTGGAGAGTGGGGGTGTCCAATATAAGCATTACAATATTAATATTTTTGTAATTATTAATATTATTATTGAATTATTACTATATGTGTATATATTTACGCTTATTTGCAATGAGAATGTATCAGAAAGATCAACAGTTGGAGGGTTTTCTCAAGTATCTCCACAATAGGTGGGTGTTTTTTCATGGGAGTGTTTCTTTCTGACGTGCTGTTTGCGACCAAAACAATCAATCTTTTGACCTTCTTTGGAGGGGGACATCATTATCATTTGCAATTACACCTTCACTTCTAGAAGAAGACAATTCAAAGGAACATAAATAAGAGGAAGGACAAAGTACAGAAAAGAAAATAGATTAAAACAACAAAAAAAAAAAGGGTAATGAATGGTAAGTGCTCGATATAAGCATAAACATCATCAAAACGTCAATAAGTATTTATTAGCAACTAACAACTATCCAGCCTCTAGAGCCTCGCACTATGAATCATCATATCCTCTATACAGTTTTGACTGGTCGCATCAAGGAGTCATTGTGGCAACGTACAGAGAAGATTTGAGCAACCAAATCACGGTGCTCAGTGCCAATAAGAATATTCATGGTGGAGACGAATATGATTTCCAGCCAGTCGCCACCAGTGAATTAATGTATCCTGCCACAAAGGCTCTTTGGGATCCATCTCAGAAAATGAGTGGCAATGGATCAAGGTTTGCTTCTTCATCGCAATACCTTCAGCTTTGGGAAATCCAAGAGACCCCCGGCCCAACTTCTAACATTATCAATGGCAATAACATGCAATATCATCATGGGTGTTATACGTTCATTGTTCAAGAGAAACTAAAGCTTATTAATTCCAAACTTTCCCATCATTCACTTCCACCACTTACATCATTTGATTGGAATATTCTGGATCCCTCACTCGTCATCACATCTAGTATCGACACCACTTGTACAGTATGGGATTTGAATAGGCAGCAAGTGAAAACTCAGTTGATCGCCCATGATTCAGAAGTATTTGATGTAAAGTTTGTTCATTGTGACGTGAATACGTTCTTCTCAGTGGGAGCAGACGGCAGCGTCAGATTATTTGATTTGCGAGCTTTGGAGCATTCGACTATCATTTATGAGCCTCCGCAAACAAATGCATCCATCACCACTACGGCAAACAATATTGTTAATAATAGTGGTAGTATGCCTGCCAGTAATAATATGGGTATCATCAATTCGTCTCCGTTGCTTAGACTAGATACCTGCAAAACCAACCAAAACCTCATTGCCACCATTGGGGTAGACTCCACCGCCGCAATGGTACTCGATATAAGATATCCTGGTACAGCAACTTATTTTCTTGATGGTCACTCAGCCTCAATAAACTCATTAGCCTGGCATCCAACAAAAGAGGCGTTATTGACTGGAGGAGATGATTGCCAGGCATTGATATGGGATATGAATGGGATTGTCACCGAGGTCGCGTCATCTGCCCAAAACTCATCATCTCAAAACTACCATCAACCAGGTGGGGTGCAATCTTTCCCATATTCCCAAGGATTAGGGGGAAGTGCAAGTGTTCAAGACAGGATCCTAAAGAACGTTAACGTGAGACTTCCGAATAATTCATTCATCAAAAGTTGTATGGTGACGTATCCTGATTTCAAGTACCCTCATCAGAGTCATTCTTGGGGAACTGATACTTTACAGCCGAAGATTGGCAACTGGCCAGCAGGAGGCGCTTTTGGTAATACTCTTAATAATGGTGGCTGGGTTTCTCTGGAGATCAATTATGTAGGGTGGAATGATGTTGGTGACTGGTTTGGTGTAGTCAGCGGTAAAGAATTCCAAGGTGTTAAATCATACTAGATAGAGCGCTAAATACAAATTTCAAGTTTTAGTATTAGCTGAGACGGCTTTTTGTAAGATTTGGAACGTAGTTAAAGGTTAATTTGAATTCTTGTTGCCAAAAAACAAAAACAAAAAACACATACAGAATAGAAATCATTTCTGAAATTGCAGCCCCTGAGAGGATCTCTTAATGATTTCTCACATTTTTTTTGTGGTGAGATGGCATGTTCTATTGATAGAACAAATTGTCTACAGTGTGTTCTTGATGCCAATTCTTCACCGAGATATTATTTTGGTGGACATATTTTCAAATAATGAAATTTACAAACAAATAGGATAGTCGAATAATGGCAAATTGCACAAGATTTCTACATGCAATTTAAACAAAACTTGTAGTAGCAAAAACTTATTCTATTAATTATCCGGCAATATATAGAATATAATTGTTTAGAATAACTAATCTCATAAAAGCGGTCGCCAGCTTATGAAATTCATGTAGGCCCAAAAAGAAGATATTGAAAATACCAGAGAACACGGACCACTACTAATGTTGATTCATTGTCTCTTATCTCTTAATATCTCTTTATTATTACCTTTCCTTTCTTCTATCTACTTAACTTACTCCTTCATCTTTATTACCTTTCTTTTTAAAGTCTCACTGAATCATCTATTTACCTACATTTATCTTATCCTAAGAAATCCAAGATAAATACTACAGAGAAGAAAAGATAAAAGAAGTCAAAAAGTGTCAAATAAGGCTAATTTGAAAATATCAGATTGTTAGTGACAAATAAAAACATGGCTTTCTAGAATATGATGTGATTACGATTTGAATAGTACTATTCTCTCTCTCTCTGTCTCTCCCCCCTTGAAATTTCTGAATACCACAGAGGATACTGAGCATTTTTAATTAATACTGAACATAAAACATGGTTTGTGAATAACAAGTAATCTTACAAGCTTTTATCAGCATATAATATTGCCAAATGACTGCTCCTGAATAAAAACTTCCCACGTTGCCATTCACGCGTTGTGATCTTTGGTATGCGTGCTATATTCTCGATACGCGTTCTTTAATAAAAGGCTTTTTTACAGGATGCGCCTGCTAGACTCAGACTCAGTTGCAATTGAGTAACCATTAAAATAAAGCGATTATTTAACTGTGTTTGTAGATGTTAGTCCTGGTAATGAAAAATCGGAAAATAAGAACCGTTCATACTAGTTCGACCTTTTTGCACATCAAAAACCAATAAGAAATGAAATGCAGATGGAGAAAAATGACCCTGGTAATAAATAGGTTTTCTTTACTCAACATCCATAAAAAATAAATTTAAATAAATAATCATAAATATCGAAATATTGGCATGAATATGTGGTCCAGATAGACAGACAATATGTGAGTTCCAGTGCATATTTGCAACATTCCTCACAATAAACATACATGTTGTAATCATCAAGTTGAAAAAAGGGACTAACTTGAAGATAGGCTCTCACAAAATGAACTCGCAGGATTCTGAATATGATATCTACGTAAATTGAAATATATATTCTCTTATATATATAATCCTCACCAAGATGACCACTTTAAGATAAATTTCACCAGCATTCCATTACCATGGTTTTGACCATCAAAAAAATGAACAAATACAGACAAAATAAACCACCTCTAATCTACTCTAAAAATATTCATTCATAGTTAATATATAACTTGTGAAAAAAAAAAAGCTAACAATATATCTGATAAATTTAACAATATTTCGTTTCACTGAGGAACAATGTTTTGTTTAAAAAAATTGTAAACTTTTTTCCCGTTCTCTTCTCCAATCAACAACGATATCTCAAATTCTTCCAAGTTTACAAGATCCCTCATGCTTTTGATATGGGTACATATGGTCCCAATATTGGCACTCGTAATACCAGGAATACTCTTGAGCAAATCCAAAGCAGAATCATTCTCTTGGATTTCTCCAATTAATGATCCTGGATCATCACCATTCATTCCACTACCACCGATAACGGATTGTCCTAATCTAATCGCTAATCCCACATTTGGATCATCTTCTCTGGCCTTCAATTCTCCAAAAAATTCAGCAGTCTTATAAGGCGAAGGCGACCAAATTATTCTCAAACCAGGAAACTTGAGCAATAGCATGATCAATTTCACCCGGATATTCTGAAATGATCTTTCTGCAGATACAGAGTTCTTAAGAACCGTGCCAAACCCACCACCAGTAACTCCACTACCAGCTCGAAATTCAACAAATGGGTTCATGGAAAATGCTTTGCTTTCGTCAAACTCAACCAACAACACTGCAAACTCATAAAACTTTAACATTCTTTCGCACTGGAAATATAAATTCCCTTTTTCAAATGATTGAATCAAGTCGGGTACCGATTTACGTTCGACACAAATCTTTGGTGACAAAACATAGTCCCCGACCGTCAATACGCAGGGAATGACTTCAAACCCAGAACGATACAAGATATTAGGCAATGCCGAGCGAAACTCTCGCATATCCACAACAATTTTTTTATTAGGAACTTTGGTAGTTTCAACAAGCCGCCCACCAGCTATTCTTGTTGCTTTATTGGCATTGATCGCAGCAGCGAGCTTTTTGGAGGCACTGGCGCTGGATTTTTTACCTTTCAAAGGTAACAATTTTAAATCCTCATTATAACCAACAAACTCTTTGCCCAATTGGCCCTTTTCACGAATCAACTTTGTGAAACTTTCTTTTTCCTTTTTGATCTTCGTAAGATACCTTTGTTCCTCTACCGAAGCACAATAATACATAAGATATGTTTTTAATTGATGCGCCCTGTTCTCAGCTTGGAAAACCTCAATCCGTCTAATGAACCCAAGATCAGGCTCATACATGATTATATAAGAAGGGAGTAGTTCATGCAATACATTATGATCAGTCAAAGGGTCATATTTTTCAATAATAATTTCATCTGTGCCAGCTAAAAGTTCAAGCTCAATATAATCACCACCGGGGGGTGATAATTCAATAACATCATCAATTCCTGCCTCAAGGTCTTCGAAATCATCGAGTTCTACAACTTCAATGATATCTTGTTCTATTATTTTGGCAGTATCAGGATCTTTATCTTCTCTAGTGAATTTCGCAGAATGAAGTTTTGCCGCTTTGGCCACATAAGAACCACCTCTAGTACGACGCCGCTTATTACCAGCATTCTGAGAATCGCCAGTAAAAGTCTTGGATAAACTCATTAGATCATTTCCTATATTATCCTTCAAATCATTTGAATTTTTATTATTATTGGTTGTATTAGTTTGTCTATCGCCAGAGTTGGGACCTGCCTTAAGACCATCAACTCTAGCCCTTTCTTCCTCTTGGCGTTCTTTCACAGTTTTATTTATGATTTCGCTAACCTTTAAACTACTATTCTTCCACGCACTATAATCTCTAAATCTTCTCAACATCAACTTTCTTCCAGATACTTCCCCATTTTTATCCTCCTGTTTGCAAGCCAAAAACTCTCTAACTTGCCTCACCATTCTGGCAGATGCACACATAATCAACACAGGACCAGCAGCAGCTAGTGGTCTTCTGACACGTTCATCGAAAATTTCTTTAAGAATGAGTGCTAATTGTTCCCATTTTGGAGGCTCTTCCAATGCATAACTTTCCTCCTTCCTCCGACCATTTTTTTGACTGTCTCGCTTCACAATATCATAAACCCTTTTTTTGGCAAACGAAATCACCGTTGTTGCCTCATCCAACATCAACCATGGAGCTCCATTGTAGTTCATTCTGCCTCCCGGTTTTCCAGAATCAGTATATTCACTTAATACTTGCTCTATATCCTCATAGAAAGCAACACAGTCATGAGAAGTTAAATGATTAATGAGCCTTCGCATCAAGGCCAAATCACCAATCAATTGTTTAGTGGTCCAAGATATTCTATGCCAATGACGCTGGAATAGAGATGTCACTTGTAAAATATACAAATCGTCAAGAAATCTTGAATAATCATCTTGTGAAGCAATATCGGTATTGACGGTTGACGAAGCATTACCACGAGCTAAATCTGCAAATAATTCACTCTGGCCAGTGAGGTCTGGATTATGGCGTTTGATCTCATGGATCAATGCCTTCATTGTGCCAAGTAATGCTAACTGAAGTCTCTCCATTGACTCAGTCATTGATACTGCGATCTCCACCACTTTACCAAGATTTGGATCCTGTTTGCTTTGAGAACCTTGAAAATTCAATGAAGAAAGTACATTAATATGAAATCTTGGCCAAAGTAAACATTTCTCGAGTCTCATATTTCGTAACATTACTTGTAAAGGGTTGATGATACTTCCCCCACTAGTCCTTGCAGCGGTATGGAGCAATGCTTGTGGGTCATCGGTAACGCATTTAAGAAATCCCCAGCTATTATGACTTCGATAAAAAGTAATAATAAATGCCTCATTAGATGTTTCTGAGATTCGATCGGCATGTAATGCCACAATACCCGTTATTTCATTGCAATTGACAATTCCCAGAAGTAAATCAACAATGAATATTCTCGAAGATAAAGAAACAATCCCGCCTTCCAAGTACATTCTCCGACGGCGATTAGCTGTTACTGTTTCTCCTTGAATGGCAATAAACGGTCTCACAAGTCCGTCCAGCCAAGATAGTTCAGCTAGCTCTTCAGATATCACCTGGTTTTCTTCATCATGAGCGTTTAATAAGATCACAAGACTGCGCTTTGGCGGATCATCATTTGTGATGGTTGGCAGAGTATTTGGTGTGGCCACAATGTGCAACAAATTGGATACAATCAGCTCTAGACCAAGGCCTTTTGCCAAGATTAGTAGTGCGTCTTGAACTAACAATTCTTCAAGGATCATTTGCTGGAAATTGAGTGATAGAGAGGATCTAACATCAACCATGCCTGTGAGAGCTTGCTCAATAGCAGGCTCTTGTAAAGTCACAACAGGCACTTCTCTATCAGAATCAGAATCATTTTCAAGATTTTCGGGTTGATTGTGAGCTTCTTCAGTATCCGAAGTGTCTTGGACAAATAATGTATCAGCCATATGCTATATTGTTGATGTTGGGTGATAGATACGCGATGAGGTCCTTTTTTGATCAATAATCTGCCAAACCATGAAGAGGGTGATTACTCGAATGTATCTCAGTGTAATTATAATTATATTTGGTCACAATCATTTTACTACTTCTTAGTTGTAATAGTGGTATTTACTTATGGCCAATAATTAGGACTACTAAATAGGCCGTATTATTGTTCAACGTTGGGTGGAATTCCCAATAATCCAAACACCGACAAAGGCTTTCATTACACCATGTTGACAAATATTTCGTACAATAGATGTATATCTTATTCTCAAACAAAAATTATGAAAATCAAAAAAATAGTAGTATTAGTGGACAAAATCTTAACAAAAAGAAGATATAAAAAAATAATTTAAAAATATAAAAAAATAAAATAAAAAACAAAACAAAACAGGATGGCAAAAATAGGACAGACCAAAAAATATATTGAAAAAAAAAAATGAGTTTGCAAAGGAACATAAATGATAATATAGGTGAGTAGACTACTAATGTACGACCAAATGGAAACAAGAGGCAGCATTGAAACAGACATGATAACTTATTTGAACTAAAAGTTGGTTATAGATATGTATAATAACAGGGAGGCTAAAGAACAAAGCACCATTGAAAAAAGAATTGTAATTTATCTCTCTGATCGTTAGGTGAAGTGGAAAAACTAATTCATTCCTGCCGTAATATTTTTTTCTTTTTTTCTCTCTTTCTCTCTCGCTCTTTCTCTCTTTAAAATTCACGAAGTATAATACCAATAATTATACAGTCTCAAAATAAAGACCAATTAACATCGTATGTGAATAAAAAGAATAAAACAACGCAAAAAATAATTATGATAATAAAAACGTACTCATAAGATTGTACATTTCTTGTTTTTCTTTATAACAGGAGGTTCCAAAGCAGCAACAATCGCTTCATCAAACACATTCTTCAAGCCCTTTTGAGTTAAAGCTGAACATTCAACGTATCTAACTGCTTTCAATTCTTTTGCCAATCTAACCCCGCTTTCAACACTAATAACATTTAGTCTTTGTCTTTGCAATCTCTCTATAATCAAAGGATCTTGTCTAAGATCGATTTGTGTACCAACAATGAGACATGGAACACCAGGACAGTGATTATGAACTTCAGGGAACCATTTTTCTTTCACGTTTTCAAAGCTTGGAGGGGAAATTACTGAAAAACACACCAAAAATACGTCGGTTGAAGGATATGATAAAGGTCTAAGACGATCATAATCTTCTTGACCGGCAGTATCAAAAAGACCCAAAGTATATGGGACATCCCCGATCATTACGGTAACGGCATAATTATCAAACACTGTTGGAACGTAATCGGCTGGGAATTTGTTGGTTGTGTAGGAAATCAAAAGACAAGTTTTTCCAACGGCACCATCACCGACAACAACACACTTAATTGTTTGCATTATTATTAATGTATTATGGAAAAGTTGTATAATATAAGGCTAGTGAACCTGATGGAAATTGATTATTTGGATGAAAATAATATTAATATGGTTAAAGGAGGATTGATACTTGGATCGGCACCTGGCTTGTCTTTTTCCAAGTGAAATATGATTGATGAATTTAATAAATAATAAAATCAAAAAATCAAAATCTAAACACACAAACGTTATCACAAATCACTATGTGTGTTAGTTAGACAGAACAAGTTTTTTCTTTTTTTAAAAACAAAAAGGAGGAAAATTCAAGAAAGATAAAAGCAAAACACCGAAGTTCCGCCCAAATGAATTATTGAAGTTTCTAGATGATCACAATGAGGTGATATATAGATAGGAGGTCAACTGGCGGGCGGTAGATAACGAGCGGACAAAGTCGATAAAAAAAAAACGTAATCACCGGGTAAAACAAATAGAAAAAATAATCACTTACAAGAGATTGTTATATTGTCTTGGGTGTAAGGGTCTTGAGGAAGGGATGAGGGGTATATGAATTGAGAAAACCGTTTGCTCTTTGCTTTAAGTGTACTGAGCTGTTTCCATATGGGATTTCAATTTTCTTTTTTTTTTCTTTCTGCTGTCGTTTCTCAACTTTTTTATTTTTTTTCTTATTTTTTGGGGGGCGGTATCTACACGTGATATGGCTAGTCTTTCTAAAGGCACGGGTGGGTACCAGGTGTACGGGTTTTATGTGGACGTTAGGGAGGAATGACATATATTATGGTGTTATTAAATTGTATTAAATTGTATTTTATTGATCCTGGCCAGCAGAGTCTTCACATATTAGCAAGAATTAAAAGACGAAAAAGGAATGTGAAAAAAACTAGAAATGAAAACTAAAATGGAGAAAATATTGCGGTTAAAGCCTATCTAGGCAGCTTTGGTGACGACTGGAGTAGCAATGACAGTTTGGGCAACGTGAGTGACACTGGCACTGGCAGTGGTGGTTCCATTGACACTGTGCTTGTCTTTAACCCAACCATAAACCTTATCACCAGCATATACGGCAGCTGCAGCACCACCTGCTACCACCCCAAACTTACCAAGTTTGCCCAACTTTTGCCAACCGTTTTTAACGCTTTCCAAAAGACCAGTCTTGGCAGCAGTCAGATCAGAAGCAATTGGTTCAGTCGCGACGGTCTTTGGGTTAACTTTCGCAGTTTCTGCTTCGGTGGTCATAGTCTTTGAGTCAGTTTTTGCAGTCTCTGCCTTGGAATTGTCAGCAGCGGCGCCAGAACCACCGGAAACCGCACTCCCAGCGGTGTTGACAATAGTACCAGCAACAGCCGAACCAGTGTTTGAATTTTCAGCGCTGATTTCATTGGCTCTTTTGATATTAACTGGCATGGCGACAACCTCCTGAGAGATGAGCAAAAGAGCTGTGAGGATAGGAAGCGAGAACTGCATGGTTGTTTATGTATGCTGTTAGATATAAAATTGAGATAGAGTGTTCTGGTTCTAGAAAGGTACTGAGAATTAAATATTAAAAGTAATAAAAATATGAAAAAACTGCCAGCATCTTTTCGCTTTATGTAGGCTTCATCACATTCCTCAAGAAATGTCCGTGGCCTCATGCATGCCAGAAGAAAATCGCATCCTACTATTTGTTGACACAAAATGCCATCTAGTCAGCCCCAAGCTTACAACATTGCTGCATGTTAAAAATAGGAATCACAAGGCAATATTTCCCTTAAAACAATAAAGGAAGGAGTCCCTGCTTCTTCAAAAAAAAGCTTCTTTTAATACTTCTCTCAACAACATTTGTACATCGCCATGGTAAAACTCCATTTTTAGCCTAGAAAATCACCATATCACTAAAAGTTTTTTTTATATATGTATATTAATTTATTTAGTTTTAGCGAATTACACGAGGGGCAGCTATGATCAGAAATTTTATAAAATACAGGTTAATCTTATTAAATGGGATTTGTTTTTAAAAATTCTTGTTTGTCCCATTCTAGACAGTATAATTTTCGTATTACTCCCTACTTTAATCATTTCTGACCATTCTCTATCTTCTCCAATGCTTCAATATTTTCTCTAAACTTTTCCACTAAACCAACATTCTCTCTAATTAGCTTTTCTCGTTTAGTATACACCACATCCCATTTTGTGTGCAAGTATGCTTCTTCTTCCCTGATTTCTTTTCTTAATAATTCCACCACTTTCAGCTTGAACCCACGCATTGATGATTCCCAATGTTTGCTGATATTGTTACAAACTATAGCGGTAGCAAGCGCAACAACTCCTCCAACAGCATAAACATCAAAACCATATAGAGCATATCCTCCAAGGACACTGAGCAAAGTAGCTGGAGTATAAACACCAAGGAGTTGAGTAGTGAGTGTCTTGATTGTGGCGTTTTGAATGTTAATAATATCAGGAGCTAAAGTATCCATGAACTGGTCAATTGAGCCACTGTTGCGCCCATCATTCGCATCCTTTACCAATGGGTTCGAATTCAATTCTCCAGAAATAGGCGCAGGAATCAAATGGCTGTCAATTTTGCCTTCCACATAACTAAGCTTTTCCATGAAATTATTTCTTCCCTTCTGAGATCTCATTGCTTGGTGAATCATTTCAATCATATAAAATTCAAGGTCATCGGCAATCCAAGGAAGCTTCCACCACACAAGTTGACGTTTTTCATACTCCTCCAATGCATTACGGAAACCTCTTTGAAGAAAGCTATTTGATGCACGAGCCCATTGGCGCACTTCTTCTCTGACGGTATTTTGCAAGGCCAAAAGTTCAGACTCTTCAAGTGCAGTGGTGGCTGAATAGAAAAATCTGACGGTAATAATTTTATTGATGATCTTGAGTAAATCCAAAACATTTTTCTCACCTGCCGTAGCAGTATTCAACAAATACAAAAGCTTCAAGAGATTGGATGATTTTAGTGAAGCCACATACTGAGATGACTGGGAAAAATCAGACATGAGTAGTTCGTTTGCTTGTTGCGCCATTTTCGAGTCTATACGAAGCACTATCGGAGTACCATCTTCTGAGAATAATCCTTCCTCATTGATATTGATAGGACCATCTGGCATGGATTTTTGAGCAGAGTCTACAACAAGAAAGTATGGAAAAACTTCTTCCATAGGATATTGTGTATCTTTCACGGTATGATACACGTAAAGATGGCATCCATCACCAATATCAAGATTTTCATCTTCAATATCTGGGAGTGGAATATATGATTCATAAAGGATGTCTTCATCTTCTTTTCTAGAAATTGTCAAGGGCAAGATATTGCAATTTCCCACATTTGCAGTGTTGATTTCTAAAAGCTCCAAATCATTGAGCCGAAGGATATTCTTAGGTGAAGAGGAAGGGGAAGAAGAGGCCACTAGTCGATCAGCATTAGTGCCACCAAATGCTTGCTGTAGGTTTTTGAAATTGCCGAGACGAAGAGTGCTGCTTAGAAGTGGTGTTTGAATTTCCCAAAATGATAATGTTCGATCATGTGCAACATTTTCCACTATCACACTGAAGGGCTTATTGTCAGAATTATCGTTCCAAGTTGGGAATTCCTCGGGAGCACGATATGCTACTAAATGATTCCCTTTGTTCAGCCGCTGCTTGAGTTTAGAATACCAGTCCTGGTTTCCACTAAGAGGGTCCCCAAGAAGCGCAGGGAGTAAAGAATTACTATTACCAGGAGCCTTTTTGATTCCAATACGGATTGGGTAAGGCTGTCCTCTGCTGATAGACTTGAGATGAAGGATTAGGAGATTGACTTTTTTTGAAAGTGTTTCATTATCAATAGCCCCGCCTATACTTCCATTTGTAGGACTCCTTGACGAAACCAGGGTCAAGAATCTAGTGTTAATATCTCGAAGATCCTGGATTAGGGAATCAAGAAGTGCCTCTCGTTCTTTAATATCCAGTGCCGGTGCAATTTTATCTTTTAAATATTCTTCTTTATGTGTATTATTGTCTGGGGGTGTTGTAATTTCTTGGTGTTTGATGCCCTTGATTAGGTCGGACTCGAGCGTGCTAAGGCAACGATATGAATAAACATTGAGTTTGCAGGAAGCAATTTTCCAAATTGATTTTTGTGTAGCACCTGTGGCCAAAGCTCTGGGTAGTTGCAACATCTTGATGATGGCAACTATTGACTAGTGTCTAGTTAATGCTACTTTATTATTGTTATATTATGGTGGTTTTTTTTTTTTTTTTTGTTCTTTTTTTTTCCTCTACCCTATCAAATTATTTATCTCAACGCACTTTGGTTCTGGCCATCAATAACTTGAAGAGAACAAAATATGACACGAACAGTGCCAAAGTTGGCATTTGCAGATATATTTTCACCCAGAATGTCCCAATGGAGACTATGTGAGTAAAAATAAGAGAGGCTTTATAAGAAAGAGCGGCGGGGACAAGGGATATTTTATGCAATAAATCACTTACTAGGAAAACAAAAATGAAGAATATAAATGAAACCAAGGTAACAGAGAACTACATACCATATTGGCAGGGATTATGAGAAATAATTATCCTGTCATCGTTATACAAATCAACAAAATATTCTCACCAGATTGAGCTAACATCACCCAATTACCAACCTATTTCCACTAACACGTGATTAAAACTAACGCCGTCAGATTTTTTTTTTTCTTTTTTCTTTGGTAACCTGCCTGCCTCGTTTATCTCGTTTAATTCCAATTCTTAACAGCTTAGCGAGCCTACATCGTGAAATCAAAGAATAGATAATTAGACTTCAACAGTATTTGCCACATAGCTAGCCCTTCCTTATTCCTTAGCTTTCTTTCCTCCAAGCCTCTATCATGGGCGACAAACTTCATGCTTCATTGGGTAACGCTTCAACAGCCCCGAATGTTTCCGCGTCTGTAAAATCAGGCTCAAGAATTTCAAAAGACACAAACACATCAAGGACTTCTAAGCCAGCGACGAAGAGAAAGTTTCACACAAAGTCAAGAAATGGCTGCAATACCTGCAAGAAACGTCGTGTCAAATGTGATGAAATGAAACCAGTGTGTAACAAGTGTACACATATGGGCATAGAATGTACTTATTCAAATCCCGCCTTGGGAAAACCATCGGGGTCTCCCCAACCTCAAGAAAGACGCAACAATCAAAGCACCTCTGTCGATTTCAATTTTGGTAATAAGAACAATAATAACGCTGCTCCTGTTGATAGTTTCGGCAACTCTGGTGCCAGTTCTTCGGTCACTAATGCAGCGCTCCAGCTACTTATTGCCAATGCAACAAATACAATGGCTGCCCAAAACAATCCACTCTCAACTCTATTTTCTTCTGGTAAGAATTCAGTTGACTTGGCCTCCATTTTAGGCTCATTAAATGGTAATATCTCTGGTGATAATCCCTTGTCAAACCTTTTGGGTGGCAGTTCTTCTTCAAATGGTTTGTCAGCAACTGACTTACTATTGTTTCAAAAACAGCAACAACAACAAATGCAACAGGCACTCCTCCTAAACTTGATAACCGGTAATAACTTTAATGGGAATAACAGCAGTGGCTCTGATGACAATAACAATAATAAAAACAATAGCAGCTCGAACTCTCCTCGTCCAATCAACACAATTTCGTCTCTTCTTGGCCTTGGTGCAGGTAATGGTACTGCTACTCTTGCCAGCAATCCTTTGGTATCGACCTTACTTAGCCTGATTTCGAATCATTCTTCTGCTTCATCAGCTGCGTCATTACTCAATTTGGCTAATTCGAATGAACTTTACCCCGGATTAAACACTCTAGCTTCTCAAGCAGAGCAACAACAAAGAAACTCGGCGCCAATTAGTACACCACAGTCACCAAATAGTCTCACACATAATCTTCCAATTGATAGTTTAATCGATGATCCTCCAAGTATGGCCCCAGACTCTCCCATCAGCTCCTCACCAAACCTGTCTATTCGCGAACACATAGAAGGTGACACGGCATCTACCAGTCTTTCTTCTTCCCCGAAGAATTCCCTTCTAGTTAACGACTCTTCTATGAGCCCTACAATTTCCGGAAGTCTCAATACAAAAGACCTTAGATTGATGTATCACTACACTACCGTAGTGTGGCCCACAATTACTGCTGCGGGAATTTCAGAGGAAAAACTTTGGAGCGAATACATTCCTCAATTGTCATTTGAGCATCCATTTCTCATGCATTCTATCCTTGCGTTTAGTGCTACTCATTTGTCGAGAACAGAGCAGGGTCTTGATGAGTGCGTTACGTACCATCGTGGTGAATCGCTCAGGTTGCTTCGAGATGCAGTTTTAGAAATCTCTCTTGAAAATACTGACGCTTTAGTTGCTAGCGCTATCATTTTGATTATGGACTCTTTAGCTAATGCTTCATTGCCTTCATCTCCCTCCCCAAAATCCTTACCCGCGTCAGCTTGGATTTATCATGTTAAGGGCGCTGCGACCATATTGACCGCAGTGTGGCCACTAAACAAGACTTCGAAATTCCATAAATTCATCTCTGTGGACCTTAGCGATTTGGGTGATATTATTAATAGCCCAGAGAAACTTGCATCAAGTGATAAGACCTACCTGGATTTGGAGTGTTTTGACGAATCTATCGGTGATCTTTATCCAGTGGAATATACCTCGCCATATCTTATAACACTTGCGTATCTTAACAAACTACACAACGAACGTTACAAATCAGATTTCATTCTCCGAATTTTTGCATTTCCAGCTCTTTTGGATAAAACATTTCTTGCCCTCCTTATGACTGGTGATATTGCAGCAATGCGAATTATGAGAGTTTATTACTCAATGTTGAGAGAATTCACTAATGAGATGCGTGATAAAGTATGGTTTCTTGAAGGCGTTTGTAAAGTGCTACCTGCAGATGTGGACGAATACTCCGGTGGTGGTGGTATGCATATGATGTTGGACTTCTTGGGGGGTGGTTTGCCAAGCTTAACTACTGTTAATTTGTCAAATGAATTCACCTCTAACTTGGACTTTATGGGTAATTAATGCCAGTGTGCTGAAGCGATTCTTGAGAGATTGTGCTTCTCGCAACAGAGGCAACTTCGTGTTTCTTCAAACCAAGGCATTAGTTATCTTTTATTTAACTAAACTGCTATTTTTTTTTTCATATATATATTTGATTTTCTGGGGGCTCGCTGCTGCACTTTTTCTTCGCTTTTTTTTTTTCTTCCCGTTTTGCTTTCTTTCTTTTTCCGTTAGCAATTGCTTGATGCTTCTATATTACATACTAGAGTTTGACTTACAGATTTTTATTTCTTCACAAGTTCTCGCTTGCCATTATTCTAATACCCATATGCTTGTTTTCCTTTTGTGGTTAAGTCTTCTTGCCCTGGGCCATGACATACGTAGATAACTTCTACTAATCATTAATTAATTATTAAAGATTGGTCCTGAAAACTACACCTAGTAAACAAGGTGAGCGATGGTAGATATATTCGTTATCCAATGAACTTGTCAGTATTAGGTATATAGGACCGTTTCATGCATAGCTACTTATACTGCTTGGGATTCATGAGAAATTAAGGGTCCAGAGGCCATCAAGAACACGAAATGCTGTGATGCTGTCATCTTGTATTGCCAAATAAAAGATGAATACATCTAAGCCAAAAATCTATTTAATTAACCCTGACCACTTATATTATGTCGAAGTATATGTGACAAATACTTAAGCGTTTTTCATTTTTTTTTGCTACTGTTGGTTCTGATTCATGCATGCTGGGAGGTACAGGGAAACTATTTGTTCCACAGTGCTATTCAGGAAGTTATGTGGTACTTGACCCCTACTAGTTTTAAATTGTCAATTAAATGGTGAGACAAACTAAAACTTATGGAGTGCTGATTAATTGACTGTGTTTAAGCTGCCGATAGTGCAGTTCGCAAGGGAGTGCTTGACTCACATAGGGCTATTATATGTTGTGGAGATTCATTGCACGTGATATATTTTATATAGCCCTAATGATATACAGTGGTCACATGCAGTGCAAGATGGAAAAATATTCCCAAAAATAAAATGAAAAAATGAAAATTAAGACCCCGTAGCATACCGTCCATATCAAAGACACCAAAATCATCAAGAAAAAATGGGTAGAGATCACTTTGTTAAACAACACGCTAGATCCGGTCACAGAACCGCTCCAAAGTCCGACAATGTTTACTTGAAATTGTTGGTCAAGTTGTATTCTTTCTTGGCTCGTATGTGATATTTTTTAATTTGATAAAAGATCAAAAAAAGAAAAAAAAGAATGGTTTCATCAATCAACTTGTATGAAGATGAACCGCAAAATGGGAATTGTGTACTATAATTTACTTAAAAAGTCTCTTCAATGCTTCATGAATATTGGCTACTTTTTATCTCCGCAGAATTCACAATCTATAAAGATCGGTGAAGCTGGGCCTACGAATGCTTTTGGTAGTTCAGAAGCTTGTCCCTTAGCTACTCATAATCTTTTTTGGGCTTTGCTGCGTCGAGAGCAACACATTCTGCGAGTGCATTCTATTTTCTTTGAATTGTGCGATCTTTGAGCAGAATGGAACATTATTTACTAACGTTTTAATGTATAGGTAGAACTGATTCTGCTTTCAACAAGGTCGTCTTGAGATCTTTGTTCTTGTCCAAGATCAACAGACCACCAGTTTCTGCTTCTAGAATCGCCAGAGCTTTGAAGCAAAAGGGTTCTGCTGAAAAGACTATTGTTGTTATTGGTACTGTTACCGACGACAACAGAATCTTTGACTTCCCAAAGGCCACTGTTGCTGCTTTGAGATTCACTGCTGGTGCCAAGGCCAAGATCTTGAAGGCTGGTGGTGAAGTTATCACTTTGGATCAATTGGCTTTGAGAGCTCCAAAGGGTCAAAACACTTTGATCATCAGAGGTCCAAGAAACTCCAGAGAAGCTGTTAGACACTTCGGTATGGGTCCACACAAACATAAGGCCCCAAGAATCTTGTCTAAGGGTAGAAAGTTCGAAAGAGCTAGAGGTAGAAGAAACTCTAGAGGTTTCAAGGTGTAAGCCTCTTAATTGTTGTCTCCTCAGCCTCAGTTTTTATTATATTATTCTATTTTTTGTATTGTATTTAGTTAATTATGGTTATGATTTATTCTTTATGATACTATTTGATGGGATGAATGAACACAGTCCTTATATTGTAAAGCCATTAAGTTTTGTCATTTGAAAGGGTTTTGTGAAGTCGCACAGAGATTAAAATTTTCATTTATGAAATCGAGGGTGGCATACCCCGCGATTTTCATCAACGCGTTGAACAAAACAAAAAAAAAAAGGTAAATAAACAATTCTTATCTTTTCTTCGGAGCTCTGGAAAGGCTGAAAACAAAGAGGAGGTGTCTTGGAGATTTATATCTATTTTTCAACTGTTGTTGCAATCAGTTTTAGACTGCACCCTTATTTCAGAACCATATATAGCATCCATTGGCGACAGGAATTAAATTGCAATTGGAAAGAAACATGGTTCCACCATTACCTGTTAATCACGACGGCAGCCCTCAATACGATATGAGCAATTCGGACACATCGGAATCATATCGCTACTTGTCCAATGAAGAAACAGAATTAGAGACTAACCTTGCGACTGCTGCCACTTTTGCTGATTTATCGTTTATAAGACATGGTGCCCAAGTTCTTGACAATTGGGATACAAATGATTCAAGACCTAATAATATGGATGCTACCACGGACAATACAAAGCTTAAATCAGGAGAACTGGTCAATGATGATAAAGGTCTGCATTCTTCAAATATCAAGCCAAACAATATACATAAAAGACGCGACTCAGGATCATCTGCGAAATATCAGGCAGACAGTGAGAAATCTGTGGTTGAGGATAAATATGATGAATCCTTGAATTTGAATGCGACGGCAGAATATTCCCCCTCAGTCGCTAAGAAGGATAGGAAATATCAAAAAAAGAAAAATAAGAATCTGTATCAGCTAAATGACCCCAACGATACCACTCTCAATAACAAAGAAAATAATGATCCTTCTCTAATTATGCACTCAACCCCATTAATCAAGCCACTGGTAGTGGACCTGTACCCTGAGAGCATTTTAAAGAAAAGCGGAGCCCTGAATAATGGTAAAAGGAATGTTTCCTTTCTGCTCCAGCAATCATTTCTACCCTCTAAAGAGAATGAAAAAGACGCACATCCCATTGATATGCTCAAACTCCGACAGTTGGCTCCTTCTGATTCAACAACAAAAAATGTACTTAATGACAATCCTAGAGATAACGAAATTGAGACATTATCTCATGAAATCGAAACTCTTAGGAGAAAACTAGAGCAGAAGCAACTTCAATTGAAGCAAGTTGGAATAGAGAAGAAGTTGGAGGAAAAAAATGCATCAAATAACGGCAGGAAGGCTATTTCCATTGATACCGTACCCACTTTGGGAAAAATTGATGCTATAACCGGGAGGTCAGTGTATGAATCTTTAGACTTCCCAGATATAGATGAACTTTCACAAATAGAGGCCCATAACATATTAAAGAACATCTGTCTCAAGCTTGAAGTCCCATTCTCTGTATTGCCCAAGACAGTGGTAAATATTCCTGATTTGTGCAAGTCTGAGCTGCATTTGTTGAATTTCGCCAGTGGCATACACAAGATCCTATATTTGAGTCATTTACGGGTGCCTATCATTGAACCAATACCATTTCAAGAGAACAGGATGAAGATAATAGGAATAGGCAGTGGTGTAACCAAGAAATCAAAAATCAATTTTCTAAAATGTCTAAACCACATGCAGGAGGAAATTTATGCAATGAATAACTACATAAATAAGGTTGAATAGGGTCCATACAACAAGGGGAACATGTTATTTATAAACAAAAAATCAAACAATGTCAGAAACACTGTTTATCTTACTCTCTGATAAACTTGGACATAACTTTCATCTAAAAAGATTAGCCTCTTATTGATTTTTTTCACTTGCAAATTATCTATCTCATACCACTCATTTGTTATTTGGTCTAGCATTTGAGCTTTCCAAGTGTGGTTATTAGCATCAAAAAGTGAATTGCTATCAGGCGCAATGGTGCTTTCATCATTTTTACTGTTTATAGAATTGTGAACAATATTGATAATAAGTTTGTATTCATACTTTTTATCCTTTGTCTTTTCTGGTGGCAAGTAGCTGGTCAAATCAAGAGAATCAATATCATACTTGATGACAATATCGTTGAAATTATGCCTAAAGTTCTTGTTGAATCTATCGAAATTGAGAACCAAGTAATTTGGCAAAGATTTCAATTTGTAATTTTTGTATACTGAATTGTTGACAATTGTTGGCACTTTAAACTTTGAAATTAGAAGCTGATTGAGAGATATCTGTTCTATTTTTGTGGAATCATTTGCCCCTGATGATGATAAAACCTTCTTGTCTGGTAAATTCAAAGTTAGTTGCCAAAATTTTGTGATAGTTGACTTTCTGGAATGTTTCTCTTCATCAACTTCCTCCACCTCAATTTTTCCCTGCACATTATTCACAAGAATATTTCCTTGCTTTGATTTCTTGAGCCCCAAATTCAAATTATTTAAAAGCCAATTCAAGAAGAATTTTGGATCGTTATTATCAAGATTGTTGTTCAAAAACACTCCATTTGACATCTTATTGATATAATTTAAAAGATCAAATGGCGATATTTGTGTCTTGAATAGCTTATCAAACCAATATTTTCTCATAAATAGTCCCAATTTTATGTTTAGTTCATAATTCTTAGAAAATTTCAAATCCTTGTTATTAAAAACATCTATTCCATCATTAGCCGATGTTTGTATTAGGTACCAATCTCTAATTTTGGGTAAATGAGCAATTAGTTGTAATATCACACTCTGAAAGTTATTTCTGCTATTATTGTTAATAATGCTTAATCCCAAAAACCCTATTTTATATTGGTTGCGGTTCACCAAATCAAAAGCAACGCAGTTTGAAGGATCATACAACTGGCTCTGTAGTTGATCTTTAGAATATTTGGGACTTATTAGGTTTCTGATATCATTTAACAAGTCGTTCTTTCGCTGAGGATCAACTTCAAAATTTTCTGGGAGACAAAATACTTTACCATTTTGTAAGTTAATGAAAAGTTTATGGGTAGCGTTATCGACTGAATGCTTGTAAGCAAATGAGTTTTTGGATTTTCCTTGAAAGAATCTCCCACAGGTCAAGCAGCAGTAGACATTAATAATAGCTAATGAAATAGAACAAACTTTTTCGAAATCGAAATCTAGAAGCTTCTTATTTATTGAATCAAAATGAATAACTTCACTTGGTAAGCTAGTGGTTTTTTTTGTTGCTGGCAACCTATTCTTATTGTTTTCTTCAGAATCTGTATCGAATTCATCAAACGTTCTTTTCCTATCATTCAGTCTCCCATTACAAGCAGCGACATCATCTATTTTGGGAGACATTTGCAATTGATAACAGTTTGATAATTGTATGTCTTTTTTATTTTTTATTTTTTATTTTTTATTTTTTATTTTTTATTTTTTATTTTTTATTTTTTATTTTTTTTTATTTTTTTCCTGGTTTGTGCAGAGCTATCACCATTAAATAAAGTGGAATTAATAGGGCAATGAAATTTGTAATCCGAGGATAATAATTCACCCGTTATACTTTAATAAATCAATATATGTAGATATATAAAAGTTCACAAGAAGAAGGGGTAGGTAGATTGGTGCAAATGTGAATGAAGAGGTGCTGCACATTCGATTCGAGTTGAATGATTCATAAAAGAGAAGACTGAGAAATACCTTGATTGCATAAAGGAAACCACTTCTCTATCCCTTTTACTTACAGGTAATATTATTACTTTCAATAGTAAGTGGATCATAAACTTATAACTCCCGAAAATCTGGAAATTATTTGGACTTTTCCGCAAATTGCTAACCAAGTTGATGATATCAATCAGTTACAATCTATTTACCAGCTTTTCATTTTTAACTTTTTGACAATTCTTAGATCCTATTTCTTTGTCATTAGTTTCAATATCCTTTAAACACATAATCGTGTTTCTAATTCAACAAAATTTCTACCCTCACGGAATCTTCTTGACACAAAAAACAAAACCATATTTTACAACCCGCAGAAAGAAGTACATTTCATTATTGATAATTGCTTTATCACATATAATACATTAGAATAGAAAGATACAAAATTTCTTGTCTCAGCTCAAGTAAACGAACTTCTGCTTTACGCTTTCCACACTGAGCTCTTTCAATTTGGAATGCAAAATCATCGATTCTTTTTCACCTCTCTCAAGAGCCATAAATAACTTCTTTTCACTAAATCTACCAACATTTTCTCCATAAAGCAATTCATCTACTTTATTATTCTTTATTCCGTAAACCACTAAATGCCTACTTTTTGCCTCCGATAAACCATCTTTTACCAATGAACCTTTGTGTGTATATGTGAATATATTGGAGTTGAATGCTTTGTAAATACTGATATTAGCATCCACCAAAGCTAAGAAGGCGCTGTTAATGCAACAATTAAGCTCTAGTAACACATCTTCCGTAGCAGCGCTCTCATCGCTATCTGATGTATAACTTGAATTATTATTCTTCTTCTCCAAGATCTGCAAGTTCACTTGAATAACTTGTCTTGGGTATAAATTCCCAATAATCACGGAATTGAGAAAGTTCTTAATCTTATCCTCCATATATTTCTCCCTGACAGTTGGATTCCCAATAGCAGGCCTTATAATCACTTCCAAATAGCATGTGGTTGGCAATTCTTGTCTTGGTCTTGCTTCCATCGGCCCATTAATACCACAAACTACTTTAATCCCATTTAACAGAACCTCTGAACTTCCACCAGCATTATTGAGTACTCCTATTTTGGCATCGAGTTCCATTTCTCAAATCTATAGCAATATCAACTTGTTTCTTTGGCTTCATGATGGTGTATTCATTAGAGATGCTTTTTGCTAAAAAAATTTTTCTACATAAATTTCGAGGGCTGACTAACCCTTTTGTGCATCAAAAAATCTGAACATGGCACATTAGACTGGGGTAACCCCCAATTGATCAAATACTTTGCTTTGTTTATTTGCATGAGTAGAATATTAAAGGGATTCATGCCATTAATGTTATTTTCCACCTTTTCTATTTTTATTTTTTCTATATTTGCAAGAGATTTCATACAGTATTTGCCTTCCAACCAAAATTTCAATTTGACAAACTGCAACTCAGTAAGCGAACCACCTTCCCCACCTTAAAAGACACTTAGCAGATAAAAAATTGTTCCAAATTAGTATTGTATCAAAGAAGATCTCGCCATTGCAATCTAATTTCCAAAAGTTATCGAATTCAGTAATACTGTTGCGCATCAATAAATTCACAGCCATCATGAACTTTGAAGTGCCTGTAACTTCAATACTCTTGCTTTCCATACCATGGTATCATGAAAATTGTAATGATCTAGACACTTTCTTACTTTTCTTTCTCTTTCTTTCTTTTTATTGTTCTTATCTTTTCTTCTCTCTTCTTTATTTAACTCCATTCCTTATCTCGGACAACCTCCTTATCTCCGACTATCTTTTTATTTCCCTTTGAGTTCCCTTTTAGGTAAGTCTTACTTTCTTTTCTCACCTATAAAAAGCTTACTTCATCTATTCCTTTTAGTTTTTATTCTTCTTTAATATACTTTAACTACTATGTTACCCAACTAAACCATTACAAAAATTAAAAATTAAATATGTATACTGAAGAGTTTGAGATGGCCAGATTATGCATCTTCTGCAAAAATTTTACAAGAATGAGAGAGTATATATTTATTTAGAATAAAAAAATAATCTAAGCAACAGAAAAATAGAATCAGCTAGGTTTCAAATATATTCAGCATTATATATATTTTAAAGTTTATGATTTCTAGAGGGAGAAACTCTAATAACCTTGCTAACTTCTTGTGCTTCTCCTTCCATTCTCGGTGAGCTCCCATTATCTTGTTTAATCCCAATTTTTTCATTCCAAGACCATTTGTCGACTAAAACAGGATCGAGCTTGCCTGTGATAAAATCAACCACTTTATCACCTATTATTGGAACGAATTTCCAAGCATGTGCGGATCCTCCAGTAGCCAATACAACATTTTGGAGTCTTGGATGATTATCAATCAAGAAATTAGCCGTGGGAGTTTGAGTCAACCAGCATAACTTGGTTCTATCGAAAGGTCTTTTATATAAAGGAGGCATAATTTCTTTCATATTTTCCCTCAAAGCCAATTCAGCATCTTCTGGAATCCAATCCTTCGGATTAGTTGTGATTGTTCTTGGGTATGAAATACTGATTTCATTTTCTTTCACATCTGTCGGTGTTGGGTTTTTAATGTTTAATGTATTCTTGTATCCCGCAGATCTTCTCAAGATTTTGACTTCACCTTCATAAGGAGGAAATGTGTTAATTCCAGTCGATAAATTTGTGGTTATTGACATGTTTTTCCATCTTTCTTGCTCTTCTTTTGAAACTTTAAACCATGCAACTTCAATAGCTGAGGAGCTACAGACACCTCTAAGATCAACTAATTTACCGCTCCAAGCACCAGCAGCAACAATGACTAGGTCAGATTCAATTAAAGTACCATTAATCAATTTGACACCTTTGGCTTTATTTGTTCCAGTATGGTAGTCAATTTTTGATACTTCCTCAAAAGTGAATTTTACATTAGTATAAGCTTTGGCACGCTGGTAATACGCTTTCATACTTTTTTCAGCGTCAATAAAACCATTTGACAAGTTGCAATAGCCTTTGTTCCACCAAGTGGCTCTGCCCAACTCTTTCGGGGTCTTAGGAATGTAATCTTTTCCATGAATTCTTTGAATGACGTCTGTATTGCTATTAAAATGAACAATTTTTTCTGGATGATTCTCATTAGCCTCTATAGCAGTAATTCTTCCTTTAATGAATATATCTTCCCATTTGTCACTTTTTCCATTGTAGACAAAAGACATTCCACACTTGTGAAAAAATTTTGACAAGACTGGGTCATTTTCGATTTTCTTCAAAGATTCGGCTGCTAATTTAGAGTAAACTGGGTCTTTATAATCAAATCTTATGCAACGAGTAGTATCCACACTGGTAGCATCTGGAACTGGTGGCTCAAAACGATCAATGACATGAATTTGACAACATGGGTATCTCTCGGCCAAAGCAATTGATGTTGATATTCCGAAAATACCTGCTCCAATAATAACGATATTCTTTGGCACCTCCATACTTGATGATCAAATTTCTTATGTTTTTTTTTTCCTATTCACCTTCTTCTTGTGGAAGTAGTTGCCAATAAAGTGATACCAGCCAAATTTATTTAATTTGTAAATAAAGAAAAGGAAACTACCGATAACACTTCAGAATATGTGCCATAAAGAAAATATTTCAGATAGTATAATTTTCCTTTTTTGGAATCTTGCGGAAACCCGCGTCCACCATCCTGATTTCTTATCTTTTTGGCTGCACCGTCAATACTAAGTAGTATTTGGTTATCAGATAACATGTCAATAATAATAGTCCAGCCGATATTTTTACTGCATCGAGGTACCTAGTTCGAAACTCTTAACCGTGGCAAGTATAATAAAGAATATTTATTATCAAAATACTGACGGTTGCTACTAGCTGTGAGCTTGGACAAATATCCCCGCTTATCAAATTACAGATCAGAACGCAGCTCTTATATCGTTCTAATACAGATTCACTTAGTTCCTCTCCACGTTCACCGGAAATGTGTCTAGCACTCTAATATATATAAAATTTGGTTATTTTCAAAAATCTCCCGGCTTCTAACTTGTATATCTCAAGGCTCGATAATGTATTACTATTGAGTATATATAACCTATTTTTAAGTATTTCATTATTTGTCTCATCAAGTTTGACCACTTTATTGGTTTAAAAAACTACACATAATTAACATTAAGCAGAAAGCCACATAACACTTTATTTTGAATTTTTATCATAACCTAAAAATAAACAGTAACTTATATTGATAGTATCTTTTGGATGATAAATGCCGAAGATATCCCAAAATCAGCTAAATCTATAATTTAGCCTTCAATGGAAAAATTTTATAATCTTCAGGATCAGAGATTTCCTGGATGTCATATCTTCTACCACCATTTAGACCTTCTCTTAGACCATTAGGATCCTTTTCAAAATCTTTAGAGTATCTCCATTTAAATAAATCAGTATAAAAATTTTCACGTCCTTCAATCTTGTCAACCAAGAATTGACCAAGAACTGGAAGCATTTTGAAAGCATGACCAGAACCACCGCAGGCCACGAATAATCCTTTTTTATTTGGAACAAAATCATAAATATAGTCATTGTTTATAGTGTCAGTGTACCACAAGATTTTACTTTCAAATTTTAGTCCTGCTTCAACGAGATCTGGAAAGAAAACATTAAGCCATTGTCTTACCTGCTTCATTATGTGCTTAGTCAAGTATTGGAAAGGAGGATCACTGTTAGCCGTTTTAGGAATCGATACCACCCTTCCATTATCTAATTTCACAGGGTTTGTGTATTTTGTTTGCCTGATAATCATCTTCATATATCCCTCAGGCTCAATTATTGGAAACATAAACATACCAGCCAAGTAATCATGCTCTCTAGAGTGACCATTTTTCCAGCCAACAATTGGGAAGTTTTCAGCAGAGTACTTCATTCTTAAGTCTTTTCGAGATTCTGGAATTTTGAAAGTAACAATATTACCGGCTGTTCCTTCATTAATACCATCCAATTCCGGGACTAAAGAGGTGGACCAAGGGCCACTATTGATTACAACCAAATCAGCATAGTGCTTGTTTCCATCCTTGGTTATGATGCCGCAAACTTCTGTGTTGCCAGCATCTTTGTAAACATATTCACTAAAAGTGCCCTTTTGGTCTCCGAGAATAAACTTGACACCCATTGTTTCACACAAATATTTTGCATATTGGCAAGCCCTAGAAGCGTACAATACGCCAGAAGTAGAATCCAAAGCACCTTCTAATTCTGGAATCTTGGATTTCAAGTCTTGAGCAAATTTCATTTTATAACCAAGACCACAAGCATTGGCTCTTTTTATATCTTCTTCGTTATTGACATCATATCTCAATGACCCTATACCTTCATTTTTGTAGTTTTCTCTGGAAGCTTGCTCTTCCCAGCCCAATTGATCGTCGAGTCTCAACATGCCACAAAGATCCAAAACTCTCAAATCTGTGTACTTTGAAGCTTCACTAGGTGGTAGAAGAGTAATATCACGATTCCATTGTTGCCATACATCAAATGCCTGGAACGCTAGGTCTTGGTAATGCTTTTTTTCGGCATATTGAGCTCTGAAAATTTTGTTCATATCACCAGAAGCAGTGTCAGCACCTTCCAAGAAAGTGTAGTGATTCGCTTCCATATCTAAACGATCAAAAACTTTGATGTTCTTGTAACCATTTTTGGCTAAATGGAGGGCATTTGATAAACCAAACACGCCTGCACCAACGAGTATGATCTGAGAGTCTTTTGTTAAGGATGCCATTCTGTGAGAGTTTCTATCTATGATGGGACTCCTCTTGAATGTATATATTTCCTTCTTCAGCAATTATGAAACATTCATCTATATATATTAGTGAAGAGCGGAAAGAAATGGAAAGACCGTAAGCTCCCGAATCAGCGGAACAAACAGATAATTAATCAGGGAATTTATGCGACTCTTTATCAAGCACGGATATACCTGCCTTGGTTTTCTTAACTGATAATGCATCTTTCTGCAACGCCTGATACTAAAAATTTAATCAGTTAGACCTACTAAATACTAAATAGGAAGAACAATTACACTGGCACAAAGCGAATGTTCAGGAAGATAAGAGTCAGGATTTCAGAAGATAACAAAGAAATAGATGAAGTTTCGTTTTTCAATCGATAACTGCCACATTGCTACTATATTAGGCCCAAAGTTTCCCTAATTTTCGAGAGGCTCAATTTCATCGTGAGAACTTTTTTGGCAGTAGCTAACTACAAAAAAAAAAAAGGCCAAGAAACACAAAAAAGATGATTCTGGAGACTCCCGAATTGAAGGAAGACTTTCAAGTCGAATTGAAAAATGTTCTTTCAACCGAAGAACTTAGAGAGGTGGATAAAGGGTTCGAATATGCCTTGGACACAGAAGGTTTGGAATTGGACCCTGTTAAAGAGAAGAAACTAGTCCGGAAGATTGATCTTTATATTTTGCCGATGCTTTGTATTTTGATGTCTTGTCAATTGATGGATAAGTCCACTAACTCTTATGCATCAATTGTTGGTTTGACGACTGACCTTAAAATGGATACTAGAACTTATTCCTGGGTCGGAAGCTCCTTTTATTTGGGTTACTTGGTATTCTTGTATCCTGCTAACATGATCTTACAAAAAACTCCTATTTCCAAAACCTTGGCGTTTGCTGTTTTGTTTTGGGGTATTGTAATCTGTTGCCATGGTGCATGCCACTCGTCTGACACATTTTTATTGTGTCGTACTTTGTTAGGAATGTTGGAATCTTTTATGGATCCAACATATATGCTTATGACTTCTCAATGGTATAAGAAAGATGAACAATACGTTAGATGTGGCTATTGGTTGGGGATGCAGGGTTTCGGTACTATGTTAGGGTCAGGTATTGCATATGGTTTCCATAAACATAAAGACTCCTTCTCTTTTGCTCCATGGAGATTATTATATATTGTCACCGGGGTGATTACCATATTTTTTGGAATTGTCTCTTATTTCCATATTCCAGATGTTCCAACAAACGCCTGGTTTTTAAACGAGGAAGAGAAAAAATACGCAGTTGAAAGAGTCAGAAAGAATAGAACTGGGTTTGGTAACCAACAATTCAAATGGTCTCAGTTGAAAGAATCAGCCAGCGATATTACTCTCTATTTATTTTTCTTCTATATGATGGGTTATGGTATTGAGAATGGTGCATTGGGTAATTTTGGCTCCATCTTATTGAAAAACCAGTTTGGATTCACTACTGGCTCAGCTCTCCTCATGAACATGGTCGGTAGCGGTATTGATATTGTTTTTCCATTAATGTTTGCATATGTCAACAAGTACATTATTCCTAGTAGACTTTTAACAGGATTCCTCATCAATTCTATTGTCTTTATTGGTCTCTGTTTATTGGCCTTTGCTCCAAACAACGTTGCTAAATTGGTTGGTTATTATTGCAGTTATTTGACAACTGCAAGTTGGGCTTGTTTAAGTTCGGTTGTTTCTTCCAATGTCGCTGGTCATACCAAAAAAATCACTGCTAATACATTCTTTTTGATTGGATTTTGTGTTGGAAATTTGATTGGTCCTCAAGCGTTCTTGGCCCAAGAAGCACCTGTATATTTCACAGCCAAAAGAACCATGGTGGGTACATATGTTATGTCAGCCATATCACCATTAGCAATGTTTGCGATTTATTATTTCAGAAACAAGAAGAAGGATGAAGAAAACAAAGAACTTGCGGACTCCTCAGATATCACACTTTCCTTTGGTGATAAGACCGATAAAGAGAATCCTGCCTTTAGATATTGTTTATAAGTTTATTTTTTATATGGTTTTCTTTGATTTCTTTCTATCGAGAAGCTCTTCTCAATTTTCTTTGCTTTGATTTATTCATGGTGCTTTTTTTTTCTTTTCAATAGATTTACTTTATAATAACATTTTTGTCAGTCTGCCAGTAGTACAGACCTCCTAACATGGCTCGACGGCCACGGGCTCATAACCAAAGATACTTCCACTACTTCTGTAGCTTTTGACGATTAATAGTCACTACTATCATGTATATAGAATTATCAAGACTCACAACCAAGTCCCTGTTTATATACTACTAAACGTTCAAAGTTACTTTATACTTATTATTATCATTACATTAATATCTATAAACCGAGATTTGGTTTTTCGTCTATCCGCAGGAATCTTTTAAAAATTTTAATAAACAGGATTATGGCGTTCAATATGCATAAGTAAGGGATTTACAGCTGTACTCAAGAAATATCTCACTTCTTGATCTTCTCTTGGAGTATAATCCTGGAGTATGACCTTAAAGTTTAAATCACAAGAATTTTCATATAATCTATTGTATTTGCTGATCTGAAGGCTTGAGTTATCAAGGAAACGTATCTGTTTTCTTTTTTATTTGTAGGTGAGGATATTGCATAAGAAAGACCCCAATTAAAAGACTAGCTTATTTACCAATCTTCTAAGAAGCATGACAGTGAAGAAAATACAAAAAATAAAGGAAAAAAAAATCTATCTATTGCTTTATAACATGAAAGGTTGAAGTGAAATAACATTAGCAACATCAAAATGCTAAAGTGGCATAATGGTAATAATAAAATAATAAAGACATCTGGAAAAAAACCACAAGGAAAAATAAATGAAAATAATAATTGTGTACAATCCTCTTGTCAATCAAATCAAATAGAACTTACAGAGTCGACATGGCCACTCCATAAGCCGCTTGTACACATTCTTGATAGTCAGGCATTTTAAGCATTTGTTTGGTCAAATCACTGGTCGCAGAAAACCGCAAGGTATTGACCACCTCGCTAAAGTTACGTCCTAGTTTTATTGCAGAAAAAATGCCTCCCACTGCTCCAGCGATAGTAGATATAATATCTACAGGCAGAACTTCGCCAGTAATCGACCAAGTTGCCAAAACTTGTACACCTGCTAATACCGAATCAAGAGCGACCGCTGCAAGTCCGTCAGCAAAAATTGCAGCGACCCCGACAATAGTGAAAATTATATTGAGAATTGCCAATTTTCGCTCTTCCTTTTCTATTTTAATTTGCTCGGCACCCTGTGCATCAATATACATTGCTCTTTGAGCCATATTGGTAAACACTGGAACTGGTGTCAAAAAGTCAATCAAATCAATAGGACTAACTTTTCCAACAGAACCTTTGGCTGTCGCTAATAAAGACGCAAGATTGGTCAAGTTGTCCCAGGTAAAACTCGCGATTGGGTCGTTGTCAAGTAATGCTGCACTAGGCAACGTCATATTTTTGGCAGTAAACTTGCATGCCAATACATTTTCAGCCAATTGGAAGGTCGTAGAACTATCCATCAAAGTCAAATCGCTTGCCTTAATTGTAGCGTTGTAATAAGTGGATAAACTAGCAGCTGCTGCAGCTTTTTGGGAATCTGGAATATGCATGTTCAGGAAGGTTCCACCTGTGCAAATACTTGCTTTGCCAACAATATTTTCATGTATACATGAAGTAGTGGATCGAGAATTTTTGCATTTATAGTAATTCAAGTTTTTATAACTGTCCTCGTGTAACCATTCACCAAAGTCTGACATAATACTATTTTGAATTGCTTTAATATAAGCCTTATAGTTCTCCTCGTAGGTTGAATATTCGTTCATAAGGTAAGTTAAGTTTGTTAATGCAGCCTGACCTTGATTTAAATAGTATCCAACCCAAGCAGAATAGCGGCACCCATATTTAGCTTTGGAGATCTGGGCTGGGCTGGTAATATCTGAAAAATCTGTTCCACAATCATAAATGTCAACATATGCAGAATCAGTGGTGATTTCTGATTGGTCAACAACTGCTGAGGCTGTCCTTGTGACTTTTTTTTCCATTGAAGCATAAACTTTAGACTTAGAGGCAATATTCTTGGACATTGATTCACTTGCCTTAACTCTGGCTTTGGAAGCACTAGCGGAGGCTTTGGAGGCAGATTTGACAGAATTGACAGAAACTTTGGAGGCATACTTTACAGAATTGACTGAAGATTTTGACGAAGCTTTAGCTAAGGATTGCGAAGCCTTAGAAGCGGAAATTGAGGCTGCTTTTGCTGCTTTTGAGGCAGACTCGAATGCTTTTGAAGCAATAGACGCAGCAGACTTCGAGGCTTTTGAAGCAGATTTAACAGAAGCCTTTGAAGCCTTGGAGACAGACTTAATTGAAGCTTCAGAGGCCTTTGAAGCGGATTTTTCAGATTTCTCCTCCGCGGACTCACGTTTCGCGATATCAGTGGCAACAGGTGCTTCCGTTATAGGGATGTGGTGTAAGGCAGAAGCAATAGTGATAAGCCAAAGACAAAATATCAAGAAGAAGCCTCGCTTCATTGTGTCAATTTGCTGCCTGTTAATGTTATAATACTGATAGTTCCAAAATAAAACAGGGTATATGAAGCAAAGTGGTGAAGGGCTATGGGTAGGGCTGAACTGTTCCAAAATTTTCCGAGACTATCAACTGTTTCAAACCAAAAGAACCAATTTTCGATCTAATAACCTAATTAAAGCAGGTTTTACTCTTTTTATATTTGTGTATCCTGCCGTAATTCCCATTTCTCAGTAGTATCATATTTCTATCGCCTGCATGCCCATGCAGGGATACGCTCACTCAAAACACCAACTGATAGCGTTTTTTTTGTGGTCGCACAGACGCTGAGATCCATCTGTACATGGAAGGAATACTATTGTAACTCATATTCTGATGAGTGGCAGTTACAAAAGACTGGTGAATAATACACCAAGATTCTAGAGTTAAATAATAACGATGATAAACTACCATCAAGCTAATATCAAGGATACCATGACCACGGCCAACTCCTACAGATTTCTGGACGTTTATATGAACCATATCGAAAAAAAAAAGCATGAAGCCTTTCAAGACTTTTCATGTAATTGGTAATATCTATATGTGATGAACATATTGAAAAAAAAAAAAAAAAGGAAAAAAAAAAATGAAGGTAAAGAAAATTAACTAGAAGAGATGTTAGATATGAAATCGGGACGACAGTAACATAAAAAAAAAGAGTTCAAAATAAGCCGATATCATTCATGAAGATCTCTTACCAGAGCCCTTAGGTACTCTAGCTAACCAATAGAAAAAAACTGTGCCAATCATGTCAATGAAAATGTACGCTGAGAAAATACCGACATTACGCCCATTTTGGCTAGGTTTGATTTCAAGCTTATGAAGATAAGTGTTTGTTTCAGAAACAGCACAGAAGGAGCAATCAGTAGTAGAGTTGATAGTTGAAGGTAGCAAATATCCACCAGCAATGCTAATATAAGGTTCCATATACTGATAACAAGACATTCCTTGAGGAGGTGGAAACTTCAAATACTCATTAGAAGCACATGTAACATCATTGTCAGAAACAGCAAGTGAGAGCATTGCACTCACAACGTAAGTCATTGGATTACATCTGTACATGAAAATCCAAAATCCTGGCATCACATTTGGAGGTGAGAGAACCCCACAGAAAATCAAACACATCGTGAATAACATAACACATAGGTTAGCTGCATTTGCATCATGCTCATTGAATGAAATTGCTAATTGAGCAAATGTTGACGTGTAAACATAGAAGAGGACAACAACGATCCACATCATGGCGCCACGACCATGAAGATCGCCTGCATACGACGCATTATGTTGCAAACCAACTGGATAGTACCAACAAAAAAAGGCTATTGTACCAGCGAAAATCTGCCACGGGATTTCTGAGGTAATTTGAGCAGTGATAAAAGCAACCCAGGAAAACGTTCTTGATGGTCTTTCCCTAGCTTCATAGATATCACGTTGGGCAACAAAATTAGGCAAATACTGTTGTACCAAACAACCGAAAATCGCAATAAACATGAAAATGGCAAACATTTGTGATTGTAATCCTTGTAAAGATTTTTTGGCCATGAAGAAAGTGAAACCATTAAACAAGGAAGAAGCCACAGCAATCAATAACTTGGAGTAAATATAACTTGGAGTCCTCCATGTTTGTTGAAAAACTCTTTGAGTAACTAACAAATATTGTTTCGAGAAAGATGCAGCGTAGGTCTTGTACTTTTCCGGATCATCATTTACCGGCAATTTAGATAATTCTGTCTCCATAGTATTCAACTCACCATGAAGATCCTGGAACTCACTCGAATTTCTCCAGACATCGTAATAATTTTGTTCAGCATGTGATCCAGGGGCAGCACCAATAACTTCAAGCATCCATTCAGCAGGATTAGCTTCTGGTGGACATTTAGGAGCGCCATATTTTTCAAAGTAATCTATCATAATATGACAACCCGCTCCTAATTCACCAAAATAAACAGTTTGGCCGCCTCTTTGCAAAAACAACAATCTGTCAAATTCCTGCATCAAAATAGCTGAAGGTTGATGGATAGTACACAAAATAGCATGTCCATGGTTGGCTAACTTTCTGATCAACTGGCAAATAGACCAAGCAGTCTGGGAGTCAAGACCAGAGGTTGGCTCATCAAGAAAAACAAGTAATTCAGGTTTGGCTGCCAATTCAACACCAATAGTCAATCTCTTTCTTTGTTCAACATTCAAGCCTTCACCAGCAACACCAACGACAGCTCCAGCATAAGGTCTCATTTCAAGTAAATCAATCACCTCCTCAACATAAGCAATCTTCTCCTCTCTTGGAACACTGGCCGGTTGACGTAACTCTGCAGAAAATAGCAAAGCTTCACGAACAGTGGAAATTTCCAAATGTAAATCTTGTTGCTGAACATAACCAATGGATCTTTGGAACGACTTATCTAATGGGTGCCCGTTAACCATTCTCTTGCCTTCGGTAATGACACCACTTGTCAAACGATCAGATAAAGCATTCAACAAAGTAGTTTTACCAGCACCAGATGCACCCATTAAAGCAGTAACAGTGCCGGGTTTGACAAAGCCAGAAACATGATCCAAAATAACACGATCTTCTGACTTAATTTTCACTTGATAAGTTAAATCTTTCCAGTGGAAAATATTTTTATGAGACTCCTCGGATGGAGAATCAGTTGGCACTGCCTTCTCTGTGGTCTCATCTTCAAGTCTAACTTTCTCAATTGGTCCAGCTTCAAGGTCATCCTTAATCGTTTGGATATTGGATTTTTTCAATGATTTCTTTTGGAAAAGTAAAATTTCACCCTTTTGCATAGAAGCTCTATTGAATTCACATAACAAGAGATAAACTCCAAGGAAAAAGATAACAAAAGATAACACGATACCCCAATCTCTCCATCTATGATCCCAATAATATTCAAATGACAAGTTGATATATGCATCCCCATCAACGTAAGATTCACCAGGTTTGGAAGAAACGGGAGTACAGATCACATTTTCCCCGGATTTTGGGTACCCTTTCCCAGTGGGAACAAACTGGGCACAAGGAAACTTTCTATTATGGAATTCATTGGCAATCAAGGCTTCAAAGGCATATTGAATTGGATTAAGATAATGGATCCATCTAGACCAGCCAAGTAAATCAGGAATAGGAACCACAAAGCCAGTATAAATGGTAAAAATCAACAAAAGAATGGCAGCGGGGGTCATTGCAAGGGATAATGTTCTAGAAGCAGCACCAACAGATCTGAAAATATGAGACATGGACAAAGTACCAGTAAAATTCACAAGCAAATAAAAAAAAAAATGACCCGGGGTTCGTCTGAGATTCACCATAAAGTAGAAGATTAAATTAAATGCCAAGCAGATAAAAATTTTGGTAGGTAATTCTGTTATAATAGATGCCAAGGCATCAGCAGAAGGATGGTAAAGACCGTAAGTCTTATGCTTTTCAACAATAGGACGAGCTTCGAACAAAGAAAACACCTCGAGAAGGGATCCAAAAGCATTAAATAAAATAGCAAAGAAAATGGATGAAGTTCTGTAATAGAAACTACTTGTATCAGATCTAAGGTTATAAAAAACAGAAGAGATAATTAAAGCCATGACTGAATTGGCAAATATGGTCCACAATGTGATAGAAGGATCACCCTTTGTTCTAAGCCAGTTTCTATGCATAATGCATTTGATTTGCTGAAAATATGTAAGTGTGTAAGGGGATGAAGGTCTTGCTTTCTTCGATTGACGAGCGTGGTAAGACTCCTTGAAAGCACTTGCTCTCAGTCCATCTTGAATCTCTTTTTTATACTCATCAATTTCTTTCAATAATTTTGCATGTTCAGGTGAGCCCATCCAATAGTCGTACATCTCTTTTGGAGTACTTGGAACGGTGCCTTCCATGCCTTTTCTCACAATACGTTCTGATGGAGAAGTAACAGAGGTCAAATAATCTGCAGTGGTCTGTCTAGGAGGGCACTCGTAACCCATTGTAAGAAAATAGTCCTTTGCTTTTTTAGCATCACCAAAGTAGATTTGATAACCTTCATACAATAATTGAACAGTATCAAAAATATCATAAGCACCTTGGGAACATTGATAGATAGCAATCATAGGGGTTCTATTTTGCACAACAGCAGCAGTTTTTAACGCCTTCACAAATTCCAATGCAGTGGCAGAATCTAAACCTCTAGTGGAATTATCCCAACATTGGACCTTGGCACCAGATAATGCAACTTCGCAAATAGAAACTCTTTTTCTTTCACCACCAGAAACACCGCGGATAAAATCGTTTCCTACTCGGGTGTTTTTAGTATGGCTTAAGCCATAGGTTGCCATGATAACCTCGCTCATGTGTTGAGCATACATATCTCTAGCAACACCATCAGGTCTATTTTGAGGTGTTCTCATTTGTGCAGCGAATTTCAAAGTATCACCTACCAATAAGTTCGCAAAATGATTTTCCGTTTCTGCACAATACACGACATCACCTCTATAATGCTTGTGAATTTCTTTTGGGGAAATTCCATCATAAGAAATTTCGGAGTTCTCAGGAGTTTCGAAACCATAGGTTTCGGTGGCAATTGATTTCAAAAAGGTTGTGCAGCCAGCTCCTGGTTTACCCAAAACAACACATAACTGACCTGGTTTTAATAGCCCATCCATAGGCTTCAAAATATTAAAACGTGGTGCCTTTTTTTTCAAGATGAAGTCATCAAGAATGATTTTAGAGTATTTTGGAATAAAATTAGAGAAATCAGTTTGATAATCAGCCTCGACGGCTGTACCAGATGCCTCGAGACCCTTAAATATGACACCCAAAGATGATGGTTTGTAATAATCTGGGTCACTGTTAGTCAACCGTTCAAAATTCATAACCCAGAGCTTGGAATCGAATTTATCTGAGTTAGGGTCCAACCGAGGATCCAAGTTATTTTCCACAAAAGGCATGATAGGTGGAGTATTTAATAATGATGAAAACGAAGTTCTGGATTCCAGTCTGTTTAGAGTTGAGCTCCTTGATAGTGTTCTTGCCAAGTCTTGAATTTTGCTCGCAACATTCAGATCGAAGCCTTTGTAGTTCGTCACATCGTTATTGTTTGGTACTTCGTCACTGCTAGGATCTTTACTAATAGTAGACATAGTCCTTTTGATGGTGGATCCAGAAATTTCCGAACTCATGAGTTGCTGAGTTTAAAACTTATGTATTACTTGTTGTTTATTCTTCTTGATAGTTCCATTTTCAAATCATTTTTGATGCAAATTGAGGAAGACGATGTCCTTTATACACTGGGTCCGTAAGCATGTATTTAGAGTTGATTGCTTTGGCAAATAATAGAGGAATTCATGTAGTAAGTGGCTGAAAAGAACATGTATAGCTGCAGGATGTGCTCATATGTATATGTATATATACACTGAACATATAGTGACGCACAGTATGTGTATATTCAGTGAAAAGCAGCTATATATTGTATCTTTTTGGGTGAACGCCTGGTTTTATCCGATTTTATTAGTATAGCAGCGCTGAGAAAGAGTAATGTATAGCTATTATTAAAGAATCTGCGAAATTGTTTCAATCTTTATAGCAAGTTGCAACTGGAAATATAAAAAAGAAAAATAATAGATTCCTGAGTCATTAATAACAATAGCATCTTCTGCATCCTCTTAGAAGCTCTAATAGCTAATTCCAGTTGATCTTTCAAATGGTATAACTTGTTTTTTATTATTATTATTATGTTCTGATTATGTTGACTAACATTTTTCTGCTGAACCCTCAAGTCACCCTGCCTTTAGTTGTGTGTGTCTCAGATTGCTTCACAACTAAATTATTGCAAAAGAGCTCACAATTCAATATAGGCTGTTACACAAGGTAAAAAAAAACTCTACGTATTTTGAAACTGTTTTATTACATATATTGTCACACATAATAAATATATATTCCCAATCTTAGATACCTTTGTTTCTGAATTGGATCACGTGCATATCTTATGGTTTGCTTCGTGTGTTTTTGTTCTGGAAGTAAACATGTTGTTATTGACTACGCTCCAAACAGTTGTTGTGTACACAAAGCGTTGAACAACAAATTTATTCACAGATGTTTCATCCGCTTGAGGAAACATATGATAGAACAAATTCACTGTTACTGTGTTGGTAATTCGCATTCAGTTTCTATTGAATGTTAATTTCCTGAATAAAAAATCCTGTAGGAAAGCAGCGTATGTTATTCCTACCAATACTCTTCACTGTCATTTGAGCTATGTAGATATATAGTGTACATAATTATGAGATACATAAAAATTGTGTATAGAAACATGATGCTCTTAAAGTATATCTTCGTGGTTTTGTATTTGTGCTTGTTTTTTTTTTTCCAACTCTCTGATCAGAATGTTCATATATGCACCCACACTTGCGTGTAAAAATTTAAGCATATCCTCTAAAATTAGAATAATAAAATGGAAAAAGGAGAAACATCGCTCTATTTAAGTAGTTCTATCTTCTCTTAGAACTATTGTATAGTTCTAGAAGATGATTGAAAGTAATAGAATATCCTGGCATGTTTAAGAACATAAAAGGGAATTCTTTGAAATGCTAGGATATTATACAAAGGATTATTAGTGAACTAATTCATTCTAGAAGTGCATTAACAATATTCTATTGATACCTTGAACATGACCTATGCTATAGACTCCCATAATAAGAAGCAGACAAGATCCATACAAATTGCGAGTAGCAATATCAAAAACAATATGTAATGGTTTAGTTGGGTAACATAGTAGTTAAAGTATATTAAAGAAGAATAAAAACTAAAAGGAATAGATGAAGTAAGCTTTTTATAGGTGAGAAAAGAAAGTAAGACTTACCTAAAAGGGAACTCAAAGGGAAATAAAAAGGTGGTCGGAGATAAGGAGGTTGTCCGAGATAAGGAATGGAGTTAAATAAAGAAGAGAGAAGAAAAGATAAGAACAATAAAAAGAAAGAAAGAGAAAGAAAAGTAAGAAAGTGTCTAGATCATTACACCCCTGTCGTAATTCCTTTCCTTATAGCTTAGCAAGCAATTCAGGATGTGTTTCAGCGTAGGATTGTAATAAATCAGGAGCTGTTTTCTTAAGTTCCGACATACGAACCCATTGGTAATTATCAGGAATATCTTCACCTAAAAATTTAATGTAAATTAAGAAACCTTTGGCTTTGCGCTGGTGTTTGACCAATCTTTCAATTTCTACTTCTGTGGAGCCATCCTTGTATTGCTTCAAGTGAACTTGTTGGTTATTATCAGGCGAGAGGAAACCTTCAGGGACAGCGGATTTTAAACGAAGTTGAGAAACGTGGAAAACATCAGACATTTTGTAGGAAGGTGGTAGCTCAATTTGGTAATTGACTTCGGTGAGTTTTTTGAGGATTTTGAATGGTCCAACAAATTTGGTGCGTAATGAACGGACTTGATTCTTGTTGTGAACATCGCCAAACGTAGGTCTCGATGAAGCGTTGATAAAGACTTCATCATCTGGATGGAACTCTATGTGTTTGTGTTTGGAGTTGTAGGATAAACGTTGCTTGGTGTGTGCTTCGTGGAGGGCAGCTTGAGCGGCTTGAGAGTATCTATCGAGGGTTTCAACAATATGAGTAGCAGATCTCTCCCCCCCTTGTTGAAAAAGCAGGAGTTGGGAAGGAAAAGTGGGAGTATACCCAAGGTCGACTTCAAAAGGAGTAAGATTATTGAGGGCGGTTGAGGGGGTTGAATTGATGGTGTACTCTGCGAAAGGGAGAAGTTCAATCCACAGGTTGTTCTCATCAATGTAAAGGCGTAAAAAGTCTTGAAGGATTCTGATGTGTCGTTCTGCTTTGCCATTGCTCTGGTGGTGACGGACAACAGACTTATAATGTTCGATGTGCAAAAGCGAGAAGAGAGAATCGATCAACTTATTGTCAAACTGGGGACCGCGGTCGGAAACAAGGCGGTTTGGTACTCCGTGGTACGGAAAATATTCAAAGAGGAGTAGCTGAGCGAAAGCACTAGCATCGAAAAGTTTGTTGACGGGGTAAAAGTGAGTCCGAGAAGTAAATGTATCAACAAGGACGAGGACAGAATCAACTGTGGCACCGGCATGTTGGGTTGGTGGGAAACCAGAAACAATATCTAATGAGATGTCAGACCAGCGACCAGATGGAGGAGGAGTGGTTTGTTGATGACCATGTAGATAGTGTGAAGATTTGACACGGTTACAAGTGTCGCAACTAGCAACATAATGACTAACAACGTCTCTCATCTTTGGGAAGAAAACTGCCTTTCTCAAGATATGGCTCATTCTTTCAATACCAGGATGACCTTGTGATAGGGGAAGGTGAGCAGCATCTAGGATGGATTTGAGCAAGGAGTGTGGGATACAAGTTCGGGTATCCTTGTAAAGGATACGGTGATCAGTGTCAGTGTAGAAACCAGCTTTGTCAGGAACTGTTGTGGCTTTCTTGAAAATTTCCTTGAAAAATGGATCCTCTTTGTAGTCGTTTGGTTTAATTTGATATTTTGAAGGATCAATAGCGACTTCAGTGGAAGGGTGAGCTGTAGTATTATTCGCATGAAAACATGACTGTTGGTAATTGTCATAGCGAGAGAGGAAATCAGCGGAATCGTTCTTAAAACCAGGTAAGAAATGGATCATGAGACGAAAAGAGAGAATTTCTGAAAGCCAGCGGTGATGTTTTGGTTCAGGGGTTTCACTCTGAAAGATCTGGGAGAGCGGACGATGATCGGTATAAATGTGGGTGGTGAACGGGTTGTTGGCAAGAAAGAAGGAGTACTTGCGAACAGCAAACTTGATAGCATAAAGTTACTTTTCGGTCACGGTCCAGTTAACCTGGAAAGGATTGAGTTTCATGGAGCGGTATTCAATGGGGAACTCTTTACCATCAAAAGATTGCCAAAGGGTGGCACCAACTGCATACTGACTTGCGTCAGTGGTGATCTTGAGCGGTTTACTTGCGTCAAAAGGATGTAGAGCATGTTGGTCAATTTCTAACTGTTTGAGTTTGTCGAAAGACTCCTGGCATGCGGAGGACCAGTGGAAATTTATAGATTTCTTTAGCAACTCGGTAAGAGGAACAGTCATTGCAGTGTAGTTAGGAATGAACTCGCTTATGTATGCAAGGTGTCCTAAGAATTGTTGGACTTGTTTCTTGGATGTGGGGACGGGGAAGTTCTTAATCTTGGTGCTAGTATCCTCGGTAGGGGCAATGAGGATATGATTACCGTCGACATAGAGAGTGTGTCCTACCCAATCGAGTTTCTGAGCGGCGAAGACGCATTTGTCACTATTGATGCGAAGTTGATGCTCGTGAAGGGTTTTCATAACTGCTTCTAGATGACGGAAATGCTCTTCCTTGGAATCGGAGAAAATCAAAATATCGTCTTGGTATAGACGAATGTATTCGGAATGGCTGTGGAGAAGCTGTCTGAGATAACGGGAGAAGACTTCAGGGGCATTAGCAATACCAAAAGGCAAAACATTCCAATAATAATATCCGAAGGGAGTACGAAAAGTGGTGCAATGAGCCGTGGATGGATCAAGTCTGATATGATGAAAAGCAGAACTTAAATCAAGGGTAGTCATGTAACGGCCCTTAATATTAGCGACATATAGCTAGATAAAGGCAGCCAGAGCGCAATCGCATACATTTTTGCAGCCAGAGCGCAGCGGGTTTGTATGGGGCGAAAAAATGGATGTTAGCAGAGTGCAGCGAGAGCGCAATGGGCTAGCAGCGAGAGCGCAATGGCGATTATGGGCACTTAAAGTGGGGATATTTGGGATCTGAGAAGTGGAATGTGGAGTAGAGAAAAATAGTATTTTTATAATGTCTTTATATTTGGGATATCTTGGATATTGAAAATGGGCAAAGCGGGGGTGCGGGACCCGTTCCGTGGTGGAAATGTACCAGAGCAGCGGGCTGAGTGGGTAATTTGAGGTTTGAAAAAGGGCGATGATCGGGGCCTGAGCTGGATGATTTGTGTGGTAATTAAAAAATAAAAGATGAGTGAAGAGAAAGTGGAGGTGATTTGATATATTATGAGGATAGGATGATTGATTAGGGTATCTATATTGAAAATCAGAGAGGTCAGTTGGCGGAGAATTGCGGTGGTTTGTATGATAATATGGTGATGAAAGTTTGAATGTAATGAGAATTATTTTGGGAAAGAGAAGATAAGGAAAAAAAGTAAGTTTATCATCAATATATTTAGGAGATCTGGAATTGAGTGGGTCAAAAAAATGGAGAAAATCGTAGGAAAATGTAGGAAAAATTGAAGATGATAATTTTGATGGTCGGGGTTGGGTGTATGTATGAGATGATCCTATATTTTGAAAGAAAAAAAAAGGTTATGAAAAAAGTAGGATCAGTTATGAAATAGTTGGGTGATTTTAATATAGGTTTGATGATAATAGTTAGGATTGAGAATAAAATGTGGTGGAAAAATAGGGATGGTAAAGTTTTGGTGAAGGTCGGGGATCTTGTGTGGGTGTATGGTTGAGAGATGGGAGGTGAATGTCTATGTAATTTAGAAAAAAAAAGATTTATGAAAAAAGTAAGATCAGTTATGAAATATTTGAGAGATTGTATTTTAGATTTGATTCTAAAATATCAGATGGAAAGTAGAATGTGATAGAAAAATGAGGATAATATGGAATTTTGATGGGATATGTGTAGTAGAGAAGGAGATTATGGGGATGATATTTTGAGAGTATTTTTTATTCAATAGAAAAAGTAAGATTGTTTATGAGATAATTGATTGATTTTAATATAGATTGAGATGTAAAATGTTGGATTGAGGAGAAAATGTGGGAGAGAAATGAGGATGATGATGATTTTTGATGGGAGTGGGGATGAATGTAGGTAAGAAATAGAGGTCTAGATATTTTTGAAAAAAAGATATTGAAAAAAAAAGGAGGATTTTTGATGGAATATTTGAGAGATTTTAATATGATTATAATCATAAAATAGGTGATTAAAATAAAAATGTGTAAGGGAAATCAGGTTAGATGAATTTTGGTGATGGTCGGGGGTCATGTATGTGTGTGAATTTAAGGGTCAGGTATTTTTGAAAAAAAGATATTGAAAAAAAAAGGAGGATTGTTGATGGAATATTTGGGAAATTTTAATATAGATAAGATTGTTAAGTAGGAGATGGAAATGAAAATGTGGTGGGAAAATGAGGTGATGTTCGAAGGTCATATGTGAGGGTGGGGTGTGAATTTAAGGGTAGGGTATTTTATGAAAAAATCAAATTGAGAAAAAAGTAAGAATGTTTATGAAATATTTGGGAAATGTTAATATGATTAAGATTAAAAAATAGGAGAGGGAAATATAAATGTGGCGGAGAAATTAGGTGAGTAATTTTTGAGGAAGATCGGGATTATTGTATGGATGAGAAATAGATGTGTAGATATTAATGGAAAAAAAAGAGAGAGAGAAAAAGTAAGATTGTAGATGAAATAATTGAGATCATTTTATGTGGATAAGATCATGATATGGAATATTGAGAAATAATTGAGAGATAAAAATAGGGTATGTTGAATTTGTGTGAAGGTCGGGGGATGATGTATTGTGGAGAAATGAGGGAGATTTATTTTGAAGAAAAAGAGAGTGAAAAAAAAAGTGAAAAAAAAAGTGAGATTGTTTATGGAAAGTTTGAAGGATTTTATTATGATTAAGATTACCTAGGGATACAGTCGCGCAATCCGCCGGAATGCCATACATTGCAGCACAATCAGCCGGAATTTTTAAATGATGAATACTGGGTGGAAATGGCTAGTAATAATGCTGTTGAAATCTGGAGAGGATGCTGAGCACAAATATATAATTTTATCTGAAAAATAATATAATGTGGTAGAGATATTGGCGCTTGAAATGTGCGTTGCACAATCAGCCATAATGTTTTGGCATAATCCGCGGAAATATGCAGGGGGTTTGGGACCCCGTTCCACAATCAGCGGAATTCTCTACATCTTCAGCAGAAATCATTTGAGAGCTAACGAGGGTGAGATACCCCTTTGTATTGGGCGAGCAGTATTACGTCTGATATTGAAGAAAGCGATGGTATGGCGAGGATTGAGATTTGTGTGAGTATTGTGGAAGGATTAGAAGAGGATGATTTTTAAATAAAGGATAAAAAAGTGGAGAAGTATTGAAGATGATATGTGATTATTGTTGAAGCTAGGATGGATTAGGATGTGTGAATTGTGGAGGTATATGAAGTCAGAAATTGAAGGCAGTATTATCATTTTCATATTTTGAAGAGTTTGGGATGATTCTGAAAATATTGGAGGATAAGAAGGAGATTTGCGGTAGAAATGTGGTGGAGCATGTTGTGCGGTGGCCGTGGGTCATATGAAATTGAGGGATAAAATGTTTCAAGAAATATTATCTTCAAGAAAAAACTAAGATTTTTATTTGAAAATATGATGATGTTTATTGAAGATTAGATTATAATATAGAGTATGGAGATGCGGTAGTGTAAACACGAACTTGCATTTTATGGTAAATCAAAAAAAAAGAAAAAAAAAGAAAAGAAAAAACCTTGAACCACAACGTACAAGAAACTTTATCCAAAATGAATCAAGTTTCAGATAGAATATCTGTCCTTGACGGATTCATTATAGATAAAAAAGAATGGCGAATCATATCCACGAGCTCCGAACTCATTACCAAGCTTGGCAAAGCTCTGAAGAAGAATCTTTCAGCGTGTGATCTCAAAGATATCCATTCCACCTTCAGTACCACAAATGTTAGCTTCCACGATCTTTCTGAGCTCATCCCACATATCACAATGACAGAAGTATTCATCAAAAAAAGTAGAGATGGTCGTTACCAAACCAAGAGCCGTAAATTTAGCGGCTCCTCCAAGCACCAAGCCACCATTATCAAATTAGCTGGTAACAAGAACTATTACTTGATTCATCGCAAGAAAAGTGACTCTAGCATGGCTTACGATATCATGGGATCCTCCAAGGATATCCAGTTTGTTAAGTCCAATACAGCTTTGAAACTGTACTTAGGAGATCCCGTGGTGTCTCAAAATGATAAGCACTTATTAATCCAGCTTCAATCCCACGACATCAAGGAAGAAGCATCGGAATTATTCATTTTTGGCTACCAAAAAACACAAACCAACCCTCCTATCATCATTGCTTCGTCCTTTGGCTTGGGCTTTGAAAATTTCTACAAAATTCTTGACCCAAACACTGTCCATGCCTATGCAGCCGTTTTCCAACATATCTATCCCATTTTCAAGTATATGGCGCAATTCGAATATACGGAAGATGACCCGACCTCCACGTTGGACCCAAAAAAGCAGTTGAATGATGCACAAGATGTAGAAACCAGATTTGAAGTTCTCGCCAAATTTATTTTTTCATTGATTGAAACTGAAGCTTACCACTCATTGCTCAACAAGTTGGTGGTTTTGATGATTACCAAGAAAACATCTGATATCTCCGATACCACCATCAAAAGGTTTGAGTCTAATGAAACCATCTTGAGGCGTCTTGATGTCCTCAAACACATTATCCGGTTCGCTTATGTCAACCGCGATGTGGAGTCAACAATAAAGTACATTGGCAATTTTCCGATCCAAGGCTCCAATTTTATTTGGTTGACAGTATTGTACACCCTATTAGTAAAAGAAAAGGGCACGAAAAGGGTATTTGATTGTATTTTATTGGACTCAACTACCGTGGTCGTCGATGGCATCACCATAACGCAGCAACAGTTGTCTGAAGGCCATAAAAAATTGTGCACCGATTTTTTTGCAGAGGCGGGCAGAATGCAAGAGTTTGTCACGGGGGATACCAACATTGACAGAATTTTTGATAGCTTTGTCAAACTCTCCAAGGAAAATAAAATCTCCCACTCCTTTTTGAATTTGGTTGGAGAGGAAATTCCCGATGACTTGAGGTTTGGCTTAAAAGAAAATCTTCCAAATCATATTTTGAAATCAATCAAGGAAACATTCATTTTTTTGTCGTCGTTGTTGTTGAACTTGTTCTTCTTGGAGGCTGGAAGTTTCAGATTCCCTGAGGTCCAAGTCTCCAAGTTTGCCGCTGAAGATATCTGTCTCAATTGGGACATCGTTGAACAAACAATTTTCTTGGTTGCTAACTACTCCAAGAAAAGAGTTCGTTCTGCCAAGATGAGGTACTTGAGCCAAACCACTACAAAACTAACAATTTGGTTACTTCTATTACGGCCGGTGTTTATTGAGATACTCAAACTATACCCTGAAACTGACGAGTTGGACGAAAAGGGATTGCCCTTGCCTGATTCAAACATTTTTGCTGATATTTCTGTTGATGATGAA